GCACCTGCTGGCGGCGGCGGCAGCAGCAGCAACACACCTGCTGCCTCCGCCGCCGTGTCGAGTACGGCAGCTACGGCAGTCGTAATGCGCTGCAGTGATGGAGAGGATTTGGTGGCGGGTCTGCCGCGGGTGGCGCTGCTGCCGGCTACGGCAGCGGCAGCGGCAGCGGCAGCGGCGGAGGTAGACCAGCAGCAGCAGGACGGCAGTAGTGGCAGCAGCAGGTCTGCGTTCCGAGTGGATTTGACGCCATACTTGTATAATGACCGGGTGGTGGTGCTGCAGTAGCCGTGGGTGCAGTGGGGCCGGGCTAAGGAGGCCGTTTGTGGTGCTGTGCCATGGCTTGAGTTGCAAGGGCAGCCACGTTGCAAGGAGTTGCAGAAGAGAATGTTGCACGAGAGGCAGGTGGGATCCTCCACAGAGCGGGAGGGCATGTTGCTTGTGTTGCTGGCATGTGTACGATGTGCCGATGGGTTTGGCGCACAGTACGTGTGCATAGTACGTTGAAATGGGGCAGAGCCGGTTTGCCACTCACTGTTTGATCTTCCTTGTTATGGGTGACGATGGGTATGATGATGGCGGCGATAGTGAGTGGCGGCGAAGGAGCGAGAACCAACGCGACTCTCTCTTGACACACACACACGGGTATGCGGGGGCGCAACGTGAGACGGCTTTGGTGTTATCATGGTAGGGTGGCGCAAGCGTGGCGTTTTCTTGGCGTGGCGTCATAGTGCGATATATCCCGCGAGGATGGAAGAAAGCTGTGGCCCATGCATGTATTGTAGCTAACCTCCTATGCCGCGTTTTTTTGGTATGTGTATGTGCATGCATGCGTGCAGCAGCTCGCTCTCAACTTGTCTCGTCTGCAAAGGACGTGGTCTAGCTGGTTCGCGCTCACACCAGCGTCGACGGTGCGGTGACCTGCATGCATGTCTCACGGCGGTGCGAGTGTCAAGCAGCTGACGAGCTCAGTCCTGTGAGCTGTGAGCGCTGTGTGCAGTGTTCAGCACAGCCACGTCCTGCATGTCCTGCAGCTAGCGGCGGTTCGCGTGGCACCCCCCGGGGCGGGTTTGCGGCCGCGTGACTTGCCCGTGCTCGTGCTCCTGCTCGTGCTGGCTGCTGCCGTGATGCGTTGGGATGCTGCCGTACGTACGCATGGGGTGTGTACGCGGCCTTTTGCGCGGCTGTATCTTCCATTCGGCGTGTGTTCCCTGCTTGCATGCATGGTGCGCAAAGATAGGGAAGCGTGTGCAGCATATTGTTTTTCACGTTGAGCAGAATTGGTGTTCATCATCACTTTTATGTGCGGCGGGACTTGCTTGGGGCACCGGAAACGTGACGCCACTGTTTCCGGTGTGGCGGGGAGGTGTGTGTGTCCTTGGCGTGCTGACGGCTGCTAGGACACGAGGGGCAGCAGGGGGCGGAGGATGTGATGAGGCGCATGAGGAATGGACGAAGACACAAGAGAAGAAGAAGAAGAAGAGCTTAGGATGAGGCTACTTGCATTGCAGTAGGAACATGTGCGCAGGGTGGTTGACTTGGCCCCACACCCTACTTGCTGCCGTCGTGCGTTGTATGTTGGCCTGGTAAGGTGGCCAGGGACAGCGACGGCGGTGACGGCGGTGGCGCCAGCGGCGGCGGTGACGGTGGTTGTGGTGGTGGTGGTGGTGGCAAGGTGGAGTTGTGCGGCGCCACATTACATGTCGTCTGCAAGCCATAAGAAGTCCCTGAAAAGGCAATAAAAAGCTGCCAGCTGGCGGCCGCCTTGCATGGCGGACCTACCGGCGGGTACGATGCCATGGCTGCTGCGCTCATTGCGATATCCCAGAATGCTGTTGACGCCTGCCTTTGTTGCGCCTTGTACCTTTTTGTCATTAGATTGGCATCAAAACATGTTTGGTTACATGGTTCATAAGCTTTATTGCTTCCCGGCCTGGTTCATAGCTGACCTGCCGTAGGCTGGTGCACCGTAGGCTGATGCACCTGCTGCTCATGCATCCGTTGCTGTCTTGTGGTTGATCTCATCAAACGGTTGAAGATCTCATGCTTGCTGGTTGCGTAGCGCCCGTGTCGGCCCGGCGTTGTCGCCTTACTACCTCGCTCATGTTATGTGGTGCTAGCGTCTCACCATGTACAGGCCTCCGGAGTGAGGAAGGGGTGCAGGCAGAGGCACCTAGAGCCTGCCTCACAGTACGGGTAGAAGGGCGAAATGGTTGTTGGGGCTGAACACAACACACTGTTGCTTCTGGTTGTATGCATATGCATATTAGATGTAACAATCAACTTGGTACTATACTACCCTTTACACTGCATGATGAAGAAACGCAAGCAAGTGCAATGCTTTCGTAAATACATGCAGAACCGGTGGGGCACAAGCGCGTACATACCCCGCTAGATAGGAGCTCTGCTGTCCAATCAAGTCGTATCCCGGCTATCACACACGGCGGGTGCGCTGCTGGTTGGGGACCATGCGGCGGGGAGGGGAATCCAACAGGGGCAGGGAAACACACACCGACGTTATTAACATGTGGGAACCATGGACAAACGTCCTGCGCTTAAGAGGCTTTGCAATGCAGTTAGCCCAGTTAGGTAATTCAGTAACCTCACGGATTACCGACCCATGGGTCCAGGGGCAAGCCTCGCCGCGAAAGCTTGGGCGCAAACGTTAGCAAATGGAAAGCCCAAGAAATATTACTCTGCGCTTTAGAGGGTGCAATGCAGCGGTGGTAATGGTGGGGTTTTCTGCTGACGCATCAAACGGTTATTACCTTGGCGGCTAAAAAATGCAGAAAGGCGGCGCGGTGCGTGCTGGCTAAAAAAGAGTCCCCTTGCGCGTTTGGACAGGGGACTTGTATGTAGGTATCTGCTGTAAATAATCGAAGGTCTTCCAGACTCCCCGGCAGACTCCCCTATCTAGCGGCTAAAGCGCGCGCGCCAAAGCCTCCAGAGTTTCCAAATCCTGGGGCTCAAGCAATAGGAAAGCGTGGAAAGTTATAGCAGTCTTGCTAGATACGGCAGCAAGATAGATTCTAAGTCGTCGTCGCATGTATGCCTGCTCACGTACTCCTCTTTGCTCGCCCTTACTGCCCGCCCGCTTTTGCGCCGCACGTTTCATATAGGTTGGCGTCAGCGTGTCCCGAGGGTGCGTGTGAGGTGCTGGGACAAGCAAGGTGAGCCGGAGTAGTGAAGTGCTAAATGAATGCCTTCATGTGATCGGCCGGTCCCTGTGTTATGCGTTTCACTCTGTGGAAGGTGCTTTTCGTTCAATAGATAGTACCGGTGCGCTGAGGGGGCCACCAATCGCCTGCATGCATGTGTAGAGAGACGACTTGTCATCTGTGCACAGCAGCAGGGGCGAAACTGGGTTACCGGTAGTGAACCATGGGTCACACCCCTGCATGGCGGTGCGGTGGGAGTGCCTCCGCTGCACAGCAGCCATTGCGTGGCCCCAATGTCCAGGAGGTAGATGGTGATGAAGATACCGGTAAACCCGCCAATCGGGCTCAAGTGGGAGGCAGGAGTGTTGCTGCATGCGTTTCGAGAGCCCTCCCACCCACCACGGCGCTCATGCTGCATATGTGGAGGGGACTCCAAATCAGCACAACACAAACCTGCTGTAGCGGCAAAGCGCTTGCGTGCGTCATGCCTCATGCGAAGTGGTGGCAAGTGATGAAGAAATTCTCCTTTGTGGGACTCGGTTCAACAACATAACCGACTTCTTCCACCTCCTGATGCCCCTGCCTAGCTACTGCTGCTGCAGTTACTGCTGTTGCTGTGTATCCTGTATGAAACAGAACCTATGAAACCATATGACCTCTTCACCTTGTACGTAATAAGCATGTTCATGCTGCCGTCCTTATCTTGCATCACTTCTGACTCATTAACGGATCCTGCTGTTGTCCATACGGTACGGTACGGCAGTTTCCTGTCGCCACGCACCCCATCTTCTTCCCCTCTAGTACAGCCAATGAGGTCTGTCCCGCCCCTCCTCAGTCCTCGCCTGCTGCTGCTGACTGCTAATCGGCATGTTACCCAGCCACTAGCCACTCTTCCAGCCACTGCCCCCAGCCCTTGGTCAGCTACGCTGCTGGCAGCAAGGGTAGATAGGCAGGGACCAACCCGGTGCAGATTGCTGCGTCCACGTGTACCCGCATTCTGCCGCACTCGCTCCACACACCTCCTGGTAAGTGGGCGGCCTGTGGGTGCTTGCCTGCACGACCAACAGCAGCTGTGACCAGCAGCAGGTGGCACTGTGGTTAGAGGTGCGTGGACACCCACCTCTCTTTCTCCCCCCCTTTCAACACAGGTCACCTGCCTCCAGATCTGCCGTGCGGCTACAAATGCACCACCCCTTCCCACGCCCCGTCGTCCCCATCACGATGCACACGCGTGCACACAACCTCTGCTGTTGGCCCTTCAATGCTAGGCAAGGCCTTCCAGGGGGGAAACGGCCGCAGTGCTGTTCACTTGTACAGCACCCTACCAAAGCTAGCGTTACAAAAGCAGCAGCAGGACACCGGATGCATGTCCACCCAACTAAAAGCACCAAAGCAAAAGGAACTAAGCTCTGTACGGCAGCTGTACTGTAAGTGGAGGAAGGGTGGAGCTGCTGTCGATCCATGTTGTATTCCACAAAGCTGCTCGACATTGATGGGTCGTACGCCAGGGTGTGTCTGTTTGACGCGTAGGGTGTTCGCTTTCTTCAGCCATGGGCCCTTGCTTTGGGTATCAGTGCAAGGAGTCAGGGCAACCCCCGCTTGCTGGGCGTGTGTGGCCGCTGTCCGACCACTCATCTGAAACGCAGCAAGGGGACATGCCCGAGGGATAAACCCTAAAATGCGCGAGTAACTAATTGATGATTACAGATCGGCCTGTTGAAATGGATACATGCTTAGGGAAGAGTGCGAATGGACGCCGCGCATACAACGTGACAAAGCATTCTGTCGTCGTAAGTGGCACGACATGATCGCATTCCCCACATTCCACGATTGCTAAATATATACAAGCTATTGTCATGTGTTCCTTCACACAGTTCTCATTATATTACAGCTTTTGCGGTCCCAGGGTCGCTACTGCGGCCAACGACACCTCCGAGCAAAGCTTTGTGTCCGGCGCTCCTGAAATAGTTTGAGAAGATACAATGACGATACTTGATAATAGCCAGGGCAACGGCGGGAGCAATGACGAAGAAGTTGGTAGGACGCTCCTGCAGCTGCCCAATTCGGTCCTAACATCGATCCTGGAAAGCCTGGCGGCTATGTGCAATCCTGGTCAAGTCATGAAGCTCGCATTGGTGCGATTCGTCGGATCGTCGCCAACTCTTGCCCTGCTGACGTTTCCATCCGGCCCTTACTCATGCGCATTCAGGTGCCTTCGCGCACGTGATGTTGCGTAAAATGCTGTATTGTAGTGTGCAGTTAGGAGTTACGAGTCTGTAAGGGCCTAACATGCTTAACATGGCCCGCAACGAAGCATCCACAGACTGGATGTTGCAGTGGTTGCAGCACTACCCAATGCTCCCAGAGACACACACGCTTCATGGCCTTTCCCCCCGGCTGCGCATGTAATCATCTACCCTCCAGGCATGCCGTACATTACTTCGCGCGATTTCGGAAGCTGAGGGCTTCTGGGAGCGCATGTGCATCAGCCATGGCTGGAGGTGAGAAGCGGGTTGTTCTCCCCAATACCGCAACGCCACGTTCTCCTTCCTTTCTGCTTTGCTTCCATTCTACTATCCTCCTTCCCTGCTCGTCTCATCCTAACGCAATTCGTCAAGCATCCTCCCCGCCCCACCCATATCCCCCGCCTCCACCCCCACAGCCGCCCTGCAACCCGGCCCCGCGCCTCTGGCACCTCTGCTCGGGATTTGGACTGGCGTTGGTTCCGTTACTACTCGGCGCGCATGACCAGTCGGCGCAACGTAAGGTGAGGTGCCAATCGGGGGGAGGTGAGAAGGGCGGCGTGGCAGAGGTGCGGGCGGGGTGGAGTAAAGTAGTACGTAGCAGAGTTAGGGGTGGAGTTAATAGCTACCCGAGGGGTAGGGATACATGGATGCAAGCCACTACCTAACCCCCTCCGCGCTGCCGCCCCTCCCTCAGGCGCTTCTTCAAGCTCTACATCCCCTTCCTCTCCCGCCCCAGCAGCATGGCGCTCATGCCGGGTGCGCAGGGACGGCGGTTGGGGGTGTGGTGGTTGGGAGCTGGTCTGCTGGGGGTTTCGGAGTTTCCCCGATCCCCGTTCGGAATACCCAACCTCCGTTCCCTTCATTCCCCGGCCCCCTCCCCTTCTTATTGCAACCCATGTTGACGCCTTATCCCTCAGTCAGTTAGTTGTTTCCTCTTTACCTCCCCTCCTCCTCGCCTCCCCCCCCCCAGGCGCCTCCCCCGCGCAGCTGTCCGCCTGCGAGGCCCGGCTGGGCGCCCTGCTGCCGTGGGAGCTGTGGGAGCTGCTGCGCTTCCGAGGGGGGCAGGCGGCGGGGCCGGGGGTGGCCTTCCTGGATGACATGCGGCTGCTGGGTGGGTAGGGATGGGGCGTGGGGTGGGGGTTGAGTGGGCTGGATAGAGGGAAGGGGTAGGGTGGAGGGTTACTGTGGCGTCAAGGGGTACTGCTGTACGACACTGCACCCCATGCCCCTTGCTTGCAAGTGCATACGGCCCGACAATCAAACACGTTCCTACTCGCGGCCAGTTTTCTTAACACACATAGGACGCCGAGCGGCTCAGTAAACCTAATAATCCCTACCTGTTCCCCCCCGAGCAGGTGTCGAGGAGCTGCTCCCCGAGCGGCCCCCAGGCCTAGCGGATCTGAGGCAGCGGCTGGGGCTGCTGGGGGCGCCACCCAGGGCGCAGGACATGGCGGCGCCAGGGGAGCAGGAGCAGGGTGGTGGTGGCGGTGGCAACGCTGCGGTTACTCCTGGAGTTGCGGCACCCCCTGCGGGTGCTGCTGCGAGCGCTGCTCCTGTCGATCCTGCTGCTCCTGAGGAAGAGGAGGTGGCAGTGGCGGTGGCCTCCAACCCCTCGGGTTCGCGGCGGCTGCTGGTGGCACTGAGCGGGGGACATGTGTATCTGGCAAGAGGTATGGAGGCGGGGAGGAGCTACTGAAATGTGTCGTCAACGTTCAGGGGGTTTGCTTCATCGGTTATATACCGCACACCTCGTTGAAATCACAGCTATGACTTGTGCTCACAGCCTAAGTCACTGCTTTCCCTCCCGTCATGGGTTGCAGGGCTCTCCCTGGCATCCTTTGCACCCGGAGTGGCAGCAATGCTGCAGAAGATTCTTACGTAAGGTCGGCAGCATTACAAGTGATAAGAGGGTTGAAGGAAGTTAAGAAGGCCAGTACAGTTGAGTTGTACTCGCGTGCGTTGAGATTGTGCAGATGCATCAAGAGGGGTCCAGGTACTGGTGGTGTTGAAAAACACCGATTTCATATTTATTGCGTGACAATAATGATGAGCGCTTAGGCCGAAGTGAACTTGGTGACGGCCTTGGTGCCCTCAGACACGGCATGCTTGGCGAGTTCGCCGGGCAGAACCAGGCGGACGGCCGTCTGAATTTCGCGGGAAGTCAGCGTGGGCTTCTTGTTGTACTTGCTGAGCTTGCTGGCCTCGGTGGCAATGCGGTCGAAGAGGTCCGTCACCAGAGATGTCATGATTGACATGGCCTTGCTGCTGATGCCGGTGTCAGGGTGGACCTGCTTCAGCACCTTGTAGATGTAGAGCTTGTAGGTCTCCGCCTTCGACACCTTCACCTTCTTCTTGGCCTTCTCAGCGCCCTCAGCACCACCCTCAGCAGCCTCCTTCTTCACAACCTTCTTAGCGGGAGCCTTCTCCTTCTTAGGAGCCTTAGCTGCCTTGGGCTTAGCCTCAGCCTTAGGCTCAGCGGCCTCAGGAGCAGCGGTCTTCTCGTCCTTCTTAGGGGCCATTTTAAATGTGTTGCTAGTTGATAATTATATAAGATCACAAGCGTTATACTTATATTGTGTGGAAACATAATAGGAAAGTGGCTTAAGTCTGGGTTCGTCATTGGATCGCCGGGGCAACCGTATACGGTTGCTCGTCCCATGCCGGTTAGGCTCAGCGGGGCCAATTCCAATGCACAAAAAGCAAGCGAAGGGCATTAATCTACAACACGAAACATAGAATCCCAACTTTTTCCATTCACCTTATACCTATACTTGTAAACATGTCTGGTCGCGGCAAGGGCAAGACTGCGGGCAAGAAGGCCGTGAGCCGCAGCTCCAAGGCTGGCCTGCAGTTCCCTGTTGGTCGTATTGCTCGTTACCTGAAGAAGGGTCGCTACGCTGACCGCATCGGTGCGGGCGCTCCCGTGTATCTGGCTAGCGTTCTTGAGTACATTACTGCGGAGGTTCTCGAGCTGGCTGGCAACGCCGCTCGCGACAACAAGAAGAACCGCATTGTTCCTCGCCACATCCAGCTGGCCATCCGCAACGATGAGGAGCTGAGCAAGCTGCTGGGCGACGTGACCATCGCTTCCGGTGGTGTGCTGCCCAACATCCACGCCGTGCTGCTGCCCAAGAAGGCCAAGGGCGGCAAGGCGGAGGACGGCTCTGCTGCTGTGTAAAGACAGCCTGTCGCTTGGCAGACTACAAAACGGTGTTTTTTAACACCACCCTTACAAGGACTTCTATCGGAACTTCTGGGAGGCTTTGGGATTTCTAACTAAGCAGTGAACCCACATACATTGACAGGCCCACAACTTCCCACGCGCCGACCCTTTCCGTCTTGCACGAGCAACGCACGGGCTAAGATGGACTTACACGAGCACGTGCAATACCCGCACATAAGCCATGTCCTCGACACATGTTCTCCAGTTAAAAGAGCCTTCATGCAGCTCTATATAACCACACCACCCGTACAAGCGTTGTTAGCGTAGCAGCTAGTGGACACACCACATGTCGACAGAAAACGCACAGAGCAGTGTTGTCATTATAGAGAATACCAGTAGTTCCGTACATAACCTGGAATTCCGATAGCCATCCTGTACGGTATGTAAGATCCGCCTAGCCCCGTACAACAGCTCCTTACTACAGCCATCCGTGCATGCGGATTCGTATGTCGCCCACCCACCCCGCCATCACCCCCCTGCGTGCACGCTCTTACAGCGCGATCCGTCTCCTGATTGCAACGGCCTAGCAACATAGCCCTAGATGCGGCCTGCGACACAACTGCAACGGCACGACTGCCCCGCCTGTCAACTCCTTTCCAACTCCATGCCATGCCATGCCATGCACCCCTAAGCCGAGCTTGCGGGCGCCACAGCAGGGCTGCTGCTAGCGCCGCCGCCTACCACCAGCTCCCAGTCCGGAAACGCCTCCCGCACCTGCTCCGGAGCCACCTTCGCCAGACACGCCAGCGCCCAACGAGCCGTGACCAATGCCAGCTCGGAGTGCAGCACCTCTTTTACGGGGACTGTCTTCACCAAGGGCCGTCCCGGCAGAAGCGAAGGCGCGCCGACCCGTGGGTCTGCCACGACGGGTGGGGCCACTGGCAGTGCTGCTTGAGGGCTGGCCACTCGCGCCGCTGCTGACCCCGCCCCTTGCGAGGAGGGCTGCTGCTGCTGCTGCTGCGTGCGGTTAAGGACCAGCCGAAGCAACGACATGACGTCCATGTCGGACAGCAACCACCGCCGCCAACTGAATGGCGTACCTTCGGCGGGCGGCTCCGAGCCTGCAGCCGCGGCGGCACCAGCCTCCTCGCCGGCACCGGCGCCCTCTGGCGTCCCATGCGCTTCCTGCCCGGCCGCTGCCGCCGCGATCCACGGAACCCACACCAGCACTACCTGTGCCGCGGTCGTCACCACCGCACCCATCTCCTCACGCAACTGTGCTGCTGCAGCTACCGGCCCCGCCCTTGCCGCCGTCAGTTCCCCCGGAGCCTCCGAACCACCGTCTCCATCCTTCTCGCAGCTCTTGTGACCATCGTACTGCACGCATCCCGCCCTGGCAGCCTGCTCCAAGCAGCCGCTGTCAGCCGCCAGCAACCGTACGGCACGTGAGCAGGTAGGCAGCAGGGTGACTGCAGTGCACGTCAGCAACTGCCTGAGCTGCGCCAACTGGCTGCTGCGCTGTTCGGAGCAGCTGGGGGAGGGATCAGCAGCGGCAGCAGCACTATCAGCGGCGGCAGGGACGGGAAGAGGAGCGTTTGAGGCAGCGGCACCGGGCCGCTCTCCTTCTTCTCCTTCCCCCAGCCATAGCAACGGCGTCGGATGCAAGAACCTCCAGCTGAACTCCATGGCTTCTGACAGCTTCCGCTTGCACAGCACCAACCGCTGCCACAGCTGCTCGTACTTCTCAACCTCCGCTGCTGTGGCGCAGGGAGGTAGCTCACAAGCCGCCTCCGCCGCTGCGGCTGCGGCTTCTTCCACCGCCAGGCAGCGCCGCTGCAGCAACCCAGCTACCGCCTCCAGCAACGCCCTCACCTCCTCCGGCTGCGGGGCGAACGCCAGCATCTGCCCCCAGGCAGCCCCCAAGCGTGGGGGAACGCAGCGACAGGCGCTCCCTGCGCCGCACGCCATGCCGCAGTCCCGGCAAGTCCTGCAGCTGCCCTTGTCAGACGGATGCGGATCTGCCGGCGGGATGAGGGACAGCAAAGCTTGTGGCGGCAACGCCCGTGCATGCGGCTCCGGGGCATCTGTGCGGCATTGCCCGCATGGCGCCGCCGGGTTGGCGGGTTCGGGAGAAGTCAAGGCTGGCGGTAGCGGCGACGATGGCGACGAGCGCGGCGGCATCGGCGGCAGCGCCTCCGTTGCTGCGGCGCGCAGTGTCATGCGGCGCACTGCAGTGAGCCAGCCGGCAGCCAGGGCAGCGTCGACGTCAGGGAAGGGAACGGGGGGTAGGGAGCCGCATGTGGGGGTTGCGGCGAAAAGAGCGGCGCCCCCCGCTAGGGCTGAGGAGGCGTCGGCTGGCAGCTCAGTGCCTGCGGGCGGGGTTGTTTGGAACGGGCGGATGCGCACGAAGATGCGAGTCAGTCGAGGGGGCGGGCGGAGGTCGTTCGTACACAACGCGCTATGCATTATAGAATACGTCTCCGTACAACCGTACCACAGCGCTCGTCTAGGAACTAGGGCCTTGTGATGCACTGCATTGATGGGGCATTGATGCTCCCTTTCCCAAACTGGCAGCGTCTTATAGCCCTGCCCTGGACATGAATCCGGGCGTAACCCTTACAGGCATACCCTCCGTTTCCCGGAACAATACCTTCAAAGCAGCCCAGGCACGTTCCGCCAGCCAAGCAGCTGCCCACCCACTCCAGCAGCTCCGCGTGAGCTGCCGCCGATTCCTCTGAAGCGGATGGGGCGGCAGGGGGCGCCACACCAGCGGAGGCCGAGTGGGTGCTGCTTCCGGCGGCGGCGGCGGCGGCGGCGGTGGTGGTGGTGCTACTCAAAGCCGGCGTGTGACCCGTGGGTCCCATGGCTGGCTCTTCCCGAGCCGGATTCTGGGCTGCCCATTCTGCAGCTTCTAGCAGCGCACTCCACCATTCCCTCAGGCGCGACGCTGCTGCATGGGAGAGGCACGGCGGCCGGCTGGCCCCCCCATTCGCATCTCCATGCAGCACCGATAATGGCTGCGGCTGCTCATCCTGCCGTTGTGTCTGCGCCTGTGGCTGCCACTTACGCCACATCACCACCAGCATTGCCGTACGAGCGCAGCGCAGGGCCGCATGCACCAGCAGGGGGGCCTCCGCAGCGGGCACGACAGCGGCCGGCTGGGGTGAGGGTGAGGGTGCAGGTGAAGGTGTTGGTTGTGAAGAGGATGGCGCTGGGGACTGAGGCAACGCGTCGGGCGAGAGCGGTGAAGGCTGGGAGTCCGGGGGGCGGTGCTGCGACGGAGAAGGCGGCTGCGAAGCTTGCCCGGCAGGACTTGCAGCTGCCGCCGCGGCCATGGTCTCATGCATGTCGCGCGTTTGCTCACTCCCTGCGTGCTGCGATGAATGAAGACATGGGGAGGGCGTCGAAGCGGCTGGAGAGGCGGAGGCTGAGGAAGAACTTTGGGAAGGAGAGGAGGCTGCTGCTGATGCGATTGCTGATGAGCAGGCGCCAGCTGCAGAGCTGCAGGACGGCTTTGCCGCAACACCCACGCCCTCCGCCGAGCGTGCAGCTCCAGCCACGACACCACCGCCGCCGCTCGCTATTACCCCACCAAGCGACGTCTGCTGCTGCTGCTGCGGCGGCGGCGGTTGCTTCTGCCCCCATGCCGCCATGCCCGCCCGCATCAGCCGCATGCACAGCTCATGCGTGGCGCGGGAATTGTACGGCGGGCAGTGTACTGCATGCGCCCAGTGAACCGTGTTTACGGTATCAGCCACATCGGGCTCCAGCTCCTTCACCGACTGCTCGGTTTCTTGGATGCTTGCCCTGGTGCCCTCCACCTTGACCCGCAGCTCGCGCTCTCGCAGCGTTATCTCCCGCAATCGCGATTTGGAGCCTCGAGAGGGGGCGGATGAGCCGCCGCCACGTGATCCAGATCGCTGCTGCTGCTGCTGCTGCCTCTGGTGGTTCCCCCGCAGCTCCGCTAGTATCGCTAGCCGACTGGCCACGACCTCTTCCAGCTCGGCTTCGCTCAGCCGGTGCTTGGCGTGCGTCGCCAACAGGCGCTGCTTGGACGCGCGCATGCGCTCCATGGAGTTCCGTATCTTGTCGTAAAAGACCGCGGAGTTGCCGGCTAGTAATTCCTTGCACGTATCCGCTAGGCTGAAGCCCACGATGTCGGGCTTCTTCCCGCGCGCACACATCACATGGTGTGTCCACAGAGACAGTGCGGCTAGCGCCAGACGAGTGCTCAGGGCTTCTGCCGGCGGCCCCGGCTGCTGCTGCGGGGGCGGCGGCGCTGGCGGCTGGTGTCCGTGTTCAGGTGAGGCTGCGCCCGGATCCGCTTTCGGAGCCACCCGGTGCTGTTGCTGCGAGGTGCGCACAGCGGGCCGACCGTCGGGACGGAACAGCGGCAAGGGGGCAGCGGCTGGGTCAGAGGCTGATGGTTTCGGTGCTGCGGAAGTACCGGAGGGTGGGGAAGACGCTGCGGAGGGGGATGAAGAAGCTACACAGGCCTGTCGCTTTGCTTCTGCTGCTGCTGATGATGATGATGATGATGGTGCTGCTGATGGTGATGATGGTGGCGATGCCGGCTGGGAACAGGATGGCGGCGGCGGTGGCGGCGCCAGCAGCCCGGGCAGCCCGTAGTCCTCCCGCCTGCCGTCCAGCGCGCTGCAGAGCACGATGACGTGGCTGGCGAGGAGGAACAGCAGGTGGGGCTGCAGCGGGGCCCCCCCGGTAGTGGATGAAGCCGGGGACCTGGGCCTGACGGTACGGAAGCGCTGAAGTGCGCAGCCAAGCCGCAGCAGCTGAGCTGACAGCTGCTGCCGTGCCTCAGGGAAGATGGCGAGCTGCTGCAGCAACATTGCGACGCTGTCCAGGAAATGGCCGCAGCGGAGCTTATGATCCACCTCATCCAAATGGCCGGCCCTTGCGTCGATTGCAGCAATGAGGCTAGCGACCTCGCCTAACAATGCCGATGACGACGCAAGAACGCCCGCGCGGCTGCGTACGTCTTGGCCGCGCGCTGCAGCCAAACTGTTGAATGCATCATGCATCAGAACGCAATAACAGTCTAAGGTGCCGGATCGGACCAGCGCCAAGCTAATGCGTTCAGCAGTGTTGCGGTGAACTGGGTCCGCCGCCAATGCACCATGGTTGGTCAAGTTGTATAACAGTGTAATCAATCGACGCCTGGGAGCGACATTGCTATAAGCTGCAATGTTCAGTTCGCCTGGCATGGATGCATGCAACACCGCAGTGAAGAACTCCGCCAGCGTAGCGCAGAATTCCACATCCTGAACGATGCCCAAAAGCGTGGCTGTTAAATCGTTCCCAGTTAGTTGGCCAATGCGTCCAATGGCCTCCGTCGCTGACAACAATTCCGACGGCTGTAGGGCGGCAATGCCCCTTTTCCGTGCATTCGCATAGTTGTCAACAACTGAGCGCAGAACAGCCACATCGGCTGGCAAATTCCCGGCGTCAGCAGTCATGGCGAGTCTCAATGTTAGTGCCGGGCCTGCCTCAACCTCGCTAGCTAAACTGAAGGCCACATTTACTGTGAGTTATGCCAACAAGGAAAAAACGGCAGGCGCTTGGCGTATTGAGGGATCGCAATATCGGTAACCAAACTGTGTGCCGTACGTTCGTAGCTACCGTTTTCGACTTTTCGGTCTCCGCTTCCCGCTTTTCCAGGACGCAGGGGTACCGCCTCTTAAGCAGCGCCCCTGCACGGATGCCAGGGGAAAACGGTACTGGTATGTAACTATAGGGGTTAATCAATTACGATAGGATTCCTCGTGGCAAGGGCCTCCAACGGCACGCCACTGTGCTTCAGCGTCTATCCTAAAGCGGCAGCGATTCTCTTAACCCCACCTTTAGGAAAATGTACACTAAACAGCATGAAACGTGGGAACTTTGCGGCCGCCCCTACGTGTTCGCCCATGGCTCTGGGATCCCCAACCACCACAGCAGGATCCCAGGAGCGGCTGCAAGCAGCACCAACACAGACTGACAAAAGGTAAAGCTCATACTCTTGACGACCAGGCATCCGTTCACGCAGCATACACAGGGCCACACACCCGTCTTTGCAGCGGTGTAGCCTTTCTGCGCCGAAAGGTGTGGTTGGCTGAGCCACTCCTAATAATGTCAGCTGCCCTGTTATGGTGGACAAGATATTGCTGGGTACGGACCTGCGCTAACGGCCAGAGCTTATAGTACGGCATCCCGGCGTATGGTAAACGGTGTGGAAGGTACTGCGCAGGCAACTAAAGGAAAGGCCATGTCAAGACCTCACATGTGGTCGCAATTGTACGGAAACGAGTTAATGCCACGACACTTGGTGTGTCACCTTACAGTGGCAGACACAACAAAAACTATTTAAGCTATAAGAGCTTCCGATAGGAATCAGTACCTAGAAGCCCAGGTACAAGCAACGGGTTCGCTAAGAAGTTGGGTTGAGGTAATCGCACACACTGCACGCCGGGCGCCTTCACGCCCATACCATACGTGGACCAATGTTTGCACGCATACCACTAGGCGTCAGGGGTACACCGCACACCCTCCTCCTTTTCACCACTATAATGCCACCAGACTCGTAACACGCCCAGTCGCGGGCCACCCACACAGCGGTCCAGTGCCACCGGATGTCGTACCACCCACCCATATGACAGTCGCCCCCCAAAGGGTGTATCCCCTGTATATCGTAGGTACCCTAGGGAGCACACGTCTAGGAAACAACGCACGCAGCCATGTACTGATATAGAACTGCACTATATCATGACTTTTATGGGGAACACCGTGACCCATGCAGCTGTTCGTCTAAAAACGTCGGTTGCGGGTCGCAACAACGTCGGTACTCGCAAGCTACGACGCACGCACACCGCATCACATGCAGCCACATGACGTGCTATCCCGGCGGCTATCCATGCATCAGCAAAGCGTAACCCCTGGAGTGTCCACAGCAACCCAGGAATTGTTTGCCACTGCTGTGATGCTTAATGTACATCCTATACTGCCTTCACGTCTCCTCACAATACTCCTAGAGCCAAGTTAGTATAGAAGCAAGCCAGCCTTGTTACCTAAACACCATTTCACGTTCAGTTGTTCTTCTTATCGCCCGCCGAACCGGAAAAGGGGCACTTTGCTCCAGCTGCCGCTGCTGCCGGCGCGGCACCACCACCGCCGTTATGCGCGACCGGGCAGCTGCCACCACCGCCCGCACCGCACCGGCTAACGGGCCCCACAATCTTGATCTTGTCCCAAGGAATGCTGTGCTTCCGGCGCTTATGCCGGCGCTTGTGCTTGATCGCCTTCTTCTCAATGTACGACAGTTCGTACAGGTACCATATGCTGGTGACCAGGCAGACCAGCGAGCATGTGGCAGCTACACCGCCCGCCCACATGAGGCTGGTCATCTGCTCTGCCAGGTCGCGCTCAATGCCGGGAATCATCTTGCACAGCCGGGAGCCCTGGTCGGACTTGCCGTACTTGATGCATGCCACGTCGCGCAGCTGGAGGGACATGACCAGCGCGTAATTCAGTAAGTTAGAAGTTGGAAGAAGTAGGAAACTCTCATACCTAGCAAGTTGCGACCATGAGGGAGGCGGGGACCCAAACGTTCACGCGCTGCCTTCCGACAACATGGGCCGTTTGTCGTCTGCCAACTGCATGTGCCACACAATGCCCTTTAACCAACATCCCATAAACCATGTGCGCTTTTCCCAACACCGACTACGCCCCCCCCATCACATCAGCAGCCGGACCAGCAGCGCCTCCTGACCTCACCTTGGGGTCCACAACGGTTGGCCTCATCACCACCCCGCACATGACCACCAGGAAGCCCGAGTACAGCAGCAGCATGGCTGCCTGGCTGAGCAGCAGCATGCGCCGCGAGCGGTAGCGCACCGACAGCAGCGCGCCGATGAAGGCGCCGCCCAGCAGCACGCAGGACAGGAAGGCGGCGAGCGGCCAGATGCTGTTCACCAGCACGCCGACAACCTGGAGGGGAGGGGCGAGTCCAGTGGGGCGAAGAGCATTATCAGGACATGTTGCTGATGGCTGGATGTGGAAGGAAGGGACTGTCGGTTTGGCTGTCCACTGGGGCGGCGGGGCGGCATTACATAAGCATCTTCGCTACCCAGGAGTAGAAAGGCAAAGAACATGTGCTTGGACGTTGCTAGCTGGCGCAGCTCAATACCTACAAGTCGGCCTACCAAGAGTTAAGGCCTGACCGGATTTACTGCTACTCACCTTTCGCGTGGTGTTGACAGCTTGCATCGACAGGTACATGCTGAACGCAGCAGTCGCCTGTAGCATAGGGACGTACACGAATGTTTGGGTAGGGGTCTACCACGAGTACTAAATCTGCAGCCCGCAGGCACGTTCACGGGCTAACCAGCCCCTCCCAGCCTAGCCCAACCCAGAACCGCCGGCTGACGTACCAGGGAGGCGTAGGAGGACAGCACGAGCGTCTTCTCCGCGGGCGCACCGTAGCGAGCATCGTCGATCCAGGAGTTTGCACAGCTGCATGTATGGAAGGCGACATAGCGAGGGGCATGATGTGGGGTTAGGAGAAACCCCCAAGCAGCTAATTAAGCAAGGGCAGCCCCAGATATGAACCTGCGATTTGGGTTGCGCATCTCAATGCTTTCATATGCCGAACTTGCCCACCTGAGAATGGACCCCAAGGAATCCACATCGCTGTCAAGGTCCGAGAGCTCGCTGCTGCGAATCGACAGCTCGTCAAGCTCCGAATCGGTGGGCCATTCCACTTTCTTGTCCTTCTTAGACATAATTTGGTCTAACCTGCATGGGAAAAGCCACCGTGGAGTCCTGACACATAACTAACCGGACGCGGGATGTTTCCGTTATATGCATTCAGGAACAACTCACCGCTTTCGGGCTTCGGCCCTCAGGGCATCCTTCTTCTTGTTGAATTCCGCCTCACTTTTAATTTGGTTCTGCGCACCGGTGTTCGTGTATTGCTCAGCAGGAAGCAGCATAGTAAACTGCTAGGCCCTGCTTGTATGTCCGATAACCAACCTGATAGAACCAGGACACCGGATCCTTTTCGAAGTCGAACGTAAGGTCCTCAGGGTCTACCTGCAATCGTGGTTCAACGTTGTTGTGACGAAGCTTCGTAAAGGCAACCCTGAGCGGCGCGCTTTGGTGAATATGTGTACCTTCTTCTTTTTCTTCTTGATCGCTGCACCATCGCCAGCTTCGGGTTTCTCCTCCTCTTCCTTCTTGTTCTGGTCAGACGACTCTGCTTTCGCTTCCTCCTCTTCCGACTTGTCTTCCTCGCTGGTCATGTCACCTTCGTCGTCCGCATCCTCGGCGCCAGCAAACCCAAAGGGACAGGGCATTTTTATTACAGGCACAAAGGCCGTAAGGCCGACTCTACTAGCTGGGTTGACGGGATACTAGATAATTTAATCAATACGCGGATACATGATGTATATGGTCTCAATACACAAGGTGCTGTCAGCAATGTTTGGTGGACCAGTGTCTAAATTGCAACTAATGCCGTACAAGCAACACCAAACGTCGTCAGGGGAGGCATGGTAATATCTTCACTAAGTCAGACACAACCATGCTGCACTCCGACATTATCCTTGGAGGCTATATACGTTTTTAACTGCCGCGACGAGGGTTAACTGCAGTGTCGTGCGCCGCCAACTTATCCGCCCTGCAATTCTTCGACCTCTTGTGTACTTAAGGAATGGAAGAAAACCTGAAAACATTTAAACCCGACGTTGTTTGGGATCCCGAGGTGCGTACAACCATACCAACGACATGTGAATAAGGAGGAATAAAAGTTCCGGACTCCCCCCTCTCCCCACTCCACCCCTTGCCTATCTCCATCACTCTTCCCTCTGCATCATGCTTGGACCCGGCGTTCATTCGAGTCTCAGCTTTCCTTAACAAAGCCTGCCATCCCCCTTACCTCCCATGCTCCGAATCACCCCATCTTCCCCTCATCCTCTCTCCCCACCTCCTCTCCCACCCAGGTGGAGGCCTACCTGCGAGGCGCTCTGGGCTCCGAGCGCTTCCACCGCACCGCAGCGGCGCTGTGCCGGCCGCCCCGCACCACCTGCATGCGAGTCAACACACTCAAGACAAGCACGCAGGCAGGCTTGGGGGGGGGGCGCCAACCCGAGCAGCCCCGGGCACACCCGGGCCTCATGACGCCATGAGTATACAGAAGGGACTGACAACTGGATTGGGTGCTGATAGTGCTGATAACACTTGCTGATGGGAAACATTAGGGAAGGGAAACAGGGTGTGCGTGTGGATAGAGGACTTCGACCAGGGCTGCTGGGGTGCGGTCTTACGTTGCGGAGAGGGACGGGGCAGCATAACCGCTGTTGTTCCTATCGGCTACTGGTATAACGAACAACGGTCTTTTACCGTATATACAACCCAGTTAACCCGTGTATCATATCCGCCGCTCCTTTCACTCGCTCAGGCAGTGGTGGACCTCGTACGGCAGCAGCTGGGGCCCGACTGGCCCCAGGATGTCGTACAAGTGCACCCGCAGGTACGGCGCGCAGCGCGGGCGGGGTGCGGCAGGAAGTTGGGGGAAAAGCATCTGGGTTTGTGACCCAGATGCAGCTAGGTCACCAACACCACCCATATGACTTCCAGCGAACGTTGGAACTGACTGCGTCATTCATTCGCCAACGGGTCATCAACTGATCGTTTGCATGCTTAACCTCGGAGTACCGCTATGTGTCTCCGCTCCCTCCGCTTCTCACCCCACGTCGCACCCCACTTCTTCCCCACTGAGCAGGTCCCATGCGCAGTCCTACTGCGAGGCAGCGGCCCCCACGAGGTGTCGTACGAGGCCGCAGGTGCGGCGTGCAAAATTCAAGCAAACACACCACTCCCTCTTGAGCTTCATCCATGCGCGCCTCCTCACCACTACCTCGCAGCCCAGCACCCTGCGGCGCATGGCATGTCCGATTCCAACCTCCGACCCACGGGTCACGCATGCCCCAACATGCGCGCCTCCGCTCGTCAATCCGCTGAGTTCACACAGACACAAATACATCTTCCGGCAATTACAGTACGTTCCGACTCGCGGCCAGTTTCCTTAACACACACAGAGATCACAGTACGTCATCTTCCTCACTTCCACTGTGTTCACACGCTCACCGGTACCCTCCCCACTCATGAGTCGGGACATGGACTTCCCTTGCTTCACTATTCATTCTCTTCCCCCCCTCCCAGGCTGCAAGGAGGTGGTGGTGAGCCGCAAGGCGGGCGAGGCGGTGCTGCGCGGCGCCCCGGTGTATGCCCCCGGAGTGCTGGCGGTGAGCTCGGGGGTGGCGCGAGGGGAGCTGGTGGCGCTGGCGGTGGCACGGGAGCGACCCGGCAGGTGGGTCCAAGACCATACCAAACCATAGGAAACCACAGGTTAGGGCAAAGCAATGGGGGTAGGAGGCGGCAGGGTGCCACAAGACAAAGTGTTGGTTAGTATTTCCTACCGATACCGAGTCCTCGGTGATGATGAATTTTTGACGCTCCAGCGAGCGGGCGGAAGAAAGCTGGTTGTTCTAGTTGTCTACTGCCTTTATGGCTTGTATGGGTGTTGTATATGTGGGGAGTGGGGCACTGTGTCGTACGTATCAATACCGGGCAGGTGGGCCGTTAGGGCGGCTAGCGATTCGTCTGGTGCTGCTGAAGGGCTGCTTGGGGCCTGATGTTCTCATCGGATATGCTTCCCCCCTCCCTGCGTCCTTGCCCCTGCATGCAGCGACACTCCGGAGATCACGCGGGGTACGACACTGTACGAGACGGCACCTGCCGGGGAAGCTGGCAGCCGGAGGTGCCGTACGGATGCAGCGCCGACACACCTGCAAGCAGCAGCCGCGGTCGCAGGAGCTGGCACACCGCCGTCGCCACCCGAGCCCGACACGTCCGTCGCAACGCCTGCAGCAGGGGCCGATGATGCCGACGATGCTGACGCCCCTATGGCTTCATGCACCGGGGTTGACATACCGGTAACAGGCACCACTCCGCCTGAGGCCGCCACCACGGCCGGAGCATCTGCTGCTGCGGCTGCTGCTGCTGCTCAGAACGGCACCGCCTCCACCGCTAAGCGCAGACAGCGCCAGCGGCCGCAGCGCCGCGGCCCCGTACGACAGCGAGGAGGAGCGCCGCTACCCGGGGAGGTCACGGGCGACCCGGCCTCCGCTGCGGACGGCTGCAGCAGCAGCCCGGCACCGCCAGCAGCGTTGCCGTCAGCAGCAGACGCAGCAGCAGCACCTCCGGCGACGTCATCACAGGAGCCGCCTCCGCCGCTGCCACCTGGCTGGACGGCCAGTAGCCAGGGCCCGGTGGCGCCCCGCAGCGGCATGTATGTGGGGCTGGCGAGGGCGGCCATGTCGCGACAGGTGAGTTAAATTTTGGACCAAGTAAAACCATATAAAAACAGAAAAGAAAAAAGCAGGGATTCACAAGGCAGAGGGAGGGTGGGAGGGGGCCAGAGGGCGGGAGTGGAGCTCTTGCTTGCCCAGTGACTGGAGCGCCTTGGGCCATTCCTCCACTGCCTTCCTCTGCCGGCTGTGTGCTGTGTGCCCTAGGCGGTTGTTAGATGTTTTTTCTCCCTCTACGCGTTCTTCCTTTAACACCCCACCACCCCGCTACCCCAACCGCCCCCTGTCCCTCCTGCCGCCCCACCCCACCCCAGGAGATGTTCCGGGTACGTGAGGGTCTGGCGCTGCAGCTGGTGGAGCCCGTGTTCCGAGTGCCGCCCGTCACGGGTGAGGGGGTGGGGCGCGAGGGCTTGTTTTCCTTGCACGCCTTCACACATGCCTACTGGCTTGCGCACACCATGTCACCACGTCTAGTGCAGCTGCCCTGTCCTGCCAAGCTACAGAGGTGCATGCGGTGGGGTGTAGGGGCGGCTGGGCGATTTGCAGTGAGACCCATCCAACCCAAACGGAGATTTCGGCAGCCTGGGAGACAATAGCAGAGGTCGCATTGACGCTGCCGACACGACCCGCACCCCTCTCTAACCTCTAACCCCCAGCTCAACCCACCTCAGCCCGCCTTTCTTGACCCTTACCCCGTACTCTAGTTGTTTGCATTAATTTCCCCCCTTTACCACATTGGGTATTCTCCTTCCCCTCCCCCTTCCTACCACCCCCAGCAGGCCTGCCTCCCGGCTGGGTGATGCTGCAGAACCTGCCCAGCCTGGTTGCCGCCCTGGCGCTCAGCCCCGACCCCGGCAGCCGCGTGCTGGACATGTGCGCGGCGCCGGGGGGCAAGACAACCCTGCTGGCGCAGATCATGGGGGACGAAGGGGAGGTAGGAAACAACTGACTGACCGTGTGATAAGACGTTAGCGTGGTTTGCAATAAGTGAAGGGAAGACCGGTGTGGGTGTGGGTGCTAGAGCTGGTGGCTTGGGTAGGAGTGGGGTCCTGGATGGACGGTCTGCCTGGTTTGCCTGTCGCGCCCTTCCTCCGCATGCACATCGTCGTGTCTGTCAGCAGCGTTGCACACCGACAGGGCACACCGGGTCCGCCGCCTGCCGTGCTATCCGGTATCCGTGGACGTCTACTGCTCCAACCCGCCGCCACGTGCTGCTCCACTGAGCCGTGCCGCCCCTCCCCTCCCATCACTCCCACCTCACCTCCCACCTCACCTCTCAACCACCTCCCACCTCCCCTTCCCTCGCCCCCTTCCACTGCTGCTGCCAGATCGTGGCCTTCGACCGCACGCACGCCAAGGTGTCCGAGGTGGTGTCCCTGGCCCGAGAGCTGGGGGTCACATGCATCACCGCACACAAGATGGATGCGGGCAAGGCGGTGGAGCTGCCCCCACCCGCCTCGGATGCAGCCGTGTCCGTACCCGCAGCTGGTACTGGTGCTGGTGCTGCCACATCCGCAGCGGCGACGAGGAGGGGCGGAGAGGGACCCGTGGGTCGCGCCAACGGGCAGGGCGGACTGGGACCCAATGACGCCCATCCAGGGCCCCAAAACGGACCTGAAGACGGCGCTTTATCCTCTTCTCCTTGTACGGCAGTTCAGGAAGGGACAGAAGCTGGAGGGGGGGCTACGGGTGGCGATGCAGCAGTGGCAGTAGCAGCGCCGTCGACAGCAGCGGAGGCAGCACCTGCAGCAGCAGAACCTGCATTATCATCAGCACCTGCAGCAGCAGCAGGAGTGGGGGCTGGGGGCGCTCCCAGCCGGCCTCAGCCGTCTGCCAAGGCGTTGCAGCGGGAGGAGCGGCGGCGGGCGGCCATGATCAAGCGGGGCATCACGCCGCCGCCGTCGCCCTTGGAAGGTACGGCACGCGGGCAGTGACCCCCAATGAGGTCTTGTACGGGACCGGGAGGGGGAGGTGCAGAAGGGGTTGCAGGGCGAGAGGGGAGAAGAGCATTGCGTGGATGCCATAGCTAGATTGGTCTCTGTGTGCTTGAGACCTCAGGCCCTTGGCTCGCACTGCTTCCATCACCAGCTCACTTGCTGCCCTGACTGCAGCTTCCGTTCACCCTCTCCACCTTCCCTACCTTCCCCGCTCACCCCTCCCTTCCCTTCCACCTCTTCCCTCGCCTCCATCCCACTGCAGCCGCCTCCCAGCGCCCCCACCCCGCCGCCTACCCGCCCGAGTCCTTCGACGCGGTGCTGCTGGACGCGCCCTGCTCCGCGCTGGGTCTGCGGCCGCGGCTGCAGCAGCAGGCCTCCGCCGCCTACCTGCGGCAGTGTGCGGCGGCGCAGCGGAGGCTGGTGGATGCTGCGGTGCAGCTGCTGCGGGTGGGCGGCTGCCTGGTCTACTCCACATGCACCATCAACCCGGGTGCGGAGGAGGGGTGTGGGGGGTGAATGCCGTGACATTGAGAGAATGATAAGCGGTGTGGGAGTTGATACCGGTAGAAGAAGGGGTGTGGGAGTTGACACCGGTAACAGGGAGGGGTGTGGTTTGGTGGGCGTTTAGTGTGGTGCGGAGCGGGTTGGGGAAAAGTGCATGAGGGGGCGGGCGTCGTTGAGAGTGGAAGCGGGAAGGAGAATGGGTTCTACGCTGCGCTCGGTCGCTAGCACAGCCCAATCTTACCTTTCCACTTGTGCTTTACGGTGTACGGCAGGCGAGAACGAGGCCATCGTACGATACCTGCTCGACAAGTACGGCAGCAGCTTTGAACTGGTGCCGGCGGGGCCTCCCTTCCTGGGCGGCCCGGGCCTGGTGGGCCGGCACCCCAGCATGCACGAGGCCGGCAGGCCCCTCAGGGCTGAGGCTGCGGAGGCAGCGCTGGCCGCGTCCGAGGAAGGCGGTCATAGTACGACCAGTACGACACATGAGAAGGCGGGCAAGGAGGAGGAGGAGGAGGAGGAGCTGGGTGAGGCCTGGCTGAGCGCCGAGGAGGCGTCGCGTGTTCAGCGGTTCGATCCCTGCGACCCGCAGCTGGACACCATCGGGTTCTTCGTGGCCAAGTTTCGCAAGCTGGCAGCCGTGCCGCTGCTGGGGTAGGGGGGGGGGTGCATGGCTGTATGACGGCATGGGGGGTGGTATGTGCCCTCAATGGGGTGGGTTGGTGAAGGGGTGGTGCACAGGGCCCCATGTCGGGGGTCACAAGGGTTAATGTGAATGTGGGGATGGAGCTGGCGGATGATGATTGGCCTCGGAAGCACCGGTATGACGTGTATGGAGCAAGATCGAGGTCTAAGTTCAGGGTGGGGTTTGGATACCGGTATAGCTGAAGCGTCGTACTTACAGTTAATACCTCGAAATAAAAATGACAGATAGGTGCTTGGCGGCGACACACACCTGTGAGCACACACGGCATGCGAACTTGTGAGCTATTGCGACGTATGATTGTGTGATTAATCATTGCCACCCAGGCACACCGCGTGATGCGCGCTAGGGCGCGGCTGACTTTACATACCTCGGAAAGGCCGTACGAACTGCCACCGTTGTCATGGCGCTGCATGACTGCTTTTGGATCAAACGCTGAAAACGTGCGCATTGCTGCCGCGTGTTACGCCTACTACCGTACAAGGTACTGGATGTCCTCGTACCTCACCACAACAATGGAAGTGCCCCGGAAAGCAACACACGACACTGGACTTTACCAATGCAAGGTCGTCATATGACTAGGCTTGCTTTACGGACTCTCCCATTACTCGCAGATTTAAGGTTGGGATTCTCACTCGTGCTCTCTTCCTGAGAGCTGCGCTAACAGGCAAACATTTATATGTATATTGATAGCAGCTGGTCGGGCCCCAGCGCAAAGCGGTCTAGGACTGAACGGCACTAAAAGCTCACTTCCAAAGCCTGGCTTTCACCGCGCACGCTGGCAAGGTCATGAGCTCATAACAAAACACATGGAGGCCACTCGGAGGCCTTCAGCCGCGCACGAGTGGCTGTGGTGGCGTCTCAGAGACACTAGCCACTAGATGTGAAGACCCGGAAAAACAGCCAGGACTAGCAAGGACCACCTGCCAGTCCAGCGCCACGCCCCTCCTGCACATAACTCTGTTAGGTAGGACTGCACATCGTCTCCCTCCTGCACATAACTCTGTTAGGTAGGACTGCACATCGTCTCGCCAACACTACCCCTCGGTACACGCTGCTCACCATTTGAGTGAGTACGGTACTACGGAATCACGTACATGAATGAATGACCGTTACAATGGTGCCCTAAAAGGGAACACGGGTGATGAACCCAACCCTACATTGCAAAAGAAACGGAACAAACCGTAGAGACAGCACCACAACGAGCCAACAAGATGGGAGACAGAGCCCTAAAAGAAACCACAGGAGGGAAACAAGAGGGTAGAAGCCAAAAAAGGCCCCTCAGCAAACCTCGACAAACCTCATCTAGGGCATAAGACAACCCAAACCGGAAGCCACGAACACACCACCCCAAAGACAGCAGGGCCAAAAACAGGACGCTCAACGGCCCACAGAAAACCGCCCGCCAACAATACGTAAGAAAGGATGAGAAGGGCCAACCCCAGCCCATCCCCGACGGGGAACACCCAAACAAGCAAAACCCCGAAGCTGACCCCAGAACCAGGAAACAGCAGACAGGGCCACCACATCAGCAAGCCCAGGCACAACACCCGCAGAACCGGACTCACGTACACGAGCCCGTAACAACCGCCGACCCTCCTCCATAGCGGACAAAGCAGCCAAAACAACAACATCCCAAACGCACTGCTGCACGCCCGAAGGAGGCAACGCCAACCACAAGGCAGCCCGAGGAACCGCAACACCCAGCGTGACCTCAAGCTGCTCAACCACAGCACGAGCAACAGGACAAGCCCAGAAAAAATGCAACCGCGGAGACACCCCCAAGACAACGGACCCACAACCACAACATTCCGGACGAGCATATCATATTGCACTACTAAGGATATCGCTCTTCTTGGGGAAAACCACCGCAAGCATTATCAATTACAATGCACGCCGGCCATTATGAAGAGGGCATTCAATGCCCGACAGCACTGACTAATAGCGGAATAACAAAACGTTTAACGGCCGCGTACGCCCCCCCCTGCAGCGCTATCCCCCTGCTCCTATCCCCATTGTCTTGCCCCAACCTGTGGCTTTCTATGGTTCGGTATGGTCTTTGACCCCCCCTGCAGCGCACGCCACTCCAATCCGCTCCAGGCGGAACGTCTTACATCAGACCATGCCAGGACACGGTATGGCCCCGGATCCATGGCCCTGACGGCCGGGCAGGAACGCCAGCAGCGGCATTGCACGGCAACCCATCCTCCTCACACGTCCCTTTGGCAACTGAACTGCACCATTGACCACTACGTACGGCTAGCCATGTGTCCACCTAGCCCACCACCCACTTTCGCCTCTTGCTTCCACCTGGCCCTCCACCAACTTTCGCCACTGGAACCGGATGCCCGTCAGACAGCGCTCGCCCGTATAGCCGCCAATGGCAGCAAGCTCGTAGCCCACTTTGCCCGGTCCCGGTTCCTCGAACACCTGACCTGCCTGCTGCCCCTCACCACCGCCTCCACCCGCCCTGAACTCCCGGCCGCTGCTGGTCACAAACACCAGCTGCTGCACCTTGCCGGCGTCTAACCGGACCCGCACCTTGCGCACCACCTCACCCTCCGCCAGGACCGCGCCGCGTGTCTGGAGCTCTTTCGCACGATCAGCCGTTGCCAGGACCAGGCGGGAGGTCTCGCGCTGTGCCTCGCGGTCCCGCACATAGTCCCAGCCGTGCACCCCTGCGGGGGCGAACAGGTAGCCGAGCTCCAGCGACCCCACACGGCCCTCATGCGTGCCGACCTCGATGGACGTGATGGGGCGGCCGTTGGGCGTGTCCTCGAAGGGCGTGCTGCCGTCTGCCTGGGTTCCGTACAGAGGGCTCCACTCGTAGTCCGCCGTCCGTCCTGTGCGGTTGGGCAGAAACACACAAAGAGTGCGGTCATGAGGCCTTGACAAGGTTGGAACTTGAACTGCACACGCAGATATGACCCATGCGACCTGCCAGCAATCCTAGTATTCATGGGCCTTCTGTATTAAGGTTGAACATCATGCAAACCTGCGTAATGCCACTCTACCTCCATACGTGTCCTTTGTCATTCATCACAACCCGACCTGGACCAACAATACCGGTACGCGTTGTGACATTGGGTATGCACCATGCACCATAGATCGGGGCACCCTACCGGGGTTGACTGGGTCGGCATATTGCCATGCCCGCGCGGGAGCCGTCATCGCCCACAGCTCCTGGGACAGCTTGGTCAGCACGGAGCTGCGGTGCGCGCAGTACGCTGCTTCCACCTCGAAGAATGCTTCAGGGTTGGAATCAGAGGTCCACCAAAAGATACGCGTGTGAAGTTTGAGCTGACCTATCGAAAACCGTGTATCGTGCTCATCCCATGCCCTGTACCAGTATGTGGAGGTAAAGTTTTCACAGTCGTAGCGACTATCCTGCTTGATGAACCCATCCCGCCATGCCATGACGGCGCGGACACGCTCAGCACACTCGTCGCGGTAGGTGTTAAGTATGTCCCGTAGCTTTTTCATCTTCTCCTGCTCTGACGGGTTATCCTACAAGCGTGGGGTTGGCACCAAGGGCTCGGGTCAGGCAGTGCATACCGCCTGGGTGCCAGCCAGGCAACGGAGATGTACGTCCCAACGTAACCAGTAGGCTGACGGACTATCAAGGAGAGTTGTCATACCCATATCAAGGAATGCTACCATGTATCCGCCGAGAGTGAGAAACGCCGCTGCATGCCTAGCTGGCACCGGTACAGGTGATGAAAATAAACAAACACACGGCAGCACAGCAGCATGGACATTCTGCCCTGGCGGGGCCCATCCCGAACCCGAACCCATCCCGAACCCTGTGCCGTACACCCTGCTGTGCCGTACCGCTTTGAACAGCTCCCGGTAGTGGTCGAGCTCCTGCCTGCGCGCAACCAGCTCGAAAGTCCCGAGCGCCACCAGCAGGGGCAGGGCCTTGTAGTCGACAAGACCGTCTCGAATGGCCTCGTACTTTTCAGACTGGACGAGGCGGCTGCGCAGGAGTGTGATCAGGGTGTTAACCTTGTTGAACTGGTCCCGCTTCTGGGGGTCCGTCATGGCCATCTTGCAGTACTCCCGGAACTCCTGTGCCAAGCCTACACAGTGTGGGATCGGTTTAGGGACCATCACATGCGGGTACCGGTACGTGTGCCTGCAGTAGATGCGCGCCCTACGCCTCCGCAGGGCCGGGCCAGCCTAGAGTGAACCTTGGCAACCATGAAACTGGGCAACTTGCTGTCCGTTATTGTATGCTAGCAGTGCGATGCTGCGGCACCATGGAACAATAAGATATTGCGCAGCTGTGTCCGCAGCATCGCATGCTAGCTTAATAGGGACAGGAGCCTGGGACATCGCGCGCGGGACATGTTAACGTGCAACAACGCGCAAAGCTGCTCATTGTCGAAACACCTTTGCTGATGAGATCGCTTGGGTCTGGTACGCACACACACACACCTTTAAACTGGTCCTTGAGTTCCAACGCAAACTCTGCCCTCTCTTCGTTCCGAAGTTCATTGTAGAACGTGTCCAGCTGCTCTTCCAGTGTTGCCTCCACGCTGGTCCACAAGACGCTGAAGGCAGACGACAAGAGCGGGACGTTTCCCGCGAGTTCCCCGACCACGTTCTTGAGGAAGTCGATCAGCACGTTTTCACTCCTGTGGGGCAGAGAAGCAAGGGCCAAGCATGGGGAGAGGGTTTCGTGTCTACAAGCAGTCTATGGGCTGAGTTCTTTGCATGTATCTTACGTTCTACCGTGACCACCGGGGACGTGCCGGCCCACTGTCCACACGTGCTCTTCGCCTGCACACATTGCACAAAGTAAAGACAGGAGGAGTCGGGGTTCCCTCTTCTGTCATTTGGGTGATACATGTGATCGCATTTCGGAAGAACGGGCACAACAGCTGCCTGCGGGTATGGTAGGTACCTATTCGCTTTTTTATTCGCTACGATAGTTGACGTACCAGGCAGGTCTACCGTCGGCTCCAACGGCGCGGCCCCTGGTGAGGGGTTGCGTTTCCATTCCAACCTAGGTGCAAGATAGTTATAAAGGAACCCAACGAGACGCCGGTAGGCAGCGCGTATTATGTGAATCATCTGCCGAGCTTCTTAGAGCTTGTAAGAGTTGCACTGCTTTCGCTTGCAGGGGGCGTGCCGAACTCAAAAGACGTATGGATGGTCCCAAACACCAGACGATTTTGCTACAAAGCTGCTTTTATCTGTGTGAAATCTACGGTTTGGACCACAGCCCATGCACGATAACTGATAGGTGCGGAAGGCAGAGTCATATGTCAGATCTCAGATGTACGGTTTCTTGGTTTCTTTTTTGTCGTGCGGTGCATGAGCCTTCTGGCTCAAGCCATAGAGCTGTAAGAATTCAATTCAACTTTACAAACGCGATGGTAGCGGTAATGGTACACTGTGCATGGGATGTGGGCAAAGTGCGCCTTGCTCCCGTGTGTTACGTAAGCCTTAACGCAGGTGACCTAGGAAGAAATTACAAATTACAAAGAGCTGATTGCATCGGAATGCAACAAGCGACCGTGCAATGCATGTCTGCACCGGTCCAAGGACGGCGTAGGACTACTGTGGACAGCCTTGTTGACCCCATCGCGGTGTAACACTGCATGGAACCAAAGTCGAAGCCTGGCATGCACGGTAGCCTGTACACGCTTGCGAAGCCATGACGAACTTGTTTTGGCAACACCGACGGATGCTCGCGCACGAGTGCGGTATGCCTCAGAGCCGCTAGATGTAAACAAATGCAGCACACATTATGCATTTTAGGCGCAGTCCCGAATACTTCAATCCTGCCAAGCTCCTGCTACAAAACAGCGAATAGGAAATAGACCATACTCCATTTATCGGGCAATTGCAAGCTGTTAATAATTTACAATAGTACTTCCTCAGTCATGTACAAGGATACACCACACAGGGTTCAGCAGTTATTGGAAAAGCGCTCAGAGCGGAGTCCTGACTCAGACTAGTAGCAGCAGTCGAAACTCTCTGAAGAGGGCATTGAAATACTGACAAACTACCCCTGCTCGCGCACGCCATGCCGCTCCACTCCAGCGCCTCGCCGTCAGGATGCACTACCAGCAGTGGCACCGCACAGCTACCCGCCATCCACCCCCCTACTCCCCGAGCTTGCAACAAAACTGCACCATTAACCAATAGGTACGGCTAGCCATGCCCACCTAGCCCTCCGCCTGCGTCCGCCAAAGGAACCGAATCCCAGTCAGGCAGCGCTCGCCCGCATACCCTTCCACACCAGCGAGCTCGCAGCCCTCTCCGCCCGACTCCCCCACCTCCTCATCAGCGCGCAGGCCCTCACCACCGCCTCCACCTCCCCTGAACTCCCGCCCGCTGCTGGTCACAAACACCAGCTCCTGTACCTTGCAGGCCGCCCGCACCCGGACCCGCACCTTGCGCACCACCTCACCCTCCGCCAGGACCAGGCGGGAGGTCTCGCGCTTCGCGTCACTGTCCCGCACATAGTCCCAGCCGTGCGCCCCTGCGGGGGCGAACAGGTAGCTGAGCTCCAGCGACCCCACACGGCCCTCATGCGTCCCAACCTCGATGGACGTGATGGGGCGGCCGCTGGGCGCGTCCTCGAAGGGCGTGCTGCCGTGCACTTGGGTTCCGTAGAGAGGGCTGGGCTTGTAGGCCGGCCCACCTTCTGGGCGGTGGGGTAAAACACATGAGGCGTGTGGCCATGAGGCCGTGGTTATAGACCGGGAGTCTGAAGGCTCTGGATGACTGTAAATGGTATTCAATGGCGCGCGCATCCAGCCACTAGTTATTATATTAGAATATTACCAATGGAAAGCTGATTGAGTAGTGTCGCTCAGTAGTGTCACTTTCACAGGACGTCTCAGGTGACACGTACACACCAGATGCAGGGCAGCTTACCGGGGTTGTACGGCACGGCAGAGTCGGTATACTGCCATGCTCTCGCAGCAGCCATCATCGCCCACAGCTCCTGGGAGAACTGTGTCAGCGCAGAGCTGCGCCGCGCGTGGTACGCTGCCTCCGCCTTGGCACGTGCGTCCGGGTTGCTGTCTAAAGTCCAGAAGAGGAGGAAAGGAGTGACCTGCCTATTCTCATGTTGGGACCAGCCCTTGTCGTACGCGTCCTTTGCGCTGTACGTGGTCGAAGTCAGATTAATTGTGCCGGCGGCTGACGTTCCCAGCTTGATGAACCCTTCCCGCCATGCCATGACGGCAAGGACACGCTCCGCACACTTGGCGCTGTAGATCTTGATCGTCTCGCGGATGTTGGCGATCTTCGCTTGCCGCTCCTCCTCTGACGGAATGTCCTGCAAGCGCCGGGTTGACAACCATGGGCCCAAACCGGTTACACAAGCACACGGCAGCACAGCAGCGTGGAGGACTGGAGGTGCGCTCTTTCCTGGCGGGACCCATCCCGAACCCTGTGCCGTACACCCTGCTGTGTCGTACACCCTGCTGTACCGTACCGCTTTGAACAGCTCCCGATAGTGGTCGAGCTCCTGCCTGCGCACAACCAGCTCGAAAGTCCCGAGCGCCACCAGCAGGGGCAGGGTCTTGTAGTCGACAAGACCGTCCCGAATGGCCTCGTACTTGTCAGACTGGACGAGGCGGCTGCGCAGGAGCGTGATCAGGATGTCGACCTTATTGAACTGGTCCCGCTTCTGGGGATGGTTCATGGCCATGTTGAAGTATTTGCGCGCCTCCTGTGCCAACACTGCATGCACAGTGTGAAGGGACACGAACACAACCGGCAACGTTACAGGTCCATCTCAGTGTTGGTAGTGGACCTGGTCCAAGCTTGCGGCACACGCTAATGCACACCAACCTTTGAACTGGTCCTTCAGGTCCAGTGCAAACTCTTCTCGCTGCTCATTGCGGATTTCGTCGTACAGCTTGTCGAGCTGCTGTCCCACTGTTTCCTCCATTGCCATCCAAATTACGCTGAGGAGGGACGACAAAAGCGGGACTTCTCCTGCAAGTTCGCTGCATATGGACTTGTAGAGTTCGAGTACGATGTCTCCCATCCTGTCCGGCAGCGTTGCAAAGGTTGAGCGTGGCGCAGAAGGGCTAGCGGCGGCAGTTAGCCCAAGGGGCTTATCCCTAGCACAGCAGGTCTTACGTGACACCGCCGTCGGGGACATGCGGGCCCACGTGCGGTGCGTGCTCGTTGTTTCCTGCGCACAAGGCATTCCAGACAGGCAAGAATCTTTAGGATTGGCGAGAGATTGGGTGGGTGTTTCGCGGGCCTTGAAGCCAGCTTTGGAAAAGCAGGTACAAAGACAGTAAACGACGGGGATCACTGTGCATGCGCAGCTGTCTGGGGCCACAGGAAATCGGCTTCCTGTTCGCTGCGATGCTGGACCTACCAGCTAGGTACGCCTCGCCTATGGCCTGCTCCAACGGCGCACCATCTTGTACGGGGCCGTCCATCGTTTACAGCAACAAACTAACAGTTTGGCAAAAATGTATGCCTTCAATATTGCAGGCTTAGGAAAACTGAATCAAAGCAGCTCAGAAGCTAACAAATGCTACCAAAGAGTGATGTAAACTCCTTCGCTTAGTGCTTATTATACCGGTAATTAAACTTTTCTATCTGAAGTATGCTCTCAGGACGGCATGTACGGAAAGCAGGTAGGTTGACTAAATTGACTGGCGCAAATATCCAACGCAAAGACTGTTACCGGTGCGGCTGAGTAAAAGCCATGTTCCGATGTAACCAGACTTTAGCGGTGTTGGGAAGCGCACAGCGTGTGGACCATGGGTCGCCAACTCCATATGTATGGCTTCCTTGCCGTGACTGAACCAAAATGTTCACCGGCTTCACCGGCCTGACGTGAACTTTGTTTACATTACACGTACGCTAGTGGAAGGCGTATGGCCCAAGCCGTAGCATGAGCCAAGCTCTGGCGTCCATAAGATTTGCGAGTTTGGTTCATTGGGCGCAGCCATCCAGCCAACGCCTCCTTTAATTCAGCAGCCTCTTAAGGAAATGCGCCATCGAAAGATACCTAGGGCTTAAGCATGCTTCTATTTGTCATATTCTCGCCATCTGCCTTAAGAAACATGTTGACAAACACCTCTCCATCAGCTCCTGCTTCCTGGAGGCTCCTAACAGGGCCCCGAGACCCCGAAGCGAGCTAGACACGTATCTGATCTCCGTGATACGCAATGCTCGAACCGGAGGCATTCAAGGGTTTTGAGGAAAGAGGATCCAGGCGTGTACTTCAGGGAGAAGGGCCAGCGACCACGGCGATGTACGGAAAGCAGATCCCGGACATTTGCCTGGACACCGTTGAGCGGGAGTGGATCCTAAGGATGGTGAGAGCGTGCTTGGTCACGCAACATACCGGTAGCTCCCCTTTTAGCCGGCCTATCTCCATACTGGAAGCTTTATACCGGTAAGCAATCCTTTGCACCTGAGCTGCTCTTGAGTGATTGAATGGCCGTCCTCACATTCCGCACTTGCACGGTGCCCCAGACCATGCTGCCGTGTCGTCGTGTTGCTCTGTGCCAAGCGCAGATGTCGTGCTAGGGACCTGACCTGCCGAAACCCTGTGTCCTGGGCTTTTGTGGACCTATAGGTATGGCCATCAGGTGGCTGGGAGCCTCGTCCATACATAGCTAGAGCACGGCACAGCAGCTGCTAACCAACCCTGCATGGGCGCTTGCAAGTCCGTACGTGCAACCAATTTTTATATTGCATTTTACTAAGCAAACTGCACGGGACAATGATAGCAGAAGCTGTATATGGGGATAAGCAAGGATGATAAGCGCATTGTCCATGGAACTTCAGCGGTCGCACCGTGTAACTAACAGAAGCTACGGTGGCACAAGGGCTTAGTGATATATCTGTATGGAACTAGCACTTCCACGCTGATTTTGGTGGCAACAGGTAGGTAGTCGGCATCCAACGCGAGGCGAGCGACGTGCCGACAATCGGTGAAAGCCGATGGCAGGCAATAATGATAACCAGTTCTTCTCTTTACTGAACAGCAACGGACAGGTGGGCGGACCTTAGACTACAACGGGAAAAGCTGATCAATTCGCATCTCCTCGGCAATTGCTCCTTTCTGACGCTCTCCTTCAACTCGGGTAACGTCCTTTTCGCTTACAGGGATCTCTCTCCGGCAACCTAACCAGCCTCGGTTCAAGCGCTCTGGAAGCCGCTGCTGCTGGAGCCGGTGCGGTGTACGACGCTTTGACCAGCTATGCCTCCGCGGGCGGAGCCCAACCTGCCCAGGACTGGGTGCCTCTAGAAGGTGATGGCCATCCCGTGAGCAGCACAGCTGCTGTCGGCCCCACGTCATCACCCGCCACCGTCCGCTTGCCCGCACGGACGGCCTCCGTGCCTTTCAGCCCACCCTCATGGGCGTCCCCACGCCCAGCAGCCGCACCCGCACATCCTAGATCTCCCCTGGGACCCGCGCTGTTCACCTCCGCGGCGTCTTCACCCGCACCCTCCACGCCAGCAGCGCAACGAGCCGCAGCGCCAGCACTTGCACCGGCCGCCGCCGCAGCGCCGTCATCATCAGCAGCAGCAGTTCCCGCTGTGGCTGCTGCTGCTGCCGGTGCATCCTCCACTAATGGCGCCGATGACACGGACGACTTGTTCGCCGGGCTGGAGGTAGATCCCGAGGTGCCACCCTTCCCCCTGCCGCGCACCGCACCGCCCCGCTCACCACCCCGCCCCCAGTGTGCACACCTCCCGCCCGCCGCAGCTGTACCCGTAGCATTACCGTTGTCGCCGGCACACCTGCCGCATCAGCCCCTGCAACAGCCTCCTCAGCAACAGCCTCCTCTGCCAGTGCGGACAGGGCCAGCTTACCCCGCCACGCAGCCACCGGCGCTCCCAAGCCCACCCGCACCGCGGCAATTGCTGCCCACCGCGCAAAGCAGCAGCGCCCTGCCGTTAGGCGACCTCCTGGGTGAGGACCTCTTCTCCGGACTCACCGCTGTCGCCGCTGGCCCGGCTGCCGGCCCACCACCGCCAGCACAGGCCGTACAGCTGCCGCCACCGCCGCCTCCGCTGCCACTGCCACTACCTCAGCAGCAGCAGCGGCAGCCTGTACTGCAGCAGCAGCCGCAGCCGCAGCCTGAACTGGACGACTTACTCGGTGGCGTTGCCCTAGGGGCTGCATGGGCGGGTGGGAGCTTGTCTGCGCAGGTCAGTCGGCACGTGGGTGCAGTGCCGGCAGCCGCACTGCAGCAACAGCAGCGGCAGCAGTCAGTTGACCTTCTGGGGGACCTAGAGGAGCTGCTGGCAGGGCCGCCGGTAGCGGTAACGGTACCGGTGGCGGGGTCGGGGGCCGTAACCTCGGTACCGTCGCTTGACGTCGTCTGTGCCCTACCAGAGGGCGACAAGCAAGCGGCAGTAGCAGCGGAGGCCGGCGGGCTGGTGGCAGGGGGTGCTGTTGCTGACCGTGAGGTGGCAGCTGGGGAGGCAGGCGAGGTCGGGCGGGGCGGCAGTGGCACCTTGGAGTGGGGGGACCTGGAGTGGGTGGCTGCGCAGGAGGAGGCAGCGGAGGAGGCACCAGCTGCTGCTGTGGGGAGCGGGTTAAGGATAGGGCAGGACGGGGGCGCAGCGGCTGCGATCATGCCAGGAGAGGCCGATACGGTGGCGGGTGCTGCGGACCGGATGACCGGTGGTGCAGCAGCAGCACCCGCGCATGCGGCAGCGGCCGTTGCAGCGGCGCCTGCAGATGAGGTCATGATGGGGGAGGCGGGGAAGGAGGAGGCGAGGAGGGGAGCGGAGGTGGTGGAGGATGAGGAGGCGGGGGAGAGCACGCAGGCGGCCGAGCAGCAGCCTATGGACAGGCAGTGCGGCGGGCGGTCGCCGGTGCCGCTGGAGCCCCCGGCAGCCGCCGAGTCGCCGCCCGGGGACACCCTGAACGCGAAGGGGATTGCAGCAGAGGAGACCGGGACGACACCGGCAGCAAGCGTCCTGCAGACTGAGGATGCTGCTGCTGAGGGTGAGGCTGAGGGTGAGGCTGAGGGTGAGGGTGAGGGTGAGTCCGGCAGCGGTGCAGGAGGAGGTGCAGCGGGGTTGGCTGCGGCACCTGCGGCGGATGCTGCCCCTGCAGCACTGCATGGCAGCGTAGAGGCGGAGGCTGCTGCAACCGGACTGGTGCGGAGTGAGGCGGGAGGCGAGCAAGCCTGGGAGGCGGAGGAGCCGGCCGCGGTGCCGCTGCAAACTCCTCCTGAGCCCTCAGCCGGCGGAACAGTGGATGCAGCGGCTGCAGCGGCGGGGGAAGTGGAGGGAGCAGCAGCTGCTGTTGGCGTGCCGAGGAGGTTACAGCAGGCGGTGGAAGCAGGACAGGTTGCGCCTGGCACCGGCACAGATGTTCCTGCTGAGGGCGACTTTGGCGGTTGGGAGCAGCCGACACCGCAGGGAGCTGAGGAGCAAGCCAGCGGAGGTAGCGGTAGCAGCGGTGTTGAAGGCATCACCGGGGAGGACTGGACGGATGCACCCTGGGCTACGGCGGCTGAGGCAGCAGTAGCGTCTCTTCCACACCCCTGCGTTCGTACATGCTCAGCTGAGGGCGCTGCGGTTGGCATGATGAGTAGCGGCGGAGCGGCAGCTGACTCAGACATAACTGCAGCTGTTGTCATGTCGCTTGACTCCTTAACTCCCCAGGCAGCTGCGGAAGCGGCGGCGGATACCGCCTTTGAGCCCACAACGCACTCGCAGCCCTCAATTCAATCGGAGCCTCCAATCCAAGCGGAGCCTCCAACGCAATCGCAACAGCAGCAGCGGCTTTGTAATGAGCCGCAAGCGGCGGACGGGGACGTCAGCCATGTCGTCGCTGGGTCAGCAGTTGAGGGGCTGGCAGCGGACAGGGATGCAGACCTTGCAGATCTCGTGGCAGAGGCGCATGAGGAGTTGGAGGCAGCGGCTGGTGAGGTGGCGGCGGCGGCACAGGCAACAATGGAAGATGCAGGTGGCGCCGCCCCCGCAAGGCCTGAAGCAGGGACTGCTGAGCCGCTGCAGCCGCCGCCGCCGCTACACGATGAGGAGCCAGCGGCAGGGGAGGAAGCAGCGGCGGCGGGTGAGGCAGTACATGCCGAGGTTTCGGAGGCCGCCTCGTCCTCCGTCGTTTCCGTTGTTGACATTGTGTCGAAAGTTGACGGCGCTGTCGCCCCAGAGGACCTCATGCTTTCGGAGGCAGAAGATGCCGCTCTTGCCGAAACTCCCACCAGCTACATCACTGCACCTGATGCAGCTACTGCTGCTGCTGCTGCTATGGCGGCGGTAGCGACGGCGGACAGCTCCCACCCCATCGCAGCCTCTGATACACGGGCGGACGGCGCTGACGGCAGCACTGGGTCGGCAGCTGCTGAGAGTCATGGCGCCTCCTCTGCTGCCATCTTGGCCCCTTTGGAGACTGGTGCAGCCGCTGCGCAGGAGGAGCAAGGAATGGCGCTGCCCGGGCGGGAGGCAGCGGTGCGGGAGGAGGAGGAGCAGCAACAAGAGGAGCGACGAGAGGAGCAGGGGGAGCAGCCGCCCGCCGCACCCTCGCCTGCAGCAGCAAACACTGCAGCCACAGTCGCAGGCGCTGTCGTCTTCGCACCTGCTCCTTTCATGTACATCCACCAGGAGGGGCAGGAGGGGGGGGAGGAGACAACCAACGTCGTGTCGCAGCCGCCGCCAGCGATCGCAGCTGCCCTCCCACCAGCAAGGGAGCAGCAGGGAGAGCTCCATCACTCGCTGGTAGGGACCGCAGGTGGTAATGAGGGCGGCGCAGCGACAACTGCACCTGCTGCTGCTACGGAGGCAGCGTCTTCTGGTGTTGCTGCTGCTGCTGCTGCTGCTGCTACGGAGGCAGCGCCTTCTGGTGTTGCTGCTGCTGCTGCTACGGAGGCAGCGTCTTCTGGTGTTGCTGCTGCTGCTGCTGCTACGGAGGCAGAGGAGGCGGCGGAGGCGGTGATGGCGATTCTGGGAGAGGTTGGGGCTGATGACTATCCGGAGCCAGTAACCCACCCGGCGGCGGTGGAGGCGCCAGCCCTACAGGAGGTGCCGGTGACCCCGCTGATGCCAGTGGGTAGCAGAGGGGTGTCGCAGGCGGAGTTGGGGGAGGCATTGCCGCGGCTGGAAATGGAGGAGGAGGCGGAGGAGTCGGCTGGGCAGTCGAGCGCGCTGACCGCCGCCGCTGCAGGGGCGCCGGAGCAGCCTGAGGTGTCGGAGCCGGTTGATGTTGTTGCGGCACCGGCAGCTGCAGAAGCAGCAGCAGGAACAGCAGATTCCGAAGCAGCAGCAGGAGCAGCAGCTTTGCGGCGGGAGGGCCCTGTGCCACCCGAAGAGGCGCCGGAAACGTCAGAGAGTGATGTGGGTGCTGTGGATTCGGCAGCGCTTCCAGACCTGCTGGATACAGAGGTTGCGGAGGCGAGGTTGGAGGCGGAGGCGGGTTTGGAGGCGGAGGCGGGTTTGGAGGCGGAGGTCGGGTTGGAGGCGGAGGTGGGGTTGGAGGCGGAGGCGTGGCCGGAGGCGGAGGCGGGAATAGAGGCCTTGAATGTGGCGCAGAGGCCGGCTGAGGTGGTGTTGCAGGGGGGTGAGGGTGAGGCGGCGGAGGGCGAAGGGGGCAGCCAAGGCGAGGCAGGGCAGGTTGTGGCCGCGTCGTCGGTTGGTGATGTGGAGGCGGCAGGAGAGCAGCTGCTACCGTCGACGGAATTAGAGGAGGAGGAGGAGGCGATAGAGTCCCATGTGGCTGCTGCCCATAGTGAAGCAGATGCAGCAGCAGCGGCGGCATCCGAGGGGGCGGGAGCAGATGAGCCGCCGGTGACGGGAGGCTCTGTGCCGCTGTCGGCAGAGCTAGTCAGCGCGAGTGAGGCGGAGGCAGTGACAGAGGCGGAAGAAGCAGAAGCTCCTTCTCAGCTGCCAAGCGGCGACGCAGCAGCAGCAGCAGTATCTGGTGCTGCTGAGGAGGCGTTACCATCGCCCAAGGCGACTGGTGCAGAGGCGGAGGCGGCACTTCCGCAATCAGAAGCTGCAGCAGTGGCGCCATCATCAGACGTTGATGCGTCGGCGCCCTTAGTTTCGGACATTGCGGCGGGACACCCGCCAAATAGCGCAGGAGATGTCAGCAGTGCCAGCAGCACCCAAGCAGCAGCAGCAGCAGCGGTAGCAGCAGAGGCTGAGGCGACAGCAGCCCTAGCAACAGTACCCATAGCAGCTGCCCCACCGGCCACATCGCCAGGCCGGGAAACAGCCTCTCCTGGTGAGACAGCCCTCCCGTTGTTGCCGTACAACACGGAACTCGGAGCTGCAGAGGAGGAGGGCGAGATGGCAGCTGTTGAAGGCACCGACGAGGAGCGTGCTGGCGCTGAGGTGGCGGCGGTTGCACCAGCTGTGGGAGGAGGCGAGGAGGGCGGCGTTGGCGCGGCGGCAGTGCCTGGTTCAGGAGAGGAAGCGGGGGCGGCTGCGGAGGTAGCGTCGGATGCGGGTGCGGAGGCGGCAGCGGAGGCTTGGGAGGCAGCTGTAGCGGGGGTAGCGTCCGGGGTTGCGCCGGTGCCGGACATGGAGCAGCCCGCGGTTGCGGCAGGACTGTTGACGGAGGCGGAGGTGGCGGCGGCAGCTGGGATCCTAGCTGCAGCGGAGGTGGAGGCAGCGGTGTTAACGCTGGAGCCGCAGCCCCCTTCAGCAGCAGAGCAGCAGCCCCTGCCTAGCACTCCTAATAACTTCGCCGCCACATCGGCAGCTGCGTTGCATGAAACGGCGCCTGTGCCAGCAGTTGTACAGCCGCCAGCTGTATCGCCAGGCGAGCAGGTCGAGCAGGTCGAGGAGGTCGAGGAGGTTGAGGAGGTTAAGGAGGTTGAGGATCAGCAGCAGCAGCAAGCACTGTTGGAGTCGCAGACGCTGCAGTTCCCAGCTGCTGCTGTCGACCAGGGGGAGCAGCGAGGAAGCAGCGAGGAACGGGAGCTGGATCTGGCACACCTACAGGAACCGCTGGGCGCTAGGTCGGAGGAGCTGGCCGCAGACGAGGTGGCTGAGCCAGCAGTGGAGTCAGCGGAGTTGGATGCAGCAGCAGGAGGAGGTGAACTGCAGTCCTTCGCGGCCGCGGTCGCCGCGGTAACGGTGACAGAAACGCAGGAGAGCGGCGCAGCGGAGGTCGCCGCGGCGGCGGTGGTGGTGGCGGCTATGGCGACGACGACGGCGGCGGCAGAGACAGCCGCTCCGACTGGAGAGGACCTTCTTTCCTTGCTCGGACTCAGCGATGGTGAACTGCAGAGTGATGGTGCAGCAGCAGCAACGCAGGCGGCGGTGAGGCAGGCGACCAGCGCGGTGCCGGCGTCCGCTGCCCCACCGGTCATCCCTGCTGGCACCCATGATGCGCCACTCCTTGTGTTTGACGACGACATGGACTCTCCTCTTACTCCTCCACGTCCACCGGCACCGACGCCGTCACCGGCACCAGCATTAGCGGCTCCTCCTCCATCTCCTCCACCTCCTCCACCCCCTCCACTACCTGCACCTCCGGTGGCGCCGTCGGCAGTAGCGGCCCCCGGTGTGTCGTACGCGCCCCCGCTGCTACTCGTGTTCGGGGAAATGGATGCAGAGCCGCTGGTGTCCTCGCCCGCTGCTGCCGCCGGAGGGATGCCGACTGCAGCAGCCACAGGAGCCCCAGCAGCAGTATCTACTGCTGCTGGTGGGGCTGCTGGTGCTGAGGTTATGCTGGCAGCGCTGCATAGCCCGGTGGCTAGGGACGCAGCGTCCACGACTGATGCCGTTGCTGCGGCGGGGGCTGCGGCGGTGTCCATGCATGTACAGGTAGAGCGCTCTACTGCTGCGGAGGCTGAGCTTGACTCGCTGACTGTACCGCCCCGGCCTCCTACACCCACACCTCCGTCACCCCCGCCGTCACCACCCCCTCCGCCGCAGCGGGAGCAGGATCAGCAGCAAGCTACAGCCCTGTTTGCCGCAGCGGCATCACCGCCTCCGCCACCAGATGAGGATCAGGAGGAGGATCAGGAGGAGGAGCAGGAGGAGGAGGAGGAGCAGGAGGAGGAGCAGGAGGAGGGTGTGCTGCTTCCCGATTCCGAGCTAACGGACCCAGCGCTCCTTGTTTCCCCGGCTCAGGACTCGGGCTTGGATCCGCTTGACAGCGAGGATGCGCTGGATCTGGATTCGCTTCTGGCAGAATACGCAGCTTACGCACCTGCAGCAGCAGCAGCATCCGACTCCACTGCTGCAGCTGCTGCTGGTGCCGGTGCTGCAGGGACGCCTGCAGACGTGCTGGCAGCAGCTGCGGCTTCATCGCTGGTTGAGGCGGCGTTGGCGGGGAGCCTGCAGTCGGGAGGAGAAGAGGAGGAGGCAGAGGAAGAGGAGGAGGGGGAGGACCCTGCGGTGGCCGCGGCGTTGGCAGCAGCCCTGGCGGGCTCTGCGAGCGGGGCAGCGGTTGGTGCGAGCAGCCAGCAATGGCTACAAGAGCCATCGCCATCGCCACAGCCGCCGCAGCAGGTTATGAAGGTATCGGAGCCGGTACCAGTGTCGTCTCAAGTGGAGAGCTCTCAACCATCACCAGCAGCATCACCAGCAGCAGGCGGAGTTGAGGCCAAGCACGAGGATGGATCCATTGAGGGGGAGGAGGAGGAGGAGGAGGAGGATGACTTTCTGGACCTGACGGGGGTGTTGGAGCAGCAGCAGGAGGCCGCTGCAGCTGCTGCTGCTCCCCAGCAACCCATCAGCCCTCCGTCACCCCGGATGCCGCCACCCCCGCAACCCCTGCCACCACCGCCACCACCGCACGTGTCACAGCCCCCGGCCGCAGCGCTACAACCGCCCTCGCTCCCGGCGGCAGCGCCCACGGCAGACGCCGCAGCCGCCGGGGCGACCCAGGTCGCTCAGCGGGCGCTGCCGCCGCCTTCCCGCGGTGCCGCTGCAGCCGCTGCAGCTGCCGGAGCCCTGCTGCCGCCCTTGGGGTCCGAGCTGGGGCCGGCAGCCGCTACTCCTCTCACAGAGCTCCTAGCGGGAACGGTGGAGGAGGAAGCAGAAGAAGATGCTCAGCCGGAAAGAAAGGAGGATGAGGAGGAGCCGGAAGAAGAACTGGAGGAGGAGGTGCAAGAGGAGGAGGACGAGGGGCTGGTGCCGCGTCATGAAGCCGCACTGGTGCGTGCGGAGCGAGCCGAGGCGGATCTGCTGGCAGGTGGGTGGGCGGTGGGGGTGCGGGTAACGGTGGGGGTGGGGGTACTGGATGGGAGGGAACCTGGTTTGGTGTATGACCTGTAGATGCGGAGGGGCGGAGGGGCAGCGGACAAAACATTCGATCCAGGATGAGCGCTTGGGGATGTAAGGGGCCAGTGGTTTTTCCATATTGTAGGGCCAGGTGCATGGATGACCTCAACAAGCATCAGTTTATCTGTTGAAAACCTAACACGTAAGAAGGCCCACCCAAACACTCTTTAGCAAGCGTCCCGTCCCACGGGTCACCCACCTCCCACCTCCCCCCCCATCACAGGTCCCACCGCTGCCGGATTCGGCCCCGACAGCATGGCCGCTCTCATGCTGCCGCAACCCCCGCCCAACACCACCCAACAACCCACGTCGCCATCTCCTTCTTCTGCTCCTGCACCCCCTGGTCCTGCACCCCCCGCTGGTGCACCCGCCGGCGGCCCCCCGCTGCTGGACCCGCTGTCCGGGCTGAGCTGCCTGCTGCGCGACGCGGGGGCGGACTGGAACCCCGGGGGCCGGCCCGACGCGAGCGGCGCCATGGTGGGCGGCAGTGTGGCGCTGCGGCTGGAGGAGGTGCACGCGGCCTTGCCGGACATCACACAACACTGGCTGACGGTAGGGGAGGGGTGGCTTAGAGGGCTAGAGGGAGGGTCGGGAAAGTTATGATTAAGTCGTAACTTGAGGAAACGCGACAAGCAGGCAGTTGTGCCGCAGTTGCTGTCGCCGCCGCGTGCTGTTGGGGGGGGGGCCGACGGGGTTTCCGTCAGGACAGACGGGAAATGTCTGGTAAGAGAAAACCCGGTTCTTCCTTTCCAGCTGCTTCCATTCCAGTACCGGTAACTCGCCCCGCGGTTTGTTTACCGCCCTCCCCCCTTTACCACCCGTCCCTCCCGCCTCCCATCCTCACCTCCATCCTCTCCCCGCCCGCCTCCCCTATGCATCCCTATTTATCCCCACCTCCCTCCCTCCCTCCCAGTCCGGCCGGCCGCGTGTGGTGACCCTCTCCTCCGGCATCATGGCCGTGGGCACCTCCCAGGGGGTGGCACTGGTCTTCCAGCTGCCGGCAGCAGCAGCAGCGGGCGGGGGGCAGACGGCGGGGCCGCCTCAACACCAGCAGCAGCAGAACCAGCACCAGCACCAGCACCAGCAGCAACATGCGTCTCATTGGCAGGGTGGACGGAGCGGTGGGGATGGGGGAGGAGGAGGGGGAGGAGGAGCGGGCGGGCTGTCCTTGTTCGGCGGCGGTGGCGGCGAGGGTTCCGGGGCCGGTAGTGCAGGCGGAGGTGTGCAGGCGGGTTCGGGGAGTGCTCCAGCTGGCGGCGCGGGGCAGCACGGCAACAGCGGCGGCAGCAGTCCGATTGTTGCGGTGGGCGAGGCGAGGAGCGAGGCGGAGGCGGTGACGGCGTTGGCGCTGTCAACGGTGGCGGGGCCAGGTGTGCAGCCGGGGCCAGGTGTCTCATGCATGTGCGCACTGCCGCACCCCTCGTGTCCTGCACCCAGGCGGTTTTCGCATGACTGTAGGAGTGGGAGTGAGGGCGTACCGCATGCGTGGTGGCGGTGCCCGGTATCTGACCGGCCTTGTAGCACTCCGCTCCGCCGCAAATCGCACTCCGTGACCCAGCCTATTGTCCGCCGCTTCCCCCTTCCATACCAATTTGCCTGTCAGCCCAGGAGACCCGCCCCCCTCCGCACCCCTCCGCCCCCCTCCTCCAGGCGACCCTCTGTGGCTGCTGGTGGGACATGCCTCCGGCTCCCTGGCCGCCTGGGACCTGCAGCGCCGCCCGCCCCGACTGGTGGCGCTGGTGGCGGGGCAGCACGGGCTGCCGGTGGGGCGGGGGGCTTGGGGGCTGGGGGGCAAGCACCGAATACACTTCGACACCTGTCGTGTTCTGCCGTAACAGCCACACACATTGTCTATTTGATCCCGTTTGGTGGCCCGAGTCATGCCCTTTTGTTCATGCATAGTGGGATTAGTGGCCACTGGCCTGCCCACATCGTCCATTGGGGTATTTCCCCGAACTCACTCCGTCCTGGCTGTCTCTCCCCACGTCCGGCCGGCCCTCAGGTCACCCACGTGAGCTTCTTCCCGGGTCGCGGCGCCTCCCACGTCCTCTCCGCCGACCGCCGCGGCCGCCTGCTGCTGCACTCCTTCACACACATCGTACTCAAGACCGCCGTCGCCAGCCGGGTGGTCATGGACGGCAGTCTAGGGCCGCTGGGGGCCATCGTGCACCTGCAGCCCTTCTTCACGGCCATGCCGCCGCCGTCGTCCCAGCAGCAGGCGCCGGCGCCTTCGGCGCCGGCGGCCGCTGACGCGGCCGCCGCCGCTCCCGCGGCGGCGGCGGCGGCGCCTCCGGCGCCACCCCCCGCTCGCGTCGGGGACGGCATGGTCGCCGTGTGCGCCGCCAGCGGCTGCCACATCGGGCGTTTCAAACCCTCCGGCGAGCTGGTTCCGCTGTACTCCCTCCCGCGGCCGGCTGCCGTACCGCCGCAGACCCTGCCCTCCGCCGCATGGCTGCCGCACCACCGCCGATCCGCGCGGCCGCCGCCGCTGGCGGCCGACTCGTACGGCGGCGGCGCGACTGCGGTGTGTGCCGTACTGGCGGTGGGGTGGCACCACGAGGTGATGTTTGTGGAGGTGCCGCTGATTGGAGACCACCAGGTGCCGCCGCCGCCAGCGGCGCCGCTGGCGGCGCCGGCGCCGTCACTGACGTCGTTTCTTCCCGCTGCCGTACTGCCGAACAACCCGCCAGCACAACTTCAGCTTCCGGCCGAGCAACAGCAGCAAGGCCAAGCACGGAGGACCTTCCTGCGCGCCGCCGCCGCCGTCACCGGTGTAGCTCGTGGCGCCGCCGCCGCGGCGACGGCGGCAGCCGCTGCCGCCGCCACCGCCGCTGCTGCCGCCACCGCCGTCACGTCGTCGGCGCTAGCGGTGGCAGCCGGGAGCTCCCCGCTTGACGCCCTGACGCCGGCGGCGGCGACGGCGCTGGCTGAGAGGCTGCCGTTGCGGGTGGTGCGGAGCTGGAACGCGAACGCAGCGATTCTGGGGCTGGGCGCGAAGCATGATGGGGCTAATACCGCTGGAGGTGGCAGCAGTGGCAACAGCGGCAGCGGAGGTGACCAAGTGGCAGTACGTGTCGTGGGTAAGTGCTGGATGCGCTGTGAGACAGGGTGGCGCTGTGTGCCTAGAAGGACGATATCTACTGCACCCCCCACACCCCCGCACTCTCTCTTGTTTCTTTCTCTTTGTTTCTTCGTCCTGAACCACTGATGTGCAGCTGAGGAAGCACGCCTGGCTGCTGCTGCTGCTGCTGCTGCTGCTGCTTTCATGACCCGGAATCCTCCATCTCGTCAACACCCCCCCAGGTCTTCACTGGTACGACAGCGATGCTCTGGGTGTCGTACTGCTGCTGGGGTTGAGCATGCGGTTGGTGGTGGTGGACCTGGAGCTGAACATTCGGGAGCTGGTGGGGTGGGGGGCTGGTAGGGAGGGGGAAATTATAAATAAGTGCAACAACACAGTCCCAATCCCGAATCCCGACTCATGCAGTGAGCGCATTCGGAGACACTATAGGGAGAGGGGGGGAAGCAGTGGGGGTGCACGTTGAGAAGTACGCGGGGCGTATTACTTTCTGCTCAGTTCACTGCTAGACACAGCGTTACTCCATTGACGGGGTTGTTGCGATGTGTGCATGTACTTCTTCTGCCCAACAGATTTCCACAATCCCACCGTGAGTGCCAATTACCACACGCAAGGTCACATGCGTTTCAAAGGCTTTAGAATTGCTCTATCTGCAATGCCTCCCCCTTTTATAAAATTTTCCCCCCTTGCTTCACTTGTCAGCAGTCATTGAATCCCCCCTACCTCCCCCATTGCTCCAGGTCGACTGTATCGACACGCCCCTCATCAGCGGCCTCATGCCCCCCGCTCCCCCCGGGGGCGCACCTGCCGTACCCGACACCCTGTACGGCAGCGGCCCCCGCATCGTACTGCTGGGTAGCAGCAGTACACTGTACTGCAGTCGGCTGCTGACGTGGCAGGAGCGGCTGCGCACACTCGCGGACATCGGGAAGTGGAAGCTTGGGTTGCGGTTCGCGCTGGACTTTTACAAGTAAGTGGCTCTTCAAAGGCTTCCATGCTTGCTGCAAGAATTGGCGAGACTACCGTAGTTGAGTGAGATGAGGGGATGTAGCGAAGCGGCTTTCGTTGGCGATTACGAAGCAATTCTGGAGGGCAGTAAGCGTACGGCTATCCACGCTGCAGTACACCGCACACAAGCCAGCGAGGACTGCGCCACGCGTGGTGCACATTTCGCGCGTCCCCCTTCTCGTACATCCCTCCAAGCCCCATCCACACAGCCCCGCCTGTGTTCCCCGCCAGCACCGATGTCACGCCATTGTCCCCCAATCCAAATGCCGCAACCCAACCCCGCAACCCCGTCGTCCAACCAAACCCCCGTAGGCTGCACCTCTCCCGCAATGCCACCACCACCACCACCACAGCTGCCTCCTCCCCTGCTGCTGCCTCCGCCGCCGCCAATCCCACCACTGCTGGCGGCGGCGGCGGCGGCGGTCGTACGGCTGCGCCACCCGACTCCTCCCCGTACGGCGAGGCGCTCCGCGGCTGGCTGGCCTTCCTGGCAGTGGGCCTTGTGAAGAGCGTGCTTGGGGGCGCGCTGCGGACAGCGGCGGGGCTGGGGATGAGTCACTTGGAGGTAAGGGGTATGGGTGATGAGGCATGGGGAGGAATGGATAATGTTGCCAAAAGCGGCAGTCGAGCCGGTACCGCAGCAAGGCAAGCAACCACATCTTCCCGCATGTTCCCATTCCTGCCATCAAGATTTTCTGTTTCCCATCTCATCTCACCTCAATTGATCTCCCTAACCCTCGCTGCCTTCCTTCTTCCCCCCGTTCGCCCGTCTGCCTTCCTGACCCACCCCTTTTCTCCCCAACCCAAGTTGGACCGCCTGCCTGGCGACACCGTACGGCAGCTTCGTGAGGCCGCCGCCGCTGCCGTACTCGCCTGCCTGGCTGCGGGTCGGGAGCGGCTGCTGAGTGACAGCGTGTTCCCGCTGTGTCGGGAGGCGGGGGCGGCGGGGCCGCTGGTGGAGGCGATGGAGGTGAGCAAGAGGAGGAGGGGGGGGGGGAGGGAGGGAGGGAGGGAGGGGGAGAGGCGGCTCCGTCCGTATGTGTCTCCCCCTCCACTCAACCGCGTCCTACCTCCCTGCCTTAGCAGCATTCATGGGCAGTACCCTCACAACCCTGCCACCCTGCCTCATCACTACCTCCTTGCTGCCCTCCACCCCCCTCCACCCCTCCTTGCTGCCCTCCACCCCTCCTCGCTGCCCTCCACCCCCCTCCACCCCTCTACTCCACCCCCCTCCTCCTGCCCCCACCCCACCCCACCCCAGGTTGCCGTGTTGTCCGGGCTGCTTCCCCGTCCCGCCCCCGAGGTGGTGCAGGCGCTGGTGGAACAGCTGGGAGGGCAGGGAGGGGCGGCGGGGGGAGGAGTGCAGGGAGGGGGCCAGGTATCCCCCCCTCCGCAGCTCCGGCGGGTGGAGCGGTGCCTGCTGCACTTTGACATCGCCTCACTGGACCTGGACCAGGTGGGGGGTAAAAAAGGAAAAATGACGAACTGGATGACGAGATTTCGCCAAGGGGGAAGGCGTGTTGTGGTGGTTTGCGGGTAGTCAGGCTAATACGGTTGATGGCTTCCTCTGCTGTTATCGTATCTTATCTCTGCTAACAGCGCAGTTTCATGTACTGTACTGGCCTCTGAGCTCCTTGACATGATTACCCCCACATCCCCCTACCCCTCCCCTCATCAGTTGCCTCATCAGTTTCCTCTTTCCCAACCTTCCCCCCCTACCCCTCCTCTCCTCCCCTCCTCCCCTACCCCCCAGGTGCTCCGCCTGTGTTCCTCCCAGCACCTGCACAGCGCCTCCGCCGCCATTCACAACCGCCTGCACGACTACAAGCGCCCCCTGCTAGACATGCTGGCGGCGGTAGCGGGCGTACGACAGGGAGGCAGCAGCGGCAGTACGGCAACGGGTGCTAGTACGGCAGCAGCAGGGCAGCTGGTCGATCCTCGCCAGCAGCATGCGGCGGTGGCGGCGGCGGATGAGGAGGAGGAGGAGGGGCAGCGGCGGCGGGAGGCGGGTTTCAAGTTGCTGGTGTATCTGAGGTACGAGGTATCTGGGGTGGGGGTGGGGGAGCGGATTGGTGGGGGGTCGGGTAGGGTTGGGAGGGGGGGGGGCATGGAGAAGGGCGTGCCCCCGGGATACGCGGTGTTGGGGTGGGCAATGGCAGGCTTTGGAGGGGGAAAGCAGCGGCGGCAGGGGGGGGGTGGGGTTGTTTGGGATGTCCCGGGAGTGGAAGGGAGCGAGGAAGGTGACGTACCAGTTCCCTTCAAACAGCTCTTAGCGCCCTGTTGTTCAGGGGGCGGGGAGCATCCGTGTGCCCATGTGCCCAACAGCCCATCCAGCAGCATCCTCCTGGAATGATAGCTCGCCTTACCTCCCTAACCAGTAACCACTCGCCGTCCCTCTCTCGCTGCCCCTTCCCTCTTCCTCCTCCCCACTGATGTCGGCACTTCCCGCCCACCAAACACCCCCCCCTCCCACACACACACAGGTGCTTGTTCCGGCGCCAGAGCTTCCCGCCCGGCACCGGCCCCCTGCCTGAGGTCATACCGGGGGTGGGGCGGCATGGGGCGCCAGGTGGGGCCGGAGCGGGGGGCGGGGAGCGGGGAGCGGGAGTGCTAGGGCAGAAGGGGGAGTGGGAGTGGGAGGAAGGGGAGCGGGAGGTGGATTGGGAAGGAAGAGAATACCGGCTATGTTCCACATGAAACGAAGTTAGGGACTGCTAACCCCTCATACGTTTACTGGTCCCCCCCACCCGCCCCCCCCACCTCCCAAGGCACCCCCGACGACGTGAAGGCCCAGCTGCTGGGCTGCTTGCTGTTCCTGCAGCCCGCCGACCTGGCGCGCGAGTGGGGCTGCGGGGGCGGGGTGGCGGGGCTGCCGCCGGGACTGCGACAGGGGCCGCACCCGGCACTGCAGGTGGGCCTAGGTTGTACCGGTGGGAAACATTAATGAGGGGCGCTATATGTTTAGCAAATTAAGTAATAAAAATATTAAGTAAGTATTAAAATAAATAAATAAATTTAGGATAAGTGAAGCAAAGAAATTCCAATCCCAAGTCCTGACTCATGCACCGGTGGGAGGGGGCGGGTGTGGTGGTGGTGAGTCGGGGGGTGGGGCGGACTGCGCCGCATCCGTCATCCCTCCTCCCAGTCCTACTGCGACTCCTCTTCCTCCCATCCTCCCACAACGCCTAACCCCCTCCGACCACCCCACCTCCTCCTGCCCCTCTCCCCCTCCCCCCCCCCCCCAGGTGCTGCTGTCCATTGATGTGCCCTCCGCGGTATCCGTGCTGGGCGGTGCGGTGGCAGGGTGGGACGCGGTGGAGACGGAGCTGCGGGAGGCGGCGGGGCAGGTGGTGGGGGAGCAGCTGGCGGGGGTCATGGTGGCCACACAGGTGGGGGGGGGGCGGGAGGGGGTGGGGGGGATACATGAAATGTTGAGTCCCAATCCCACTTCCCGGCACATGCAGTGAGCGCATCCGGTGGGAGGAGGGGGCCAAAGAGGAAGGAACCAATTAGGCCCAGGTGGGGTTGGCGCTGGGGTGAAGGGGGCCGACGTTGGGCGGGGCAGGGCCCAAGGACCTCACACGCCGAGCAACACCCCACGTTGTGCCCCGCAGCCGGATGCCGGGGGGTCGCACTCAAGCGCACGCGGGGGACACACACACACACACAGCTCACCCCGCACCCACTCCTCACTCACCGCTAGCGGGCCAAGCCGCTCCGCTGCCCTGCCTCCCGGACCCTGTACCACCCCACCTCCCGGCCCTCGCACCCCGCCCACCCCGCCTACCCCACCTCCCCCCCAGGTGCTGGTCAACGCCTTCATCGGACTGCTCGAGTCCAACCGCCTGCGCCACCTCGCCGGCACCACCTCCTCCTCCCCCACGGCGGGTTGCGAGGAGGGGGTGGTGTTGGACTTCATCGCGGGGTTGCTGGCGGCGGGGCGGGTGGTGGTGCGCCCCGCGGTGGGGCTGAGGCTGCTGCGGCACGTGGCGGAGAGGAGCTGCAGGGGGGGAGGCAGGGGGAGGGGAGGCAAGGGAGGAAGCAGGGGGACCAGGGGAGGCAAGGGAAAGGGAGGAAACAGGGGGACCAGGGGAGGCAGCGGCGGCGTGAAGGAGAGTGACAAGGAGGCGGAAGAGGCGCCGAGGGAGGACGAGGGTGGCGATGAGGACGAGGTGTTGTTTGAGCGGCTGGTTGCGGCGGTGGGGGTCAACGTGCCGGGGGGCGCATACGATCCGGACAAGCTGTCAGAGCGGGTGAGCGTGTGTGTGTATGGGGGGGGGTGGCAGCTGGGGTGGCAGTTGGGTGGGGTTGTGGGGGGGCAAAAAGAGGAAACTGACGAGCTGTATGGGGAGTGGGGGTGGGAGTGGGGGCTGGGGGTGTACTACCACCACCGGGCTTCCCAGTGGCGCCGCCGTACAACACCCGCCCTAACCCGCATGCCCCCCTCCATCTCCACCTCTTCCTCTTTACCCCTCCCTTTACCCCCACCCCCCACTCCCCTCGCACCAGGAGACCGAGGTTGCCCTGCACCTCGCCCGCCGCTGCGGCTTCCGCTCCGCCCAGGCCGCCCTGCACCACCTGAGGGGCGACTTCGCAGCAGCGCTGGCTTGCCACCTGGGGGCGGGCGGGCGGCAGCAGCAGCAGCAGCTGGGGGCGAGCGATGGTGCGGAGGCGACTGAAGCAACACCAGCACCAGCGGCGGCAGCCAGGGCGTTCTCCTACGTGCGGGGCTTCCTGGAGGGCGCCAGTGGGGGTGGTGGAGGTGTCAGTGGTGGTGCTGCGAGGGGCGCCATGTTCGCGGCGCTGCTGGGGGCGGCACCGGCGCTGGTGGCGGCGGATGCAGCGGCTACTGCGCAGGTGTGTGTGTGTGGGGGGGGGTGCGGAAGGTGGGGAGGAGCGGAGGGAGAGGGAGGCGCGGCGGGGCGGGGCGGGGCGGTAGGTCACACGACGTCACCCCACATGCCCCCATCTCTCGCGGGTTGGATGGCTTTTACCCGTTCAGCGGGGTTTTTGGCCTCATTTACCCCTCCATCTTGCCTGATTCCCTCACTCTCCCAACCCACCCGCCCCCTCAACCCCCACCCCCACCCCCCTGCCAGCTGCTGCTGGCGCACTACCCGGGGGAGACCCAGGCGGCCGCCATGCTGGAGCGGCTGGCGGGCCACCGGCGGCTGCAGTACGACTTCCTGACGGCCGCAGTACGACACAAGCAGGCGCTGCAAGAGGTGTGTGTATGTGGGGGGGGGGAGGGAGGGAGGGGGGCTTTGCTGTACATGCGTTGGTGGGGATGGGTGTGTTTTATACAGGTGTTGATAAAGAGGGTATACGTTTCAAGACCGCATTCTGCGGGAACAGGCATGGAGACCCATGGGTCAATGCTCGGCTGTGCATTTGTGCTGGACCCCGTGCTTGTTTATGTCCGCTTCACTCCTACCCCCTTTTTGCCTCCCATGCTGACCCCCGCTTGTGTTCCATGCGCTTTGCGTCCCCCTCCCTTTGCTCTCAGGCCATGTCTTCCTCCTCCGGTGAAGCAGCCGGCGGCAGTAGCAGCAACACTCCCGCAGCCGCTGCTACAACCGCCACAACCGCTCCCGCCGCCGTCGCCGCCGCCGCACTCGGCGCCTGGATCTCCCAGCCCTCCGTCTGCGATGCCTACGTACGGCTGCTTTGCGAGTACGACCCCTCTGCCGTACTTCCCTTCCTGCAGCATCACGATCACGAGTACGACGTACGGCACTGCATCCAGCTGTGTCGTACTGCGGGTGTGTTGGATGCGGAGGCCTACCTGCATGAGCGGCTGGGGGACTTGGAGACGGCGCTGGAGCTACACCTGGCCGATGTGGAGAGGTGGGGCGGGAGGGATGGTTGGGTGGGGGGGAGACGGAGTGGGGTTAAGTGAAAATAACTAACTGTATGATAATCCTTCGGAATGGGGGGGGAGGGCGTTATTACCCGTACCTTGCATAAGGGATGGAGATGCGGGGTAAATAAAAGCAAGAAGAAGCGCGAGAAGGGCAGCTAGGAGCGAAGTGCAGGGGCGGGGGCGCGGCGACACGCATGCATGGGCACGCATGTCGACAAACGGGAGGGCCTCCTATGCGTTACTTCCTGCATCCTGCGCCTCTTACCGTTACTTACCGCCCTTCACTCCGTCAGGCGCAACCGCGAGTTGGAGGCTGCTGTGTGTTCGGGCGCCATCCCCTGCTGCCATGTGGCGGGGGCAGGGGCGGGGGCGCCTGAGGGAGTCGCCGCTGCTGCTGCTGCTGCTGCAGGCGAGGGTGCTGAGGAGGGCGGTGCTGCTGCTGATGGTGACAGCGGCGACGATGGTGGCGGTGGCAGTGATGGCAGTGGTGGGTGTGTCTTCCTGGACCACCTGGTGTGGCTGCTGCAGCTGTCGCCTCGACTGGCGCTCATCATGCAGGTGTGGGGGAGGGTGGTGGGAGGGGAAGGATGGGCAGAGGTGGCAGGGTCGCTTTGTGGGGATGGTGGCGGTGGTGTATGGTAAGGGGCCGTACCTGTGGGTGGGAACAGCGGCAGTGCGAGACCACCGCTGCAGGCTGAGGGCAGCCCAACAGTGCACCTTGACCCTGACACTCACGCGCTCCACAACTGTCCTCTCCACCCCACAACCCCACCGCCCCACCACCTCTCCACTCAACCCTCACCCGACCCCACCTAGCCTGTTCCCTGTCCCCTCCCCCCGCCTGCCCCTCCAGGGCTCCCTGGGTCGTGCCGTCACGGAGGCGGCGGAGCGAGCACGCAGCAGCAGCAGCACCACCACCACCCTCAACAATAACACCGCCGCCAGCACGACCACCACAAACCCCCCCACCACCCCCGCCGAGCCCGCTGCTGCCGGCCCGGTTGCTGCCCCCGCTGCCCCCGTCCCCCCTCGGCAGCTGGTTGCTGCCTGGGAGGCGCTCAGCAGCTGTGTGGCCTTTTGCGGCCGCTGCTTCAGACAGCAGCAGACCCGGCTAGCAGCCCAGCAGCAGCAGCAGCAGAGACAGCAGGGGGTGCAGGGACAGCAGGGGGTGCAGGGACAGGGGGTGCAGGGACAGCAGCAGGGGCAGGCGGCGGGGCAGCAGCAGCCCGACCCCTCCTGGTTCTGGTACCGGCTGCTGCAGACGTATGTGGGGGAGGTTCAGCGCTGGCGGGGGCCGGCGAGGGGCGAGGAAGGGGGAGGACAGGCCAATGTAGGCACAGTGGGGAACGCGGCGGTCGCCTGTGACCCACGGGTCAGGCGGCAGGCCGCTGAGCGAGTGCTGCGGCACGTGTTTGGAGTGTTCCTGGAGGAGGTGATCAGCCGCATGTCCGACTACGTGCCCCCCAGTGAAGTTGTCCGACACATCATCCGCCAGTACGGCGGTCGGGACTTTGGAGGCTTCCGGTGAGGGGGGGGAGGGGGAGCGGTTGGCGTGCGGATTTGCTTGCATGTGTGCTAGCCAGTAGTGTCAGTTCAGTTCTGTTTCCGCATGTGCTCATAAAGGTCGTACGCCTCACGATGCTGCTTTCAGGATTTTTGTGGCCCCGGTTTCTTCCTTCACAACCATTGATTCCTTTCACCACCCTATGCGTCTGCAGCGTTGACTTGCTTGAGCCCTGGACGGTACCCCCCCGCACGTGCCCTTCCAACTCACCCTCCCCTCCCCCGCTTCCCCTCCCCTCCACCCCCCTCCCCAGTTCCACGCTGCTAGGCCTGCTGGGCTCCTGCGCCTACGAGCAAGCCATCATGGCAAGTGCGCAGCGACTCATCAGCCGGGGGGTCTTCGCAACCATACGGCAGCACCGGAACTTGGCGGCTGGCCGCCTGCCGCCCACCGCCCTCAAAACACAAGCACCCGCGCAAGGCCAGGACACCACAACACATGGGGAGGCGGGTGGCCCCGGTGACCCCCGCCCCAACCCCGCTTCAGAACCCCCTGCCGCCATCGATTCCGAGCAGACCCCAGCTGCCTCCTCATTACTGCCCGTCTGGCAGCAGCATGCAGCCGCGCTAAGGGGAGGAGGAGGCGGAGCAGCGGCAGGGCGAGGAGGAGGAGGAGGAGGGGCTCCATTCACCAGCCTGACAAGAAGCGGTGGCATGGCTGCTTGGGCTGTTCACGGCAGTAGCAGCAGCAGCAGCTGCGGCGAGTTGGCACTGCCGCTGGCACCCGCAGGCGATCTGCAGGGTGTGCGTGCGAGCGGGCAGTTTCAAGCGGCGTTGGAGGCGGGCGTGTGGGGTCCGGTGGCCGGAGTGACCCGTGGGTCGCTCACTGTGCCGGCTCCCGCGGTTGCTCGCGCGCAGATCTACGTAAGGGGGGGAGGCGCGGGGAGGAGAGGTGCTGGGCGGTTCGGGGGCGGTGGGGGAACAGCAGGAGGGGGGTCTTGGGAAGAGAGGGTTGGGGCTGGCGGGGTGGGTGGTGTTAGCGGCGGTGGCGGGGGAGGTGGTGGGTGGGATGTGGATGAACTGCTCGATTGGACTCGGACGCTGGGCAGGTGAGGAGGGCAGCAGCAGCGTGAGGGGCAGCGTGTGGGGATAGGGGGGCTTACCTGGCTTGTCGGTACATTGCAGTGAGAGGTCGTTAGTGGCTGTTAGTTGTAAGTGTTGATTGTTGTGCTTGGATGCTTGGATGGGCCCCTGGATGGGTCCAGCATGAGAGAGAGGCAATCGGGAGGAGAGCAGTAGCACAGTACTAGTAGCAGTAGAGCAGTTGCCCAGCGGAGCTGACACGGCTCATGTCAGCTGCATGGATAGGAAGGCAGGATGATGAGGATGCAGTACCTTGCTAGCAATAGAATGTTTGCGGCATTAGAAGAGGGCGCGGAGAGTTGGCCCTGTACTAGCGGGCCCTGCCAGGAAGCACGTTAGCAACTGCATTTGCATCAGCATCCGCGGCCTGTTCCCAGCGTGTTTGTTCCCACCAGATCCCCCCAGCTTCCTGTGCTGGCGGGTGTGTGCGGTGCAGGCCGTTTGTATCGGTACGTGCGAGGCATCAGCAGGAGCAGCGCAGGATGGCTTTTGCAGCGGGATGTGCTGCACGCGTTGCTGTTGCAGGAGGGAGGGAGGAGGGGCGGAGCAGGGCCCCGGACGCCGCGCAGCCGCCGCGCATCTGGGCTGGCTGAGCAGAGGAGGTAGCAGGTAGGGGAGTAAAGAGGAAACGACTAAAGAACCGTGTGTTAAGGCGTCACCACACGGGGGTGGGAGGTTAGCTGCAGGAGCTGATGGTGTCGTGTATTGATCACTGCAGAACGGTGTGTGGTGCTTTCGCGCCCCTCACGGGCTCATGGTACACTAACGGTAGGTTGGCATGCTGTCTGATAGGTAGGGAGATGGGTTCGTAGGTAGGTAGCTAGGTGGGAGGGTGTGCTGGCTGGAATCTACGTTATGAGATGTGTGTGCGGAGCCAAAATGCGTTATGCGTTGTGACTCTTATGAGCTTATGACGTCTGAGATGTGTGCGGAGCCAAGTGGAGGGCGCCAACGCTGGCAAGGTGCTGCACCAGGAGGCAGCTGTAGAGCAGGTGCGGAGGCGAGGAATCCGACGGGACACAGCACATGGAGGCAGACACACCGGTAGCTGCAGGGAGGACCGGAAGCAAAGCCGCATACTCGTGTGTTCAGGAATCCCTGTTAAGAAAACTGGGCGCGAGCCGGGACGTACTGTGATTGTCGGGAGGTGAACACAGAACCGCCGCGGGAGCCTCTGTGTGCGTGTCCGCACATGCCCGAACCGTCTAGGCGCACGTGGCCTAGAGCAAACAACGCACCGCACACCCAACAGCGTGTGCGTATGAAGTCCCCACAGCACCCACACACAATCCAGCATTCTTCCGGCAATTCAGAACGTTCCTACTCGCGGCCAGTTTTCTTATCTTAACACAGGTGCCAGCCCTTAAACCACGAGCCACACATTGTTGCCTTATCCACAACCTTAACAGCACGCACAGCCATAACATTCCTAATCACGCACCATGCCCGCACAGCCCCACGGCCGTACAATGCACCTGTCGTACACATCACGAGCTTGGCAACCGGAGGCGCAGCGCGCTCGCACGCAGAGATGCTACCAACAAAAGTTACATGACTTGCATGCACACCAGGTCACACTTTAGCACCCATAAAAAACAAAGAAACCGCACACGTGTACTGCACGCTCACCTCTCATACATACCGGTAGATGATGATGACCAAGATAAACACCGTTTTTATTTATACACGTGCAGCTCTCTCCCACCAGCACAGGGCCAGGAAACCCACGCCGCACGCTCCACCGCCCCCTAGCGCGCCAGGGGGGCCTGTTGAACGACGAAACATTACGAAGCTCCTCCGTACATCTATACACACACGAGCACTCCCTTAGTACGGTACCTTTCCAGAGTACGACACTTCCTTGCCTCAGTACGACACCTCCCTTGTCTCAGTACGACGCCAGCAGCCGCGGGTCGCGTATCTGCTGCGCCCCGAACTCGTGTTGCCGCGCCACCGCGTAGCAGAGGTGCGTGGAGTGCAGCCAGGTGTGAAGGGCGGCGAGGGAGGTGAGGCGGGGCGCGGTGAGCTGCCAGGACTGAGTGCTGCGAGCCTCCTTGGACTGGGGGGCGGGGGGTGGGGAGAAATTGTTGGTTGCATGCGGAAGAGAAGGGAGAATCTGCAGCAGTCACGGCCAACCCGAACACCGGGTCTCCTCCTCCCGCCTGTTCATGTGGGCCTTGCCTCTTGTTGCGACTTGTGGGAAGTAAAACCTGTAGTCCTGTAGCGACATCCCCACCCCTCCACCCCTCCACCGCCCCCAGGCCCCTCCCCCCACCTATTTGCTACCCCACCTTCCTGGACGCCAGCACCTCGGGCTCAAACACGCCCGCATCGCTGGAGGCCACGTAGAGCAGCTCGAACCTGGTGGGGGGGGGGCGGAGGAGGGGGTAAGGCACCAAACCCGTGGGGGAGCAGGAGCGGGTGGGCAGGGGTTTGTGGGGAGGCATCGGCTAATGTGTGTGGGGAGGCATCGGCTAGTGGGAGGGGGGTTAGCACTGCATGGCCCGATGGTCCCCTGAACCCAGGCCCGCCACCAAGCACCAGCACCAGCAGCACCCCTGCCACCCACAGCACCACCACAAGGCCCAAGACCATCTGGAGACCCCACCGCCCATCCGCCATTCCGCTCCCCACCTCTCACCCTCTACGCACCCACCACTTAACCCCCGCCCTCCCGCCCTCCCCACCTCTTGGGGTCGCCGTACACCTCCCGCGCCGCCACGCCGTACATGTGGTCGAACAGCGCTGCCGTACGTGGCATGTGGAAGTCGCTGGTCACCACCGCCAGCCGCCGCCAGCCGGCGGGCAGTGCGTGGATGGTGAGCGAGAAGTAGGCGTTACCCACGGTGTCGTAGCTGGACACCTGTGGTGGTGTGGGGGAGGGAGGGAGGTCAGAGATATACCGAAACCACAGCTGAGGGCAAAGCAATGGTGGAGAGGAGATAGCATTCATGTCCCTGGCCCTCCTGGCTTGTACGGATACGTGTACCGCCTGTAACTGTAGCCTTTCCGGGGTTCCTCGCACCCTCTCGCGGCGCCCTGTTGCGCCCCCCTCCTACCGCACCTCCTTCAGCAGCGAGTCCGGCTGCGCGCCCCGCTGCAGCAGGTAGGACGCGCACGCGGAGGCCTCGTGTACGACAAAGCCGCGGGAGTCCAGGTAGGGCTCCTTGTGGGGGGTGCCGCCGCCTGGGGTGGGGGGGGAGGGCGGGGGAAGGGGGAAGGGGAGAGGAACGGGTTTCGCAATGATGATGATGGATGGCTTGGGAGGAGTGTGGACGGCCAGGAGAGAAAGCTGGTTATGCACTACCAGGGAAGCGGATGCGGTAGAGAAGTGGATGTTGGTGTTTGTGGGTTGGCGCGCTGTGGAGTAGGACGCACCGAGGCTGAGGATGGGACATGGTCGAGATTGGAGCCGCTGCAATGACAGGGCCGTGTCCAGTCGCCGCTCCACCCACTGGGGCAAGGAGTCTGGCCCCGTGAGGCCGCCACCCAGCACTAGGATGGCATCCAACGACTTGTAGGGTTCAAGCGTGTTGCCGTACGATGTGCTTGCAACAGCATCGGGATAGACCAAGCCCCAATCAATGCCTGTTAACGACCTTCTAGAATCATCAGTGGAGCTGTGGAGACTGCCGTATCCGTTGTTGGTTTGTACAGAAGAGCAGGCACAGCGTAAATGGGTTACGCGATGGTGCGAACGAGCCGAAGCCCGTGCAACGTTGGACGAGCTGTTCACAAGACGAGTGATAATCATTTTCATAATTAGCAAAACGGAGTAACTTTGAAGTCTGAAAGATGCGGCTTAAGGAACCGGCATGACCCTTCCGTACAATCCCTTACAAAGTTTGGCAACTCTTCTCGTTTCTCGTAGGGCATACAGGCAGGAGTTTCGAGAATAGGCTAAGTAAAAAGTTTACGACTTTTTTACGCTAGACCTATACTTCGCAGCGGTGCCGCAGTTCGCACAGGCCGGCAGACAGTTATAAGAGGCTTTGGGTGCTTCGCTTTTGTTATGCTTCCATTGTTATAACTATACAATTATTACAAATGCCGGCCGGCAAGCGAGGCCGCCCCAGCGCCGCCACGGCGGGACCCCAAGATGAGTCTGCTGCCGGACCAGGCCCTGGCAGTACCGCCTCTGGAATCGTGGCGCTGCATCGCAGCCGGATGTTCGACTGGAAGCCGTCGGCGGTGGTCGCCATTGCGCCCTGCCCCGGTGCACCCCTTTTTGCCGTCGGCTATGAATGCGGGAGATTGGAGCTTTGGGACATGTTACAATTAGTATGCACTCAGGTGCGCCACAGCGTTTTGCTTCTCGCGTCTTACGCAGGAGCGCTTACTTGGTAGTTGGCCGATGTGTCACGGCTCGTCGCATTGCAAGCAACGATATGCCGCTTGGGAGTTGTCCAGTCCATCGCTGCGTATATCGCACGTTTATCGTATTTCGTTCCCCTTTTCGACACGAAGTTGCACCCAGTTTCGGCCGTGCGTCGCCAACCGACGGCGCCTTCACGAATACTGTCCTCGTCCTCTCTCCCACGCCCCCAACCACCGCCCTTGCTACCTCGCTCAAACTCCCGCACACTTCCCTTATCCCTCTCACGCCTCCCCGCCACAGACCGTGATCGGTCCGCCCCTGGAGCTCACCTCCCTGGCCTGGGCGCTGGACACCGTCAGCAACACCTGGCGCACCTTCGCCGCCTTCCTGGACGGCACCCTGGCGGAGGTGGTGTGGCGGCAGGGCGCGGTGGCGCACTCCCAGGACTCGTACGGCGGCGTGGTGTGGTCCCTGGTGGCCAGCCCGGCGTCCGTGGTGAAACCAGGTGGGTTGAGATTTTGAGAGTACTGGCCGCCAGCTAGGGGTGTGAGGGATGGCATTGCATCAGGTGGCTCGTCTGGCTGGGTGCTGGGTTGCTGCTTCTGCTGTCAGGCGGGGTTGATGCTGCTGGATGCTGTTGCTGATGCCTGGTGAGGGTTGCGTGGTGTTCGACCCCCCCGGACTTATGTGTTGAAGCCTAGCGTGTACCTCTCGTTAGTGGCGATCCATCCATTCCAGTTCCGTTGCCTAATAATCAAGTTGTTTCCTCTTCTGCCCCCTCTCACCCTCCCCACCCTCCTTTGCCCGCAGGCTTCGCGCACGTGTTGGCAGCCGCATGCGACGACGGCAGCGTGCGGCTGTTTGGCTGCGAGGGCGGCGAGCCGGGGCTGGTCTTGGAGCGAGTGCTCGCGCGGCTGGAGGGGCGGCTGCTGTGCGCCACCTGGCATGCGGGCGGTACGGCACTGGCGGTGGCGGGCAGCAAGGGCAACATCCACGTGCTGGATGCGGTCACGGGTCACGAGCGCGTGCGCATCACCGCCGCCGCCGCCACCATGCGCCCCGTAACCGTCTGGCGGCTGCTGTCCCTGCCCGACGGCACGCTGGTCAGCGGCGACAGCGACGGTGCAGTACAGATGTGGGACAGCCGTTTCGGCACGCTGCTGCACCGCTTCACGCAACACAAGGCGGATGTGCTCGCGCTGGCGGCGACGGAGGACGGTTCGTGCGTGTTCGCCGCCGGGGTGGACTCCCAAGTGGCGCAATTCGCCCGGGTAACTGGCGGCGGCGGGGGCGGCGTCTTCTCCCGCGCGGAGACCTGGACGTACACACACTACAAGCGGCCGCACACGCACGACGTCCGAGCGCTGGGGGTGCTGCCGCTGGGGGCCGACCGAGGTGCCGTACTGCTCAGCGGCGGGGTGGACGCGCAGCTGATTGCCTACCCCGCGCAGGCCTTCCTGCACGAGCACCCCTCGCGGCTCAGCAAGTGTCCGCAGCGGCCTATTTGCCAAGCCACGGTGGGGGCTCCGGCGGCGCCGTCAAGGCTGCTGGTGGCCCAGCAAGACACGCTCGATGTCTGGCAGCTGGCGTCAGCGTCGTCAGCGGCGGCGGCGGCAGGGGCTGCCGTACGGCATCACGAGCAGGGTCCTGAAGGTGAGCCGCTGGAGCTGCTGACGGCGCCCCGGCACCTGGCGAGGATCAAGGTGAAGGGTGCTCGTGTGGCGGCGGCGGCGATGTCACCGTCAGGTGCATTTGTCGCATGCAGCACGCCGCTGGGCACACGTGCGTACCGTCTGGAATCCGCCGCCGCTGCGTCGGCGGCGGCGCCGGCCGTGACGCGGCTCAAGCTGGCGTCGGCGGCCGCCAGCGAGGCAGCCGTGGCCGTTGCGGCAACCGACTCCCACCTGGTGCTGGCGTTACACAACGGCTCGCTGCTGTCATGCGAGCTGCCCAGCGGCGCCGTCGCGGCTCGTGCGCCCGTACGGCCCGTCAGCCCGGCGGAGGCGGATTGGAGCGCCGACGCTCAGGCCTGGCGCAACCACTGCCCGCCCGCGGCCTCGCTCGTCGCCTCCGCCGACGGCTCCCTGCTGGCGGCGGTTGGCTGCCACGGCATTTCCCTGCACCGGCTGCCGGGGCTGGAGCCGCACGGCCGGCTGCTGCGGGCCGACGGCGCCTTCACCGCCGTCGCCTTCAGCCACGACGGCCGCCTGATCGCCGCCACCACCTCCGCCTGCCAGCTGCTGCTGTGGGACACCGTCGACTGCCGGCAGGTGCAGTGGTGCTTGGACAACGCGGAGGCCGCCACCGCCGCCATCGCTCGGCTCCCAGGCGCTCCCACAGCCATCAGCTTCAACCCAGCGGCTGCGGGCGCGTCTGCCGCCGCAGCAGCAGCACCAGCGGCAGCTTACCGCGTCGTCGTCAACAGCAACGGTGGCATGGTCCACTTTGATCTGTCACGTCCGGTTGCAGAGACGTACCTGACCGGGAAGGAGGCGCGCAGGCAGCGCAGGCGGCCGGTGCCGGTAGAGGACCGGCCGGAGAGCCGCGGCAGCAACGGGCGAGTGATCCGTACGGCACACCCTGCGGTGTGGGTGGGCCACGTTGGCCCTGCGGAGCTGCTGTTGCTTGAGAAGCCGTGGGAGAAGGTGCTGGCGGAGTTGCCGCCACCGCTGTACCTGCATCGCTACGGCAATTGAGTGCGGTGTGGTGGTGGTTGGTGCATGCATGCAACGCCGGCTTTGGATGTGTGTCGGCTGGTGTGGGTTGGGGAGAAGGGTGCTGGGGGCTTGGTGGTTGCGCCCTGCGCGGTGCAACTCGTACTCGAGTGCATGTCCGTTGCTCGCTGCCGTGTGTTTGACAGCACGTACGACCCTGTGACGCAACCGAGGGGGCCTCAGGCGGTATCGCACTTACGGGGTACCGCATGTGGTGAGCTGGACCATATGGGGGAGGGGGAGAGCCAGGAAGGCGGCTAGATGGTTGGCGGTAGGAGGGATAGCACGTACGGCGCACAGCGGCTCTGTCTTCCACTGTAGAACACGGGGCAGCGTACTGGAGGCCACATGTAGGGGTCACGGAGCCGTACAAACTGACCGCCAGGCGACGTTTCATTCTTTCCCGCTGCTATGCTGCACCAGCACCGCATACCTACCGGCTGTACGGCAAAGCTTGCTGAAGGATGGTGGCTGATCATGACTTGTGTTCGGGCTTTGCTGCTGTTGTTAAGGCATGTGGGTGGGATGCGCTCGGAAGTTGTGGACGTGAGCCCGAGAGCCTTCTGGCATGTAAGATGTTGTGGTTGGCGGCACTCTGCCCCTTCGAACTATGCCCGTCCTTGTATGTCGACATCACGTTACGGACCCGTCATGAACTAGTTCGGCCCAGCATGAAGGTGATTGCCATGCTCACGAACGGCCCTGGCAGTACCGAGGTGCATAGCCCCTGTGGGTGCCTCACGTGCAGCATAAGTACGCAGGCATTAGTCTCGTCGCAACTGCGCCGCACATGCAGGCATAGGCGAGGCTGGCAACCCACGCTGTGGCAATTGCACACTGACACGTCTCCAGTTTCCATACTGGTTGCGCATACCAGTAAGCAATACCGTACCTTCACGATATCATCGCGCAAAAATAAATAATTATTTCGGAAAATGGGCACTTTCGCGCAAAATTAAATAATTGCTGAGAGGGGTGCGCGAAACTGGGGAAACCCCTCGGGACCCTTCCCCGCACCCCCAACATGCCCCAGCACCCCGTCAGCTCCGCTGCCCAGCCCCGGGCTGCATGCTAATATGCCCCATGGAACACATAGCGGTATTTGTAAAGCTGTCTTGGCGATCTGGGCTTACATGGATGGGTTCTTACAGTCAAAATGCAGTGGTGGACATGAGCTGCGCGAAGCTGATAAATAATTCCTGACACCCCTGCGCGAACTGGAAAAATAATTCCATCTAATGGGGCTGCGCGATGATTACCCGAAGGTACGGTAATATTAATGCCGGTAATTGTACGGCACCTACGCCCGGCCTTCCAATCGTGGTATAAACGGTACCTAAGGTGTCATGCATCAGCCATGCATGGGTGATTTGACGTTCGGCTACTGCCCTTACCGTACAGCACACAAGCTAACTAACTAACAGCAGGCATCACTCCACATCTACATGTTAGATACATGCTATCTACTCACAGCAGCAGAAGCCTACATACCATGAGATTGCGAAACCTTCACGCACTTCTGCACCAAGTGCCCTTGTGTTTGAACTGCAGCATGCGGATGCCCTAACCTCATGGAGGAAAGCAGCAGTCCAAGCTGGTGATGTGGTTTGCTCTGTCCCTGGTGCTGCCCTACATGCCACTGCTCTCCATTCCTGGTGCCATATTGCTCGTCCCATCCCACCAGCCACCTCCACCACCACCACCACCACCTCTTCCTTCCTCCTACCCCTGTATCCTAACCCTCCGTCAGTCCCCGAGTCCCCACACCTGTTCCAGCCACTGTACGACAGCGCCATGGCCGCCCCGTCGTGCCAGCTCACAGTACCACAGCTTGTCGGGCCGCCCCACCTCCCCCACACCCTCTGCTAGCAGCGCCTGGCAGGCTGCAAGCCGGCCATATATGCATGACGTCGCCAGACAGGAACGGCGGCTCCCTACATCCCCTCCGCAGTGCGCCGCCCCCGCCGCCAGCAGCTCCGAAACCACTGACTCTGACCCTGTTGAGATGCTCAGTGCAGCGGTGCCGTACATGCGTGCATCCACACCGGCCTCCTCCACCACGAACCGGATGGCATGTGGGCAGGCTGCTTGGTCTACCGCATGTACGGCAGTGATCAGCGCCATTGTTGCATGGTATGGAGCCGCTGAGGGGTTGAAGCCAAGTGACAGCATGCGTCTGGCCGCGTCCAGGTGGCCATTTCGCAGCGCAAGGTTGAAGGCTGCTGAGTTGCTGCTACCTTCCTTCATGTCGGCCCCAAGCTCCTGAGCCACGTCCACCAGGGCTGGGCAGTTGTGCACGGCAGCAAGACGCAGCAGCATGCGGGGCAGCAGCTCCGGCTCCAGCTGCACACCTAGGGCCCTCAGCTCCTGCAGCAGCGCGAGGAGGGTGTCGCTGCTGCTGATTTGGCCGCGACATAAAGCGGCCACCACCTCCGAGGCAGCTGCATTCGGCCCCCAGCGTGTTAGGCACAGCCGGGCCAGAAGCTGGGGGTGCTGCTGCAGGCTGCGGGATGCCGCGTGGAGGGACTTGCACGCCAGGCGAATGCCGCCACGGCCGCCCGTGATCAGTGTGATCTTGTCCCGCAGTTCATCTGGTAGTTTACAAAAGAGGCTGGCCTTGCCTGTATCTTCAGCCGCGCCTGGGATAAGAGAAGGCATGGGTTGGCTTACATTTACTTCTGTCACCTCACTGCACAGTCCACGGAAAGAGTGGCCAGGCGACATAACAATCAGATTGGCCGAAACGAATTCGACAATATCTTCTATTGGAGGATGGGTTACTGTTATTATTCAGCGTTACATGCACAGGAAGCGCGAATATGTTTCAGAAGCAGGGAGCGTTGTTCCCGAGGCAGTTGGAGGTTACCGATTAATGCTTACAAAACCTAGAATACATCAGTAACCAAACGCAGTAATGTTTTTGACGTAGCCTTCAGAAGCTTGCGAAGTCGTATGAACGAGCGCTACTGCACGCCTGCACCGCGAAGAAAGTATCCCCGAACTGGGCGGAATGCAGTTCCCATTGCTACAGCAGCACGTCCAGCAAGGCCAAAGAGCATTATGTTCTGGTTCTTAAACTACTGCAACCTGCAGCCTGCGGGTCGTTTAGCTGCGGAGCCTGGTTGCCCGGCCACAAAAGCACACCAAGTTGCCTGCAGCGGATGTCCCACGGGTCGCTGAACTGCATCGCAAAGCATAATTCGCGCATACTATTAGGACCCGCTTACCGGTACATTATTCTGCTGCTGTATCGAATATCCGCACGGGCATATACACACCGACGTGTTTGGCCGATGACATACACATGCAGTTGCAGTTACAGCCTTTAAGCGTGTGTCTGTACGAGTCAGGGGAGCCAAGGACACTATGAGAAACGAGGTTCATCTGAGTCAGAGTCCCGTTTTGCTTAGGCGGCAGCGCACGTAACGGGGGGGTATCGCCTGTGATGACGTCTGTGGTGAGCCGGATCATGTGGGGGAGGGGGAGAGCCGGGAAGGCGGCTAGATGGTTGGCGGTGGGGGGGATAGCACGTACGCACGGCGCACAGTGGCTGTGTCTTGCAGTACTACATTGGGCAGCGTAGGGGTCATGGAACCGTTCAAACTGACCGAGCCTTTTGGCATGTAAAATGTTGTGGTTGGCGGCCGCCAACCACAACACTCTGCCCTTTTGAACTATGCCCGTGCGTCGGCATCAAGTTACGGACCCGTCAGTAACTCGTTAGGACCAGCATGAAGGTGATTGCCATGCTCACGAACGGCCCGGGCAGTACCGAGGTGCATAGCTGCATGCCTGTCTGCCAATGCACGGCGGCGTTCGTGTCGTGTGCTCAGGTTGCTTTATTTGGGACGCAGTACACTCCAATTATATCACATAAACCCATGCATGGCATACCGTCCACGATCCTCCCCCAAACATCCCACTTCAGCTGACAGCGTTGCCTCGTCGCCGCTGGTGCTACTGCCACATCTCTGCTGCTAGACTTGTCATTGCCCAACCACAACTGCTGCTACTGCCTCGCATCCAGGCTATAGCTTGGGCTGCTTAGGAATACGCTTGGGGCTGCAAACATGTGGCTCGAAAGGTCGGAAACCCTGGTTGAGACACGCGCAGGGAGCCGCTGGGTCACATGCGAAAATTAGTCCTAGGGTTAAGGATGTTGTGCCGATGGGTGCGAAATATGAACCGCGATTAAGGGTCATCGAGGGTTGACGACAGTTCGGGCGCATTCGCGGATCCTTGTATGGGCGCGATGGTGCTCTCTCGAGCTAGCGATCGTGACGTTCGGCTCTGCGTGTGATGGATGGCGTGATGCACGCATGGGACCCTAGGACGGCCAACGTTGGTTAGTTCCCGTAATAACGCTCATTAACTTCCCAATCTCCAGTGATCACACTCCACTGCCCGCCGAATGTCTTTCACCTGAATATACCTGATCAAAACATAACATTTAAAACCTGAGGACACCACGACACCAGAGACAATCCAATTCCTGAGCGCCTTTTAAACGTCAGCGCAAGGGAAAAAGTCCGAACTGGCCCTCTAGCTTAGCAAAATGACACCCTGGACGATAGCAGGCAAAATACTTCAGCCGGTATTCGGTACCCTCGACCGCTTTGTTCCATCCGCTCCACCCAAGCCAATTCAGCTTCCGCGCCGGGTTACTCCCATGCCTCCGACCCCACCGCTGTTCATCGAGGCCATCATAGAGCGTTTGGACGCACGCAAAGAGGCCTGGATCAAGATGCCGTGCAGCGAGCGAGCCGACCTGTTGCGTGAGTGCATGACTTGCATGATGAAGGTAAGGAATGAGAGCCCCGATGGTGTTGAGGGGCAACAGGGGTTGCTTGGTGGAGGTGTGGAGGTTGTGTCGCGCAGTGCTGGTTGCGTCTCGGTGTGCACGCGGTGTTACACACCATGTCACGACAATTCGTCATCGCCGGGACACCTTGGTGGTTACGTCACGTGTCGGAACCTTGTCCGGTAGCAAGCTGAGGTTGAGCTGTCCAGTATCGCATTTATTTTTGCGTAACAGGCATGGACGAGGAACATGGATTTGTGGCATGGCATAGGATGTTATTACACAGATGTGTTTTGGGACCGCCTGCCATGCCCTTTAGAACCCTGCCTAGGTTGGGAAGTAACGATGTTTGACCGTTAGGCTAGCAGCGCGGGGCCACTAGGGAATACCGAATGGAAGAGCTGGCCGCTTTGTACGGCACTTCCATACTGTTGGGCGAAAAGGGGGACCTTGAAGGACTGTACGACAATGGTTCTGGGGCCACCCCGCATACGCGTCCTATCCCTGCCCCCACAGGTTGAGGAGGAGCTAGCGCGCGTGTCCACACGGGCCAAAGGCTCGTACGGCGTTGGCATTGGAGAGGAAAGGTACGACAACAGAGTGTTTGTCAAAGTGACACGAGTGTTGTGGATGGCAAGACAAAAAAGATTCCGGCGCGGGTTGCGGGCACTCGTACATGCTGCTAAGGGTGGGCTGGGCCGTGTTCAGGGCCTTGTGATATGTGGAAACTCAGCTCCTCTAAGCGCCCCTGGGCCTGACTGACTGACTGGCCGAGACCCGCGGGTCGCCTGTGTCTGGTGGTTTACAAAGGCAAAGGAGACATACCGGTACGGAGGCGTCCGGGCAGACAAGCAGAGGCAGGTTTCTCCTTTCCTACCCCTCCGCTCCGCTCCCCTCCCTTGCGCATATGTACCGTGTATCCCTCCCCCCTTTTCCCCTCTTCCCCTCGCTCCCCCTGCATTCAGGATGGCGCTGCTGCCCATCATGTTGGGTCTGGGCGAGTACGTGGCGGCGCTGCGGGCGGGTGGCTGCCCCCCGCCGGTGGGGGTGAGGAGGCGGCGGGATGGGCAGCTGGTGGCGCAGGTGGGGGAGGGGGGGCGGAGGAGGGGGAGGGGGCTGGGGCGGAGGAGGGGCGGTGGATTGGCAGGGTAAGGCGACAGGGAGGGAGTGGGAAAAGAAGAATGTGTGGTGTGACAGTGGTACATGTAGCTGACAAGCCCTGGTGGAAACAACCGTGAGTCGAGCCGAAGTGGTGGTTGAAGCATTGCGAGCTAAACTTACCGAAACATACCAACTATGGAGCAACCTTCCCGTAATCGTGGGTGTGTATGGAGATGAGTTGGAGGCCCACCGCGCCGTCGGGCATAAGCAAGAGGAGAGGGGCGACTGAGAACTGCATGTTGGGACCAGGCGGCCACTGGTGGGGTGCACATCTGGTAGTCCGGACGTGGGGCGGTTGGGTGCGCTTCGGATGCATCCGGACGTGGGGTGGTTGGGTGGGTCATTATATCCGGTTCGCCCCATGCTGCCGATTGGTTAGCGGTACCGCTGACAACTCCGTCCGTCCTCGCCATCATGGCCCCATCTTCCTGGACACGCCCTGTATCCCTGCCCCTATACCCTACATGCTCTCACCCGGCTGCCCTTCCCTCTTTCTTCCTTCTAAGATCCAGCCTAGTGCAGAATATCTATCCTTCCTTCTTGGAACTCCGTTGCTTCACTCTTCGTTTGTTCCGTCACGCCCTGCCTCCCCACTGGCCAGGTGCTGCCCGCCGGACCCATGGGTCTGCTGCTGCCCAACTTCCGCGGGGAGGTGTGGATCCAGCCCGGCAAGCCGCCCTCCCAGGGCGCCGTCTACCGCCGCAAGGCGCAAGAGGCCAAGGCGGCGGAAGCGGAAGCGACCCGTGGGTCTGCTGGGCCCTTCTGGCCCCTAACTGCCGTACTGCGCAACCGCCGCAAGAAGAACAAGAGCAACAACGGCAGTAGCGGCAATGGTGGCGGGGATAAGGCCGACGGAAGCAATGGCGACGACAATGGTAACAGCAGCAGTAACAGGTGGCATAAGCACGGCGGCAATATCCGCATCAACAGCATCAGCACCAACAGCAATGCCGGCTCAATGGCGGAGTGGAGGGCAGCTGATGATGAGCAGGAGGGCGGCGGCGGCAGGCGGGGAGGCGGAGTGGCGCTGGTGCTAGGTGAGTGGCTGCGGGTGCTGCGGGGTGTTGCCTTGAGGGTGATGGGTAATAGCTGGTTTGGGGGTTACCGTACGAGGTGGGGGTTGATGTCCACCTTCCAGGTGGTGCACGGTGGCAGGCAGGCAGGCAGGCACGGGTTAGGGGCGGCTGGGGAGGACTGTGAGCAACACGCACGTGCTGCTGCTGGGGAAGGGCTGCTGTGTGCGTGCAGAGGTGCGTCCTCGCGAAGCAACCCTCGCTTCCCCTTCCCCTCCACCTCCCACCGAGTCCCAACCCCCCTCCGCTCCCCCTCCCCTCCCCCCCCTCCACCTCGCTCCCCCCCAGGTGCCGGCAACCAGGTTCCCGTGGTGGCTCTGGACCTGTTGCACAAGCTGGTGGCGGACGACGAGGTGGGGGAGGGGGGGGGGGAGGGGGAGGGGAAGGGGAGGGGGGAAACAAAGAACACATCCGAGGCAACTAACCAGGGGTGGGGTGGGGTGGGTGGAGGAGAAAAAGGGGGAGCAGGAGACTAGTGCATCGCGGAAAAGCCCTTGATGCACTTTGAAAGTGTCTTCTTGTTGCATGTATGGCCGCCTACCTGCCCCACACACACCGCCCAACCCGTGCGTGGTGCCTCTGGAGCTCATCACTCACTCACTGTCTGCACCCCCTTCCTCCTCGCTCACCACCCATCACCCCAGGTTGTGATCGTGAAGACAAACCCGGTGAATGACTACATCGGACCGCTGCTGCGAAAGTGGGTCGGTGGGTGGGTGAGGCAGCGCGAGGGGAAGTGAGGAGAGGAAGAGAGTTGGGTGTCTGTGTGTGCTCCTCTGCCTATCGCTTCCCTCGCATCATGCATCATTGGAGACCTCGTCACCTCCCCCGTTCCCCACACGCTTCTGATGTACTTCCCCCCTCCTCCCCCCCCAGGGCCTTCGCCCCGCTGGTCGACGCGGGCTTCCTGGAGTTTGTGTACGGAGGGAGGTGGGTGGGGAGCGGTGCATGTGGCTGGTAGGGTGCGGGTGCAGGACCTGAAACCGAAGTACTTTCCTTCGCCCGTTTCCCTGCCATCTCCGGGTTACAGCTACCGGTGTTTCCTGACACTATGCATGGCAATAATGCCCTAACTCCCTTCCCCACACACCTCTCCCCATGCTCATTCCTCCCCCTCCCTGCTCCCCCCCTGCCTCCCCCCCAGGGAGACCGGTGAGCTGCTAACCCGTCACCCCAAGATCACCTCCATCCACCTCACCGGCTCGGTGGACACGTACAATGACATCGTGTGGGGTGACAGCAGCGGAGCAGCAGCGGGGGCGGCAGGCGGAGGAGACGGCAATACTGAGGACAAGAGAAAGGTAGGCAGTAGTAGGCTGCTGAATGGCACGGACTTGAGTACCCATACGTACAAGGAAGAAGTGTGCGCACGACTTGGGCTGGGCTAGCTGCATCTGGGTGGCATGCCATGCTCCTGCGCTGCGTCGTGCCTTTCTGGTATAAAGTTAGTTTTGTGCTTTCCACGCAGCATCCCGTCATGAATGTGTCATGTTCTGTCATGTCATGCTGAGGTGTTAGTGCCGTGCTGTGCCCTGTCGTGCTGTGTCCCGCCGTGCCCTGCCTTACCGTGCTGTGCTGTGCTATGTCCTGCTGTGCCGTGCCATGCTGTGCCGTGTGATGTCGTGCCTTGCCATGCCGTGCTATGCCCCACTGTGTCATACTATGCTGTGCCGTGCCATGCCGCGTCCCACCGTGCCTTGCCCTCTATCTGCGCTGTGCTGTGTGCACCACGTCCGGCTGTGCTTTGCTCTATCCTGTCATGTCGTGCCGTGCCGTGTCCTGCTGTGCTGTGCCGTGTCCTGCCGTGCCTTGTCCTGCTGTGCTGTGCCCTGCTGTGTTGTATGTGTCGTGTCCACACATGCTTTGCTCTGCTGTGACATGTCGTGCCTTGCCCGGCTGTGCTTTGTTAATTCTTATGCCGTGCCATGCCGTGGCCTTGTCGTGCCGCCATGTATTGCTGTGCCACTGCCGGGTGGAGCTGTGCCAGCATGGCGCCTCGTGCCTTACAATGTCATGTCGTAGTGACATGCCGTCGTGTGTCGTTGCGCCTCGCATGTTGCTTGCAGCTTCTCGACGTAACTTGCCGTAGCGTGTTGCTTCGAGTTGGACTCTTTGCGGGTGATGTTGAGGGGATTTTAAAGGTTCAAATGCCGGCCGTACAACTTATTTCTGCTTGCGGTGCATGCAGGACGCCATACAATGCTCGCATGGGCGCACACTCCCCATTAATGCCTAAGCAGCAGGTTTCCAGAAACTCTCCCGCCTGCATTCCTTTCCCCTCCCCGTACCCTCCCCCGCTCCTCCCTTCTCCACTTTCCCCTTCCCCTGCTTTGCCCTCACCTGTGGTTCATTGGCCCTATCTTTGACCCCCCCTCCCCCCCCTCCCCCCCCCCTCCCCGCCATCCCCCTCTTTCCCTCCCCTCCTCTCCTCCCAGCCCCTCACCGCCTCCAAGCGCGTCACCGCCGAGCTGGGTAACGTGACCCCCTACCTGCTGGTCCCCGGCGGCCCCTGGAGCCAGGCGGACATGGAGTACCACGCGGAGGCGCTGGCGACCGCTCTGGCGCACAACGCGGGACACAACTGCAACGGAATGGAGGTGTGTGTGGGGGGGAGTGGGGGGGGGCGGGGCGGGGCGGGGCGCTGTGTGTACCGGTATGTATGGTTGGCATTCACAGCTGGTCGCTACCTAGCATGGTGTATAAAACCCTGCGGTTGGTATTTTATTGTACGAATCCAGCAACGAACCCAGCCCTTTGCGAGTAAGAACTCACACAAACCGCCCACATCTTCTGATAATTACCAGTTTACTTGACACATTGCCCCACCCCACCCGCCCCCTCCCCTCCCCCAGGTGTTGTTCACTGACGCCGAGTGGCCGCTCCGGCCCGCCTTCCTGGCCGCCCTCAAGGCCAAGCTGGCCGCCCTGCCGCCCAGACAGCCCTGGTACCCGGGGGCGAGGGAGAAGTACGACAAGTGAGATGTGGGCGGGTTGGGGGGTGCGGGGGCGGGGGCGGGGACGGGGGTGGATGGAGGGAGGCTTTAAGGGCGGTTGGGCCGCCTTTTACGCGATTGGGGCGGTTGGGGCGGTTAGGGCGGTTAGGGCGGTTAGGGCGGGCCACTGCGTCGCGGTCGTCCACTCGACCCTGAACTGCTGCGGGCAGAGCGCACATCCCTTCCCCCTATTCCATTCATCCCACCCTGTATGTCCTCCCCCTCTTCTTTCCTCTCCCCCCGCCCCTATGTACACACCCCACACCTCCCCCGCCCCTCCCGCAAGGTTCCTGGCGCGCTTCCCCACCGCCCATCGACTGGGGGGATTCAAGAGGCGCAAGAGCGCACGCCCCAAGACCGCCAGCAGCCCCTCCTCCTCCTCCTCCTGCGGCACCAGCAACCCCAATAACACCAGCACCTGCAGCGGTGAGGGTGGTGGTGGTGATGGTGAGGGAGGTGCGGTCCCCTGGTTGTTAGCGGAGGGGTTGCCCCTGGAGGCCGGGCAGCTGCGGGAGGAGAGCTGGTGCGGCGTGCTGCAGGAGGTGCCGCTGCCGGGGTGCGGGGGGGACCCGGTGGCATTCATGCGGGCTGCCGTACAGGCCGCAAACACACACGTGGCGGGGTCGCTGGCGGCGGGGGTGATCTGCCACCCGGCGGTGCAGGTGGGGGGGGGTGAGGGGTGAGGGGGGGGGGGTTTGGGAGAGGCACGGCAGTGGTATGTACGGTAGTGTTGGATGAGAGGGAAGGGAAGGGAGGGGGAGGGGTGCATGGTCTGGTGGGTAGCTTATGGGGCCGGGGTTTCCATCCGCACATCCCCCCAAGCCTTCCACTCACCTTCTTGCCTCCCAACCCATCTCTCAAACCCCCTCCCTGTCCCTGTCCCTTCACGCACTTCCTGGATTTTCGCTTCCAGCGCCCTTCGCCCCCAACCCTAACCCCGACTTCATCCCCTACCCCCACCAAACCCAAAACCCCGCCCTGTACCCCGAACCCCACCCCACCTCACAAACCACCAGGCCGCGCACCCCGAGGCCTGGGACTCCTTCCTGTCCGACCTGCGCTACGGCGGCGTGTGCGTCAACGCGCCGCTGCTGTTCCTGTTCGGGCAACCCAGCCTCAGCTGGGGAGCCTATCCAGGCAACACGCCACACGACATAGGCAGCGGAGTGGGGGCGGTGCACAACACCCAACTGTTCGATTACCCGCAGGTAAGGACGAGGAGGATGTACGGAGGAGGAAGAAATAGAAAGGCATTAGCAAGGGCAGCAATGCATGTGAACGGCGTAAACTGGAGGGAAGCGGATGACTGATTCGGTAGTACTGAGGCCTTACAGCAGGCTACATTTCAGACACTCATGTTTCTTACGCCTTTGCTCTCCCCCTCCCTCCTTCCCCCACCATACCAGAAATCCGTGTTGATAGCCCCCTGGCGCTACTACCCTCGCCCCTTCTGGCTGGTTGACCACCCCGCCGCGGGGGAGGGGCTGCTGCTGCCCGCCGTGTTCCGCTTCGTGAGCGCGCTGGCGGACGGTAAGCGGGTGCGGGCGGTGGGCTGGATGGTCCTTGCGGCGCTTGCGGCGCTGCGGGGATGAAGAAAGAGGAGGGACAGGAGGATAAACAGAGGAAACTGAGGAGGAGGGAGAGGAGGCGGGGGAAGAGAAGGAAGGGCACTGTGATGATGGCTAGGGGCAAAACTGCCCCGCGGAAGACGTTTACCGACCCTCTTAACCTCTGAGGAGGTTAGCAGGGGAGGGGAGGAAAGGTGGATCACATCGAAGCGGTATTGCATTTTGGTTGGCGGAGGTACAGACGCAGGATGCGTTGCGATGTACAGAAGTACGATATATGACCATCGTGTTTGTATTATCTTAGTGTCGCTGTAAAGCTACGTATGCAGCGGCATGCAGCGGTGAAAGTTGTTTTATGACAATCTGGTTTTGTTTTGCGGCAGGGACCGCGCGCTGTGGCATCACACGGTTGCGGTTGGGGTTGCAAGAGTCAGGCGTCTGACCCATGGGTCGTAAAATTTCTTAACGAGACGCGCTGTGTCTGCCATGCATGCCTCTAGCCGATTTATTAACTTGCCATGTTGCCATGTTGAGCACCGGACGGGGCGGGGCGGTGCTGCATGGTTGAACGAGAGGTTTGAGGAGGCTGTCTAGCTCATCAGCCCTGCCGCCTGTCTTGGCTGTGTTGTTGTTTGTAGGGCTTCATAAAGCAAGCCGGACGGCATCCACGAACACGGCCGCTGACCCCTTCGTGTGTTATAAAAACCTGCCGCAAGATTGATAGTGCTGCGTGTTGTGCTGCGAGTGTGTACTCTTATCGTGTGTGTACTCTTATCTCGAGCAGCATCCCAGCAGGGTTGGAGTTGGTGGGTGGCGCCGCCGGGTCGCTGCCTTGCTGGGGCTCTCCACACAGAGGTCTGGGAGGCTGTTGCCTAGAAGGGTGGCAGGCAGGGGGGCCCGACAGAATCGTTACTGCGCCGTGCTTGCTTTGTGCCGCGCATGTACGGAAATGTCGGTTGGGGACGTTGAGGACTGCAGTACAATGGAAGGGAGCATGGATTGCTTAGGTGTCCCAACTGTTGTCCATATTGGGTTTGGTTGTGTAAGCATCTGTACATACGTCTTAGGCCGCATTCGAAGACTGGTTTTGAAGCTGTTAACTGTTGCACTGCTGGGCTGCTGGACGGTTAGCATTCTTAGCAATGATGGATAATGGTCTTTTCCGGAGGGCGCAAGGGATGCCGGCGGGGATGCGGTGGGCCTGCACTAGAACATCATTGTTTGTACTGAGCGACCGAGCGAAAGGAGGGCAAGGGAATAATGCTCCTGCCGTGGTCCTGGACGTGTGTTTCATGAAACGGAGTACAGGGGGTTGGTCAGAGCAGGATGGAGAGCAATGGGAAGGGAATGGCTTGCGTGTTGCTGCGAGAAGAGAGGGTAAGAGGACGGAAAAAAGAGATCGTGGTTAACTTCTGTCATGTCACTCCTTTCGATGCCTGTTCAAGTTGGTGTCGCCCTGCAATAGTTTGTTGTCATTGCTGAATCCTGGCATGGTTGACATGTGGAGGGTAGTTCGTACTGGAAGGCACACCTGCATGACCCTTTGAAGTGCTGCTACCGATTAAAATCTATTACGTCTTACGTACATCACACGACACACGTAGTACGTCGCACACGTCGTACTGTTGCATCTGGTTACGGCACCAGTATGTGTATGTTGTTAAAACCTGCACTGTGTGGACAGGCCCCTGAACAGAGCGAAACATGTTTTGTTTGGCCTCTGCGGACACTGAGCAGTGTGCTCTAGATAAGAAAGTGTGGGGGGAGAAGGCCACCCGTATGGTCAATGTCAGAGATAACCAGCACCATCCATGCACAACAAAATTGTCGTCCATACATTTTTTTAGTTAACAAAGGTACCATGTATTCGAGTGCGACGCATGTTACCGATTTATGCAAATGCAGGTGCAAAGACAATGGGAGGAAAACCCCTCTCGTGGCCAACTGGAAGGCAGGGAAAATCCAGGAAAAGGTGGTGTTGAAAAACACCGATTTACTTGGTATAGGAAATAGTATGCGTGGTCTTAGGCCGAAGTGAACTTGGTGACGGCCTTAGTACCCTCAGACACAGCATGCTTGGCGAGCTCGCCGGGCAGAACCAGGCGGACGGCCGTCTGAATTTCGCGGGAAGTCAGCGTGGGCTTCTTGTTGTACTTGCTGAGCTTGCTGGCCTCGGTGGCAATGCGGTCGAAGAGGTCCGTCACCAGGGATGTCATAATGGACATGGCCTTGCTGCTGATGCCGGTGTCAGGGTGGACCTGCTTCAGCACCTTGTAGATGTAGAGCTTGTAGGTCTCCGCCTTCGACACCTTCACCTTCTTCTTGGCCTTCTCAGCGCCCTCAGCACCACCCTCAGCAGCCTCCTTCTTCACAACCTTCTTAGCGGGTGCCTTCTCCTTCTTAGGAGCCTTAGCTGCCTTGGGCTTAGCCTCAGCCTTAGGCTCAGCGGCCTCAGGAGCAGCGGTCTTCTCGTCCTTCTTAGGGGCCATCTTTGTTATTGAAAGAGGCTTTTGAGATCACAGTTTAGGATAATATCGTGTAGAATATAGTATTTAGCCTTGTGAATAGGGCCTCAGACATGCCTTATATGCGGAAGGGCAGTGTGGGTCAGTGGGGCAACCACGGCAGTTGCTCGTCCAGTGTTCGTTGGGGCTCAGCGGGGCCTGGCCAATCGCTCATAAGCGTCTTCGGCGAGACGAAAACATAAAGCGTCCTATTCTACAACTTACTTACTCCTTTATACTTCTTAAGCCTAACAACATGTCTGGTCGCGGCAAGGGCAAGACTGCTGGCAAGAAGGCCGTGAGCCGCAGCTCCAAGGCTGGCCTGCAGTTCCCTGTTGGTCGTATTGCTCGTTACCTGAAGAAGGGTCGCTACGCTGACCGCATCGGTGCGGGCGCTCCCGTGTACCTTGCTAGCGTTCTTGAGTACATTACTGCGGAGGTTCTTGAGCTGGCTGGCAACGCCGCTCGCGACAACAAGAAGAACCGCATCGTTCCTCGCCACATTCAGCTGGCCATCCGTAACGATGAGGAACTGAGCAAGCTTCTGGGCGACGTGACCATCGCCTCCGGTGGTGTGCTGCCCAACATCCACGCCGTGCTGCTGCCCAAGAAGGCCAAGGGCGGCAAGGCGGAGGACGGCTCTGCTGCTGTGTAAACGAAAGTTCCGTTCAATACTAAACACCGGTGTTTTTCAACACCACCTATTAGGGACGTTGGGTGCTTTGGCGATAGCGGTTGTTGTTACGTGAATAGTCTAGACTAACAAATGGCTTAGTAGCCCACTTATCTGTCTAGTCTTGCTCTGCTACCTGGGTGCTGGGTGATTCTATTCCACTGCACCCCTAGGCTCTATTGCAGATTTGCAGTCACCTTCCCTCCCGCTTTCCGTCTCCTGCCAGTCTTACGTTGTTTGTCAGCTCGTTCATGCCCCCAACATACCGGAACCCATTACAGTCTCCCCCTTGTGCATAAAAGCTGCCGGGCATTCTTAGTCTCACCATCAGCCCGGTCTGAGCCAATGACTTCAGCATGTGAGTCCCCAACCCTGCTATGTTGTGCCCCCAAGCGCCGCTGACCGGCGCGCAACAACCGCTGCCGTATCTTTGCATATGTTGCGGGCAAAGCGCAGCCCCCAGACGCATCACACATGTGCCGGTGAGATGTACGTGCATGCAACGGTGCACGTTACCTGCCCTGCCCTTGACCAAACAATGCAGATGCACTAAGCATGTCCCCTCCTCTATGGTTACTTACATGTTGATACGATATAGCTTTAGGTACCGGACCTTGGCAAACCTGTAGCTTCTGCTCGAGGCCGCGCAAACTCCGAGCACCGGCCGTGCCTGAGATACCAGTACAACCCGTACAACCGGCGAGTCTGCCAGGCCACGAAGAGCAGCATAAGCGCACTAGGTGAGGGAGCGCTGGATCTGATGGCCCACGGATCGCGGTGCTGCTCGCTGCTGTCGGTGCCCCCGGGAGGCCACCAGGGATATCCAGGTTAGTCGGTATACAGGTAATGTCAGTGCGTGGTTGGTGCATGATGCGTTACCTTCTGAGACGCTTAGGACGTTTAAAAACAGCTCGGCGACGCTGCGCACCGTGCGCAGCCAACCGAAAATGAAAGCATCCTACGGATACGCACCGCCAGTGCATGATAGCTGCTGGGCTGGTCCTGCACGTAGGCACCAGAGACTCTATAGCTGGCCGTACATTCGTTTCCCAGGCACGGTTTGGATAACATCATGCATGCGTGATACCAGTATTTGTAAAGGTCAATACACTGCTCAGTAGCGGTGCTGTTGTATTATAGCCTGCCCATCCCTCCATGCAGGGACTAAGGCTATCTTAATAAAGCTAGCAGACGCACCAGCCCGACTGCAATCTGAGCAGAAGCCAATAGCACAGTAAACGTCTCGAGGATGCAACGCCCAAACTCCCGCCAGGAAGCAGTCACGGCTATGCAATCCCTAAGCTCTGGCAATTGACAGGACCGCCCGAGCCACGACTTCCTCCAGCACCTGCTTCCGCCATTGCCCACTCAACCCGAGTTCCCAAACTATGGACCAAGCCTATCAGGTCCGCACAAGGCGGGCAACTGGACATACATGTGCCTTACTAATAGGCGGGCTGCCTGTGGTCTTGCCTATGTAGGGCCTGTCCGTCAAACGCCCTTCGCCAGCAAAGCCCAACGGCCGCAACACAACTTGGTCATCACAGCCAGCGCAAAACCACTAGGAACGTCGGGCCGCGAGCCGATGATTTATGCCAAGCTCGGGTTCAACCCCGTCCCACTCACCCCTGATACCACCAGCACTCTGCACGGACAAGCGTCCATGGACGGTAACGCAACCGCGGAGCGCATGCGGCACCACCCCTCAGCGCCCCCGCCCCCCACCCCACATGAGGCAACCCATGATTGAGCCTACATGTCACACGGTTAGGCTCTCCTGTATACTCCACCCTGCAAAACGTCCACATGCGCCTACCCCGGCTTCCTAAAAGGCTCCCCGGCGCGCCCTAGCATTTGGACCAGCAACCGCATCTGAAGCCATGTGTATTACCTCCATGTTACCCTGCTCCCTTTTCCTCTTCACTATGTTTTCACCGCCGCTGCCGCCGCTGTTGCCGCCGCACCTCGAATGTTTCCTGCTGCCGTCAGCGTTGCTACTCCCGCGTACTGACCCCCTTACAACTCCTGCACATAGGTCTTAGAGCCCGTGTAGTATGCCTCCTCGCCCTTGACCTTCCGCGCGTTGCGCTCCTCAAACGCGGCGCGCTTGTCCACGATGCGGTGGATGATGTTGCGTGCCGTCACGTCCGAGGGGCTGGGCAGCTCACGGAAGATTCCGGCAGCGCGGGGAACAGCGTAGCGCTCCTGGGATGGGGGAAGTTTGAAGGGGAGGAGAGGGAAGGGGATTGGTTTGCACTAGGTACTTGCGTTGGCAGTATGGCACACCTCTCCAATGATACACACACCCACCTCTCCCACCATTGCGCACCTCCCTCTGCACCGCACAACCCACTCACCTCCTTGACCGGCTCCAGTGCGCTGGTTTCCGAGACGCTGCCTCGCACCACGACGCTGATGTTGAAGGTCTTGATCAGGTCCTCCGTCATGACGCAGGGGCTGCCGATGATCACCTCATCCACGTACCTGGCGGGGGCGGTGCGCGGAGGTGAGGAGGGCAGGCACAGGCGGTGTGAGGCGGGAGGTGCAGGCGCAGTGCCGGGGCACAGGGACAGACGCGCATGGGAAAGGGGGTCGAAAATGGCACAAAGTAGAGTGCAAGCACGAGGCTCTGGGCGGGGAGGCGGTGTTTTACCCCACTCCCACACCGCCCTGCCCCATGCCCCCCCTTCCCCGTGTCACGCGGCGCCACTCACTTGCACGACAGCACCGAGAGGCTGCGCTCGTGCAGGTTCATGATGGGCAGGTGCGGCCCCCGCCGCGCCTCCACCTCCTCGTCCGTGTGCAGACCCACCAGCAGGAAGTCGCCCTGCGCCTTGGCGGCCTGTGGGGTGGTGGTGGTGGTGGCGGGGGGTGGGTGGCCCACATGACATCATGCGCACGGAGGGGCCCTGCTGGACGACAGTTAACTAGCGCCAGTCGTTCATCTCCGTTTACAGCTCATCATTACAAGGTTTACAACGCCGCTTGGAACCAGGTGTCCCTCACACAGCCCCCGCCAACACCCTTACCGGTAACTTGCTGCATGCAGTGAGCGCCCCGCAATCGGCCCTACCTTGAGGATCTTCACATGGCCCGGGTGGAAGCAGTCGAACGCTCCGTCAATGTAGACGATGCGCGCGCCCTCTGGAGCCACCCGCCCGTTGGAGAACTGCACCAGGCGGCGGCTGGTGGGCAGGAACCTGCAGATGGGCGGTGTGGGGTGCGGTCAGGGGGTGCGGTCAGGGTGGAAAGGTGTCGAGGATGCAGTTGCACGCAAGCGCTGCTAGGGGCGCCACCGGTGCTGCTGTGTGTACTGCTGCTGCCATGCATGCGGTGCGGACGCATGACCCAGCACCGCTTATGGCAGCCATGCATGGACGCATGGAGGCGGCACAGCATGGAGGCACTGAGAGGGAGACGCCAGAACCCGCCACGGAACGGAACGCACTTTGACAGCGTGGTGCGTGTGGACTCATCGCTGCAGTCCGCCTCGCAGCTCGAGTCCTCGCAGCTGGTGCCCACGCTGAACGACTTGGCCAGCGGGTGGGGCTGCGTGGGAGGAGGGGTGGGGCGATGTAGAGGAGGCGCGGGAGGGACGGGAAGGGGAGGGGGGGAAGTAAGCGGTGGAAGGCTTGCAGGGGCGAAAGGGCATGCTGCTACGGGTACTGATGTCTAGCTCATGGGAGTATGCAGATGGAAAGGGCATTTGTTGGAACTGCAGCTGATGCGTGGGGTTTAACGTGGTGTTTACGTCCTCACTTGTCCCCATGCGTCCGTTCCGGCATATCGAACGAGGAACAACGGCACGTACGTTGATCCCCAAGTGCCAGATCTGGGGATCAACGTTGGTGCTTTACCCCTCACCTCGTCATCGCGAATCAGGGTGTTGACTCGGCTGCATGTCAGCATGCGGCCCACAATGTCGGTCGTGCTGACGCCCTCCGTCCGCTTGACCTGGCAGGCACGGTACACAACCAGTGATGCATGGTCCTCACTTTGCAGGGCAGATGTAAACAGAGGGACCTGGTATCCAGCCACAGCTCAACAAGAGGGGCAGGTACCGGTAACGTCGTCTTTGAGAGAGCGCGTTTGAGCAGCAGCGGCCACAGGGAGAACCTGGCCGGCCCCAAAACCAAAGCAACACCCCTCCCACCGTCACCAGGCGCTCACCATCTTAAAGCGACCCAGCTTCTTAGCGTGCGCGTAGGCGTCCGTGCCATCCGGCAGCAGGCAGGGGTCGTCCCCGTGGATGATGTAGTCTATCCGGTGCTTTGTAAACAGCTCGTGTACGAACTCGGGGTTCAGGTCGTACGGCACACCTGTGCGCACACCAGAGTGCGAAGCAACCGCCGTGACAAAGCGCCAGGAGCAGGGTTCTGTCCGGTCAGGATGAACTTCTGAATCATCTTCTACCATCGCCAAGCGCTCTTCATTTCACGACCCGTTCTTGACTTGCTCTTCCTCGCAGCTCCCTCACCCGCCCTGCCAGCCTACTTCAGCCCCGACTTCCCCCCTGCTGTACGGCAGTCTTACCACGGAGGATTTCGTCGACCCACTTGACCGCCTCCACGAGCGTTCCTCGCTCCTCCTCGTTCATGACGGGCGGCCCCTTGCAGCGCAGGATCTCCGCGTCGTTGATCAACCCAACCACCAGCTCGTCGCCAACCGCCTTGGCCTGACAGGGTGCGCAAAACACACACCAGACGCCGCAAACACAGCACGACGCGGTAGGGCAACGTGAGGTTTGGGATGAAACCCGTGCGGCGTTTCCGCCCCTTCGGTAACTTTGGCTGGGAATGCTGCTGATGCTGCTCAAGGTTGCAAATGAAGAGACCCCAGGCTGGCAGTGCGATGATCACACGCTGAAGGGCATGGAGGTGGTGATGACGGTGCACAACCAATGGTTTCGACTACAGCTGCCCCAGGTGGTCGCAACACCCTTATTAAGGTAATAGCTGCCCAGGGCGTAAAAGCTGCCCAGCGGGAAACCAACGAGACGCGATCCAGGACCCAAGAGCCTGTCGGGAACCAACCCAGGTGAGGTGCTTCGACGCAGATAGCATCAGCTCACCTGCCGCAACGCGTTTGCGTGTCCATAGTGCATCATGTCGAAGCAACCGTCCAGATACACGCGCACGGGGCGCATCTCTGTGCAAGCAAACAAGCATGTTGCGTAATGACGACGGATGGCAACAGAGGCAGTTGCAAGACTTACTCCGTCGGCTCTTGGAATGCTTCGCAAGCGCGTTTGCAAGCCACCCGCTGATAGTCCCAGGACGGTATTGATACTGAAAAACGTGATGTCAAGGTCAGCGCACAGTTTTGAAGGCGGGAACAGGCGCACACTATCGTCGACCGTTCATACCTGAATCGGGACATAGATTTCATAGTTTCTCCTTGCATATACTGAAGCGATACCGACGGCCGCTGTCGCCGCTGCGGCTACACAGCCCCAAAAGACGGCGTCCTTGGATTTAAGCTTATCCATAAGGTTTGCAGACATGCTTATGTACACAGCGTGTTTGTCGGCGATGCCGAGTTTAGACTGCAGGCTGCGATGATGTCTACTCCTTTTGCGGCAGCCTTCGGTCAGCTAGAGCCAAGCAACACGATGTCTTTATGATGACTACCCTAGCGTTTTAAGGTTGACATATCAGAGGGATTGGGCTTTTGACGATACCAGTTACCGGCATCAGACTGTGTAAAAAGCAACTCGGCAAAGCGCTTAACAAGGTTTCGCTAGCATGCCGGTAATCGCATCGAAGCGGGTATCAGGACAGGCACATGATATTTGTGGAGTCACGGCACGCTGGTGTACAGCACAGCACAGCGCGCCAATCTAGCTAAGCAGCGCAAGGGTGGTGGAAAGTGTTGTAGGTAACGGGGCAAGTGCACTGGTATTATACCTTGCATACTGCCCGGTAAACCGCAGAATAAGCTGGCTCGTGACTGACCAGTGGTTGGTTGCAACGACCGGACATGGGGGTCCCTTCTTTGCCAATGGTATCAATTTACCATCGGAGACTGCATTCAGGTTTCTTCCCTGTGGCTCGCCATCCAGGTCTTTGACACGCATTCCGCAATCTCCTTAGGGCCAGGTTGTTGTGACACAATGCTACACCCACCATCCTATGGCTCTGCTTCAGCACTTCCCGTCAAACCAACCATGACGATGCCGCTGCTTTCCTCGCCGTTACTGGTTCGTCTTGAACGCCCGCCCATTACCATTATCCGCTTCATAGCCCCCTCCTCGCCTTCCCGATTAGGAAATGCAGGGGTGGCCGTGTAGGGATTGTTGCTGACGCACGTTTCGTGAGCGCAGCTGACGCAATCGTGATGCTGCTCTGGCTCAACGACGACCTTGAACCTTTAAGGGCCTAAGCTTTATCCCGAGCGTTAGGTGGCACATGCAGTTATTTAAGCGTACAGGTATCTGCATACGATACCTGTCCTGCCATGAAACCCTAATTACGGCACCAAAGGTTACAGCAACTGGCCGAAATCCAGAATCATTGAATTCGCACCACATGTAAACAGCGGAAACGTTTTCCCGCAGTGCCTACTCAGCGCTCCCCATAAGATACAACTGCGTGCAGTACACTACAACCCAGACTCGTCAACTTATGGACCCATCCACACTAACAGAATGCAACTGCTCTTACCACTCAATCAACACATGCAAGAACGCTACTGACCAAAGGACGATGCTACGCGCCCCGCAAGTGCAAAAGTACAGTTAGTATCCGTATGCCCCGACATCCCGCCTCTCAAGTCCTTCCCTCAACGCCATTTTCCCTCTCAGCAGCGCAGCCGGTCACAGACACCGGTGCAGCAGACGATCCACACACAGTGCAGCTACACGGCTTAGTTCGCTTCAACACACGTCCCCTCCATGCATCCAACTTCCTCGTATATCAATACTAATGTTTCTGTTGTAGCTTTGGACGCCCAACGTCCCACAACTGGGGAAAGCCACCTGTGGCTAGCCGCATGCCTGGGCTGCTTGGTTTGCAAAGGACAGCTTAACAACGATAGCTAAACCCCGACACAATGCTCCCTCGCTGCCACCAGGGGACACATACAGCCTCCCGTAACAGCCGAACACCCAACCGGGGCAAGGGTGCGCTCCAGCACGCAGCACATGTCTCCGAGCCAGCAACGCTAACGCCGGTAACGCTAAAGCCCCAGCGTTGCGCGAAGGCTACTGCCTATCTACGACTACCCTAAACCACCGCCGCATTGGCTTTCCTTCGTCCTCCCAGGGTACTCAGGTTTAAGCGCACAACAACCTTGCCTGTACTCCTTCAGCAAACGACCAACACGGCGTCGTGTTGCCAGCGGCTGGCAGTTGGCCACAACTCCTCCAGGTGTCAGAATGCCTGACGTACCTTACCCAGCCTCTACCACCCCCGCCCCGGCTGTCGCCCCGCATGTGCACCGCCGTTGCAGGTTATTCGTAAACAGATGCTGCTTCACCAGGCAATGAAGCTTCATGCATGCGGGGAACAGCAGGGCCGCCCGAGAGGGCTGAAACGCCGCATGGGGGCGGAATCCAAGGATCCATCCATCGCATCAACCCGCCTAACGCGCAAATCCTCTGCGCTAATAAGAACTCCCCTCTCGATATCGAGGCTGACACGTCTAGATACCTTCTGGCGGCGACAACCCAAACGCCCCCCGCCCTACAATTCAGGTCGAACTGCCCAAGCAAATGTACGTCGTGTTGCCGGCGACCGCAGCACCCCTCCTGCTACATTTACAATAATTTCTTTCATGCAGTCGTTCATTATTAATATGTGCGCAACAGGGCCGTAACAACTGCCGCCGCTCCGCAACCCCAGCACCCCACCACCAGGGCCAGGTGACTGACCTCAACAACAAACCCAGGTGAGCTGAGGCATGCAGACGCCCAGTCGACCAGCCACACCTTTGCGGCCACCCGATAGGAGCTGCTCCTCCGGAAACGGACCCTGCCGCATCCGCTTTCGAGCCGCTTCACGGTTTGCTGCTGCCGGTGCCTCGTCCACACTGCTTTCGGTGCGGCGCTCCGGGCCGCTCGGATACCGCTCCCGCCGCATCCACCGTCCTCACGGTTTCTGGATGACTCCGCTGGACCGCTGTGTCGGTCTGTCACACCTGCGTTGCCACATGACGCTTCTGCTGAGCCGCACTGCACCGGTGTGCCGCTAACCCGGGCATCACCCGCGCACTGCTCCAGCTTGCTGGGTATCGTAGCGCCCATCCGCACTGCCAGCCGGGGCCAGCTGCTAGCGCTACTCCTTGTCCTTCATGAGGTTCAGCGGGTCGCTCAGCACATACTTGGGCAGCTCGTACTTGGCCCCTGGTGGTGGGGGGACAGGACAGGACAGGGGAGGACAGGGCATCGGGGACAAGGGGGGAGGCCGCACTCGTGGTCGGCAGCCGGGTAGTACCCTAGGGTAACCTACCCCGGGTAGTTGCCCAGGAGCGGGTGCACCTCCTGCAAGCCTACACGCCACACCCATGCACGCATGCAAGCCTACATATGGCGGCACAGTATCCATCAGCGCTTGCACGGGGACCAGCGCCAGACCCCCGTCCAATCGCAAGCCAAGGAGCACCCCCCCCTACACAGCTCCATAGCTACACCAGCCAGCGTGCACCATACCATCCGCGTGAGGCGCTGCGCTGCGAGCCTAGCTGTGAATGCTGGGTACCTAGCTGTGCCATTGAAGCCCAGGGTGAGCACCGCTACCCACCGCGCTCATCGTAGCAGACGGTCATGTCGTGTGCGGCTACTATGATGCCAGCGCTCTCAATCAGCAGCCGGCAGGTGTCCTGGTCCGCCTCGCAAGCGGCCTTCAAGGCGTCCCAGATGTCTGAGAGGGAACGGTTGGGGAAGACGGCGTCGGCGGGGATTCCATTTTTAGATGATGGGTGGCCGCTGTGGGTTCCGTCGTAAAGCAGGGCCAGGGTGTGGGATTGCCCGTGACCACACTTACTTCGATCGCCACCGTAGTGCGGTTGCGTGTCCCAGAACTCCTCCCTCTTTTTCTGTTGGGGCAATGGGGACGTAAATGGTGAGGGAAGGCCACGTGGGGAAATACAGCGGGCTTGTGAGGGGGGAAAGGAGGGTCGGGGCAGCGAAGAGGCCAAAAGCATGGAATCCGATCAGTAAGCAGGTGTTTAATTCCGTCTATCGTACATAAAGCTAATGCCAAATAGCACTTTCAGAACCCTCAGGAGCCTAGCGCGGCCTCCACGCTGGAAGCGCATCGACCGCTTCCGATTAGACCGACAACGGCAGGCAAGTTGCATACTCCGCCAGACTCCGCAGCTGTTTTCCACACCTTTAGTTGAGATGTCGTTATCGGCTCGGGTGATTTCCATTTTGGCCGGTTGTAGTTCTTCGTAGGCTTCTCCTTAGTGCCTGGTGCGTCAAAGACCCCGGCAACAGTGCCGGCAGGTGGCGCCTCGTCCGCAGGCGAGCTGGACGCACAGCCCATTGGAGCGCCGTAAGGCTACACCCGAGGCAAAAAGAACCTAGGACCGTTCCATGGAACGAAGAGCAAAAACGCGAAAGCAACCGAGAACCGCCCAACTGGCCTATGCGTTGTGCGCACAGTGTGTAATTAAGGACTAGGAAAACCTGGAAAATAGAAGTTTATCGATGTTTGGCGATGCAGAGTTGATGGACGATGTATAATCCTCTTGTTTCCGTTAGAAGTACTATTGCTTTTACTGGATAATTTGAGCAAAATTATCAGATAAGTCACTTACAACTTGCGGACCTCCATCATTTGATAGGCGAGAACTGATAATGTTCGTCTGCCGGCCGACGGTTGCGTCTATGGTTGAGATCGAAACGTGCACAAGTAGGTAGCCATGCTTAGCTCTTTTCAAGATTATTTAAGTGCAGCTGTGCAACTGAAGGTACGCCCTTTGCTCGACAATAGGATAGCATTTCCCCACAGCATCTTAACTTCGACGTTTGCGTGCGGCACGCAGACCGCTCTCGTCAAAGCCAAACCCAGTAGACAGGAATGGGAGCAAGCACCTCCCTTCTTACGGTGCACAGCAGCGGCTCCCGACAGCGTTCAGCGTGCACGGCAGGGTGGCTTTAGCATCCAGTACAGCACCGCATTGCAGCTGAAAGAACAGGGCAATGAACTCATCCCCAAGGTCAGTTTCGGAAGCGGCTAGGAGTATCTGCGGAATGCTTGTAGCGGGGCAAAAGTAATCGGGCAACGAGTTACTAATCTGTAAAGACTAGGGTTTCGGAGGATGCCGTAATCCTGCATACAAGGGAAGGGGGAATCAGTGTCCGGCATCATTTACCCGCGTCCCCAGGAACCCGCGGCAGCCCTGGAGCGCTACACGCAGGCGCTGTCGGTGTTCCTCTGGTTCGACCGCGGACCCGACCGAGCGGCCGAGGACATCCCCCTGCGCAGTGCTGCGGAGAAACTGCAGGGGGCGGAGCAGGAACAGGTGGGTGCACGTGGTGTTGGTTGGTCGGTTGGGTGATTCGTTGATTGGTTGGTTGGTTAGAAGCCCGGAGGTCCCGGTTTTGCGAGCCGTGTGATGGTTGCATGTGTGCGTGTCACGCTCCCCTTCCACCACCGACTAGGCTACCCTACTTGCTGTGCGTGAGTGCTGCGGGTCAGGCAGGCAGGCGGGCCGGGCAGGCGCCGGCCCTTTCCTGAATTCTCCAGGCATCATACTTCCTCTCCTCTTAGCCGTTGCTAGCCACCTCTCCCTCGCTTCCAAACGTCATAACCGATGCTAGGATGCAGGGTTGCACCACACAGTTCATTGACACCGGCATGTGGCCAACCAAACACCTTTGACCTCCCTCACAGTCACACCAACTGCTGGCCACGTGCTTCAGCAACGCAGCGGCCTGCCTGCTGAGGTTGGAGCAGCCGGCGGATGCGGCGTACGCCTGCAGGTTGGTTGGGGGGAGGAGGAGTTGGTTGAGGCATCGCACGCTACCTGCATGCGTGCCTCTTGGAGTGTCCCTTCTTCGCCTGAAGCACCCGGTATATGCAAGCTGCGGGCGCAGCATCATGTTCTGTTGGAGTCTTTTTTTTGCTGTCTGTGCCTCGTACATTGTACCATAGCCCCGCTGTCCCGCTTGCATTTCCAACGGTCCCTGTCCTCTGCCCCCAAACCCACATCACACGCGTCCACGTGTGTCTCTCTCCGCCACGCTTTCCCCGTTGCGCCTCGTACCCTCCTGTGTCGTACGCCGTACAGTAAGGCCCTGAAGTACGATCCGTACAACGTCAAGGCGCTGTACCGCCGGGCCCTAGCGCAGCGCCAGACGGGCACCACAGCGGGTCTGGAGGCGGCTGCTGCTGATCTGGCTGCAGCAAACCAGTTGGAACCCGGCAACAACCAAGTACGACAAGCGCTGGCTGCCGTACGACAGGAGCTACGGGAACAGCGCAGGTAGGGACGTAGGGTGGGCTGAGGATACCCGCATGTGCGTGCTGCTTCACCCATGGCGCAGTGCGGCGTTAATATAAGAGGTAAGGATCAAGCTGTGTTGCACCCGCGCTCTCATGCGTCATGCCGTGTACCTACAACTGTGCTTTTCCTTCCAAACATTCCGTCACGTCATGCATTGGTACCTCGGTGTACGTTAGAGCTCGTTGTCGTCTGTGTTGTACGGCACGGCAGGAAGGAGCGCGACATGTACGGCGACATGTTCCAGCGAGGAGGGGCGCTGTACGACGACCACGACGACCAGCCGGCCGGGCCCGCTGGCAGGGGCGGCACGGCTGCTGCTGCTGCTGCAGAAGGGGACATAACCGCCTCCCAGCGGAGAGGGGCGCAGAGTGCGGGAAGGGCAGCAGCGGAGGAGGAGGAGGAAGAGTATGACGGAGAGGAGGGCTGGGACCCTGAGGACTTGTTGTTTAAGGAGGAGGAGGTGCAGAGGCGCAAGGTGGGTGTCCACCTCTCTGCTGCCGTACCTAGACTACAGCTGGGGGCTGCCCCTCCCCCGCCGTACCTGCAGGTCTCGAGGGCTCTACCAAGTGCAGCACCAGCACGCTTAGAGCAGCCATACCCATACTCCCGGCCCCACCTAGACTCCTGTACTTCCTGTATTGAGCTCCGGGCACCATTGCGCACCTCTGTACATGCTTCTTCTCCCTTTTCCCTTTTCTCCTTTCTTCTTTTTTGACTAGCGTATTACCGACTTGTCGATACGCGCTATTCCCTATTGCCCTCAAACGTGGTTTCCATTAGCACGGGTGGTGGTTTCCCTTTTACCCCTACTCCTATATCCTCCCCCTCCTCCTCCTCCTCAGGCCCGCTCCGCCGCCGCCCATCGCGAGGCCGACCAGGTGTTCCGCCGCATGAAGCGCTCCCTGGCCGCCGCCCGCACCCGCCGACTGGCAGCACGGGTGGGGGGAGGCACCGCAGCTGCAGCAGCAGCAGCAGCAGGGCGAGGGGGGCTGGCGGGGCGCATGGGGGCGGGAGGGGGGCATGCAGGCGGCGGGTGGCTGCCGTGGCGTGCGGTCCCCTGGTGGGCGTACCTGCTGATCGGGCTGCACCTGCTGTATCGGCTGGTTCGGGTGAGGCGGCTGAGACGGCTGACACGCACGGGGGGTGGACGAAAAGGGGTCGTCGCAAGGGCTGGGAGGAGAAGAGGTGTCGGGATAGGGAAGGGGAACAGGACTGGGGGAGGCAGGGGCGCGGTGCAGGAACAGCAGGAGAAGGGAGAGGGGCGTGGGAGGAGGGGAGGGTCAAAAGATATACCAGAACCACAGGTTTGGGCAAAGCAATGGAGGTAGGGATGAGCGCCGGGTCACCTGATTCGTCGTTACTCCGCATGCAACCCACTCTTAACACGGTATCGTTTCGTCCATACGGTTGTATCCCTTCCCCCAACAACCCCATGGTGAAGCCTTATCGTACAGCTCGTCAGTCTCTTCCTTCTTACCCAACTAACAACACAGGTTTGGAAGTGGCCGGCCCCAAGCGACATGACAGGCGCGTCATTGCCTGAGGGGCAGCAGGTCGGACATGCAGAGCTGTGATAAATGGAGGGAATACCAGTGACTAAATGTGCGTATTAAGCCTTCATGTGTAGCGGGTTTTATGCCTGGGGTGGCTAGCAGAGGAGGATACCGTACACTGTTACAGCTGCAGGAGAAGGGACGTCCTGAGTGGAATGCAGGCAACACTCAAAGCATGCATGGATGCACGTGCGGTAGAATGTCCTGTGGATGTCCATGACAACTAGATCTGATTAGATATCAAATGGAGTATAGCCATCGCTGTTGGTCGCTTATGTAAACACTGTGATCGTTTAACACCCGGACGTTTTGAGGCCGTTGGAGTAAATGTACCGTGGGAAGTTGCGTACCCGGGTTGCCGGGCATCTCTTCGCTTCGCGCCGAAACCGTATCATCGTACGATTTCCCGGATCCGCAAGATTTATACGTATGCGGCCCTTCAGCACTAATGTTTTGCAGCCGCCCGCCTGGCCTGCGGGGGGCTTCGGAGGGTGCTGGACGGAAGCATTGAAACGGCAACACACAAGCTCTCCTCGGCAACGGTTCTCAGCACTTACGGGCCTGCCCGATTGCAGCCGCTGGCCCGATTAACCCTAAAACCATAAATTCGCCGCTGGCTCGAGCCAGCGTGGAACTTCTACTCGCCCACTTTTCGGAGCTGCAAGATGAAGCCCCCACAAGCCTGCTTGCACTGTGGCCTTCACGGGCCAGCCAGACCAGCGCATCTCACGTCTCGGCATCCCTTACATGACGGCCAACCAACGAAATGCAGCACAGAGGACATCGCAACCGTAATCGCACTGCTGCCGGCACCCCGTACATTGGACCTCCGCCAACTGCGCCCGGCTGCATCGCAGGACCCGCTGCAACAGGCGTCACACACCCTTCCGGCCCCTCCCTCCCGCCCCCACCCACCCCTCCCCGCCCCTCCCTCCCGCCCCCACCTACCCCGCCGCTCTTACTCAGTAACCGCTTTCCAACAGGCGCTTCAGACCCTGTAGGACAACGAGGCGGCCAGGCGCCGGGTGGGCGAGGAGGAGTGGCCGCGGCAGCTGCTGACAATCTGGGAGCACGTGCTGAATTACCTCGCCGCAGAACTGAAACTGACCCAAGTTATGCGTCAGCAGCGTCTTGTGAGCTTTGGGTTGACGACTGGTCTTGTGCCATACGGCACATCTGGCTTCGTGCCTCGCTGGGGATTCTTTGACGCCGTTACTTGCAGGATAGACCAACGTGTCAACCAAGCAACAGTCGATAACGCTTTGTTGGGGCATCTTTGCTTAGGTTAGGCTTGCAATTGCAGTCGCATGTCCACCGGGTTCTGTTTAGTCGAAAGGTGTCGCTTCAACGGTGAAAAACAGCATGCCATTTTATGTGTTGCAGTAGGACTTAACTGAGGGAAGTCAATGCAAGAGCAGATGCCACCGCTTTGGCTGTCGGGTATCGACAGCTGCACTGTTGAAATGGCACAGCGATTTTCATAGCGACTACGGCACGGCTATCAGCTCTATGTATGCGTTCAGGGGTAACTCGGATCCCACATATGGGGCCACGGCTCCTGTTGGAGAAACCAAAGGTACGGCAAATCGCTCGTGTTTGTCCAAATTCCTTGCACACGGCTACAAAACAATAGCAATGCCGCTAATACGTTCAAAACGTATACGTGTACCTCAACTTCACTCGCAACTTACTACCTTATCAATAGGCTGGGAATAGTAAGCGTTCCAACAACCTGCGTTATACGCCATCAAGACCCACTTAAATTTGCTACAGAGCTACGCAGTATAATAGAAGTCCTTGCTGCGGTGTCCTCGCTCGGACTAAATGTCATTGCTTCTCCGCTATGCGGCTCGTGGTAGCGGTCGAAACGCCTTCCAGACCCTGCAATGCCTCCTCCAATCCGAAGCCTTGTTAAGACTAGGAGTGCCTGTCTCCTTGGAGAGTGGCCAGACAGCGTTGGTACGTGTCAATTACCGGAACTGTCAGGTTGCGTATGAGCTGCGGAGTTATCTGTGGGCTTCTTTGCTGCAGAGACGCACTCAAGGCTACCAACTGTCGCCGTTGCGGGGTTTCAGTGAAGAGCTGCGAGTCGTGTAGGTCCTGTACGGCCGTCGTAAGCTATACAATCAACATGGTCTACGTCAAAGACAGCCTCTGTTACCATTCTTCTACAGGGCATCAGCTCTCAGCGAAGGTGATTATCACCACATGGCCGACGAGACGCTGGAGGGTATGGTTGAGAAGCTAGAGGTGCGTACCCAGCTGTAGAGTGCCCCCCCTAGCTCTCCCGTTGACTACCATTCCGACTTGGGTCAGCGGAACCCCAGGGCTCGGGGTAGCACTCCTAGGCGACATGGCTTCCTTCATCGCCCTTGCGCAGGCATACGTTGAGGATAATGACGTGGACGGAGGGGACGTCGAATACTCGGTAAGGGGGCCACAAGCATAGTTTCGGTTCTTTACTTGCCCGCTCTGTTGTCTGTCGTTTTCCCGGCCGAGTGATTGAGCGCAGCACATGCGGTAAGACAACCCTCGGGACTTTGGCAAACGTTCTTGCTGGGAGCGGCTTCCGGGATCTAGGGAGGGTTACCAGCACCCCTGGTTTAGTTGGCCCTATTGCGGCATGCTCATTGTTTACACCGTGCTGTGTTCGCAAGGCATTGCCATGCCTAGGTGGTTTACCGGTTTGGCAGAAGCCGTCCATAATCCACTACTGAACAACACCGCTATGAAATGATGCTGTACTATGCATTGCATGTTGCTCCTCAGAGAGGGCCATCTACCGGCATTGTAGACGAACCCGGGGCCGCACGGGTATGGATCGAAGGCCGCATCGGTATTCCGTACTTTGATCCAAATTTTGCAAACGCTCGCCTCCTTGCCTTGCAGCAAGGCGTGTTGACCGTCAAGCTCGGCAAACACGGGACGTTCGTTGTCAACAAACAAACGCCCAACCGCCAAATCTGGTTGTCGTCGCCGGTCAGGTGGGGCACAGCGTGAAACGCTGAGATAAACTCCTCCACACACTAGCTATCAACATGACACCACCTCATCCTGTCCTTTACGTCCCAAAACATCTTGCTAGGTGTGCCATTTACACCCCATCCTCAGTCCCACGCTCTATTGTGAGCCACCCGCCCCATACACTCTTAACTTCATACCTACTACCTCACCAACCAAACGTTGGCGGCATTCCGCCCCTCGCCCCTCTGCCTGTTCGGCTTCTCTCCACCCCTCACGCCGACAGCGGCCCCTTCCGCTTCGACCACATCGAGGGCCGCTGGCTATATCACCGCGACCGGCGGGACCTGCTGTTGCAGCTGGAGCAGGAGATCAGCGCACTGGTGGGCGCCCCGCTGCACCTGCAGTGAGAGCCCCAACCCACCCGACCCAAATGGCTTTATACCCTGGTGGTCGGAGGGTTAATAAGGATACATGTTCCGCATTTGGCTGGCTGGCTGGCTTGGGGGGTATAGCTGCAGGCAGCCGCTGCTATGCGCGCGGCCCGGCCGCGGCCGCTGACAAGTAGGGTAACGTGTTGGGCCCCACAACAGAGCCCAAGACACGCACGGCTCGCAACATGTTGATGTGCCGTGTGGGGGTTGCATGGCTTCTGCTCCTGTCGGGGGGCCCCTGCCTGTGCAAAGCCACTGCCTTGTCGGCCCCTGTTGGGAGCGAGTATGGCCGACTTAGCCGGACCACCAGGTCGTGAGGCCCAGGCCGTCGCCGTTGATGTCGCCCATGACTACCATGGGGGAGAAGGGCTTTGCTGCAGTGCCTAGCAGCTTGTCGTCCCCTGTGGAGGAAGGGGAGGTGGGAGCAAGGGGAAGGGTGGGAGCTGGAAGTAAGCGGGTTTGTGGCCCGCTAGGTAGGGTGCAAACCATAGGTGGTTGAGGACGGGCTCGTCACCCTTGTGCGTGTGGTTGCTGCGAGGAACGGCATGTAAGCTTGGCGGTGCCAGGTGAAATTGAATGTGGAGGTTGATAATTTTGCAAATGGATTCCGAGCCTTCATATTCGGTGTGAGCGACCATACGTGCTTACCGGTAGCGTTTTGTAGCTGCAGTGGAGTCGGCGGGGCAGAGAACTTGACACTGTGCACCCGGAACCGGATGGGCTCATTCAGGTCCATGTACATGTCGTTCCCGTCAAACTTCCATACCCAGAGCCGCTCAGCCTCATCATAAAAAGAGGGGTCTTGCAGAGCGTGCTCCGGGATTATGACATCCTCGAAGAAGTCTAGAGATACACGAAGCCCCTCCCTGCGGGCACCATGGGTGATGGGTCGCTTCAGTCGCCCTTTGTGCATAAGCTCCGTTAGGTAGGTCCCCCCCCCCTTCATACCTTGAGCACGATTTTAACTTGCCAACGATGATTTCGCCAACAAAAGGGCGGAACACGACGACGCGAAATTGGACCTTAAAGAAGGCTGCACCGTCGTTTGGGTAGACAAAGCCTCCTTCAATGTTTAGCACGTCGTAGATGGTAACAACAAGCCCTAGGTTGGGAATGACTTTATCGACGAAGCGCTGCTCAATGACAGCTGTGACGGCGTCTACTGGTGTCTTGGTGAGGTCCTGTGGCAGTACTCGTATTTGATCTTCAATTTGCGTAATAATAAACATTAGCGCTAAGTGTTAGCCTATTCGCCTAAATGACTGAAGCCCACTGCGATGCATTAACCTTGAAATGGTTGTCACTATTGAACAGCGTTTCTGTCTCGTAGAAGTAAACGAAAAAGAGTTAACCGCTGCAGTGGCGTGCAGTTATGAGTACGAGGCTCCGAGACCTGTTTCATAGGCCGATAGCCGAGCCATTATCCGGTCTTGGCCCACTCTGTACCTAATCTTCTGCAACGCTTGCAATCCCATAAGAGAGATGTGAGATGTTTGGTCATAACGGAGCAGCATGAGCCCCGCCCGCAAACCCGACAACCCACGTGTCACCGCCCATTTTTTCCGCTCCGGGGCAAGAGATGCATCTTTCCCGGAAACAGTTGGAGAGGTTCAGGAGGTGCCGGCACGGCATGAGCGCTTACTTCGCAAAAATGCAAACTCGTGTCATGTACGGCGGACGGCGTCCTTGACCGGATTCTTGGGGAGGACGTATGGCAGATGCTCACGTTACACTTATGAGCCCCCCAAACACCATCCCTTGCCCTCAAGTATTCCAGCCGCATGTGGCCGCCAGGAGGCCATGTCCACAAAACACACGTATTTGCATTGCAGCAAGACAGGCCGTACCGACTCATGCTCGGGATTCTACACAGCCAAAACACACACCGGTCCGGGGTCCGACGGTTTATCCGAATTTCTAAAACAATTCCGTTTCCATACTCCTACCATGGGTGGGATTCGCGCTCGCTCTGGTAGTAACGACACTGCCCAAGGTGTCGACCGAGACGACAAAATTTTGGAACTGAAGTACCATGCCAGCCATTCCCAGAGGACATACGGAGGAGCCATAAACTCCTTCCAAAGAGACATTGCAGCCCTCCGCCCGTGGATGCCACAATACGCAGCCTGGCTTTGGTAAACGCCGCAGAGGAGCAACCCACAAAACCTGGCAAGCAACACATATACTCCCTCAGCAACATGGTGTCGTTCATCCCCCAGTACGCCTACCCTCCTGGAGGACGTCAAGAGATTTGGTTTTGGAGATTCCAAACAACACGTCTGGTCCCAACACATGATAATATAACGTTGCAGTCCGCCATTCGCGCAGCTAGAAAGCAGCACCTAGCGTAAAAACATCGGCTTCTCAAAACGCCAGATGCAGGTTTCTGCTCTCACCCTGTCTCACTCCAGCTTTTCCCAACAGCTACGGCTACTTAATATAACAACTGGTTCATCGCCTGTCAACGGCTGTCGTCCTTTAAACCCAACCCCAACCAGCGGCTCAACCACGGCCAACGCCATACATAACTACCAAGCCCCAAAGCTGCGCCTAGGCAGCATTTCCCAGCCCTCTCGCCTCTGAACGCCTGCGTGCTCCCCAATTCCCCTTTCAGGCAGCGTAGCCACGGCCCTCTGCGCCCAAGAGCAGCATACAGCAGACTCCTAAGCCCTCTAAGCGCGCTTGTGGGTAATCGTGAAGCACCTGATCCCCAAGCAAGCGCACACCTGGTTCACAATCGTCGTCACGTACCACGAATAGTACACCAGCATAAGGCCGACGCAGCCAACAGCCACCGCACGCGTGTCCACCACCTCGACCACACTGTTCACCGTTGCCAGCGACAGCAGCCCCAGCGGCAGCAGCGGCGGCCGGAAGGGCTCCTTGCACATGTGGTTCATGATGAGCTGCGTGGCGGTTGTCGCGTACACCAGGCCGTACAAAAGCGTTGCCAACCTGCCGTACAAGCATGGATGCATGGCATGGTGAGTTGGAGATGATCTTAACGGTCAGGAACGGGTCCCAGGTGAGACATGCGGCCGTTAACCTTGGTTCAACGCCAGTTACGAGAGAGGCAGCGGTCAAGCATGCCGACCCAGCACTGTAAGCATGCACATGCTGGCCCTTCGGCACTTGACAGTCCCCCGGTCCAGCAAGACACTGCTCGCTGAAATGCCAGGACAGCGACACATATGGGAAATGGCGATGCACCACCGGCCATGTTACGGCCGGTAGTGCGCGGGAGCAAAACCCCCCGTTCTGCGGCCAGTTGACCTGATACCCCGTGACCTACCTGGCCTGCCCCGGCTTGAGCTTGTCGTCCGCCAGGTACACGAATCCCAGCACCATCAGCAGCACCACGCTGGCCAGGTGCTTGAGACGCGCAGCCGTGCCCAACTCCTTGTGACCCCGCTCCTGGCACCGGATTGAGAAGGAAAGAAAGGGAAGAAATGAGTGCATGTTGCGTAAGCATATTGGGTAAGGCACGCACGGCCCGCATCACCGCATGGAGGATCGCGCACAGGACAGCTGAAGCATAGCCATCGCCGTCGACAGTTACCGGCACACCGGAACGCCTAGGCATTCATTCCATCCTTGCATCCTACGTCCGCTTCTGACCCGGCCCAAAATGCCCGCGACTCACCGCTGCCGGTAGCGCGTCCCACCCCTTCGAAAACACCCGGTACATTTGCCCGTAGAACTGGATGAGCGCCATGGTCACTGAGAAGATGATCACCAGATGCTTCACGACTGTAGGGAGAGGAGGGGGAAGCGACAGGGGGATAGGCGGGGGTGTTACCGGCGGCTCTAGGTGGGCGAGCTATAGCAACATACACCTACACTGCTCTAAGTGAGCATGCAAGCCCCGCTGCAGTCAATGTTGAACTGTCCAATCTGCTCTAAACATGCGCAAGGCAAGTGTACATGGACCCAAAAGCTCCTGAAAAAAGCATTTAATCCTACGGCGTTCAAGCCCCTCGTTAAGCACCACATCAGAGTAGGCAAGCCATGACCATGCAAGACCATGCCCCGTGGCAGACACGCATTGCCGTACCGTACTCACCCATGCTAGGGAAGGGCCAGGAAGGCACAACGCTCGTGAGGGGGAGGTCCCAGATACGCGGCCCAGCAATACCCGACACGAAGTCGACAGCTGCCAACATGTAGTTTGCTTCCAGGATGCCAAACCGCCCGTCGCCGTACATGAGGATCCCCGTGTGGTACTCCTCGTAGTGGCTCATCAGCCAAGGCAGGTACACCTAGGTCCCAGAGAGATAGCCCAAGAAGCCGAGTAGGTGGACGTTATGGCTATGTCTGAAAGGCTAATAAACTAGCACGCTTCCACTTCGTTTACAGGGACATGGGCCGTCATAGAGGCATGGGCCACAAAAACCACTACCCGCATGCCACCTACCGCGGCGCCGGCAGCGCTGGTCATTAGCGAGCTGGGCTCGCTGATGGCCGCCTGGATAAGCGTCAGCATGACGTGGAGCGCGATGGCATCGCAGCCGTGGTCGAAGAGCTGCCCCAATGGAGAGCTAGAGTTTGTGCGACGAGCCTGCTTGCCGTCTATGCAGTCCAAGTTCGTGTACACAACGATGGATACGCCCGCGAAGATGTATGTCCACCTCGGTGCCACCCCTGTTCCCACAAGGGGTTCGGACGACTGATTGATGCATCGTAATATTCCCGTTTCAACAATTGCGCTAGGATTAGGCTTACCCGCAAACTCTGGTAGTTCATACCACATGAGGATGTACGCGATGAACGTTACAATTAGCCCGCTGAGGGTGATGAGGTTCGGCGCCAACCACATGGGCAGCTGCGCCGTCAGCCCTGAAGCAACACAAATTCAATGCTATCATTTATAGTAAGGGAAGTAACTTGAGACGCGGAATCAAATTGCTGGTTCTTTAAACTGCTCGCCAATCAGTCTCACAGTTCCAAAAAGGTGTGTGCGCATGGTCCAGCCATGTATAGCCGCCTGGTTTATACACATAGGTTCGTAGCCCCTCAAGAGCTCTGTGGCTCAGAACCTTCATTTCTTTCGTCACGAGTGAGCGCGCCAAAAGGTATTCGTTTCCTAGCGCTCGCTGCACAGGTCTACAAACTACGGAGGCAAGCACCACATTAGGTGCATGCGAAGTTGCGCAGCCTTGTCATAACGGTCGCAAGACCGGTACCCAGTATACGGCACGTACGGCTGAGTAGCCAACGACTTGGCAGATGGATGCATCAAGCGATCTGATTTACATGATTAGCGTAAGCTGGTATTGGTTAATGCCGGCACTCCCCCGTCCAACAATTCCATTTAAGCCGCAAGGCCCGCAACATGCAGGGTTTAGGCGTTTATGCACCAGCTCATCAACAAGCCCTGCCACTACGAAACCGGCCCAAGCGATACTCCCAATCAGCAAACAATTCAGGTTTTGGCTTACACTAAACAGCCAACACCCCACCTAGGGCAAGGGTTTCTCTTGACACTAGCTTCGACACGGCTTACATGTACTCAGCGCATAGCTGCCTCTTCGGACGTTTGACACTCAGGTCCTAAAGTACAGAAAATTACTGTCAACGCACACCAACTTTTTCCGTCCGCACCCAACAAGTCAACGCAACACCTGCCTTACTCCACCAGTCCCAACTCGAGGACAGCGTGTTGTTAGCAGTCCTCGTCCGTCCCTGTGTGACGTTGGGGAGGCTCAGTATGTTGATACAAACATGACACATAAGAACAACCCTATAGGCAACAAAGCTTGAAGTGCTACCTGTATGTTTCAAGCCCGGTCTTAGGCACCCAACTCACCTGCTGAGAAGTACACATCAAGACAGCTTGCAACATGCATAAGGTGCCGGCCTTGGGCTGGTGCCATGCAGCTGAGCTGGCTGCTAATAACAGACAAGCCAAACCTGCGAGTGAACTGTAGGTGGTGAGTCTGTGGCTGTGGGAGTTCTAGCCCGGGGAGTGTATGTAACCGGTGTGTGCACGCAGGGTACGAGGAATGAGGTGTAGGAGACCTAGAGTATCGGTCGCATGCCATGATGCTCACCCACATATGGCAAAAACGCACGCTGTGTATCAACTTGTGGTGGACAGCCCGGACTTACGGGAGCGCTGGCGACATCACGTCGCTGCTACCGCGACTTGCGTGCTGCGCGGTGCATCCCGACAAGCTTGGAGTGGAGGCCAAAGAGGATAACCCTCGGATGCCATGCAACGTATTCTGTTGCGTGCAGACACGCCTACAGCTAGTCGTAAGCAGTCTTACAGCAGCCGAGCATGCCGAACTGGCCATTTTGCCTAGAAATATGGCAAAGGCCTATGGTTAAAGCGGTTGTATTGAAGTTCAGGTGCAAAGTGTCCGTGTGAAGCCAGGGGCGAGGGCGTCGGTTGCTATTGTTAAATGTACGGCATCGTTCGCGTGGAACCATCTTTGGGTTCAAGGCTTTTCGCAGCCTATGACTGCACGTCGCGTGGCCCGTGTTTGCTAGGTTCACCTTACACCTTGCTAAAGTTACGCCGCCAGTGACAATGTTACCAGGAAGCGCTCTAGACAAACTTTTATGCAGCTTTAGTCCATCAGGGGATCAATTTGCGATAGCAGGGGCTGATGGACGCGTTCGGGTCTTCGATACTGGTGCGCCACCCTGCCCCCCCACAATCGGTATATCCTATATGCTCACAAAGCCATCGCCTGTGCCTCAGGCAGTGGACGGCTTGTGGTTTCTCTTGGAGGAGCCACAGAATCTGGGAAGGCAAATGGGGGACCTGTTGGAAACGGACACCTAGTGGAGGCGCATACATGCATCACCTGGGTAGTCATTAAGGTAAATAGCGACAATCAGTTAAGTACATCTATTCTACCTACCACGCGTCTAAGTCGTGCATATGCCCTACAGGAGAAGGGCAAGAAAAAGCAGGCGGTCGGAGTCAGGGGTGTGGCGGTCGGCACAGCCGCCGGTGACGTAAAGCTCTATGATGTGCAGCTTGGAGAGCTTAAATGGAGAGCAGTTGATGCCGTGCAAGGGTAAGTCTAGCGACCGTTCTGGGTACGATGCGGTGCTCGCGCATCTCGACTAAGAAATTACTGGCGGCGCCGCAGAGGCGTCAAGTCGCTTGCGTTTTCAGCTGACCAAGGAGTAATCTTGGCAACGGGGAGCAGCTGTTCAATTGTTACACTCAGCGCGGACAGCGGCGAGGTAAAGAAGCGATTCGAGGCGAGCAAGTACCCCATTACCTGTATGGCGCTGTCGCCAGGTGAGAAGGTTGGGCTGTTTCCTTCTGGACCCTCGACAGGAGTACTGAAACTCAATATTTCGCCCGCAGATGGCAAGCACGTGTTCGGCGGTGGGTCGAGTATGCAGCTGTGGAACGTCGAGCAGCAGGAGCGGGCTGCGAAGTACACCGGCCACCCGGTACGCAACCGTCCTGTTGAAACCTTCCCCCTCGTGGTTAGCTAACGTTGGCATACTTCGCCTTTACCACTCATATAAACTCTGCCGCACGCCCCCGCTCAGTTTATCTAAGCCCCCGCACTAAGAACCGTCCACACACCTGACATCAATCCTCTCGCTAATCGCAACTCCACAAACCCAACAATCCCTGCACCACGATCCCGTACAACTCCACAGACGGAGGTGCGCGCCGTGGCGTTCGTCCCCGGGCAGCGGCACGCCGTGTCCGCAGCCAGCGGAGAGCGCCACGTCGCCATCTGGGACGTGCCGCCCGCTAAAAAGTCCAAAAAGCAGCACCCAGCCGTCACCACACTCAACCTTGAGGATCCCGCCGTGCAGCTGGACGCAGCATCCGTGTCGGAGGGTGAGACCTTCAATGTAGCGGCGGTTTCGGAGGGCGGCGAGGCGTACGTGTGGCTGTGCCATCGGGAAACGGCTGCTGGCATGGACGGCGCGGATGCGAAGACTGGCCTGGCGTGCCAGCTTGTGATGCGGCTGCGAGTGGGAGATGGCGGCAGCAAGGGGTAAGTGACGGCCGGCGCCGTGACGAGCGGCATGCGGGGTGGGGGATGTAAATGAAGCATGACTGCTGGCTTATGCGGGTATCCTCTTGTTGGGAACAATGCAAAGAGGGTCGACTTGCGTTGCAGGCAGGCGTGCTACGTTGTGCTTCCCCCCTCCGGTCAGGGTCAGTAAGCCTCGCGGCCCAGCTTATCTGGCCTCTGAGCTTACCTCCCTGTTTTCCTCCCTTGGTTGTGTGTTCACTCAGGGCAAACGCGGGCAGAGACGAGGCGGTGCTCGGGATACGCTTCCAGCCGGGTCCAGCAGGTGGGTTGGTTTGCGTGAGGGGTTGGCTGGGGGCCTGACGGAGGGAGTTAGCCGGGGCTGACAGACGGAAGGAGCTAACTCTAGGTGTAACCGTGTTTGCGGACAGGGTGCGTGGGTAAGCAAACCGGCTTGGGAGCAAGGGGGTACCAGTGGGTTGTTGTCATGGTGGTGGCCATAGCCCTCAATAGGGGTGGCCTAGGTCGGCTAACCGGAGCAAAAACTTGCCTGCAAGTGGGGTCGCAAGTGTGACTGCTTGCTATTGCAATCATCGTCCCCGGGATCATCATGGTGGTAGGCGCTGCTACCTCTAGGGGCGTGTTTGGGTGACGTCGTACTGCGTTGCATGGGGTCGCTACACACTGGCGGCCCAGCGCTGTTCTCTTTTCCCTTCTCACGTGCTTCTACCACTTGGAAGGATGTAACCCGGCGCGAGAGGGAGGGGTGGCGGATACGTAGCATGGTCGCACACTAGCATGCCATGCTGTGCATCTGACTGACCGCCACTACATACTACCAACAAGCTTCCTATCATGCATTGAAACGTATCACCGGTGCCTGCACACATTCTTCTTTCGTTCTTGTGCTGCATTCCTCTCTGGCTGCTGAGACCTGCGACCTCCTCCCATCTCCTCCTCCCTCCGTCACCCCAGGGCCATCCTTGCTGGTGGCCCGTGGGTCATCCGCTAAGCCAGCCTTCGAGACCCTGGCGGTGCCCTCCGAGGCGCCGCCAGCCGCAGCCGACGTCATCGTCTCCCTGCGGCCCGTCGGCGGCGTGCTGCTACCTGGCGGCAAGGCCGACAACGGCGCGACAGCTACCCTGGACAAATCCATCCAGCCACGGCCGCGCCAGGCGCCGACCAGCGGCCCGGGTGTGACTGTTCTGGGCACTGATAACATCGGGCAGCCGGTGGTGACACGTACCGCCGCTGAGGCAGCCAGCCGAAAGCGAGGCGCGGATGACACCGACGCGGGCGCTGCTGCTGCTCCTGCAGCTGCGGCGCAAGAGGAGGAGGAGGTGGTGCCGGACCTGCCCGAGGGGGATGTGCCGCTCGGGGAACGGGTGGCGGCGCTGGAGTCGCGGACGCAGGGGGCTGCGGCTGAGGAGGCGGGACCCAGCGCCCCAGCGGGTCTGCCGGCGGGGTCGTCGAAAGCGGATTCGCTGTCGGTGCTGCTGACGCAAGCGATTCGCAGGTGGGGGCGTGGGGCTGGGTTGGAGGCTGCTGATGGCCCCGGAAAGTTGCTGCACGTACAACTCCCAACAGAGGGCGCATGCAAAATTGGGCACGAATTGTTATAAGGTGCCCCAGGGTTCTCAACAAAAGGCTACCCGCGCGCCAACACAGTAGCAATACGGTCGTGAGACAGTGTTTCGCCTTAGGAGTGAAAGTTCGCCTAATGTATGTCCTGACTCTGTATCGGAGCCGTTGTGACCCTTTGCTCTTTGCTCCTGGTCTGTCGGCTTCCCATTTACCTCATCACACCACACCTCTCCCCCCTCCCCCGCCCCGCCCCGCTCCCCCTCCCCAGCAACGACCGCGCGCTGCTCGAGCGCTGCCTGGCCACCAGCAGCCCCTCCCTGGTCGCCAACACGGTGGCGCGCATCATGCCCATGGACGCAGCGCTGTTCCTCAAGGTGAGCGGCGAGCAGGGGAGATTAGTAGGGATACGCATTCCACATTCAGCTGGATCATAGAATCGCACTTAGTCATACAAGGAGGGGAGGCTGGGGGGCCTGCTGGGAGGCTGCAGCTGCGAGCTAGAGGAAATGCAGGATCTTGCTTACACGTTGTCCGCAAGCATCAATATACACTGCAGCAGACAGGGTGCTTGAGGGCTAGCGTTACGTAGCAAGACGAGCATGTACTTGCGACGAGTCCCGCTAAGCATGCGGAAACGGCTCGGCGCCCGCCACTTCCCTCGGTTTCCTACACCCCGCAACCGTTAACAGGCGCTCACATGCTCACCCTGACCCTGATCTTGCCAATGGCTCGGCCCGCGCATTGATCTTGCCTCGTCCCCCCTCCCCCTCACCCACCCTCTTTCCCCACCCCGCCCCTCTTCCCTCAGGCCGCTGTGGACCGGCTGGTGTCGCGGCCCAGTCGCGCCTCGCAGCTGGTTGCCTGGATCCGCGCGGTGCTGCACCACCACACCGCCTACCTCATGAGCGCGCCCGGGGTGCAGCCCTCGCTCACCAGCCTCTTCCAGGTGAGGGGTTCAGAGATATACCAAAACCACAGGTTAGGGCACAGCAATGGTAGTGGAGGGAAGCAGTTTGTACGAAACAAGGAAGTTGCCGCGTGTGGAGCCTGGGCAAGGTGCTGGCGCCGGTGCCAGTGAGCGATATGGGCGGTTGTTGCCGTAACCCACAGGATGGGGCTGTGTATCACCTCATCCCCAAGACAGCGTATTGTCTGGCTTCATGATGTGTTGGTTCTCTGGGGTCATTTTCCTCTTTGTATACTGAATGGCCCACCCCTCTCTCTCTCCCCCGCCGTCTCACCCCCGCAGGCCATCGACGCGCGCGTGAAGCTGCACGACCCGCTGCTGCGGCTGCACGGGCGACTGGGGCTGGTGCTGCACCACACGCGGGACAAGGGGCAGCTGCCGGCGGAGCAGCAGCGGCCTGCGCCAGAGGTGGGTGCTGCTACCCGGGGGTGGGGTGGGCGGGGCGGAGGGCAGCTGGCAGGCGACAACAGCAGCAGTTGGGGGGTCGGAAGCAGAAGCACAAATGATCGGCGCGCTAGGATTGGCTGTGTCTTATGCTGGAGCGGCGCGTTAATCGCATAAACCGGTACATGGCTCTTGCTTCGTCCCTGTAGCTCCGACACGTTGGTGGTCATAGCAACTATGCTGCACGCACGCATGTCCTCCTGAGCACGCACCGAGAACACCCTCCAGGCCTCGCTTTCCAGGCTGCGTTACCGCCAGTCCGCCACACATCCTGCGTCGCTGCTCCCCAGTGCACTGCAAGCCCACCTCGCATCCTCCCTAATCAGGGCACAGTAGGCACCGAGTCGTGTCTTTCTTAGTTTGCCACCCCCCATCTCACGCAACATGTGTATGCCGCCCGGCTCACCCACAACCCAGGTGGTGTTTGAGGACGCTCTGGATGAGGAGGAGCCGGCTGCTGAGGATCCCTTTGCGCCCGCCGAGGTGTCGGAGGACGAGGAGGAGGGCAGTGACGTGGAGTTGCTGTCGGAGGAGGATGACGAGGAGAACGAGTTTGACGCCATGTTGGCGGACGGACCCGCGGGTCAGGGGGACAGCGATGAGGATGATGAGGACCTGGACGACCTCTTGGACGATTGAGTGTTAGTACAGATGCTGAAGGCAACTGGGGTTCATTGGGGGAGATGAAGGGGTGTGAGGAGGAGATGACGTCAGGTTGAGGTGGACTGCTTTTCTCCTTACTGCGGTCACCTGTGGCGATATGTGCTCATCTGGGTTTCAGGACAGAGGACCAGAGGACTATGATTTAGCAGGATGCGTAGGACTTTACTTTCATTGTTTGCATGCTTAGAAGCGTATCTTCCTCTTACCGGTCTAACTATCGCGCTGAAGCCTTTGTGAAGCAAAACACCCTACAACCCTTGGCAACAAGCACGTGACTTGGCGTGTGCGGGGGGAGCAGGCTGCCGGTCTGCACTTGGTCCGAGGACACCGGGGGTCTCCCAAGCGGCGGTGTGCTTCATGCTTGTAATTCTGCTCGCCTAGCAATCAAACTGTGACGCTGTGAGCTGGTACCGGTATGGAAATGAAGTTTCTGTTTAAAGTGTTTGATGCACTCGAGTTGAAGGGTTTGGGGGAACGAAGAGGGGCACAAAAGAGGTTGGCCGGGCAGTCGGTAAAGAGAATACTGTCAAGGGACTGGGCCTAGGCAGAGGGGCACTAGGAAAGGGAAGAAGACACCGTAGGTGGGAAAAGATGAAATATTCTCACGCGATGAACTAAGAGGGGGAACTCAGGGCAGTAACCAAGACGCAGGCCGCTTACGTACTACCGGTACACGGTGTTTGTGCATTAGGTCCATCGTGTGTAGTGCTCGACGGCGGTGCGGACCTTATGGAAAGCAAACAACATTACAGCGCCGGGCATTGTTGTCAGCCACGCCTTGATGTGGAGTTAGAATGCAGGGAGCCAGACGCTGCCTGCTTGAGGAAAGTCTGTATGGTGTATCGGCGACCTTGAATACCGGATACCCTGCTGGAAGCACGACATTGCTGTTGCTGCGATGCCAAACCTTATTCCTTGCTTAGGTTGGAGGGATGCTTGGTAACATGTATTTTGCGCAGCGCTTGCGACTCCCAACATGACACGGAGAGCCGTTACTATACTTAGCCATCTGAGGCGAAAAATCAATGCCATAACGAATGAACTATAATAAATTATGGGTTACGGAGGCAGGGCGAGAGCGATTCAGCAGGCCACGTTTGACCAACCGCCCGGCCAGGGAGGCGATCGTCGGCAGGAGCTGGATTCTTAGTCCAAGCCGAATGAGTTATCACAAAATACAATATGGGCACCTTTCAATGGGTGGTTTGTAGCGGCGTAGCTTGACCACGCAAAGGTTTGAAGCAATCACAGTCGGTTACCGCAACCGCACTAGGGCCTGGAGCCCTAACGAAGGGCGAAATTCCTATATACAGAACCGCGATAGTACTTTTCAGTAACAGCCTCATACTGGCCTAAGGTGCCCTACCGTAGTAGGACTGCATTTTAGTGACGAGCGTCCACCTCACAGTCAGAACCATGGTGACACCCCCCACATCCACGAGTAGGTATAGGAGAATACAACTTAAGCTGTGCGTCGATAGGGTCAGGGGGGAAGGGGCAGCATTACGTATCCGTTGTACAGATTGCTCCAGGAGGGTTGAATAGTTGGTCTGTTGTCTGGCCCTACAACGCACTGCTATGACTTTCCTTCAATCTGGATTAACTACTTGTGTCCGTCGCTCCTTGAAGAATACATTCCCTTTATATACCTCATTCCAACCGGCTGATCCCCTTGGAGGCGGCAGTTTGCCAGGAATATTTAGGGCACGAGGTCTGTACACATTACATTGGTTAAAGGGAAGCTAGTAGCGTCAATATAGCATCGGTCCCTAACGTCCCCAGCAGCTTGTGGGACGACAACGAAAGATTGCATTCGTTAGCCGCTCATAACTCCATTTCAGCAAAACTGCTTTTCTCTGGCGTTTCCTGACAATGGTGAGTTGCTTTGTGCCTTGGCCGAGCCGGTGGGCATGTGGGTGCTGCGGACCGTAGAGGAGTGCCGTCGCCTCAAGTACGGCCTAGAATAGGGCCGCCGAGCAAAAGGCCGACCGCCCATCAGATTGCTTGGATGAATTGAGGCTTCTATGCTGGGCCTAGAAGCGCTACCGAAAATCTAGTGATTACGTGCGCCACGTACACCTGTTTACGACTGCCGTTGTAACTTCGGCCTTTTCCACGTCACAGGATATCGGTGCCTGGGAGCACCTCCTCGATGTGTGTACAGTTCAGCTGCAAACCGATTCTCGTCTCAAGCTCGTAGACACAGCAGACATACATGAACGCCTCCGAGCCGAAGGTGAGAACTCCTGTCAGTAAGGAACTAGTAATAGTATCGAATAGCATGTTTAAGTTGTATGGAGGATTTGATTGAAAGCAACAAACTCACCTTTCTGACTGTGCAAGCCTAACTGTAAGTAATTACGTTGCATACCGTCTAAACGCATTTGCAGTGGACAACGGTGAAGGCCCACGATACCAGCAGCGTCTGGCGAATATTCTCCTCGTTCAAGGTCTCGCCGAGGCCGTGCTCGCACAGCATCGCAGACCACAGGCCATTGCAAGGACTACGCCTCCATACCTTCAACCGCCTCTACCGCAGCCAGCCCTGCCCCAGCCTGCTTCCACCCAGGGCCCTCAGATTCACCCTATCAACGATGACTGCGCCCCTGCTAAAGCATCGTCAGCATTGCAAGTCAAGAGGGCCTCTCCACATGCTCAGCCACCGGATACTTCTACACAATTGTCGGAGCTTCGGTCACCAACGGGGCAGCTTTCGGAGCCTAAGGGACAGGGCGCACACGGTCTTTCGCACCTGTCCTACCACAGCAAGCCGACCGCCAAGCCGCTGATCCCTGGTGGTCCTTGCGAGAATCCGGTTAGTACCGTTGATTACCCTGCTCACTGTGCTCTCGAATCCCAATGTAGCTCCTCCTAAAAATATACCCAAGCACATGCACACAAGGAAGGCCCAAAGCTCCAACAGCCCACCGCACCCCTGCTCCTCCTCCGCTCCTCCGCTCCCCTGCAGTTTTGCGGAGTGGTGGAGGCTCCCCAGTGGCGCCGCATCGAGAAGAAGCTGGTGTGCAACCGCTGCGGCATGTACTACCACCGGCACTCGCGCTTCCCGGACTGGAGCTACTTTGTAAGCATTGGGCATGCACCATGCAGCCATGGTTTCGCAAAAGACTAGAGTCCTGCGAACATGCGGTGCTTTTGCTTGCATGCATGCATGCATTCCACGTCTCCCCAGTCGCACCCGCACCCCCCAACCTTCCTTCCCTGCTTTTGCCCTGCCCGACCCTGTCTCTGCTGCCGCCCTGCCGCAGAATGGTCTTGCCAGCAAGCAGGCGCTCCGACAGGTGGTCATCACCCATCGCACCCGACCGGACCAGCCTCCATCCTCCTCCGCAGCTCCGACAGGCCCCTCATCCGCAGCAGCCCCAACCGCCGGAGTCACCTCAACGCCGCGGCCTCCACCTCACCACCTGCTGCTTGCGTCCTCCACTGCCACCACCGCCTCAGGAGGAGGAGGGCTGCAGGGCCCGCGGGCAGCGGGACCCGCCTCCCAGCACCCCCCAGCCGGCATCACCACCACCACCACCGCAGCGTCCGCCATGGCTACGGCCGCCGCTGCTGCTGCAGCGCTGGCAGCCGGGTCGGGTGCTGCGGATTCCAGCCTTGCAGCCACTGGCATGGGGCTGTTGGACCTGTTGCGACGCAAGGGAACCAAATTGGATCCAGCACTGACGGAAAAGGTACTGGTGACGCCTGTCAGCCAGATGGATATTGACACGATTCGCAGGCTGCAGGCGTTGCTGTCAGAACGGGCTCAGCAGGGGGATCAGCAGCAGCAACAACATCAGTTGCGTGGGGCTGGCGGAGGAGGGCAACGGCAGCAGCAGCAGGCCCCTGGCACGGTGTATGTGTGCTCGGATGCTCCTCGGTCGCCCTCGCAGCAGCAGCAGCACCAGCAGGAGGGGCAGCGAAGCCCCGACAGCCCCTCCTCAGACTCCACATTCGCGCCGGTGTCCGTGAACAGCGGCGCGGCTGCTGCTGCAGCCGGCGCAGACGGCGGCAGAGCGGCACATGCGTCAACAACAACAACGCGGCATGCAGACGCAACAAGGGTGGTGGCGCCCGGACGGGATGCGGGTGAGTGTGCTGATCCCTCTCCGCGGTCCTCCTCTCAGCACCAGCAACACGGCACCGAGGGTGGGCGGCATGAAGGAGGGCAGTCAGCAGCAGCTTCTGAACGTGGTAGCAGTGCAGTGGGAGCCACGACCGCTGCTCCTCGCCTGCAGCAGCAGCAGGCCCGCAACAGCAACAGCGAGCTGCATAGCCCTCGGGGCGCAGGAATGGTGGCGCAGGGAGGGAGAAGAGCCCTCCACAGCAGCGCTGAGGGTGATGAGGGTGGTAAGGAGGAGGAGGGCGCGGAGGTGCCGGCGTCGAAGCGCACTCGCACTGGTGTTGCTGCTGCTGCTGCCCAGCCGCCGCCACACGCAGCAACGCACCAGCAGCAACAGCAGCATGACGGGGAGAGCTACGAGGGGGCGGTGTGGCGGGAGCAGCGGGAAGCGTCCTTCGGCCAACAACGTCAGCAGCAGCAGCAGCAACCACACCCATCGCGAGCTGTGCAATTGCACGGGTCCTCCCAGCAGCACCAGCAGCAGATGCTCCTAGCGGCGTTGTTGCAGCAGGAAAAGGCGATTCGGGCCCATGAGGAACAGTTGCAGCAGCATCACCCGCACCAACAGCAGCCACAACAACAACAGCAACACCACCACTGGGCATCCGCGGAGGAGGGCTCTACCACGCCGCGGCGTGCCGGTTCTTCCCTCTTGGAAACAATCGCCGCAGCAGCAGCGCTACAGCAACAGCAACAACACCAGGAACAACAACAACAACGCCACGCTCCCTCGCTGCGCCATGAGGAGGCAATCGACCGGCAGCAGCACCGTCAGCAACACCAGCAACCACAGCAGCGCCTGCACCACAAGGAGCAATCCACAGGGCAGCAACAGCAGCAACAACAGCACCTAGCCGGCAAGTCACAGAGGTCAGCCGTGGAGCGCTCCTACAGCACCGCCGCCGCCGCTGCTGCAGTTGCTTCCGCGCATTGGCCTCACGCTGCTGCGGCAGGCGGCGGTGTGGATGGCTTAGCACACCTGGGCGGCAGCGGACTGGTGGGCGGATTGCTCATGCGCGACCTGCAACAGCGTGCTTTGCTGGCCCAACACCAGCACCAGCATCAGCAGGCACTGCATTTGGCCGCTGCTGCTGCTGCTGCTGACCCGCATGTCCACGCCCACGTTCGGAGTGAAGCCGCTCTCCTGCTCGCCGCCGCTGCAAACGCCGGACAGTACGAGGGTGCATCCGTCGCGGGGGGCAGCAGCAGGGCTGCAGCAGCAGCTGCTGCATTGGAGGCAGCAGCCGCAGCAGCGGCGTTGGGCCGCGCCCATGCTGCTGCCAACACGCAGCACCAGCAAGCACATGGCTTGTACGGGCTGCAGCAAGACGCCGGGATAGCAGCGGCGGCTGCTGCCCGATCTCTCGGTGGCAGCAACAGCGGTAGCGGTGCTTACATGGAGGATCTGCTGGGCATGTTGCTTGCGCGGGGCCAGGGTGCGGGGCGTGCGGGTGCAAAGGCCGTGTCGCAGCTGCCTGTTATAGAGACGTCAGGGCCGGGCGTTGTAGCAGCGGCCGGTGCGGGTGCTTACCCTGGGGGCGCTGCGTCGTCGAAGCAGCAGCAGGGGAGCAACAGGCAGGGATCCGGGGGCAGTGCCGCGGGGCCGGCCGCGCTGATGCCGGTGCTGGATCTGGGGAAACCTTCCACGGCGCTTGCGTTTTGAGTGGGAGGAGTGGTTGATGGTGATGTGCGGGGTGCTTGGGTTGGGAGGGGGTGTGGGAGGTTTGTATACCTGCCGTGAGCAGGAGGGCTGCTTAACAGAGGAGCGTCGCCTGGGGATGGTAATGGCGAACGTCAGCTTCACTCGGCTACTACTGATACCAAAGTATGCTTCACATTTATCAAATCGGGTGTCTTGATTAGACCGAGCTAGAAGCAGGCCGAGGCCTGGACGTAGCGCTATCCTTTTTTATACCGTGTGCCGATTAAGAGATGCGAGGATTCCCGTAAATACATGCAATGGCAACGTTGCATGCGTGATGCCAAATGACGACGGCAACACTGAATGACCCTGACACTCCTAGAGCGCTATCCGCATGTTGGGCGTCAAGTTATGGACCAAACTACCAGCGCCTTTGACAAGCTCTTATGATTTGGGCCATGATGTTGATTCGTGCAGTTTCTTGTCATCTTGGGGTTTGGGTGTTTCCGCGCCCGCCACTGTCCGCCCTGTTTGCTGGCTGTTTCCTTCCTCCTGACTCTTACCTAGCGAGTACACTGACATGGGCGTGCGTGCTCGACACTTCCGGCGGCAACAGCAATGGGTGCCGCGTTGTTTGTTTTGCGTGCTGGCAGTCATAGCGCTTGGCAGCACGCAGTAATATATGCTGCGTGCACCTCTCGCTGTGTTACTTGCTGTGAGGGGTGCTATATCTGCATGCCCCAAGATATAGCGTGCGCATGTCTTGGGGCGTGGAGGTGATGGTGTTGCCTTTTGTACACTAGTTAACCGAGCGTCATCCCGAGGCGATGGTAAAGATTGTTGATTATATTAGATGAGCTTTCATTCGGCAATTCCTCTTGTCTCTCTCTCTCTCTCTCATGGTTCGGTTCCCTTGGCGTCGTGGCGGTTCGGAGACAGACACATCCGTAGGGTGTTGGATTTAGGTCTGCAGGCACAGGGGGTCTACAGGCACGGGGGTCTGCAGGCACGCTGGCAGTGCAGTGATTCGGAGGAAGGAGTCTACGAGAGATGATTCCTGCCGTTATGTTGCTTGTCATGTGGCTTAAAAAAGCGATGTGCCATTAACACCGGCGACGTGTGGACAGGGTTACTGCCATGTCGCCCCAAACGGCACATGGTCCCGAAACCAACATGCCTGGGAGTTTTGGGCTTTGATTGAAAACGGCCATGCGGCTCGAGGTTTGCCCTCATTGCAAACGGCTTGGAGCTGTTTTTTTTGTGCCGAGGGGGGGTGACATGAGGTCTGGCTGGGAATCACGTATTTCATCTAATTGCGTGTGCTCGTGCCTGTTTTGATGGTCATTCGTGGATTGGGGATTCATGGTGACCCAGTTAATGAACCCTAGTAAGCATGAACTGGATAACGTTGTCGGGTAAACACGTGGATGATGTCTTGGAGGCCCTACAAACGTGGCGTGCGGCACTGTGCGGTTTTACCATGCGGCGAACGAATGACGGGCAGCGGGGTGAAGGGAGGAGCGCACAAACGCAAGAGATAAACACGTCGGTCGGTCACCGTTGCGGAGTTGTTTGGCCGTTTTTACATATGTGTGTGTTGCATATGTATGTTATACTAGTAGGGCGTTTTTGCTGCTGTGTACACGGTCAATGAACACGGGCCCGTGGACGTTTTTCGCACTTTTTAGTGTTGTCCGCTACAAAGCGAAGAGAGTCTTAGCAACCGAATTGGGAATTGTGGTCCTTATTTGCGGGCTTGCTCTATACTTGGGACATACGGCAAAACGACAGCTGCCGTACAACTCCGTTAACTGTGCGTACGTCGCTCTGAGGCTGGTTGAGCTAACTGCTATATACCGTAACTGGGCACGTTGCCGGAGGGCCTGCCTCTTAATGTGAAATGGATTGTCTGCAGGAACGTCTCAACGTACGTCCCGGACATGTTGTCAATTGACACACGTTTTCCCACGATTGCGGTGTATGGTGCAGTGTGGTCAGTTGTATGACGACACATTGTTGGCAACTCCGCTTGAAAGCTAATAAGCCAGTTGTTGTTGTCTCCGTCCTGAGTACCGGTAAGCTTTAAGCTGGTTTGTTGTCAGTCCTGGAAGGAAGGGTATCCTGCGCTGTAGTAAAAGGTGTCTGTTGGTTTGTTCCTGTTTGTGCAAGATGTGTTGCTGTTTTGCTTGTGCTGCAAGCCTGAAATCTTGACGATTGCACTGGATTCTTGTGAGTATGGTAGGGACTGAGTTGGGATGGAGCGCGCATGCACTGATGTGGGAAGGCGGGGCAACGGTGCATTGTACTCATATATACACTCTTACACTGTGGTATAATTTTAACGGTCACAACAGTGGCGGTGGTACTAGTAAGGGGGTACGAGGATAATTAATGTCTTCCTCGTTAGGACTGTGTCGCAATCCGCAACGTCAACTGACGTCAGTTGGTTGTGAGATGGCATTTGTAATCTCCTGTTGCTGAGTCATACACGAGGTGTCTGCTACTGACATCACACACTTGGGGTTACATTACCTGGGGTGTTGATATCCTGACAGCTCAGTTCAGCTCTTGAAATCAACAAACGATAGGTGCACATATCTCAGTACGCTGCATATTGCAGCCGGGTTGTGAGCAGCACAGTTACCATCAGCTGTCCCTCATCAGAGCTACACAGTTTCAAAGCTGTTCCAAAGCAACCAGCCATTCCGCTTATCACCCACACCGCTATAGCTGTCCGCCGGCCGTCCCAGCCATCTACCATCATCATCCGACGCCACACTATGTCTCACCCATTTACCCTTCCACTCCCTAACCCCATGCAACCTAGCGCCGCCGCCTGCCGCTGGCATCCGCCGCCCCCCACATCGCCTTGAGCACCGTATTCACCTGGTTGCTGACCATCTGCTGAGCCACCTTGCCCATCGCGTCCCCCACCACACCACTGCTAACCATGTCCTGCGCGATGTTGTTCACGAACTGACCCGCGCGCGATTGAGACAGCCCGTTAATCACCGCTCCGCTGCCGAGACCCGCACCTGCAGCACCGCCATAACCGCCGCTACCTGCTTGCTGCATGATGGATGACACATCGCTACCGCCGCTGCCGCTGTTGCTGCTGAGCAGACTCTCCCAGGGCATGCCGCCGCCGCTGCCGCCGCTGTTGCCGCTGTTGCTGCTGCCACTGCCGCCGTCAGGCGCGCTGCTGGACACGAGGCCGCTGCCGCCGCGGCCACCCAGGCCCCCGAGGACTCCCGCGCCTCCGCCCAAGGCGCCCCCCGCCCCTGCCAGCCCGGCTGCTAGGCTCCCAGCCGCGCCACCCCCACCGAGCAGCCCCCAGGAGGGGGAGCTACGAGGCGAGCCCATCAGCGCCCCGCCCTGAGCCGGCCCCAGCTCGCAGGTGCAGGCGGAGCTGCACCACTGAGTGACCTGAAAGGGGGAATGGGAGGAGGGGTAGGAGGGAGGGGTTTAAAAGAAATTCCAAAGTGTGGTGTGGTGTGGTGTAGGAGGGAGGGGTAGGAGGGAGTGGAATACGGGTGAGGGGGGAACGTGTACGTGCTCGTACAACCGTGGCTCATCAACACATGCACCATATGTCATGCTATGGGGCGGGATGTCCAATGCTTTGTGCCCCCGGCGGGAACCCGGCTGGCGGCAGCACACCAATTCTTTAGTGGTCTTGTACTGTACTGCTGTACTGCACTGCTGTACTGTACTGCTGTGTCGTACAAAATACATCACCTTGCTTTTCTCTTGTTGCTTCAGGGGGTTGCTCTCACCTGCTTGTTGACCCAGTCCACATCCACTAGGGCGGGCGCCTTGCAGTCGCCGCGGCGCTGAAGGGCGCTGCAGCCGCCGCTGGCGCTGCACAGGCCTGCGGAAGTTGGGCGGTTACAGGGCAGCAGGAGGGGCAGCACGGCAGCAGTAGGAGCGCGGCAAGGAGGGCGGGGGCGAGGGAGGTACACCAGGACTCCCAGTGCAAGCGGAGTGTGTGTGGGGTGGGGAGTCACAGTACCGTTAGTTTGATTCTGGTGGGCTGTGTGCTGAGGAGAACAAAGGCATCACCACGATCCTCAGGGCAGCTCATTCTTAATGCTGCATGCACGCTGGCAGCACCATTCCTTGCATGGTACACCTTCCCCCTCCCTAACGACGTCTTGAGTCAGTGCCTGGCACTGGAATTCGGGTGCCCCCCTTTAAACCCTCCCCCCTTCTAGACCCCCCACCTCCACGATTAGGCGGGCAGCCGTCAATAGAGCGGCAGGTCCAGCCATTCGCCGCCGCCTTGCCGCCGCCCACCACCGCCGTCACCGAGCCCGGGGTGCCCTCCCCGCTGCGCTGCGCGAAGGGTGTCACCGTGAATCTGTACTTGGCTTCCAGCGTGAGGCCGGTGATGTTGGCGCAGCCGCCCTTGGAGATCTTGCCGCCGTCTGGCGGGGAGGAGGAGCGGAAGCCGGGGCCGTCGAGCAGCTTGGCAGACAGCCTGTGGGGAGGAGGAGAAGAGAAGAGGAGGAGGAGGAAGTTATGAGGGATTGGGTGCAGAAAGGGTTTGGGGTTGGTGAGGCGGCAGGCGGGTAGGTAGGGTGCGACAGACCGCATTCGGTGCTTGCACTTATGTGCACTGTATGCACGTAATTACAAAACTGGCGAGCGTGTGTGTGTGGCTGGCAAATACCCCGGGAATGACTCATCATGGCGGCGGTGCCCCTGTCAAAGGGACGTCAAAGGGGCCATGTGCGGGGTACGGCACGGAATGGCACACACCTGTATTCGTCCACGCACGCGTCGTTCTGCACCCCGTCCCAGCACAGCCGTCCCCAGCCGTCTCCAGTCTGCACCCGCAGGTTGGTGGGGGCGCCGGGGGCGGTGGAGGCGTCGCAGCGGTCTGAGGGTGCTGCGGTCACCTGTAGGAGGGAGGGTGGGGGCGCGGGTGGGAAGGGGTGGGAGGAGAGAGGAGGAGGCTGCAAGAGGCTACAAAGCACTGTCTCCTTCGCTGCTGCTCTTCTCCTCGGACTGAACACCGTGTGCACTCCTACCACCCACCAGCCCAACAAAACATGCAACATCACACCGTCATCCCAACTTTCTTCATCATCAGTGACACAGACACCTCACCGTTGCAATGCCGCCCGTCATGAAATGGCTGCTGTACGATTGTACGGTGAAGGTGTACGGACGACCGTTAGTGAGGCCCTCCACAACTGCAGTACGGCCGCCGGTGGAAGTGGACTGTGCGTGGGTGGGTTGGTGGCGGAGGTGGAGGTTTGGGTTGGGGTTCGGGTTCGGGTCGGGATGTATGTACCCGGGTTAAGATCTTGCTGTGTAGTCATTGATGTACCAGGCATGTGATGGGTACGTGGCCTTAATAGCAGCGTAGACAGCTGGTTTCGGAGGCTGCTCCGGGCTTTCATGCGTGCATGCCGCCCCATGCATCCCCATGCACGCCAACGCAAGCAAGCCAGCAAGCCATAATGCCACCACCCGAGAGCGCACACGCTCGCTCTGGCCTAACGCATCAGTCATCATGCATACATGCGCGCTTCTGTGTGCCCCAATGCCCAAGTGGAACGCCACCCCACCCCACCCCCCACCCCACCCCACCCCAGTTAGTTGTTTTCTCTTTACACCCCCCACCCCACCCCACCTGCGCCGGTGTCCCCGCTCCGTCCCTCATGAAGGGCTCCAGCACGTTGACCACGTACTGCGAGACGCAGGTGCCGTCGGCGGGCGGGTCCCAGCTGAGCAGCACCTTGCCGTCCTTGGGGACAGCCTGGCGGGGCGGAGGGGGGGGAGTGCGTTGCCAAGTGGGTTGGAACTTTAAGGGGCGACAGGGAACGTTCGAGGGCAGCAGCAGCAGTGGCAGCGGCAGCAGCACCAGCGTTTGATGAGGGAGCAGCGCTGGAAGTATAGGGATGCAGCAGGTTCGATGATGGGAGCTCGACGGACGCGAGCGTGTGGGGACAGCAGCGACATCAGCGCCGGCGTTGGAGGGAGCAGGAAGGGGATCTCCCCCTCGAACCTCCCGGAAGCATGCAAGCCGCTATACCTAATATGTTACATCACAAGCAGGCTGGGCGGCTGTCCGGCACCTGGCAGCCGCCAACCATACCCGGCGTACGGCACCCCCTACCTTGAGGTTTGCTGGCTTCCCGGGCGGTCTGTCCCCGATGCATCCCTCGCTGTCGGGCATGAGCACCAGGTCCTGTCCGCGCACCGCCACACCGCCCAGCAAGCAGCCGCAGACGCCGGCAGCCAGCAGCAGCAGCGCCAATCGGCGGCCGCGGAGCAGGCGGGGGAAGGGCGGCGAGGCGGGGGCGCGGGGGCGCCGGACGGAGGTTGAGGTTGCGGTGGTGGGTGCGGAGGTGGTTGTCCGGATGCGAGTTGCCTTGGGCATGTTTGTGTGATGTGTGTTGGGAAGGTTTGGAGGCAGGTGTTGTTGGAGGCTGAAAGGGTGGCGGTGGTGCGACTGCTGCTAAGACGACGATGGCAAGATGAGGCTATAAGGGTTGTTGAAAGCGCTTGGGCTGAGTGAAGGAGGTTAGGGGTTCGTGGCGCGGTTGAGGGAGGAAGAGGTTCTTGGAAAGGGGTTACGGTCGGGCCCCCTTGTGTGCGTCTTAATATATCTATCACTCCGCAACGGCTGCGATGGTCGCGGGTGGGTGGAATTCGCTGGGTGGCGCAAAGGCCAGATCACTAGTCGTGTTGGTGCCGCGGGAAAAGGGTGGGCGAGTGCTATGAATTTGGGAATTGTGGCGTGACCATGATACGCCATCGGCGTTAATATATAGTAGGTGCTTAAGTGCTTGGAAAGTGGCAGCAGGCAGCGATTGGCAGTTTCCTGGCGGCCCTGACGTGCGAAGGGAAAGTGACAGCGGCCTGTTACTGGGGCTTGTTGGGGCGCTATTGAAAGCCTTCGCTCTTTCAGAGCGGGACGGCATCTTTCATAGGGAAATGGACACGTATTTCTTGAAGACGTCCGATATCTCTTATTGTCGAAAGAAGGCTTAAAGACCTATGTGTGTTTCATCGCATGTTAGGATGGGTAGAATGCGTGCATCTCTTTTAGCCCATCTATTGGAAGCACGCGGACAGCTCGAAACTCATGTAACTGTGAATGGTTAATTGATATTAAAAATGCCAGAATGCTGAGACAGCATACCCGGACAACGGTACGCAATCAAGCATTACGCGACGGAGGCGACCCAGATAAAGACGAGCAGAGAATCCTCAATCTCCTCGAGCAGAGAGTTCGCACTTTCAACTGTGAAGCAACGAAGGTTAGACCAATAAGTGCGCTGGCCAGGTGCTCATTGTCAGTACGATCCGCTGCGTTACTAAGATGTACCCGGCAAGCCCGAAAAGGCCCTTCTTAGGACACTTGAATTGAGCCGCATCGACGTATTACCATTCTTACTCATATTTGAACCTGAACACTCATAGGCCGTGCTGCGCTGTAATTCAATCCTACATTCTCATGAGCGCAGCTGCACTTCCCGCCGCGAAAGCTGCCCAAGGATTCGCTTCGAGAAAACATGCTTGCAACTCTTTATTAGTCAACTATAAATCGGCATCATGCCATGGGCAGCGTCGGCAGGTCTTCGCACGCGCAGCAGCAGCGGCTAGCCAGCAGCCAAGCAGTAACCCTAAGCCGGGCAAGTGTTGGCTGGTGGGAGCAGGCCCCGGTCCCGCGGACTACCTAACGGTAAGTCCCAAAGAGCAAAAGGGAGCAGCTGCATGTTCCTTCCCTCCTCACCCCCAACCCTCAACCCTCCCCCTCCATATCCACTCCTCAACCCTCACCCCACCCACCACCAGCTAAAGGCTGTACGACTGCTGGAATCCGCTGACGTCATCATCTACGACGACCTGGGCTCCCAGGTACGGCAGCCGGGCTGCGGCAGCTGCTGTGTATGCCGTACGTGCACACCTCCCACGACCCCCTCATCCGCCCTCCTCTTGTACTACCGGCAGCCCTCACTCCTCTCCTTCATACCTCCCTACATATCCCGCCCCCGTCCCCGCCCCCGCCCCCACATGCCACAGGATGCTCTGTCCTTCGCCCGCCCCGGCGCCCAGCTGCTGTATGTTGGCAAGCGCGGCGGGCGGGAGGGCAGCGCAGCGCAGTACCAGATCGATGCGCTGCTGGTGGAGCAGTGCGGCAGGGTGGGGGGGCGGGGGGTCAAAGACCATACCAAACCATAGGAGACCACATGTTAGGGCAAAGCCATGGGGGTGGGAGACGGCAGGGTGCCACAAGACAAAGTGTTGGTTAGTATTCCCTACCGATACCGCGGGGGGGGGGGGGTAAATGGGATTGGGAGTCGAGGGTGGGGACGGGGGTTAGGATGGTAATGCCGTACTGCCTTGTCCCCCCTCCGTCCCCACCCTGTGCCCAGCGCAGCCCAGCCCAGTCTAAGAAATGCAAGTACCCCGAGGGGTTCCCCTCCGGCCCCCACAACCCTGCATGCACCCCCGCCTGCCCCCCCTGCATGCACCCCTGCCCCCCCCCAGGGTCACCAGGTGGTGCGGCTCAAGGGTGGCTGTCCCTCCGTCTTCTCACGAGTGGCCAGCGAGGTACGGCAGGCGGGGGCGGGGCAGGCGGGGGGCAGTCGCGGGGGCCAGTCGCGGGGGGTGTTATGTGGATGGCCGTATGTATTGCAGCACAACCGGGGGGGCGGACTCGTGGGGGGAGTCGCACTTGGGGGTACGGCAGAGGAGAAGAAGCTACTCTCTAATCGCTGTAGGAAAAGGGCACGGTATGCTGGTACGGCATGCATGTTGTGGCAGGGCAGCGATACAGCTGGGTAGCTTGCGGTGGGAAGGCGCAGTTTGAAGTGTGAGCCCATGACGCCCGCTGCACCGCTGGCTCTCATCCCCCTTCTCACACCCCTCTTGCTGTCTCCCTCCAACTTCACGTCCCTCTTTCGGGTCTTTCCACATCGGCCTCCACCCGGGGGTTCCTTACCCTCCCCCCCTTCCAGATTGCCGCCCTAAGCCAGGCGGGTATCGAGTTCGAGCTGGTGCCCGGAGTGTCATCCGCACTGGCGGCACCGCTGATGGCGGGTGAGGGGGGTGGGGGTGCAGATGCGGGGGGGGGGAAGCATGTTGGGTGGGGGGCATGGAAGGTGGGGCCATGTAGGGGGAGCAGGTGCGAGGGTTATTAACCCCAGCTCGCTACAGCCATGGTTACGACCTGCCGTACGTCGTGTGTATTGTGTTTCCTACCCGCACTAGCCCCACCCCACCCCTCCCTGCCCCTCGTCCCCCCATGCAACCCCTTGCCTCACCCCCCCCCAGGCTTCCCCCTCACCCACGTCACCCACGCCCCCTCCTTCACCGTTGTCTCCGCCCACGCGCCCGCATCCACCGACTGGGCCGCCTTCCGGCACCTGCCCTGCCTGGTGCTGCTGATGGGTGGGAGGAGCCTGGCGGAGGTGGCGGGCAGGCTGGTGGGGGAGGCGGGGTGGGGCGAGGATACGCCGGTGAGGGGGGGGAGGCGGGGGAGGGGTGGTAGGAAGGGAGGGGGGAGGCGTAGCAGGGCTGGGCCAAACACAAGAAGGGCTATGGAGGGGAATGTTGTAATAGGATAGGAGTGAAGCACTGGAATCCCAGGTAGGCCATGGCGCAGTAATCACCGACACCAGGGGGAAGGGCCGGTCAGGTGGGCGGACAGGGCAGGGCTGGGGAGCTTAGCTGGCGCCGCCCTCCTCTTCTCTCCCTCCTCTTGACCCACAACACTACTCTCCTCTTCCTCCACTGCCTCCTCTCCCTCCTCTCCCTCCTCTTTACCCCTATCACTTCCCCTCTGCCCCACTCCCCTTCTGGCCCCCTCCCCCTCTCCCTCCCTCTTCCCCCTTCCCTCCCCCCCAACCATCACTTTGTATTGTGGCACCCTGCCGCCTCCTATCGCCATTGCTTTGCCCTAACCTGTGGTTTCCTATGGTTTGGTATGGTCTTTGACCCTCCCCCCCCCAGGTCGCCGTCATCCGCTCCGCGGGTCTGCCCGACCAGCGGGTGTGGCGCAGCACGCTGGGGCGCGTGGGGGAGGACACGAGGGGGGCGGCGGAGGCGGGGGGCCTGTCGCCGTGTGTGGTGGTGGTGGGGAAGGTGGCGGCGGGGGCGGAGGGGGATAAAGAGGAAGCAACTAACTGACCATGTGGTTTTGGGTCATCATGGTTTGGGGGAGGGGGGGCGGAGGGCGGGGAAGGAGAGGGGTTGTGAGGGATGGCGGGAGGCGGGGCGAGGGAGGCGGCAGGGAAGTGGAAAGATGGGGGGGGGTACCAGATGAGTGAGGGCTGTGACTGGGGAAGCGGGTAGGGGTAGGTGCGGGTTTTAGACACGGAATGGGGGGGACGTGGGAGTGGGGTTTGGGTGTTGGGGTGGGGCATGTTGACGGGGTGAGGTGGTGTTAGACTGCTTGGCTTGAGGGGAACAAGAAAGCCGCCCTGTTCGTGCGAAGGAGGGTTGCAGGTGGGGTGAGGCCGGGAAGAGGCATTTGCCTGCGGACTAGCATTACAGTCTTCATAGAGTATGCGAGCATTACAGGGGAGTCGGAACGATTCAAGTGCACACCACCACCACCACCACCACCATCTTAACTGTGTACTGTACGTATACTGCGTGCTCTTAGCTTGCTCCGTGCGGCTTCAGTTGCTATACGCTGGACAGAGATACGGTCACATGGTTCCCTGTTTGGGTGGGTAACACTAAGGGTAATGTATTGTCTGGGGTGCGGACCGCGGGGTGAGAGGATGGGACTTGCCGTACGCTGTAGTACTATAGAACGGAGTCCGGTACTGCTGTTGGTGCTGTCAGGACGCTTCGCTTCAGCAAGGGTTGTGGGGGTTGTCAGGATGTTGTTTAAATTCGTTTCCTTTACTGGGCAGCTAGGGTTCTCTAGCACTTCGCTTGAATTGGCCGCTTTGTCATATTTTTCGGTCAGGTTAGTGCGGTGGCAAACAGGCTTCATAACGCGAGAGGCTGGTGCGTCAACGTTCTCAGGGCGCGGGAAAGTGGCGCAGGAAGACATATTACGTGAGGGAGGGCAGCTTGGGAAGGGCGCGGAAATGGATGGATGGGAGGCATGAATGTGGCAAGCCGGCCGATATGAATGGCCACGGCTGACCGCTTAACATACCCGAGGTGAATCGCCATGCAAGCTTCAATATTCCGTTGGACAGGGTTTCCAACTTTCCATTGTTGTTTGTGTCGTGCTGCAGCGGTTGTAGTAATAAATCAGCCCAGGCAGTTTTACTAACACGCTCAGCCAGAGGACAACCTAACGCTACTTTATTAAGGTATTGCTCATTTCAGCTGTGTTCGCCTTACGGCCTCCTGCCCAGACAGCGCGGCAACTACAGGTATCCATACCCGGTGCAGATACCCGCAAGGCAAGGTCGCTATTTATAGAACTTGTCCAGGCGTACTAGAAACGGCAATAAGGGTTTTGATTACCTTGCGGCTGTGAACTGGCGTGGCCTTCGGGCCTGGGGCTCAGCGTAATGAATATGCGAGCGGCGCATATCTTAGAAAAAGGAAAAGCGTCAAGCGGTGGGCGTCATGGAGTTCAGCGACCGTGCTCTGCAAAGGTCTGCAGCGCATTCCACGGCCATGCCTTTAAGCGACACCTTAGCACCGCAAGGTGCGGATGCAGCTGAAAGTATAGCGCTGAGGTGATCGCAAGCAAGTATGAAATTTCATAGCCCTCATGAATATCACTTTCAGGTTTTTCTCTGGTCAGCGGGACCCGTCGCCAGCTGGCTTGGTGCGCTTTGCTTGCTGCGCTGTTCCAGGGTGCGTATTTTGGATAATTGAGCATATGACGCGCTTGGAACTTGTTTTTCGAATATCCTTGCCAAAGGCTACGCTCTGTCCATGGCTGTGTTCCCTCCTCCCTGTGCCGGTTGCTTCAGACCCCGTGCATATTATCTAATCCTTTCTGCTGGCAGCTAGTATATCGTCCATGTGCTCCGCTCATCGCCCCCCGTGGGTTGGCTTCTCATGTCATGCCTCCCTCATCGAACCTCCTTTGCAGATCCCCACAGCAAGCAGCAGCAACCCTCACATCGGCCCCCTTGCACCCGCAAGGTCAGCAGTCGCCGCTTGCCAGCAACAACTCTGCAACCAGCCAGCCACCACCTCTTGAACCCCAGCCTCAGCCCCAGTTGCAGCAACCACCCCCGCCAACCGACGACCCCACCTGGCGCTCGGCGGAACGCGTGTTGCGGCTAACCACGTTGGTTGAGACCCGGCGGTTGTACCGCAACTGCATTCGGGCGCTCCACCTGCTCTCCCTGCCCAGCCCGCTGTACACGCCACCGCAGCAGCAGCAGGCAGCAGCGGAGGAGGAGCAGCAGCAGCAGCAGCAGGCAGATGGTGGGTTCATGACCACTGGGGTGGGTGGGGAAAAATAAATGATAAGTGCAACTCCTAAAGGGAAGGACTTCCTGCACCCAGGCATGCATCCTTCCGGCACTAATCGCTAACACACCCACCAACACACCCGCCCGACCACATTTCGGCCCCTTCGACCCCGACCAATCCCTCCCCCACCCCCAGATATCACCCCGGGGACCCCGGGCGCAGGCGACAATATCGACCTGGACGCTGTTGAGGACTACTACGGCGATGACGGCCCCACGGGCTCCCCCCCCTCCTCCCCCAGTAGCAGTAACAGCAGCGGCAGCAGCCTGATTCGAGCCCGGCTGCTGGGCGGCTCGCTGGCTTCCTCGGAGGAGGATAAGGCGCTCAAGGGGGCGCTGGAGGCGGTGGCGGAGATGGCGCTCGTGGCGGAGCAACTCAAGGTGGGAAAAAGAAGAACTGCCAATGCGTTGAATGAGAATGCAAACCAGAAGACAAGCTCCGGAGGAATGGAATTGAGTTCATTGAGCCGACAGCCGACAGCTCCCTTGCCGGCATCCCGCACTAGCCTCTGCCCCCCTTCCTCACCCTCCTTCCTGCCCCGCTCCCCTCCCCACCTGCAGGCCAGTCTGCGGGCGCTTCCAGCTGGTTTCGGCGCGCTCATCTTCGCCCCCGGCTCCGAAGCCGCGAGTGAGGAGCGGGTGCGGGCGGTGGCGCGGCGGCACGCGGCGGACCTGCGGGAGCGGCTGGGGGCGGAGCTGCCGCTGCTGCCGGTGACCAGGTGGGGGGGGGGCAAAGACCATACCGAACCATAGGAGGGGAGGGGAGGGGGGGTGGGGCAGCTAGGCGTGACACTTTGGGGGTTACTCGCAACGACCTGTAGATGGCAGGGGCGGGGGTGCGTGTGCGGGGGTGCGGGGGTGTGGCATGATGCCCTGGGAGTGGGTGGGGGGCACTGCACCGTGTGTTGCAACACGTGGCCGCATTCCACCCCCCTCAGTCCTCACCCCGCTCGCACCCCCTTCCCGCTTCCCCCCGCTCCTCCCCCCCAAGACGGGGAACGCACTGGCTTGGCTAACTCGGGCTGGGCGGGTCGGGCTGGCTCACATGTTGCAAACCATGATGACGCCTTTCCACATGGTCAGTCAGTTGTTTCCTCTTTAACCCGCCCCCCCGCGCCCCCACAGCGAGACGGCCCAGGCCTACATCGAGGCCCGCAACGCCAAGTACAGTCGGCGAGTGGCGCTGGATGAGCTGCAAGGGGGGAGCGGGGGAGGGGGAGGAGGGAGCACTGCAGGGGTTGGTGGGGGTGGAGGGGAGCTGGGCGGCTCCCCATCAACATCTCCCTCGGGTCGGGCGAGTGCGCTGGAGCGGCTGGAGGTGAGGGGTGGGGCGGAGGGTGGAGGGGACGGGGACACAAGGTGGGTAGCAAAAGGTTGGCGGTTGGCGGTTGGCTTGCCCCCGATCACTGTGTTTGACCTTGTCTGCAGTCACCCCTACCTCCTCCCCCAGTCACCCCTCCCCCCCTCGCTTCTCGTTTACCCCCCCCCCCTCCCTTCTAGGATAGTGTCTCCGAATGCGCTCACTGCATGAGTCGGGATATGGGATTGGGACTCGTTGTTTAACTTATATAATTTTTTCCCTTCTCTCCCTCCTCCCAGGCTGCCGAGCGGGTGGCGGGGGAGATCATCGCCAACAACATCAAACCGGCGCTCAAAAAGGCCTCGGAGCAGGACCTGCTGCAGGTGGGCGGGGGGCATGTGACATGCACACGCTGGCCTACATACCTCTCTGTCTGCCGCTCCTTTAGCTGCTCTTGCTCCTGCCATCCCCCTGCTGCTGCTCCCCCCCGCTGCTGCAGGTAGCTCGCGACGCGGGCGGCTACCTGCGCGACCTGTGGGTGCGGCTCAACGGCGGGCGCACGCAGGCGGGGCAGCTGGCGGCGCTGGCAGCGGGACTGGACCTGCCGCGACCCGTGGGTCGGCAGGGGGAGAGGGAGATGGTAGGGGGGGAGGGAGGGGGTGGGAGGGGGCGCAGGGGGCAGGAGGAGGAGGGGGAAGAGGGGCTTGGTGCGACGTATAGCGTGTCTCCCCCTCTGCTACATGCATGGATGGGCGAGAAGGAAGGCACCGCAGCAGCTCTGGTGATGACATGTAGGTCCGCAAGTAGAGAGAAACAAGCACCATCAAACACCTGCCTACCCGGAACCCCGTTGAACTAGATCACACTCCTCGCTGCTGCTGCTGCTGCTGCTTCTCCTTGCCCCTCTGCTCCAACCCCGCGCCCCCCCTCCTCCCTCCCCACCAGACCATCAGCCAGCTGGTGTTGGATCTGGAGGCGCTGGAGAAGCAGCTGCAGGAAGCGAGCAAGAGCCGGGAGAACAAGCTGAGGAAGGCGGGGCTGCAGGGCAGGGTGCAGGTGAGGAAGCTGGTGGGGGGTGGTGGTGGTGTGTGTGAAGGGGGGGGGGTGGCCCGAACCAGGGGCGGGGGGTGCATACGTGTGAGGCAGGGGGAGAGGGACTTTGAGATCTGTGTGGGTCATCCGTACCTCCGTGTAAGCGTGTATGCTGCCCTAGTCCTCATCTCCTCAACCCTCACCTCTTCCCTCTTCCATGTTGCTGCCTCTAACCCAACAAGTATGGGGACTCGCAATTCCGTAATCCAGCCAAATGCGGAATTCCCTACGTCTCTTAATACCCCTCTTCACTCCCCCTCTTCCCCCTCCCCCTCTCCCCCCCCAACCCAGATGGCCATCCAGCTGCGCTCGCTGGACGCCCGCGTGGCCCTCCTCAGCTCCTCCCTCGCCGTACGCACCCTGCAGCTGGAGATGGAGCACGTGTACGGCAGCCTGGAGGCGGAGGCGCTGGACTTTTTGAACGGAGTGCTGAGGGGGGGTGAGGAGGGGGGGAGGCATGGGGGTGGGGTGGGTTAGGGTTGGGTTAGAGGGAGGGGCGGACTCATCATCATGGCTTGCCGTGAGTAGCTTTACCCCCCGTTTCGAATAACCCCATACACGCAACCCTTCCCCACACGTTTCCCCACAGACGAACATTTCACCGCAAGTTCCCATTCTCATCCCACCAACTTGGGGCCCCCCGCTCACCCCCTTCCCGCACCTAACACCCCCAGGGCTTATCCAGTTCGTCTGTTTTCCTTATTTTAACCCCAGGGCTTGTCACCTAGCTTACCACTGCCGAACAACCCATTGGGTATTTTTTCCTCCCCCACCCCCCACCCCCCGCAGGTCTGCTAGCCCGCGACGGATCCACCACCGAGTTAGCCCTGCTGGTGGCGGAGTTTGCCCTGCTTGATGAGCAGCTCTCGCTGCTGGCGGCGGCACTTGAAGGGGGGGAGCAGCAGGGGCATGCAGCCGGGCAGGAGGCGGGGGGGCAGGAGGAGAAGGGGGCAGCGGCAGGGGCGGGGGCGGGGGCAGGGGCGCAGCGAGGGTTGGTGGTCGGCGGTGTGGGGGGAACAGCAGCAGCTGCGGCGGTTGCTGCGGGGTCGGGGTTGTTGAATGAGGAGGTGCTTGGGAAGCTGGCGGTGGATATACCCGACATGAGGAGCAGGGTGGGAGTGGGGTGAGTGGGGCGGGGTGGGCGGGAGGAAGGGAGGGGGAGGGGAGTAGGGTTGGGACTGCAACGGCTAACGGCAACAGCGGGCTGCTGGAAGGGTTTGCAGCACCCAAGTTGAAGAGCTCGCGGCCACCACCTCATGCATGCAATCATCCATACCCGCTTTGCAACACATCCCCATCCCCATTCCCCCCGTTCTTCCAACTCTCCCACCCTCTCTCTCCCGCTCTTCCCCTGGCTCACCCCTACCTCCTTCCCTCCCTCCCTCCCTCCCACCCCCTCCTTGCTACACAGCGACCAAGCTGTGTTCGGCGGTCAGGGCCTCAGCCTCACTCGCGCGCGGCTGCAGCTGAGCGAGAGCGCAGACAAGGTGGTGGAGGCGGTCACGTTCGCCAGCCGGGGGGTGAAGCTGCTGGGGAGCGATGTGGGCACGGCAGCGCGGCTCTTCCTGAAGGCAGCGCTGGGTGGGTTTGGGGTGGGGTGGGGTGGTAAAAAAATTAAAAATTGAAACAACGAGTCCCAGTCCCATATCCCGACTCATGCAGTGAGCGCATTCGGAGACACTATTCTAGAAACACGCACGGGTGGGGGTAGGGGTGGGGTGGGGACATACACCGACTCCTGCTGATTCCAGACAGTACCGTGGATACATCTCTGTTGACAACAACTTTGGTGTTGTTCTTTCTTCGCCCCTCCCCTCTCCCCCTCCATGCAGGCAACACCCTGAAGCCCCGCGAGGTGTCCGCCCTCCGCCGCACCGCCCGCGACCTGCTCACCTTCATCCCCTTCACCGTCATCCTGCTGGTGCCGCTGACGCCGCTGGGCCATGTGCTGGTGTTTGGGTTCATCCAGCGCTACTTTCCCTCCTTCTTCCCCTCCCAGTTCTCCAGCAGGAGACAGGACATCATGATTAGGTGGGAGAGGGGGAGAGGGCGGGAGAGGGAGGGCGGGAGGGTCAAAGGTAGCACACGAAAGCATGGGGATAAGCAAGAGAGAAGGGAATTAACCGGCATGCATAGTCCGCATTTTGGAGGGAAGGGCAGGGGGGTGAGGCAGGCGGGGTATGGCACGTGCGCCCAGCAGCTACCAGGCTCCAGGGAGGTGATGGTGGTGTGTTAGCGGACGTGGTGGCTTTTGACGGGCGGTTACCCCATACGGCTGCCCCCACATGCGTGGCTCACATCCCTCCCACCACGCTTTCTCCATACCCACCCCCCTGGCACCCCCCCCCACCCCCCCCTACACCCCTACACTTTGGAATTTCTTTTTCCCTCCGCCCCCCAGGTATGAGGAGCTGGAGCGGCAGCTGTTGGAGGCTCAGGCGGCAGCGGAGGCGGCGGAAGAGGAGGTGGAGCTCGCCAAGGCGAGGGAGGCGGTGGCGAGGCTGACAGCACCCGAGGCGCCGCCTTGTGTGGTGGTGTTCCCTGATTCCGCAGGCACTGCGGATGCGACTGTTGCGGGGGTGGGGACGGGGCCGGGGATTGCGACGGAGGCGGCGGCGGGGGGGATGGTGGCAGCGGCTGCAGCGGCTGCTGCGATGGGATCGAGCGGGGAGGGAGCAGTGGGAGGAGGAGGAGGTGGCGGCGGAGGCGACAAGGCGACAGCAGCGGCGGCGGCAGTGGCGGGAGGTGGCGCAGGTGGCGGCAGCTCTGCAGCAGCGGCGGTGGGAGTGGGTGTGGGCAGTCGGGACGAGGCGACGTTGCATGAGGCCACGCAAAAGGTAGGGGGGTGGGGTGCAGGGTGTGCGAGGAGGAGGAGTACGGCAGTTGGGGCGGGAGATTGCTGGTGCTCGGGCGGCCGTGTGCCTTCAGAAGACTGGCCGCGTGTGTTTAGAGAACTGGCCGCGTGTGGGGTGTGGCTGCGCCTGCAACTGCGGGTGCGTATGCGTCGTCAACCCACCACTCTTCTTACATCCAGCACCAGCTCTTTAAGCAGTTATTGCGTTATGTTTCAGGTTTGATTACCTCTGTTTTCCCTCTATTTTGCCTCTACTCGCGGTCCGCATGCGAACCTATCCCAACTGCTTGCTTTTGTTTCCGCTCAACTACACGGGTCGGAGCACAGCCTCACATGTCCCCCTGCCCGCCTTGATCTTGCTCCCTCTCGCGCAGGTTCGAATCCTGACTGAGCGGTTGGATGAGATCAGGGATGACGTCAACATGGGGGATGCCGGGGAGGGGGAGGGGTTGCAGGGGGGGAGCGGCGGCATGGGCAGCAAGTCGGCTCGCAAGCATTGAGAGGGAGAGGAGCGTTTAGGAGGGAGGGAGAGAACACGTGGGAGGTGGGGGCGTGGAGTGTAGAGGAAGTGAGTGAGGGTGGCAATACAGGTGGTTGGCATGTTGAGGGCAGATCTGTTGGTTGACTTCCGATCAGGGAGCTGTCGTACCCAGTGGGGTACGGGGGCGCATGGGGGAGGAGGCGGATTGTGAGCGGAGATGGAGAGGGACAGAGAGTGAACTGAGGTGAGCGAGAGGAGAGGACGGGAGCTGTCGGCAATGCGTTGTGTGTGCCGTATCTGTCTGGAGAGCAAAAAGGTCTGGGTGCGGCCATGAGGGATGAGGTATGTGTGTGCCAGATATATCCTTGGGAAACGGAAAACGTACGTTGTCACCATCCCCATTGTCATCTTCTTGGACAGAGGCCCTTGGTCCTTTACTGTGCCGTACTACTAGGGGGTGCCGGACTACCGGCACACGTCTCTTTGCTGTAGGGGAAAGCGTTGTGTTGAGGAAACTGGCCGCCTGTGGGAACGTGCAGGAAAAGCATTGTGTATGGCCCTCCAGCAGGCGTCACCTAACGCTCAAGTGCGCACATTACAAGCGTGCGCAAACGCACGCGCGCAGAGCTCTTGCTGCATGTTGTCTTTGGAGTGCTGACTAGTCTATTGCGTGATGGGTGCAGGTGGGAGGGCGTGGGCTAACAGTGGCAGAAGTTTCGAGCGGTGGTGGTGTTGGTATTTCATTTTCAACGGTACACAGTATGTACGGCAACGATGGGTGTAGTTGAGAGCAGAGGGTATCTTGTCAGTTGGGTTGCTGTCTTGAGCACATTCATAAAGTGACGTGTGAGTGATATTTCATTCTAGGCAACTGATACTTTTTCCGTCCTTGACATTCGTTGCCGTACAACAACACGTTTACCGGAATGGGTGCGGAGTCGGGGGTTGCATCCGTGTTGCGCTGCTTCTTGGAATTCCTGAGAGTGGCAGTTGGGGACCGGCTCCGAACGGCCAATACGATAATGTTATTTAGAGGCTTGTCGCGCACGAACCCTCTTGAGAGAGATTGTGGAATAGCAGTTAAGGAAACTGGCCGCTAGTGGGAACGTTTTATAATTGCCGGAAGATGAAGTCCTCCCACAGAAAGGCGTGTATAGGTAGGCCCCGTCCTGCCTCCTGCACATCTCGTACCGGTAACCCGACATCCCCCTCGTGAGGTGGGCACAGCAGCCCGGGAGCTGTGGCTACCTGAGGTGGCTAAGAGGAGGTGTGTTTGCTGATGATGTAAGGAATACGCGACTGTATAATTAGACGGAGGGCATTGGAAGTACCTTGAGAATAATCGTAGGAGGCAGACTGGGAGGATACAACACCCCTTGGTCTTACAACGGTTACAAGGCCGTATGCCTTGCCGTACTTGCCGTACCGGTATCCGGCAGACGGCGGCCAAGCAGTGACCGAAGTATCTTCCAATCCTCGGTGCACTACACGGGGAGATAGTATCCTGCCACGGCCACCGCGACGCTGTGCGGTGTGCCTAAGAAGGCAACTACCAGCTATGCCGACCACCTTTTGCCGTACGAAGTAAACTGATCTGTACGGCACAATAGACATCTAGTACACCAGATAGATACAGTCGCACCGTTTTCCGCCAATCCACCAGGCCACCAGAACCAGCATACCAGAATGCCTTTGCAATTCTACATGAACCAACTAAGTGAGCAGTCCTTGGAACGGTAAAGGAACCACAAAGTCGGCCCGGCTAAGTGAGCAATGCACTGTGCGGCACTCCTACCACTGATGCGTCCCTTTCCTGACGCGTCCACATGTTTCCAGCATGCCAGCACTGCTAGCCATCCTTGAGTCATCTTGGGGTTCCCAGTTGTAACCGCCAAGCGACGGCACTGGAAAACCAGGGCTGCATTCCCATTACCATCCAGCCTGCATCTCTACTTCCTCTCCTACTGCTACAGATTGCCAGAGGCGGCCGATGCAAGAATCGAAATGCCTCTAGACACTTGGGAGCGGCTGCACGTTGCCAAAGTCGGCCAGCATGTTGCCAAGGCTGGGTGCAATCAATCCAAGTCCAGGAAGTCCATGCGTGCCCGTATCGTGCTCTTCAGCTTGTTGAGCTCTTTTTCCCCTTTCAGCGCCTCCTTAATGGCGGCAGGGGATACCTTCGTTAACCCGTCTGGTGCGTCCTTGCCCTCTTCTACTCTCCCCATGAGGACCACGTTTTCACCACGGATGACTTGCAAACCCAGGGGTATGTCGCCATACTGATCGCCCACAATTATCCGCTCCACAGCTCCCTCCACCACTAGGTTCGCAAACTGATCGAAGGACCGAAGCACGCCAAGAAGCTTGCGACCATCGCGTAGCACGATGAGGAGCCGTTGGTCAAGCTCTTCAGCTAGCGCCGTTCCAGGAAGTGGTACTTCTTGCAGGGACACGTCCATGATGTCTCACGCGTTTAAAATAAGGTCTGTCCTACCAACAACAGTCAACTAAAGGGTAAAGAGTTGCTGTAAATATTTAGCGAACTAACTCAGCTCCATGAGCCAGATACCATATAAGAGCTATCCTTTGTTGGCAATTGCAGTGTTTTTTGCTTGGCCTGAAGAAGCGTTTTTATGAATGTCCCGCGAGAAGGGGTAAGCACGGCTATTCAAGTGGCAATGGTAGCGTATTGGATTTCTTTTTGCATTGAAGGCACTGACTTGCCTTTGCTAGGATCCTAGCAAAGCTCCACAGAAGGGGTACGGCCCCCGCTCCGCCGTACGCGCGTGGGGCACAGCATGTGGTGCTCACCCCAAAGTACTACATAACAGTTCTGGCTTTTCCTTACGTGCATGCCTTCCCAGCGTACCCGACGCTGCTTCTAGCTCCAAAACCCCGCAGAATGTGTGAAAGCGGTTTGTAACTTACCCGCAGTTTTTAACCCGCAGTCTTTACAACCCGCTCCCACCCGTGTTGGATAGCCTTTGCTCAGGCCAATCTACGCCCTGTCCATCCTGCACGATCCTTTTCTTTTACATACGTCACGAGACATATTAACACCTGGCAAGCGGTTTGCTGCCAGCGTACCTTGTTGCCTACAACCACCACCAGCACACATCCTGTGCACGTTCGCCGACGACCTCCTCAGCCTGGACAATCCATTCCTCCCCCACCTCCTCAGCGCCAACCAGCTCTTCCTTGGGCTGCTACCCGGCATCTACCCCATCTCCCTCACTCTTACCTCCTCCGGCGCCTCCTCCCACACCACTCCCTCCCTCCCCTACATGAATTTTGCCATTACCGCCTCCGCCTCCACCCTCCCCGGGCACCTTCTCTTCACCCTTGCTCCCTACGACAAGCGCGACGGCCCCAAGTTTCGCCACCTCCCTATCGTCCGCTACACCCTCTTCACCAGCACCCTTCCCCACCACAGCAAACTTAACCTCGTCATTAATATCCTTATGACGCACGCTCGGTTCAGTTCCACCGCCTCCGCCTTCACCTCCGCCGCCCAAGATGCTATGCGCCACCTCCATCTCCGCGGTTATCCACGTCCTTTCCTTCTCCTCGCCCTCCGTCGGTTCTTCCGGCTACACCTTCACCTCCTCCCTCACCACCCCCGTTGGTCACAGCTGCAGCGTACGCTCCTACCTTCCTAATGCCTTGTTGTCTCTTCTGGTTGCTCTGTGGCAGCAGCAGCGGTCATGACGGCAGATACAGCAACAGCTCTGGGCTCACGGACGCTTTGGGCTTTCGGACCTGCGCCGTCGCTTTCGTGGGCCGTGGCGTCCAGTTCAGCGGCGGCAGGGTTTGCGGACCTTAGGCTAGCGGGTTGGCTGGTGGTTATGCGGTCCACTGACGGTGGGTCGTGCCGTGGCAGTTTTAGGTTGCCCTTTGTCGCGGTACGGCCCGGGGCACGGTGTGGTTGCGTGGTCGCGTGTTTTTGGGTTTAGGTTGTTTTTTCTGCAGCCGGGCAGGCTGAGCAGGGTCGGGATTTTTAGGTCGTCTCGGGTTTGGGAGAGGGGTGGGGTTTTTGTTGTGGTCGTTGTGGTCGTTGGTCTTTGTTGTGGTGCTGTTTTTGTTTTCGGGGGGTTTTGGGGGGTTTGTTGCGGCCCTGCCGCTTTTGCTTTGCCCTGTGGCATGTAAGCATCTGGGGTGCTCCCCTTCGAGCCCGGTCACTCCCCACTGCACTGCACCGCATCCCACACGGCCGTGCCCCTCTGCTGGCCTTTGCCTGTTCGCTGCACGCATACCATTGCACCTTCAGCTTGCTCCTAGACAACGCTACCGTCGTCTTGTTTTTAGACAACGCTACTTCTCAGTGCGGTTCAGCTGACCGCGGCAGCCACAGCTCAGCGTCTGCTCGACCACTCACGCCGGTTGTGTTTGTTTTTGTCTTCTGCATTTGCATTCATGTTGTGCTGTGCTTGTTTTTCGTCCTGTATCGCATGCCATCCTGTTTTGCCGTACATTTCGCACTTAGATATAGGTTCATTTTGTCTCTAACTCTGTCCCCCTTTCCTCGCTCTGGTTCATGCTTCTGCGCATGGCATTACTCGCATTACTGCGGCTGCTGGTTCTGGTGCTGACTACGGCGTCTTTGCTCGCAGGTACGCAATGCGCGTTTGCACGCACGCATGCACAGCATTGTGGTGTCTCGTCTGCGTGTCCAGAGCGGGGGCTCCCGGCGTCGAGCTTTGGTCAGCGGGCTTTAGTTCTCGGTAGTATTTTAGTTTATTCCGACACGATCAGCATCACCGACATGCGTCGTCACTCATCACTCGCCACTCTTCTTACATCCAGCAACAGCCAATTAAGCAGTTTTCTGTATTACGGTTCAGGTTCGGTCAACTTTGTTTTGCCTGTACTCGCGGTTCACATGCGAACCTCTCCCCATTGCTTGCTCCTGTCCTACTCAACTACACATCCTGTGCACGTCCCTCGCGGCTGCTCTCTGCCATACACCAGCGTCGCAGTATGAAACAGGGCGCCCGGCTAAACACCTTTCCAAGTTCACGGTATCGCCTCTTTTCACGACACGAATCGCTGTAACGCGGGCCAAAACGCCCCTCCGCCCCGCCCGCACACGCCAGCCACGCCAGCCCCTCACACCCTCTCCCTCCTCCACGGCAATCACAGACACACTAACATACACGGCCCCCCTCTCATGCCTTCCTTACATATCACATTTCCACTCCACCGCTGCAGCAGCTGCTGCTGCCACGTGTACTGCCGGTGTGCAACAAGGCAGCCTCCGCACCCCTCCCACACAGCCACGCTACCCCTCGCTATCCCGCCCCATCACCACCCCATCCCCACCCCCGCCCACCTCATCTCACCGTGAGACCCCGTCGCACACTGCTGGTTCCCGCTGAACACCTATCACACACAGCAGACACCTAAAAGTCGTCCCCATCCTCACCCGCCGCCCCCTCCGGCGTGCAGTCGAGCTCCTCCGGCAGGTACCCGCCATCATCATCATCCTCCGCCCCACTGCTGCCGTACATCCTCGTGGGTGCCGCATTGCCCGACACTCCGAAACCACCAACACCAACACCACCCCTGCCAGCAGCAGCAGCAGCAGCAGCAGGCCCGCCTACAGCCCCCGTCGCCGGGTTAACAGCAGCAGCGGCAGCGGCGGAGGGGATGAGCGCATGGCTTGGCGGGTCATCCGCAGGGAGCGGCGGCGGCGGTGGTGGCAGAGGTGGTGGTGGTGAGGAGGAGGGCTCACGGGACGGCGGACTGCCTCCAGCGTAACGCCCCGCAGCAGCAGCAGCGGCGGCGCCGCGAGCTGGCCGCACAGGGGGGGAGCTGATAACGTCACCGGGTGCAGCACCAGCAGCAGCAGTGCCGATGGCAGCAGCAGCAGCGGCAGCGGCAGCAGCGGCTCCTGCTGCGCGGACGTCGTACGGCGTGTAGGTCCAACCGTACGACCGACCTGCGTTTGTACGAATGACAGCGTGTTGTGTGTACGAGCGAGTGAGCCCACGAGGTGGTTGGCATGCAGATGGTTGGCTGCTCAGGCGGTGTGCTGGGCGCACGATAGCAACACCAACCCTCCTTCCAACTGCACCCATCAGACGCTTCTCCGCACTCCGTCCGTCCTACGCAGCCTACGCAGCCGCACATCTCAAGTCCTACATAGCCGCCCGCCCCGCGCCGCCCCCTCCGCCCCTACCTTCCGGGTCCAGTGCGCCCCACACCTTCTGCGGCGGTGCGGGTCCGTGCTCCGCGGGCGGGTCGAGGTCCACCACCGCGAACTGGAACATGGCCCAGTCGTAGCCGCCCACCGACACCTGCATGCGGGTGGGGGTGGGGTGGGGGAGGGGGTGGGGGTAGCCAGAAAGCCAGGTGAGTTAGCAGGGCAGCAGCAGCAGCAGGGCAGGGCAGGGCAGGGCAGCAGCAGGACAGGGCAGGGCAGCGTTGGCTGGTTCATCGACATACACACACACATGCACGAGCATCGCAATCATGATCACGATCCCTGTCAGGCATGCATCGCTCAAGCAATACGACATACCACAAACACCACCTGCTGCCCCAGCCATCTCCCCTCCCCTCTTCTTCCCTTAGCATTTGAATGTCGAGGGCAATACCGCTATGCTTCACTCCATGGTATTTTTCCCTCACTCCCCACCCCACCTCATCCCCAGCCCCCTCCTCACCACCCTCCACCCCCCTGCCCCCCCCCGCTCACCACCAGACTATCATCGCAGTTGAACCGCACCCCCATCACGTGGCTGCTGTGCCCGCGGTACGCCCGGTGCGGCGCATCATCCAGCACACAGGGGCAGCTGAACAGCTTCACTAGCCCGCTGTCGTCGCACGTCGCCAGCAGGTCGCCCCGGCGGTTGCGAGCCACGGCGTTGATGTCGGTTCCGTCGGAGCCGTCCGGCCAGATGCCCATGACGGGGAAGCCCAGGCGCAGGGTGTAGGTGGCGAAGGAGATGTCGCGGGAGGGGATGGGGATCTGCTTGCCTGCAGGGGAGGGGGAAAAATTATATAAAAGTGAAACAACGAATCCCAGGGGGAAGGGAGGAGGGGAATGGGGGGGGGCATGGGCACGGTTAAGCGGCCCAGTTGCTTGACACACCCCTCTTGTGTGGACCTTTCCCAGCACGTCTTCCCAACTGCCCCCCCCGGGGGAGACCTTCCCTCTCCCACCCCTGCCCATGCCCCACCCCCCTCTCTCACCCGTCCTCGCATTCCACACCAGCAGCTCCAGGTCCGCCGAGTCGCTCTGCAGCACCGAGCTGTCGACACTCCAGTCGATACCGCGGATGGTGGAGCTGGGAGGAGGGAGGGGGGGGGGTAAAATAAGGAAAACTGACGAACTGGGGGCAGGGCGGGGGCAGGAGGACGGCAGGAGATGGAGGGGAGGGTTTCCAGCCGGAGTATTCCCCACCCGCCCTTGGCTCACAGGAACACAATGCCACCGTACATCCCCCCTGTCCACCCACTCCCAAGCCCCCCCACCTGGCCCCCCCACTCCCCCACCCCCAACCCCCACTCCCCCACCTGTGTCCGCTGCACCTCTGCACCCGCTGGTAGCCGCGCGCCGCGTTGTAGATGTCGATCCACGCGTCCGCTGTTGCCGCCGCCAGCAGCCGGCCGTCGGGGGAGTACTTGAGGTCGGTGAGGCCCTCGCGGCTGTCCTTGGCGCGGTGCACGGGCTGCAGACTGGACTCAAGCAGGACCTTTGGGGGGGGAGGGGGGGGAGGGAGGGAGGGAGGGAGGGGGAGAGAGGAAACAGATAAGGAACCGTGTGAGAAGGCGTCACCATGGTTTGCAACAGGATGGAAGGGGGAGTGGGGTTAGGATGAAGCGTGTATAAGCCTGGGAGGCATGCAAGCACCATGCTGCGGCGGCACCATGCTCCCCTGCCGCCTGCCACCTGCCGCCCACATCACCACCCTCCTCCCCAACACCTCCCCCCTCCCGGTTCGTCACTCTCTTCCACTGCTCGGTCACCATATCACGAGCACACAGCCCAGCTGGTGCAGCCTTGTTACACAGCTACTCAGCCCCCCCCTCCCTCCCTCCCTCCCTCCCACCTCCCCCCCCCCTCACCAGTAGCTCCCCCTTGGCTCCCCCCACCGCCACATGGTGCGTGCCCCCATCCGCCTCCAGCGCCCTGCTGGAGAAGCCCACGCAGCGCGCCGCGAAGCCCACCACCGCCTGCCGCTCCAGCCGCCGAGCCCCCGTATCCCACAGCCGCAGCTGCCGGTCGCTGGCGGTGGCGGCGCAGTGCGGGCGGGTGGGGTGGAAGGCGACCGCCCACACGTCGTCGCTGTGGCCGTACACACACACCTCCTGAAGGGGGGGTGCAGCGGCGGCGGAGGGAGGGGTGGGAGGGGGGAAAGAGGAATGCCCAGTGTGTTGAACGACGATGGCAAAGAAGACGAGGGGGAGGGCGAGGGGTATAGCTGGGTAAGGAAGAAGAGAGCAAGGAACTGCACGACGTGGCTGTGCCATGACGGGGGGCGCTTCCTGCAGGGCGCAGCACTGGGGGGGAGTTGGGTACACTTGGGGGCTAGAGTGTGCACCCCATGTTACTCTGCCCTGGTCCTCCTCCTTCCCTCTTCTCCTCTCCTTTGTAATGGCTATCTGACATCTGTCAATACCCTTCCCCTCTCCCCCCTCCCCTCTCCCCCCTTACCTGCACCTCCTCCGTCACCTCCAGCACCTCCCCCAGGTTGCTCCCCACCAGCACCACCCCCCCTCCCGCTCCCCCCTCCCCCTCCCGCCAGTCCAGTGATCGCACGCAGTGACCCCGGTCCGGCAGCGGCGAGCGCAGGCTGAGCGGGCGGCCCGCGAACCGCCCCTCCACCAGCTGCCCGTCGCTCACGTCCCAACGCAGGATGGTGCCGTCGGCGCCGCCTGGAAAGGCGGGGGGGGGGCGAATGGGGCAGGGGCAGGGGCAGGGGGGGAGGGGAGAACGTTTGGTGGTGGGTGGGAAGGTGGCAAGGCGGGGAGCAGGGGCGGGGGAATCAAGGCAGTTCAGTGGGTACCTGGTTGCGCCCATGCCCATAAGTGTCATAGCCCTGCCCGCCCACCCCTCCCTCCCCCCCTCACCTGTCAGCAGCACCCTCCGCACCCCCTCCTCTCCTCCGCCTCCTCCTCCTCCCCGCACCTCCGCCAGCCGCATGCCCCGCACTCCGGGGTACGCCACGTGGCCGTCCGGCTGGATGGACTGCGGGCCGCGGGCGTGCGCGGCGATGGACTTGATGGCGGAGGAGCCCTGCAGGGGGGGGGGTTCAAATTAGAGGGCAAAGTTAGGGGGGGAGGGGAGGGGGAGCAAGGGGCGGGAGGGGGGAAGTACCGGTGTGGGAGAGGAGAGGTGAAGGTGGCTACGTTGCAAACAAGGCGGCCCTGGGTTCACAGGGCCACAGAGCAGCACCACACGTAAGCAGATCCTCCTCGCAATTCGCGTGGCGCACGTTTTGCATGCATTAAGGCCACGCTGCTTTGTTACAACCCGTCAGCACTCATTGCGGTATCACCCGCCTCCGAGCACGGAAGTCCACCTTACCCGCGCCTCGCTACACCCTCTCTACCACACCCACCCCCTCCTCCTTCCTTCCCGTACCCTCCTCCCCTTCCCCCTTGTCCTCTTACCTTGAACACGTACAGCTGCCCATCCCCCATGCCCGCCACCACCAGGCACTCCTCCCCGCCCCCCCGCGGCGGCAACCAAGCGGCGCTGTGCACGTTCTGCATGTCCAGCCGCCCCGTGCTCAGCGGCTTGCCCGCCCACTGTCCGGTGGCGTCGCGCTGCCAGGTCTTGATGTGCTTCTTACCAAAGGTGAGGAAGGCGGGGGGCACACCGGGGTAGCGGCCGGCGTGCGGATTCCACTCGATGCCGTACACCTGGCGGCGGGGGGTGGAGGGACGAGGATGGGGATGGGGAAAAGTATGGGGTGAGTTTTATTCCAGGAGGTGTGACTTCGGGGGCAGCAGAAACCATCAAAACACCGCAGTAACCCACATTAAGCCTCCCAGTCGCACCTCACCGCACCGCCACCCTCCCCCACTCCCCTCCCCCCCCCCTCCCACCTGCGGCGGGTCTCCCATCTGCCCCCGCCCGCTGCCCTCCATCCTGCCCCGCCGCCAGTCGTACACATACACCGTGTGCGCGTTGTCGTTCGCCACCGCCGCCAGGTGCGCCCCGTCGGCGCTGAAGCCCAGTGCGGAGAAGCCGCGGTCCTCCTTGCGGTGCGCCAGGCGGGCTAGCTGCGGCTGCCCCTGCTGCGAGCCCAGCCGACTGTCCCACACGCAGATGAAGGGACCCTCCTCGTGACTGCTCACCTGGGGGGCGGGGGGGGGAGGGGGTGTCAAAGACCATACCATACCGTAGGAAACCACAGGTTGGGGACAATGGGGAAGAGGTATGGGGAAGAGGTATGGGTTGGGTTGGAGGGTTGGGAGGTGTGCGGGGAGGTGTGTGTGTGTGTGTTAAGAAAACTGGCCGCGAGTAGGAACGTACTGGGATGTACTGGGTGTGTGTATGGTATTACACGGGCACTGCGTACGGCGCCATGCGTTGCCCGGGTAGCTCTAGCGAAATGAGTAGAAGCCCGCCCACCCACTTTACCCCCCCCCCAACCCACCCCATGCCTCCCTCCCCCGCCCCCACCTGCGCGGTGGCCACGATGCTGCGCGGCGGGTACTTCCGTCCCTCCACATCCACCTCCGCGGGGCACAGCGCCAGCGCCTTGATGTCGTCGGTGTGTCCCAGGAAGAAGTGCTGGCTGTGACCCCCGCCACCCCCAGCCCCGTCGTCATGGGCCGGGGGTAGGGAGGGCGAGGTGGGTCCTCCCCGCCGCGTGTACACCACCCCCACCCCCGCCACGAAGTACACCAGCTGACCCAGGCAGTTGTAGAAGAGGTTCTGACTGGTGGCGTCCTTGCCTGGGGGGGTGGGGGGAGGGGGTGGTAGGGGTGTTAAGGGGGTTTCAGATGCCTCCTTCTCTCCAATGCTCCCCTGCCGCACCGTTGTATCCCCCATCCCCCCCTGCCCCCGCCCCCCCCCTGCCGTACCGTTGTATCCGTACACGAACTGCAGCACCAACCGCGTGTTGGGCAGCTCGGCGGAGCGGGCGGCGTCCAGCTGCACGGGGTGGGGTGGGTGGGTGGGGTGGAGAGGAAGGAAGATGAGAGGTCGGGGAACGAGGAGTGTTACAACGGGGACTAGCAAAGCAGCTAACGTCCCAATGTCACTTCCTTTGCACCCATTTTGCACCCAGCTCCAGTGTGCACCACCGCTACAGCAACACCGCAACACCACAACTACCACCCCCCACCTGCACATATCTTCAAACTCCCCCCCACCTGCGGGTCCCAGTTGGCGGGCGTGTAGAGCGGCTTGCGGCAGCGGCGGTCCTTGATCTTGCCGTGGAACTGCGCGGCGTGCACGTCGCGGAAGGGGCCCGCGCGGACTGACAGGCAGGGGGGGGACGGAGGGGGGTAAAGATAAGGAAACTGACGAGGGATGGGAGGGGGTAGGAGGGGCGAGGGAACAAGACCAAGTTGGCAAGGCCACGGTGGCACACTCCCCTGGACTGCAAAGGGGGGAAGGCGGCGGAGTTGCGCCCGGGGGACACAAACCCCGCACTGCCTACATGCATACACCTAACACCGAATACCGAAACCTGCCATCCCACATTTGTTTTTCGAACTTTAATTTCATGCAGTTTACCCCCCGACCCGACCCAGTCCGCTTCCCCCTCCCAACCCCCAACCCCCCCGCCACACCACCCACTCGGCATCTCCTCCGCCAGCTGCCTGCTGGGCTGAGTCAGCAGTACGGCAGCGAACCGGGCGTACGGCAGCCGCTCCTTGTAACCGAACCGCTCGAACAGCCGCTGCGCCTCGGACAGGCCGCACGACACCCCCAGCTGCCCGCAGATGGCGCAGAACTCATCCCAGCTCACATCGCCGCTGCCGTCGTCTACTGACCTGTGCGGGGAGGGGCGCGCATGGGGTGCAGGTGTTGAGAGAACTGGCTGCGAGTCCAGCACGGGGTCATGGGGTGCAGCTGTCCTGCTAGCCATTCCAGCGCGAGCGCGGATTCATTCCCTCCCCCTTCCCCTCCCTTTCCCCCCTTCCCTCCCTCACTTGAACATCCGCAGCAGCAGGCTCTTGCTGTCCTCGTACACCGTCCTCCGCGCCCGCAGCGCGTCACGGATCTGGTCCTCCAACCCCGCTAGACCCGCCTCCGTAAGGTCAGCTGCGGGGGCGCCGCGGGCAGCAGCAGCAGCAGCAGCACCGGGGGGGCTGTCGGCGCCGCTGTGTGTTGGGGAAGGAACAGAGGGGTGAGGCGGTTGGAGGGGTGAGGCGGTTGGAGGGGCACAGAAGAGGGATATGCGGGGATGGCGGGTGGGGACGAGGGCGGCGCGTGAAACGTGGGGAGGTAGGGGAACGTGTCAGCCCTTAACAACAAGAGGGAGACAGAGAGAGGGATACAGAGAGAGGGGGAGTGGTGCAATGCATGCAAGGGGCAGCAGTGGGAGCCGCTATCTCACCGCCCAAGGTACGGCAGCCGGTCAACCTCACAGCAGCTGTGTCGAACCTGGATCAAATCCTCTGCCCCCCCCCCAGCAATCTTACACCCCCATCCACCCCACCTCAAGCGCAGATCCGACATGTGCCTGCTAGCCGCCTCCGCCTGCTGCTGCTGCGGTTCCGCAAACGCCGCACGGCCCATCCGTACAGGACCCGTGTCGTACGACACTAACCCACCCCCGCCGCCCCCTCCTCCTACTCCTCGGCCTGGGGGCGGCCCCCCAGGACTCCCGAACATGCCGCCACCGCCTGCCCGCCCGCCTCCTCCTCCCCCTCCGATGCCGGCGGCGGTGGCGCCGGCGCGGCGGGCGGACGCCCCCCCTGCACCCCCCCCTGCGGTGGCCTCTATGTGCCCTAGCCCGGGAGACTTGAGGTCTAGTGCGATGCCTGCGAGGGGCTTGGTGGTCCTGCCGCCGGCTAGTGTGGCGGAGGCGGGCTTGATTTGCTTGGCTGCGGGGAGGGGCGGCAGGGGGAGAGGGAGGGGAAGAGGGAGGAACGGGAGGGGGGGTCGAGAGGTTTGAGAGGCGGTGGGCGTCCGTGCGGTGGGAAGTGGGGCAGGGTGCTAGGTGGTCGCTGAGAGATCTTTTGAGGTTGCTCGGAAAGGAAAGGGAACAGGGTGGCATGATACAGGGCGGTGCCCGGCCCATCAGTTACGCCCAACACCCATGCTCACCCACATCCCTAGCATAGCCACTAGCCCTGCCTCCAACCCTCAGCCCCCTCCCCCCACCCAAACCACCACTGCCACGGTACGCACTTGTGGTCCCGAACGGCGGCGACCGAGGCAGCTCGCGCCTGGGCAGCTCGTCCCACGCGTTCTTAGCGCCGCTGGAGGCGGGTCGGATGCGCTCCCGCACCCCGCCCGCTAGGGCGCCGGCACCGGGGGAGCCAAGCAGGCTGCTGTAGGGGGCGGCGGGGCCACCCGGACTGCCGAAGGGAGCAACGCCGCCTCCTCCGCCTCCGCCGGTGGCTGAGGCGGGGCGCTGGCGGCCGGCTGAGGCGGGCCTGAGCAGGAAGGGAGGGAGTGGAGGGTGGGGCCGTGGGAGGAGGGAAGGGGTCGAGATGTAATGGAGCAGGGTGTGGAGCAAAGTCTAAGGGGGGAGTGAGGCTGGGGACGCGGCCGGCTGAGGGGATCGAGTGAGGCTGGTCGCTGGTGTGCTGAAACACGTGCGAAGCCACGTTGTCTTCCCCGACCCAGATGGGGCTTTCCCTGACGAAGGTCCTACGTCACGCAGAACGTCCCCATACAGCTGTCTTTGGTTCGACTCCCGCGCCCATGCCCCGAAAGGCCCCAGCCCCCACCTGGCTGGTCCGCCTCCACCGCCCCCGCCATCAGCCGCGCGAGGGTCAACTCCCCGGTTGGTGGGTGCCTTGCCCCACGTCCCGCCCAGACCGCCAGCATAGCCACCCACGTAGTTGCCGGGGGCACGGTCGCCGCCACCACCGGCGCCTCCAGCGTTGACCGAGCGGATGACGCCCGCTAGGCGGGCCCGTGTGGATTCTCCCATTGTGTTTGACATTTTGCGCTTGCGAGCAGCTGGTTCAACTGTCTACTGTATGAAAGGATTGGAGGGAGCTGGAAGAAGAAACTTTCGTAGGTTGGATACGCGGCTCCGATGGCTTCCAGCAAGCGTAATGACGAGGAGTCACAACCGGACTAGTCCAGCGCTGAGAAAGCCTTGTAAGGACTCAGCTGTAGTGGTGTTATTGCAAGATCTTGCACCAGCGCTAGTAGGCAAGACACGACGTCTAAGCAACTACCAGCAGTGTACCGAAATTGCAGCTGAAAGAAGGAACGCAGTGCTGCAGTCACTATACCGAATCATATTCAAGATAGCTCAAGGACAAAATGGCTTGGCCTAGAGCTTTCCCATAATCATCAGCGAACGCCTCTTGAATGGCAGTTAGGCGTATCTTAATGATGCCCAAGACGCCATAACTACATGAAATACCAGTTATGAAGCATGGAAGGGAGCATCATGTTATGCCGCATAAGAACAAGCTGCTACCGCGGCATCGAGCCACCTGTTGACTAGCTACGGTACTGATCGTGCATCTAACCAGACTCTCGGCCCACCGCACACCGGGCATGTGTCATGGTTGCTTAGAGCTATGGTGAAACGTCTCATTTCAACTGTCAAACACCTGCAATAGCATGAAAGCTTTACTTGCGGGTTTCAATAGCATGGTCACGGTTACTTTAATGCGCCTGTTATCGCAAGTCATAAGCACTGCTGAAGGCATAAAGTGGGTATCAGGACAATCGGCATTAATTAATCAACAACGAATAGGAACCGCGGGTCGCTAACGCAATGCAATCCTAACGCAAACCATGCCCTCTCCAGGCCACTCTACCTGGTAGAACATACCGGACGCAGGCTTACGCGCATTGTGAGGTGATGTGGTCATGTTTGTGCTATCGAGGCATGTTGCGGCTCAGGCAGAGCAGGCAGCATGCGGGAGGTTTGTGGGAGCCGAAAGGGACCCCGTGCGAAGGTAGGATGCAGCGGCTGGGGCAGAACAGCGCTTACTTAAAGTTGGGTGCTCGGTTACCTCGCGGGTAGCGGCTACAGCGGCGTGTGCGGATACATGTGGACCTCTGTGGCTGCCTCTTACTATTACGACTTAACAAGGTATGTATGTGACACGGAGGAGGCAAGCTTGTGGAATGGCCTTTCCTTCGATTCAGCCTTCGCGACGGGCAGGACAAGGAAAGGCACCTGTAACAGAAAATCCTGGCTGCTTTAGCCTTGTTTGCCGGAATGCGGTTTACTTGATTGCTGCCACTCACCATCGTGCTTTGAAGTACAATGTCCTGCAGTGTCCGACAAGCTACCCCAGGGGCGCATATCATACCTGCTGCCACATGCGGATACTGAAAAGCCAGGTAGGTGGGCTGTGCTTAGGGGCCTAGCAGTAGCGGCCTGTGGCACCACGGCCCCACCAGCATCCTTTGCCTATTCCCGAGGTGGACAGGAGGTGCTACGAATTGCCTGCAGCAGCGTGCTGGCGCGGTAGGAGCGGTCAAGTGTGGTCTGTCCCGCCCTTTTACCGCCTGCCGTGTCGCAATGCTTTGCACATCTGGGCTTTGAGGACGGGGCGTTGGCCTGGCTGCATGCACGCTTGTTGGTGGCCAGTTCGGGGACTGCGTGGGCGCGCCGGGCTTTGGGCAGGGCGTGTGGAAGCATACAGGCGCCGGTAGTTGGACAAAGCGGAGACAGTGCCATAACTCGAACGGGGCAGGAATGTTGGTGCATTTGCACCCGTACTTGGGCACGGCGGGGCTGCTAGTTTGCATGGCACAGGTGGTCTGGTAGGGTGGCAGGGTACATGCGCGGCGGCGCGGGTTTGTCCATAAGCAACTGAGCTGCGTTCCTGTACTGACTACAGCGGCAGACATATGCGCGGCTGCTGTGTGGGCGACTGGTGTCGACGGGGAGTTGTGTAGTAGTGCAGTGGTAGTAGGATCTGTACTCTATGCTAACGCACAGGTGCCAGTACCGGTACTTTGACAGGGCACGGCACGGCATGCGCACATAAGCGTGGGCACCGGTACTCGGGCGGGTAGGGAGGGGTTTTGGCACTCCACCACCTGTGCGCTTTGATATACTGCGTGTTTCCTTGGCGTCCTCAAGCCGCTTGTGCATCCTAACCGTTTAATTGCTAGTAGCCTTGGCGACAATCGCTGCCACTCCTTTTGTGGTTGAAGCATCCTTCTGCATCCTCACGTCGTACATGCGTGCAACCGCATCTTTCTTCTCGACATCACCTCCCATTCCTACTCTTAGTCCATCCAGCTCCCTCCCGCGAGCTACGGGTAGCTCCCGCCGAAAGCGGGCCTTACTAGTCCACGAACCTTCATGGACCTGGTGTCTGACTTGCACAGCCCCATGGGCCGGCTTTGAGCCCTCGCCAACCGCATACCTCGATGTTCCAAGGTCATCCACCATACCCCTCTCGCCGGCATTTTCGGCGTCTTCTGATAATACTTCCTCGGTGAGTGACAGGTCGTCCTCGAAACCTTCAGCGGCATCTTTATATGCGTCATCATCGTAACTGTGGTAGTCGGAAGCGTAGTCAGAGGACATACTATCGCCATATTCGCTTGCCATGGACCTATTGTTTACTAAATCTGCCTGGTATCCTTATGACGTGTAATTAGCCTTGAAATGGTACCGGTATGACGGCTCAGGACGGCTCGGCAAAATTCACATTTCCGCAAACTTTTGTCTAACAAACTGATTTAGCTACTCAGGTCTTGCTTACAAAACATTGCTACCATAACGGTACATGCGACATGCGTCTTTTGCTGGGAAATGCGCTGACAGACTTGCAAGCGGACTTTTCAAATGGGCGAGGCTGATTTCAGCGCCCAATCACCTGGCAATTAGGAAGACACAGTCAGTAGTTGCAAAAAGACTAGAATGAAGGAAAAAGAAAAAACGGTGCCGTACGCCTAGGTCGCTCCGGACCTGGGGGCAGCGGCACCCATGCTGAATCCATAGCGCAAAGAATTCCTGTGAGCTTAACGTGTACTAGCCAACGATAACATGTTATCTTAAGCAAGTTTTAAGCTTATGAAGGCGTCAAATGTATGGCAAACCTTTGCTTGCGTAGTCTGACATAGCAACACTCCCGCTTGCCGTTTTCGTGGGAACACAGGCATAGGAGAAACGTAGTTGACTACAACTGTGAAGTTTCTACCGGGAATGAACTTGGAATACCAATGGTCACTCTAACCAACGGCAAAGCCTTGGCTAAGTCCGTGTTAGGCCGATGGCGGGCAATCGCTCTATGCATCGCAGCAATTCTGCCGGCAGTTCTAGCCCATAACGATACTGCGCTGATGGCACACTGCTCGCGCTTCCAAGATTTCGAGCCGGGCATTGCTGAGGACTTGCTGCCTTGGTACGACGACGCGGGGATCAGCGAGGCGCTCATGGACCGGACGATTAGAGAACGCACCATGCAGAATAGTGTACCTGGCTTGCCGCTGTGCATCCGCGGAGGCCGACTGTACGTCATCAACGGCACGAAGCAGAGCATCGGCAACCTCATGCCGTGGCAGGCGGAGAACATCATTGTCTATGCGTATGTACGTAGCAAGGGGCTCTAGATAATGCTAGGGTGTGTACCCAATGTTCCCCAACACCTGGCTGAACAGTGCAGTGGGTTATGCCCTGCACTACGAATCTACGGTACATGTGGCTTGGCCAGCGTATCCTGCACGTCTTAGCGGTAATTTCAAACCCCACCATTTCCTCATCCCCATTCCTCCCCTCTACACATGGTTCTCCTTCTTTCTTTGCCTCCTCCTTCCCCAATTCCCCTCCTCCCTCACCCTCTCATCCCTCTTCCCCTCCTTCCTCACCCTGTCCCTTCCCTCCTCGCCTCTTCCCTCGTTTTCTCCACCCTCCCTCCCCTCCCCTCAGGCACTGCAGCGACTGGTCTCCCGCTGGGGCCCTGCGCTGCCCGATGCCGAGTTTGTGGTCGAAACGCAGGACCCGCCCTACCAGGACCTGGGGCTGGCCTCCGACCTGGCGGACGCGCAGGCGGCAGCGGCGCTGTCAGCAGCCGCAGCAGCAGCAGCAGCAGGGGAAGAGGAAGGGGAAGGGGCAGGGGCAGGGGCAGCCACAGCAGGGGCAGGGGCGGGAGGAGGGGCGGCAAGGGTGGAGGCGAAGGTGGCGGCGGCGGCGGCGGCAGCGGGGCTTGATGCCACTGTCCCGGGGGCCAACCGGGACGTGTGGGGGGAGCCGCATGGTCGGCTGCCGGTGATGCGGCACTGCAAGGCGGCGTCGAGCGTGGAAATTGCGGTGGGTGTGTTAAAATAACTGTGTGCGCGGGTGGGGATGCGGGGGTATGTGAGGGGTGTCGTGTTTGCATGGGGTTGTACGGGGTCGTGTGGGGTTGTTTGATTGGTGGTGAGCGGTGGGAGGGGGTGTGGCTTGCAGGCCGCCGTGGGGGCGGTCTTGGCATGGAGGGCCAAGGGATCGGGGCTGGCGGCCTTGGGTCGCGGAGCGGATGGAAGCGGCTACTAAAGGCTTGCAGGTGTTTGGGTTATAAACGCCTGCGGCTGCCTGCGGAGGAATGGGGCGCAGTTTGCCTCCCCTGCCTCTCAACCTTTTGCCCTAATCCCCTGCCTGCCTCGTGCGCCTCACCCCCTCCCCCCCAGATCCCCATCTTCCACTTCTACACCATGCACTACGACCGGCGCTACCTGGCAACCATGCAGCGACTCAACCGCGAACGCCCCTGGGCGGACCGCAAGCAGGCGGCATTCGCAGCGGGCATCAACTACCACCGTTACCAGGTGAGGTGGCGGGTGTGGGCGGGTGTGGGGAGGGGAGGAGGAAGAGGAGGAGGTGCTCTGGAATGGGGGGCCGAGGGAGGGGGTTTTCCCACCGCCTGAGGGAGGACGAGGAAGGGGGGACCTCACCCGCCCTGTCCCGCTGCTGCTGCTGCTGCTGCTAGGCTGTTGCGGCCTCTTGCTCGCCCCCCCCACCCCCCCACCCAACAGGAAGATGTGCGGTTCCCCCACCCCCATGTCACCCACCCCACCCCTGCCCCGCCCCGCAGGCCCTGCCCTCCACCCTGAAACACTGGGACGGGATGCGAGCGGGGCAAAAGGTGAGGAAGCTCCTCCGGCCTCCCGGGTCACATGCGTGTGTGTGTTAAGAAAACTGGCCGCGAGTAGGAACGTACTGGGATGTCGGAAGATGAAGTCCCCACAGAACCGCCGCAGGAGCCGAGGAATAGGGTAGCGTATGTACATATAGAAGTCCAGTACTGGTGCTGAGAGTAAGTAGGACGTAAGAAGCACTCTCGTAAAACGACCGGACCGAAGGCCCGTAGTAGTAAGTTGATAGTATGTAGTAGCTGACAATATCGAGTAAAGTAGGTAGGTAGATAGGCTGGAACTGCTGCTGAACAGGTAGCAAAACAGGGGAGCATGCCGAGACGTCGCAGTGTATGTGTGTGTGTGTGTATGTGCGACAGCCGGTGACGCTGTTAGGAGCATGCGTCCCTCCATAGGGCCCCTCATGCGTGTCGTGACGTGCTGTCGTCCTATCCTGCATACACCCGTACCGCGATACATACCTGTACACTCCTCCCTTCCACTTCTTCATTGCTGACCACCTTACCTGCAGCGTCGCCAGCCAGCCAGACATTCGCTGCAACCTCCACCTCCCCTGCTGCGCCCCCACCCCACTCTCCCTCTCCCATGTTGAAGCCTCTCGCCGTACAGCTCGATAGCTTCCTCTTCATACCCTCCTTCCCTGCACCCTCCTTCCAACCCAAATCCCCCACGACCCAGGTTGAGTTGGTGCGCACGTCATTCTCCGACTACCTAACCCGGGAGCTGCGGCACCCCAACATCTCCTACCTGGACGAGCTGCGGGCGCTGCGAGACTGGGCGGAATACCGCATGGTGATGCATGTGGATGGTAGGAGGGGGGGGGTGGCGGGGTGTTGGGTGTTGCGCGGGAGGTTGCAGGACGACTTCAACGAATGCTGCAGCGGTAGCAGCTTAGCTACGTTGCCCACCAATTAAGGATGGTGTGCTTATGTCGGTTATGTGACGCCTGTTTCTGTAAGCCCCCTCCCACACCACCACCACCACCACACCACACGACATGCACCACCTGGCGCCACCCCAACTCACTTCCGCCTGTCGTACACACCCAACGAGCACGTACACGCCCTTCCCCCATCCCATCCCCCCGTGTATCCTCCCCCCCCGCCAAACAGGCATCACCTGCTCCTCCCGCGTCTGGCAGCTGCTGGCACTGGGCTCTGTCGTACTTCGCGAGCAGTCGGGGTACTTCGCCTTTTACGACAAACTGCTGACAAAGTAAGGTAGCTGTGAGGTGCACCGGGATGGAAGGGGTTTGTGTGTGGGATTGTGGAGTTGAACGGCCCGTTATCTCTTATCAGTTGATCACCGCCATGTCTCCATACCGGTATGTGTCCGTCCTGAACACATGCCGTACCCTCCCTACCACCACACACGCCGTTCCTACTCGCGGCCAGTTTTCTTAACACACACCCCGCCCACCCATTCCCCACCCTCCTGCCCCCCTCCCCAGGTTCGTCCACTACGTACCCTTCTGGACGCACCGACCACGGGAGGTGCTGTGGGCATACAACTGGGTGGCCGCCAACCCGGTTGAGGCCCAGCAGATCGCTGCGCGGGGGCAGGCCTTCGCCGCCTCCCACCTGAACCAGCAGGCCGTGGAGTGCTTCTGGCTGCTGCTGCTGCGGCGCTACGCGGGGCTTCTGAGGTTCACGCCCGGGAGGCGGACGGAAGCAGCGGGAGGGGGAGCAGGAGGAGGAGGAGGGGGAGAGAGGGAGGAGGAGTTGAAGCTGATGCCGATAGATGACTGGATTAAGGCGCAGGTGCGTGTGTGTGTTTAGGCTGCTTCCGCGCGGCAACCAGTACCCCCCCACCCATGGGATTCCCCTGCCAGTTTAGGGAATGAAAGGATCATGTCCCCTCGCTTCATGGGGTTGTGGAGTTCCCTCACTCCGCAGCCGCATACGCACACCCCCACCTACCCGCCTGCTCACCCCCAGTCCTCATTTCTCTGCTCCCTGCTTTCCCCTCACCACCACTCCTCCCTTCCTCACCTCTCCCCCTCAGGAGGGCCGTGTCGACAGCTGGGCCCCCGACGCGGTGGCTCAGCGCCCCGCCTCCCTCGACCTGCTGCCGGATACCCCAATGACATAACTCAGCACGTGATGTGATAGGGAGATGTATGACGTGGCGTGGCGTGATGTGACAGGGGGTGACACTCTTGACGTGGCACACCCGGTGGGGGTTGGGTGATTATGCGTGTCGTGCAATACTGCCGTGTGATGCCGTGATTGCAAAATCACACGAGTGGTGGTGGCGGGGAGGCGCCGATGGTCTCGTGCTGTCTGCTGCCCGCTTTCCTCATGGCTTCTGTAAGGGACCCTAGGCTTTGCAGGCTGGGCATGATACGCCTTGTCGGATTGATATGCTGTACCTTGGGCACAGACGTGAAGGAGGGCTGGTTGGTTGGTGTTTGCGGGATGCAGCTGGTGGGACGGCCGCGGAAGGTGTTCAAAGACATGCCATGTTAAATCGCAACTTAAATACATGCTTTCGAAGATGCGACACGACGGGAAAAACAGATGAGCGAGGTCAGCAATACGATGTAGGAAGGAGGAAGAGAGGGCCACGAGGCTCACGGGGGGGCCATCACGAGAGCACAGTGCAATGCACACCGACAAACAGGCAAGCAAAAACGACACAGCGCTACAGCACCCGCTACCGCAGTCCCGTTGCACAATTTGAAGTCTTTCCATCCCAGCACGCGCGAACACTATTGCAACACACGAACATCAAACCCCTTCATCTAATCCCTATCCCTAAATCCGTATCCCTAAACTCCAGCAGCAGCAGCAGCACACATTCCCCAACAATCACTGAAACAGAGCAGGAGCAGGGTAGCCATCGCACGCACGCCGCAGGGTCCCATTCCAATCGTATTAACTTGACCCCCAATCCGATCCTTCGCCCAACCACCTCCTTTGCCCAACCATCAGTAACACCAGCAGCAGCAGCCGCCACTAACATTGGCCTACTGTGCAGGATAGACCCTGCTACGGGGCGCGCACGACCACGTGGATGTACGAGCATGCACGAGATACTGGTATCGTAGGGAACCGCGGAGAGACCCAGGGGTCACTGCTGCTTTCACAGCCTCACTTAAGCACCTATAGTTAAGGATGTCCATTCACACACGTATCCATTCTTTCCTTGCAGCTGCCTCCACTTCCCTCCCCATCTCCCTCCTCTTCTTACCCCGATTCCGAAATCACGACTATATACCGAATTTGTAAACCAAATTGCAACAAGCAGGCTTTTACAAAACCACGAAGACCCACGGGTCACAGCCGTTTCAAACCACTCATCCCTCAATCCTATTGCCCATTCCCTCCCCTCTTCTCCCTCCTCACATACCTCCCCCTCCTCTACCTGGTATCCGGGATACGCGAGTACAGCCAAGCCATAATCGTATTCCACGCATCCGTACGTGTCGGGTATTTGCTGTTCGCCATGTACGGATGCCCAGGTGGGCCCATCCACTCCCGCAACCCCCCTCCGCCTCCTCCTGCTGCCCCCGCCTCGCCCCCAGCCGCATGCAACCCGCGGCCCCCAGCCCTCAGGTCCTTCGCCACCCGCTGCATGACAGAGTGAAACTCCCCCTCCGTCATGTTGGGTCGCATGCCGGCATCCGCCATGCGCTGCCGTACAACGCGGTTGTGGTCGTAGGTGTTTTGGAGGTCTCGGTTCAGCAGGTGACCGCCCGTGTAGGCGAACCTGGGGACAGGGAGGGGAGGGGGGGGCGAGAAAGGTGATGGTTGGCATGCGGTGGTTTTAGGTGTGTGGGTTCTAGCCGTCCTCTTCCCCGTTCCCTGCTGCTCCGCCTTTGCAGCTGCGAACCAGTGCCCCTCTCCCCCTGCCCCTCCCCCCCCCTTCCTAACGATTGTTTTGTCCCCACTTGTGGGCTCCCTACGGTCCGGTATGATCTTCGACCCCTCCCCGCTCCCCCACCTCTGCCACACCACCGCCAGACGTCGCTGCATGCGCTCAATCTGCTCCGGCGAGAAGGACAGCAGCACCTGCGGCAGGTGCTCGTTCACCGCCTCCTCCCGCAGCCGCACCGAGAAGGCGTCCCACTCCAGGATGCTCTCAAACACCGCATGCACGCCGTCCATGAGCTGAGAGGGGGAAGGGGGAGGGTTGGAAGAGATTGCAACGGGAATAGGGTGGGAGATTCATATGAACAGACGGGCGGCCCCAAGCAGACTGGAGTCCCGCGCATCCCAAACCCTACCCCGCCCACTGACGTTTGTGCCTCTCACTAGTTTGACCACATCCACCCCCCACCCATCACCCACCCCCCACCCCTCACCCACCACGAGGGGGATGCAGCCGTGCAGGATGGCATCCTCCGCTCGGGCGCTCCACCCGTCACCTGCGCAGCGGGGGGGGGAGGTGTGAGTGCCGTACATACACAGCGGCAGCAGCAGCAGCAGGAACTGAGGATACGGCTGAGTGAAAGCAGCAGGAGGTGTCGTGGAGGTGAGAGACCTGGGTATTGGCCTAAACCCGCACTCCTCCACCCCGGCCCTCGCCCCCCTTAATGCCCCTCCGCCCGGTCAGTTACCGGTACTTCCTTCCTCCTTACCCTCACCACCCTCCAACCCTATCCCACCTCCATACCCTCCCCCTCCCCCCTCCCCCCTCCCCGCCCCACCCGGTGCCACCACGCAGAACAGCGACCTGGCCAGGTGCTCCGAGTAGCTGCCCGATATCTGGTGGGGTGGGTGGGGGGGGGGGGAGGTGGAGGTGGCGGGCGGGAGGGATGGGCGGGGCGGGACAGGCGTGGTGAGGTCACCGCAATCAAACTGACACTAACCTTGAGGAGAGAGGGCGTGGGAGAGAGGATTGGTTGTAACGCTGGGTAGGCAGCACGTGCAGACATGGCGTGACGCATGCACCGGTGTGGGTGTGTTAAGGAAACTGGCCGCGAATCGGGTGGGTGTGTGCGTGTGTGTATGCGCCGCATGTATGTGACTCTGCGGCCTGCAGCCCCCTCCACCCTGCCCCCCTCCCGCCCACCTGCCACCCCTCCCCGATGAAGATGCGGTACTTCTCAGCCCAGTTATTCTGGTAGGCCAGCCTGAGGGGAGGGGAGGGGGAGGGAGGGGAAATAACTGATGGAGTGAAGCACCGGAATCCCAATCCCAATCTGCCCCACCCTCTCCTCCTCACCCACCCAATGTTCCGCCCCAACTTGCGGATTCCCATGGTTTGGTGATTGGTATATGGTACAATGGCATGCACTTCCCCCTCCCTCCCCCTCTCCCTCCCTCCCCGCCCCCCCCGCTCACTCACTTTGCCAGCCTCTGCCGGACGCCCCTGCTGTACCAGTGCGCCCTCCAGGGCCCCGTGTCACCGCGCAGGTACAGCAGGATGTCACGCTTGAGCGGCGGGGCTCCCAGCAGCGGGGAGGAGGCGAAGTGGTTGGCGGGCTTGAGGGAGGGGATGATCAGGTCCTGGGGAGGGGGGGAAAAAAGAAATTCCAAAGTGTGGTGTGATAATGATACAAGTTGCTGACAGTCCCTGGTAGAATCAACCGTAAGTCGAGCCGAAAAGGGGGGAGGGGTGTGAGCGGGGGAGAGGTGTGGGTTAGGGGAAGGGAGGGCCTCACGGAGCGCGGTGCCACCACTAGGGGTGCGGAACGGGGGTGCTGTTGATAAACGTGTTTGGGGTTGGTAGTACCCCCACCACCACCCTACCCCTACCACATTGCTGATTACATTGCCTACATCTCCTGTATTCACAACCGCGTATGTACAACCCCCCTCCCTTCCCCCCCTTATTATGCCCTTCCCTTACGCCTTATCCCTCAGTTAGTTGTTTCCTCTTTACCCCCTCCTCCCGTTCCTCACCCCACGCTCCCACCTTGCCGGGTGTGTAGCAGGGGTGTCCGTCGTAGATCTTGCGCCAGTCGCCCAGCTCGTACGGCGGCCATGGATCCAGCGGGGATGTGTAGTTGTCGTATCCCCATGCCGTACCGCTCACGTGCTCGGTGTCCATGCGGCCCCAGTGGCTGAGCACGATGGAGCTCTGGTACACCTCTGAGGGGGGGAGGGGGGAAATGGGAGGGGAAAAGAGGGGGGTAAGAAGGAGGAAAAGGGGGGGGAAAAGGACGAGAAAGCAAGATCAACTTGGTTTCTCACGAAACGTCTTCACCTCCCCTCCTCTTTCCCTCTGCCTGTACAACCTGTCACTCCCTTGCCCCCCCTGCCCCCTCCCTGCCCTCACCGTTCGGCATCCAGCAGCCTCCCTCGTCGTTCAGCATCATGAAGATGTGGTCCCGCCCGCCCCGCCGGTTCCAGAAGGGGTAGTGCTGCTGCACCCAGCGCTTGGCCTGCAGGTACATGTTGCTGCCCTGGTGGGCGCGGGAGTGGGCTGGGGGGGGGGCGGGAGGAAAAGGGAGGGGAGGGGTAAGTGGAGGGGAAACGTGTGTGTTTCGTGCGTGCGTGTGTCGAAGCGGTCCGGGTTGAGGCAGCAAACGTCAAACCCGCACGCGCGCACGCACGGGCGACCCTTGACAAGCCTTGATACAGGTAAGTACCCAAATCGGCCTGCCCCCCGAACCCATGCATGCTCCGCAATGCCCAAGTCTCCGTGTTCCCCCCCTCCCCCCGCCGCCCCCCGGGCACCCCCACCTGCCGGCATGCCGAACCAGGGGTGGTCCGCCCAGCCCAGCACCGGCCACAGGTAGCAGGTGAGCTGCACGGGCACGAAGAAGAAGTCGGCCTCCTCGGGGTCGAATGTCCTGGGGTGGCGGGGGGGGAGGAGAAATACCCAATGTGTTGATTGACAATTACAATCGAGGTGACAAGCCCTTGGGGAAGGAATTCGGGGGTGTGGGCGGGGGAACCGTGAGAGCGGGAGGGGTGCGGTGCAAAAGGAAAGCGCGAGAGGGGAAGGCAATTAGAAGGCCGGGGCACAAAGAGGAAAACTGCCACCCCCCCAGTCGGCGTCCCTCGGGGTCAGGCCTCCTTGCAGTACCCACACTGGCACGTGAGCTGGACATTGCAAGCATGCATGTGCGCTTGTTGAGAGGAAACTGGCCGCGAGTCCATGCTACCCCCCGTCAGTTTCCTCGTCAGCTGTTTCCTTTTCACCCCCCCATCTGTCGTACGCCATATCCATCGTGTACAACACATCTGTCGTACACACAAAACTCATTTGCCGTACACCCGTACCTGTGTTGGCTGGTGGTGAGGTGTTCGATCCAGTAGCTCTCCAACGCGTACACATACGAGTTGAAGTACGAGTCGTTGGACGCACCGAACAGGCGGTACACGCAGGAGGTCCTGAGGGACGGGGGGGGAGGGGGGGGGGGGGGTGAAGGGGGGAGAAGCGTGTGTATTGACGAACCGGGCAGCATCTCCTCTGTAAACCTGTCTGTTACCGGTGCTCCCAGCACCCCATGAAACCCCTTCCCCATCCCGATCTTCCCACCGCCAGTAACCATTGCGGCTCGGTTGTCTTAACCCCACACAACCCCTCACCCCACCATTCACCTCATCCCATGGTACCTCCCCCCCTCCCTCCTGTCCCCCCCCCTCCACCCTCACCTAGCAACTCGGTACTGCAGCATCTTGGTGTTGAACAGCGGGTCCGTGTCGTACACATAGATCAGCGGCCGCCGCCGGGTGGGGTGCGGCGGGGGGTCCTGGGGACATGCGGGGGGGGAGAGGGGTAATGCGTGTGTGTTTTGCGTGCCATGCGTGTCAGGTGCAGCACTCCTCTGCCAACAGCTACTTACGCCCCTACACAGCCAAATGACACTACTTCCTTCCTGGCGATTCATGTGGAGGCTTCTTCTCCCGACAACCACCGTACGTTCCGACTCGCGGCCAGTTCTGCAAACACCCACGACGGTGCTTCGGTCCGGTCGTCCCTCTCACCTGCGCCGCGGGGGGGTCCACCACTAGGCCCTGAAGGTGGGGCCGCCCCCCGCCCGACTCGTGGAAGCCTGCGGGGGGGGAGTGGGGAGGTGGGGGAAATATAGATTAGTGCATCAACGGAGGGGCAGGTGGGGAGGGGGAGGGAAATAGCATGGGGGTCACGAGGCCATACCAAGCCATAGGAAACCACGAGTTAGCGCGCAGGGCATCTGCCGGAATAGAAGGCAACAGAGTGCCATAGAAGAGACGGAGGATAGGCGGCACTATGGGGAGGGAGGGAGGCGGGAGGTGGCGGGGGGAGGGATAAGAACAACACCAACCATGGAGACTCCTGCTAAACCCCACCCCCCAAACCTCCTGAGCCCAGCACGTATCAACCCCTGTCCCGCGCTCAACCCGCCTCCTTCCACCTCCCCCCCCTCGTTGCTGCACTTTTCTTACATTCCCCCTCCTCCCTTCTCACCCTTCGTCTTCTCCTTGGCTGAGGCCCGCTGCCGCGAGCAGTCTATGCCGTACCAGCCCTCGTGGCAGCGGCAGAAACCCGTCATGCACTCGCCGTGACCCGAGCACTGGGGGAGGGGGTGTGAGGTGAGGGGTGACAGGGGTGGCAGGGTGGCAGGGTGGCAGGTAAAAGCATGGGGATACTCGCAACGTGCAACATGCATGGATGGGTTGAACGGGCATGCTCTCATCTCGACAGTGCAGCTGTTAGCAAGGGGTGCTTGCCTCTCCGCCTCCCCCCTCCGCATGCGGCATGACCCCTCCGCCCCCCCCCCTTGGCCCCCACCTGGTTGAAGCAGAATGCCTCCGAGGGCTGGTCGCACAGGTGGCCGTGGGTGCCGTCAAGCACACACCCGCAACTGGGGGGGGGAGGGGAGGGGAGGGGGGAGGGGGGAGGCAGGAGGGAGAGGGCGGGGGTGAGTAGGAACAAGGGATACGAGAGGCGGCAAGGGACTAGTGGCTGGGCGGGAGGGCGGCAGCTGGTGGCTCCCGTGGAGGCTGAGAGCTGGTTCCCCCCCCTCCCCTTCCCAGCACAGCCGCCAGCAAATGGAGCTTAAACACAGTCTGTTAAAAGCCAGCCTAGTGCGGCATATCACGAATATGTGTCTCTATTGGTCCCCCTCCCGTCTCATCGGCTCAGTAGATGCCCCCCCTGCCCTCCCCCCCTGCCCCTGCAGCTCACTGTGCCAGCGGGTTCTCCGAGTTGCACCAGCCCTGCGGCCCGAACAGCACCTCCGGCTCCATGCCGCCCCACTCCGCCTTGGCACCCGTGATGGGGTCCTACAGGAGGCGAGGAGGGGTGGGGGCAGAGACCATAACAGACCATAGGAAACCACAGGGGGGTGGGGCGATGGGTGTGGGGGTCAAGGAAACTGGCCGCGAGACGGAACGTACTACGAGTGGCGAAGCTGGAAGTGCCAACATGAAACGCCAGGGGAATGTAGTAGTGAACGGCGCGTATGTTTAGGAAACTGGCAGCGAGTTTGGGAGGGGGGGGAGGATTGAAACATGGCCAAGTACGGCGATTCACTGGTTAACGACCGGTTCACCTCAGGTGTACCCTCGCGTCTTCTTCGTTTTGTCTCCCATGCACCTCCCGCGTTTGCCGTACACGCACCTTGTTCGGTTTGCACGAGTCGCCCATGGGTCGGCCCTGCTTGACGGGCGGGGTGCCGGGCGGGGAGCCGGCGGGCGCGGGCTCGCGACCGAACTTGGTTCCGGGGGGGCAGTAGCACATGGCGATATCCTCATCGCAGTAGCCTGCGGGGGGGCGGGAGAGGGGAGAGGACAGGGGGGAAGGTAAATGGTATGTGCAGCAACGACTTCCAACGAGTTCCAATCCCGAGGGGAGGGGAGGGAGGAAGTGAAGCACAGCCCCATGTCCCGGGTCCCGTACAGTGCGCGCATGGGCGCTAGCATCCTTCGATTCCTCCCCCACCTGCGCAGCGCGAGGCGGTCCAACCGGGCTCCGTCCAGTTCTTGTCCCGACCATCCGGGCCGGCGTGGTTCTTTGGGGGGGGGGAGGGGGAAGAGAGGGTAAGAGGGAGGATGTTGGTGGTTAGCGAAAAGCGGTGTGTTAGCGCACGCCACACACACAGCCGCTGCGAAAAGGGAACCGGCCAGCTACTGCTGCGGCCTGCCCAGGCTCATCCACCTCCCCGTGCAGACCCTCCCTGCAACCCTTCCTGCACACACACCTCTCCCTCACCCCGGCCCCACTCACAGCGTGGGTGGGATCGGCGGGCTGGGTTTTGACTACCGGTATAACCATAGCAATTGGTTCCTCTCCCCCCACCACACCCCACCACACACACATCGACACATGGTCTCCCTTTCTTAACCTTCTCAACCCCTCCTCCCCCAATGCTGCACCCCCTGGTGAGGTTTCGTCCTACAGCTCGTCAGTTTCCTTTTTCCCCCCTCGGGAAAGAAGGAAACTGACGGTTGGGATTCGTTGCTGCACTTCATCAATTATTTTCCCCTTCCCCCCTCCTCCCCTCCCCCTCCACTTCCCCCCTCACAATGGGCTCAGTGTTGCCCCCGTCCAGCTCCTTGTTTCGGTAGCGGTGGGTGCAGGGACGCGGGTCGCGGGTGCCGCAATCGGGACCGCGCCAGCCTGGCAGCACGGAGGGTGGGGCGGGCAACAGGGAGGGTGGGGCAAAAAGGGCAGCCTTAGGGAGGTGGTCGGGCGAGCGACACATCACACCTGGTGGGTATGTGTGTCTATAGCCAGCCCTTGAGCGGATGCGAGCCCAGGGAGACGAGAGGCACCGAGAGCCGGACCATGTCCCCCACGTCCCCCATGGCAGAACCTTCATCCTGAACCACACCCACTCCCTCCTCCCTTTAGGCCTGCCACGGTACCCCTCCCCCTCTCCTCATACCATACTATCACTATACTTGTATCATTATCATACCACACTTTGGAATTTCTTTTTTTCCCCCTCTCCTCCTCCCTCCCTCCCTCCTCCTCATGCTTCCCTCCTCCTCCTTCCCTCCTCCTCCTCCCTCCTTCCCTCCCTCCCCACCTGCGGGACACAGGCACACCCCTATGTCGTGCTGGCAGGACCCCATCCCGTTGCATGTGCCCTTGGAGGTGGCGGGGCAGTCCTTGTCGCCGCGGGGGGCGGGGCGCCAGGGAATGGGGACCTTTGTGGGCAGGGAAAGGGAACGATAGGGGCAAACCAGCAATGGGGATCTGAGGGGTGGGGGCAGGTGGGGTCATGCTGCAATACCCCCTCCCTCCCTCCCTCCCTCCCTCCCTCCACCCCACCCACCCCCACCCGCCCCAATGCGGCAACCCAGGGTGGAGCCCACATGTCCCACGGCTAGCCTGTTCCTTCAACTCGCGCCCCCCCCCACGTTTTGGTGGGCATATCATCCTCCAGACTATCTAGCACACTCCGACTCGCGGCCAGTTTCCTTAACACCCACCCACACCCGCACCCACACCTGGTTGTAATACTCCTTGCACCAGTCCCCGCGCGCCAGGGCACACGCCTTGCGCTTGCAGGGCTTCCCACCGCCCTCACACACTGGGGGGCAGGCGGAGGGGGAGGGAGGCGGAGGGGGGGGGTCGGAGGGAGGCGTTCCCACCCAGTGTCGTTTTGCAGTGTTCGCAGTGTGTGTGACTTCCCCCCTACACCTCGCAGCTCCCCCCCCGTACACACGTGCAAACAAGCCCCCCACCCCACCCCCTCCTGCACGGCCGCCCCCGCCATACACATACGCATGCATGCCCTCCCCACCCCGCCCCTCATCGTTTGCCTTGGCTCGGCTAGCCTGGGGCGGGGTCCGAAAGTTCGGCCTGTAGCCGGCTATAGGCGGTTTGCCATTGGGACTACAGTCAGTTCCTTCCTCCCCCCCCCCCTTCACCTCGGCTCCTTACACCTCGTCAGTTCCTTCCCACCCCGTGCCCCCCCTCCTCCTCCCTGTGGTCTCCTATGGTTTGGTATGGTCTTTGACCTCCCCCTCCTCCCACCTTCCTTCAGGTGGTCCACCATGAGGTCGTCGAATGCGTAGCCCGGGTGGCCCGCCACCTCCGAGGCGTTGGACGCCAGCTGCCCCTGACCCGGGTTGTACACCTGGGGCGCAGGGGGGGGGAGGGGGAGGGGGGAGGGAGAGTAACCACCTTTACATTACCCTTGAACTGCCCTTTCCAACACCATCTCCCACAACCAGATCGTACGGCGCGCTCCTTGCCCCTAACTCCACACACCCGGCCTCGCTTTCCTACCCATCCCTACCCTCCCAGCAACTCCCTCCCGCCCGGCCCGACCTTGCGTCCCTCCCCCTTCATGATCACATCCCACTTGACCAGCGCGGGGGAGTCCCAGTCGCGCATGGCGGGGTGCTGGATCAGGCGGGATTCCGGCAGCGCTGCGGCGAACAGCGCCGAGGGTAGCAGCAGGTTGCGTGAAGGCCCCGCTGCTGCGGAGTGGCTATCGCTGCTGAAGCCGGAGGTGATGGGGCCAGGCAGGTCGTAGTAGCAGGCGAGGAGGAAGAATGCTAGGGTGGCCGCTTGTAGCGGCCTCCGGCATGGATGCTGATGCTGTCGTGGGCGCATGGTGGAGGGTGATAGGAAGTCGGGCTGCTGATGACCAGGCTGGAAGAGGGCACGGGGCAGTTGTAGTTAAGGATGGGGAAGAAGACGTCCATGCAAGGCAATGTGGCTTCGTAAAGTAGGGCGCCATGGAAGCTGAAAAGACGTGCGAAAACAAGGGGTTTTGGTACAGCTGACAGTTGAGTTCAATAAAGATTTATGTTCCTATGTCAACCGATACGGCCGTGGCGGGCTTGGGCGCTGTCGACAGCAAAGCATGCACAAAGAAAGGACTGAACACAAAACTCTTGTCGCCCCGTAGACTGTTTGTTGTGCGCCTAGGGGTTATACTCGTAGCAACAATAGCATATCCATTCATCTTACTGTTGCTGAAAAGTTGCGCTGCTAGTCAGAGCAGAATGGCCCCCTCAGATGCTGATAGAATTGTCAATTGAACCTATGCAGATAGATCACATCATACTCCTCGACACCTACGCTGGACGTCTTATAAGAAGCTAACCCAAAAATGCTCGACAGGTCAAGGTACTAGGCTCATCCATTTCATTAAAGCCCAGGCACAGTACCACTAAGTTAACGTGGTAGTGCAATCATCGATGAGCACTGAAGGCAAGTATGCATGTCTTGCAATACTTGCACTCATTGCCGTATTCGCACCGACCTTTTTTGGCACGGCAATCCCCACAACAGCGCAGCTGACGAATTCTATAATTCCATTCTACATTTACAACTTGACAACTGTTGAATCAATCACGTTTGCTTTCGCTGGTGACCAACCCCTCACCGCTCGGCGGCGCAAATTGTTGGCCCAATAGCGGATACACGGCTATTTCCCCTGCTAGTCCTTTTGGCCCTTCCATACAGTAAACTTGCCGGCGTTTTGCCGCCGCATAGTTAGCTAGTGCCCTTGGGGCCCATTCACGCCGCACGGAGCGAGCTGCCATGCCGCTCCATCTTGTGGAGACTTCCGATGAGGATAGCTTTGTTAGCGTTGCGCAGCATGTATCGGAGCTCTTGAATGAAGGACAGGTGCGACGGCGCAGATCTGCACACATTGTTTCAATTGTGCCTGTGCTTTATACCAAGACTGTAGGGCATATCTTTATTGCGTTGTAGCTCTTGTTCTTAACACCCCACATCTGGGGGTTGAGCTTCCGCTGACTCCTGACTCCGCCGCCAAGCGTGCAAGTGAACATCCTTTATGTACTATACGCAGACGCGGACAGCTTTGGCAGATACGCCAGCGACAGTGTTTCTCAATGATTGCCAGAACCTAGTTCAGGTAGGATTGGTTCTGAGCGTGGGCAGTGATTTAGCCCGGGAACGCGCTTGCATATCCTGCAACTCCTGCGATCATTGGGTTTTTGTATTCCTGTGGTAATCGGATTTGTGAATCTTACGTTGCGATCTTGGTGCTTAAGCGCGCTTCATATGTGTACCGTATAGCTGGAGCGTGCCTTGGCTGGTGCCTATGGCTGGCTTATTTGGCAGTAAGCCGTCTCTGGCTTGCTACAATCTTACGCGCATATTCCTAGGCATACACATGATTCCAATTAGCAATAAGGTGGGCATACTTCACATGACACGGTGCAGGAACAACGATATGGAGACTATGTGTCGCGAATGGCATCTCAAATCGATGCGGTGTACTCCAAGATGTCGGAGAAAGGTGCGTAGCTGATCTGGGTTCAAGCTGCAAATCAAAACAAGTGTCACCGAACCATGTGCTGCAGACGGCACCGCCGTGTCTTAGTCGACTGGCGGTGGGCACAGGCTTTGCGTCCTAAACCATGGTACACGTGTCTGACACACTTTTCCTTTAATGCCGCAGAAGCCGAGTGCTGCGTGAGCGTAATGGTTCACGCGGTTGGGCGAGTGACAGCAGCGGACCAGCAACAGAAAGCAGCCACCACGCTCGCAGAGGCCCTATGCAAGGTATGTGCGGCTAGGTTTCACTAGTGTTCGTCGTAGATGTCTTGCTGTACGGGAATACGGAGAAGGGGCTGGGCTACTTGAATAAGGAAGTTGTGGTGCTGCCATCTCGCGTGCAAACAAGCATTATGCATGCGTCGCTGGAACATGCTCAATGCATCGGGACGTTGATGTTTTTAGTTCTACACACGAGATTTCTGGCTGAATGCCCTTCACAAGGCACGGTGTCGAAATCGAATACCCTTCTGAGTCCCAAGTTGCTGCTGCTCCTCCGTTACCAAGTAACATCCTGTACTCGTTCGCGCATGGATGCAAGCGTGCATGCGGCTCACTCCTTCGTGCATGCACAGGCATTTAGGGTTTACACGCGGACGGTGATGCTTTTAGTTCTACACACGAGATTTCTGTCCGAGTGTATTCGCACTCTGACGATATCATACCCTTCTGAGTCCGCTTCTTGCTCCGCCAGCTCATGTGCACCACCATCCCACCATCTCCCCTTTTAAGGCGAAGCATGCTGTACTTCCTTTCCCCCTTTCAGCGCCAGCGCGATCCACATCTTTCACACCCTGCACATCCCTTTCTTACCCCACTTCCGTACCCCCACCCCTTCCCCTCCCCCAGTCCGACGACCACGCCGAGGAGCGGCTGACGGCGCTCATGTCGCTGTACGGCATCCTAGCCGGCGGGCAGCAGCAGCTTGCCGTACTGCTGGCGGCTGCCAGGTTCGCGGCGCGTAACGCCAACAAGTGCCGGAGCGCGTTCAGCGCAGCTGGTGAGTGGGTGGTGTTTGTGTGTGGGTTGGGGTGTGGGGAGGTGTGAGTGGTGGGAGTGATTTGGGTTTGTTGTGTTTCAAGACAGAGACGCGTTGGTGGTTGTGTTGGGTTGTGTGGCATGATGGTGCACATGCACGTGGAAGCGAGGGAGACAACAGCAACGCAGTGACTCTGTGTTCCTCACCTCTTGATCTACCTCTCGCTGCACGCGTAACCCAGCTCGCCCCCTCCCTCCCCTCCCTCCCCCCCTCCTCTCCACCCCTGCTACCTCAGTTCGCGGCAAGGCCCCCCGATTGGTTTCGGACTGGAAGCTGGGGCCGCAGGAGGCGCGTGGCCTGTACCTGGCGCTGGCGGCCGCTCTGAGGGTGAGGATGGGGAGATGGGACCCTTGCAGAACCCTGAACCCCTCCTTAACTTACCCCTCGTACACGCCGGTCCTCATGTACCTATTCCTGCTCCCCATGCACGCTAATATACAACGCTGGCGAGCTACGTTTCCCCATTTCATCCCACCAAACCAACCACGCGCAATGCTTCCGTTGTGTTGCACAAAGGCCGATGACGAATAACATTTTCAATTTCCTTATCTACATTGCCTGATTCCGCCCCGCTCGACACGGGATGCGGTGCTGACAACCTTGACACTGAGGCCACACACACACCATGGAAGTCGTTTCCATTTTCTCTGCAGCTTGCACCTTTGCATGGCTTCCCTGCTTAGTCCCCTGCACGGAACCATAACAAACCCTACGAGCAGTGTTGCCCCGGTTGTCCTCGTGCCCGCCACTTTCCCTACCGTTCGCCGCTTAGTAGCCCCCCTACCACCCCACCTCAGCAGCCCCACCGCCGACCCTCCTGCCTTGCCTCCTCCCCCCCCTCCCTCCTCCTCCCAGGGCGCCCCCGACCGGCCCACCACGCGTGAGCACCTCTCTCTGGTGGCTCAGGCGCTGTCACTGCCCGCGGGAGGCGACCCGCAGGCGCCGGAGGTGGCGGAGGCGGCGGCGGGGGCGCTGGCAGACTACCTGCGCAGGTGGGGATGGCATAGGGGATGACGGTTGCTCCATGGGTGGCGAGAGAGAGGCAAGGGGAACGGGTTTGGGTTGGAGGAAGCTTCTTTTTGCTTGTGAATGCTCCTCCCTGTACTCTCTTCTCCTCCTCCTGTCTTCCCATATCAGCGCTCCGCTTCTACTGTAACTTTACCTCCTCCCTCCTCCTCCCTCCACCTCCCCTGAGGGATATTGGATTAGGACTCCGGTTGCTTCACGTCTCACTTACCTTTCCTCCCCTGCTCCCCCCTTTGCGCCCCCCTTTGCGCCCCCAGCCCCTCCATCTTCACGCTAGACCTGCTGCCCCTGCCCGGAGTGGCGGCCCTGGCCTCGCACCCCAAGTACGGCCCGCTGCTGGCGCTGGTGAAGGCGGTGCTGGCGGGCGATGTGGCGGGTAGGAGGGGGGGAGAGGGGGGCTGTTGGGAGGAGGGGAGGACGGAGATAAGGGAAAGTGGAGAGGGTTAAAGGGTGGGGGCGTTGAGCGCGAAAGGTGGTATGTGCAAGGGGTTTTAATGGGGTTCCTGAGATACACCTTGATCTCTCATTCACCGTGGCATGCATTCGGGACGTTGATGTTTTTAGTTCTACACACGAGATTTCTGGCTGAATGCCCTTCACAAGGCACGGTGTCGAAATCGAATACCCTTCTGAGTCCCAAGTTGCTGCTGCTGCTGTACACCATGATATCCCGGCACTTGCATGCTTGCATGTCGTGCTACTGTTAAGCACCACAGAGGAATGCTGTTTGTTTCTTTGCTCTCGCTCATGCGGACGGTGATGTCTTTAGTTCTACACACGAGATTTCTGTCCGGGTGTATTCGCACTCTGACGATATCATACCCTTCTGAGTCCGCTTCTCACTCCGCCCACCTCCGCCCACCGTTCATGTGGGTCACCATCGCACCATCTCCCCTCTGCGAAGCCAAGCATCCGCTTCTCACCCTGTCGTGTTTGCTTGCATTGCATTGCACCTACCTGCACCACCTGGATGCTGAACAACAAGGCCGAAGATGAGCTATCTTTCAAACAACCTTATCTACATTGTAGGATCCACCCCCTCGGGTGATGACTACGACTTTCTAGCTCTGAGGCCAGCCCTCCCACAGCCCCCCCTCCACCCCTCCTCTTCCTCCTACTTATCCTCCTACTCCTACTCTCCGCATGACCTTCCCAAATCCCAAGCGCACCGGCCCCACCCACCTCTCTCGCCATCCCCAATCCACTCCATCCCGTCATCATGGTTTTCCCTTTTACGTCCCTCCACCATCCCTTCACCATTCCTCCTCCCCCTACCTCCCCCCCCCAGGCACCCGCTCCGCCTCAACCCCCGCCGCCCTGGAGGCTGCGGGTGCGGGCGTCACCCCCGAGTCGCTGCTGAGCAAGGCGCGCATGACGGCGCTACTGGCGACCTGCGCGGCGGCGGGACACGGCGAGGTGGCGCTGTCGCAGCTGCGGCAGGCGCTGGAGGTGGAGGAGGACCAGGTGAGGGGTGTTTTGGGGGAGGGAGGGAGGGGAGGACCGTGGGTTGAGTGGTAGTGGCATTGGGGGAGAGAGGGAGAGTTTGGGGAAGGAAGAGGAGGATGTGGGTGAGGAGGTCCGGGAGGGAGGGAGGAGGCGGTGGAAGGAAAGGATGTAAGAGTGGGTGGAAGGGGCGAGGAGGAAAAGGTGACCCGGCGGTGGGGGCCAACTCCGCTCCCTCTCCATCCAGCCAGGCACCCCTTGTACTCTTTCTTACCCTCCCCCCCCCCGCACCCGTCCCTCAGGTGCAGTCCTGGATTGTTCGCGCCATTGGCGCCAAGCTGCTGGAGGGGCGGGTGGACTCGGTGCGCGGAGTGCTGGCCGTGGCCCGCTCCACGCACCCCGCGTTCGGCAAGGAGCAGTGGGGCAGGCTGGCGGCCCAGATGGCGGCGCTGAAGGAGACGGTGGCGGCGGCGGCGGCAGCCATGGGGGGAATCAAGCCTCCGCAGCATGTGGTGGCGCGGGCGGCGGCGGCGGCAGCGGCGGCCGCAGCGGCGTCGCGGGCATGAAGGAGGGATGAAGGGTGGGGAGGGGGAGGGTTAGGGTGTGGGTTTGGGGGTGTGCATGGTGGATGTGAGGGGTCTCTGCAGCGGGGAAGGAGGAGGTGGATTGTCTAGGTGCGCGTTTAGGTTGTGGCATGCACGGTTTTGGGAGGAGCAGGAGAGGCGGGTTGGCGGAGGGTATGGCACGTATGCATTGCAGGAAGGAACTCGGGTTGGTTGATCGAACGAGCTGAGTCGCATGGGTGTTCTGGATGGTAGAGGTGTGTGAAGGGGACTTCTTCCAGCTTCATGAAAGGAGGATGAGGGAGCGGGCTCGGGAACTCAGATGTGCAGCTGATGAAGAGGCGCATGGGATATAGTACGGACAAGTAGGCTAACCTGCGCGTGTAAGTCTGCTAACCAGAGGCCATGCAGTATCGCATGTCTTCAGGAGCCCACGCATATTCCATTAAGGTTCATGCATGGCATAACGTGACGAAAAGCAACGACATACCGGCCCAAGCTCGCAGCGCCTGTCCACCTCCTGGCGGTTGTGTTGGGGGCAGCTGGCCCCCAGTGCTGCTAGGGGGCAATGCAGCTAGGCCACTCATTCTCCATCTTCCGGCAATCACAGTACGTTCCGACTCGCGGCCAGAGTTTTCTTATCACACGACAGAGTCGCACCTAATGGACTCTGAAAGGTTGTGTGGCTACTCACGAACTGCCATGGAAGGACCCGTGGGTCGCTGAGAACCCTCCATCCTGCATATGCGTTTGGGGCGTGCGTTTGGGGCGTACCTCGATTGTCCCGGGTATGCAGGCTGTGCTGGGCGGGGCTGCATTCTCGGTTGCTCGGTTGCATCCTTTCGAGGGCATCTGGCAACTCCTCCCCCGCAACAATAACGATTGGTCCAGCGTCCAAGGCAAGACAAACGCGTGTTGCCTCATGAAAGGTACTGTCCTAGATTGCCGCCGTACGTCGTCGCACTCAATAGGCGCAAGACATCAGCATCATCATTACAACAGTTGCGCATACCCTTCCCGGTATATATACTGCGGCAGTATATAATGCCGAGGGATCCGCAGGTGGGTTGCAACTCCCGGCCCTCGTGACACGTCAACATACCCCTAACGAGTTTGGTAGCACCCTACCCACAAAGCGATCGACAAGGCGTACAACAACAATGATTGCGGTGTACGGCAACAGACCAAATTCATTGTTATGAACTGTTGCAGCAGACAAACGCTGTCTGGCATTGGCTACGAGGGGTGTTGCCTTGTAGGAGGTCCAAGCTACCACACGGCACCCCGGCTATCAGTGCGGTACATATGTCGCAAACATGATTGTTGCAATACAAAATCAGGCGAAAGGAGAACCATTAAAGCGTAAACCAGGCGTCTGCCGTCTGCAGTGACATTAAAATGCATGCAAAGGTATGATGATTAGGCAGAAGCGAGCTCTCGTGCGGTGCATAGTTATCCATTATGTGCTTGATGATGAGAGATTGACGCGCAGACGTACGACACATTAGTAAGTTTATGGTACGGCAGTGGCAATCGAACTACGGCTTGAGCAGAATCTCATATTCGTGATCTCAAGTGACCGTCTAGAGGTTCAGAGATGGAAAGGGACAGTAAAGAAAGGACATGGAGACAAGAGCGCTGTAGTCGTTGTTCATTCAAACATTGCGCGGGTGCGAGAAAACACCTTTGTCGTACTCCGCGCCCTTTATCTACCAATCAATCATTCTCATATTAAACTAAACGACATCCATTAGGATGCTCCATTCCTAAATCACCCACACCATCATTCGTCCCCACTGTAACCACCCACCAAACCACATATGCTATTCAGGGCGCCAAGGGCCTCGTGGTGTTCCTTGGGTTTCATCATCATTCCTTGAGCGAGGAAACCGCATGCAAGCGCGTTTGCAACACGTTGAAGAACCCCCCAGTCACGTTTCTTTCCTCCACAGGGCGTAGATGAAAGCTCCCTCTTTGGCGACTGGAGAAGGAGGGTGCACATCCGTTAGTTGCGGCCTGTTCCGCAAGCACACTCCATTGCACATGCTGGTTCGTGTGCCGATGTGGCCACTGTCGCTGGCTTGGGCGCGTGGCGATTTGGCGAGTGACACCATAACCAGCCCAGTTCACGCAACCGGGCAGCAGTGGCAGCAGCAGCTGTTCACAACCGTTGCCCGCTGGTCACATGATTCGGCAGCAGCGGCCGCCGCAACCCGGCGAGCGGGGTGTATCAGGTGCAGGACGAGACGAGGGCGGCTGGAAAGGCGGCGGCGGCGGCTGTGGGTGTGACGGCGGTGGGAGCAGCGGCGGCGGTGGCGGCGGCGGCGGCGGCGGAGAGGATGGGCGGCGGCGGCGGCGGCTGGAGGGGGTGACGGTGGACGTGTTATGCTGCTGCTGCTGTAACAACGGCTGTTGTTGTTGGTGGTGGTGCGGCTGCAGGGGCGGTGTAGCTGCTGCCGCTCCTGTTCCTGCTACTGCTGCTGCAGTAGACTCCACATCATCTCCGCTACTGCTGCTACTGCTACCACTAGCACTGCTGCTACTGCCACTCTCACCACTTCCGCTGTAACTGCTCCTGCTACCGCTTGCAGCCACCGCCGCCGCCACCTCAGCCGCCGCCACTGCCGCCTCCGCCGCCACTGTCTGCTGCTGCGACTGCGCCAGCAGGGCGGTCAGGAGCCTGAGAGTGGCGGCGTGTGCGGCCAAGCTGTACTCCAGGGAGGCCTCTAGGACAGCAACTCGGTGCAGCAAGCCGCCCTCTGCAACCACAACCTCGCTGCCCACCTCTGCTCCTATGGTGGAAGCCGCCGCCGCCGCCGCCGCCGAGGCAGGAAGTGGAGGAAGTGGTGGCAGTGGCGGCGGCGGCGGCAGCGGCGGCAGCATCAGCCCTCCTGCCCTGTTGCCTGCTGATGTGTTGTTGTTCATGTGGTTGTGATTGTTGTGATGGTTGTTGTCACCCAACTGCCGCCTAACCGATTCCAACTGCCGCCACAAATGGGTCTGCAAGGAGTACATTCGCCGTGCATGTGCGGCACGTGGGGAGTACGGAAGCTGCTGCTGAGATGATGTCGGCGACTGTGATGTCGGCGATGGCGGCGGCAGCGGCAGTGGCGGCAGGCCAAGTGCGGAGTTTCTGGAGTTCCTGTGCTGCTGGTTGCCATACCATAAGCCACCGCCACCAGCGCCGCCACTGCCACTGCCACCGCCACCAGCGCCACCGCCGCCACCGCCACTGCCACCGCCGGCAAAAGCAGGAGTCGGATCATGGTTGTGCTGTTGGTGGTCGTTGCGTTGGTGAACCGGCGTCGGCTGAGGTACAAAGTGTACGCCCGGTACGGCAATGTACTGCATGGCGGCGGTGGGATGGTAACCTTGGTACGGTGGCGGCAGTACAGTTGCCGTACCATCTGCAGCGGAGGCGAATGAGGAATACTCGGCGCTGCTGCCCCGACGGGAGGATGCAGCAGTAGCAGAGGAGCCGCCGCCGCTGCCGCCAGAGTTGTACGATGACGACTGTATCCGTGCCGGAGGCAGCGGTGGGAGGTGAGGCGCGTGTACGGCACCAGTGGGGCTTCCGACACCGCCGTACGGAGCGGCGGCATGCTGTCGTACTGCAAGGTGTGGCGGCGCCGCCAACAGATCGCCACTGCTGCCGGGGCGGCTACCTTGGGAGCTGGCTGGGGGACGGCGGCTGCTGCTGCTGCGGGGAGGCGGGGGTGAGGAGGAGGGGGAGGCGGGCGGGGAGGTGGGAGTGGAGGCGGGGGAGCGGCCGGAGGAGCTGCTGATGAGCCAACGTCCTCCTCTTCCACTGCCGCCGCCGCCGCTGCCGCCACCCTCCCCGTAGGAGGCTGCTGCTGCTGTTGCCGCCAGTGGGGATGCTGGTGGGGCGGCTACAGCCCGGTTAGTCCTGGCAGCCGGTGCAGCAGCTACAGCCGGCACCGCCGCTGCCGCCGCCTCTGCCACCTCACTTGTGCGCCGCCCGCCTTCCCCTACCCGCCCTCCCGGGTGGCAGCAGGGGTGGTGATGGTGGGGGTGGGGCAGCAGCGGCTGCTGCTGCTGCTGCGCCTGCGCCTGCTGCTGCGCCTACAGTTATGGGAGGACGTGAGTGGAAGGCAGTGACGACAGATCCAGCACCTAGCTCTACTGCCTGCATGCCAGTAGCACTGCTGGGCTAGAAGGTCGCGAGGCTCCTGTTTGTATGCACGACAATCCCCTTTAAAGGCAACGAATGCTAGGCGCACTCGGATGCGAAGATGCATGTGCTTGGTCGTGAAGCGGCGGTGAAGCGCTGGACTATAGTAGTTCCTTCTTTTTGGAAGGAGCGACCCACCCCCGCCCACCTGACCCATGGGTCTGTTTCCCAGCTGCCCATGCTGCTGCCCGCGCTGCTCCCGCCACCTCCGCTTGACCTCCTGCTCCGCCCACTGCTCCCCCGTACCCCTCGCCTCCGTCCCCTCCGTCGCATGCGGGTGCAGGTGCGGGTGCGCGTACAGCAGCAACGGATGATGCAGCTGCTGCTGCTGGTGCTGCTGCTGCTCCTGCTGCTCGTGATGCCGTACATGTTGCTGCTCCTGCTGCCGTACATCCTCCTCTTGTTGCTGTTGCCGTACAACCTCCAGCAGGATCTGGTCGTACGGTCGATCGATTTGTCGTACAGGGGGAGCGATGACGCCCCTCATCAGGTCCTCCAGCCGCAAACCCACACGCTCCTGTCGTGTGTTGAGTGTTGTATCGGGGGGAGGGGGGGGGGTACAGGGACCAGAGGTGGATGGAGGGAGCGAAGGAGGGGTGACGGAGAGTGAGGCGCAGACGTCAACCTGTCAACCGCCCCTGCCGTGCAAGGAAGGGCCCCGAGGGATGGGCGGGCCCAGGGACAGGGAGAACATGCTTGCATGGTTGCATGGGAACTCAGAGGAGAACCTCCACAGGCCATACCCTGGTGAGTGAGTCTCCCGCTCGCTTCCCACCCCCACCCCAGTCACTCACAAAGACCCGTGGGTCACTCCAGGGCCCGATGTCCTCCGCCAGTCGCCCCTCACTGGCTCCCCCCACCGCCGTACTGAGGCAGGCTGGGTCCACCCAGCGGTGCAGTGCGGGCAGGTAGTCGGGACCCAGGATCTGGTGTTGGGGGGGGGGGTCAGCGACCATGTTGGTTCCAACCATAGGAAGCCACAGGTTGGGGCAGGCGAGGGGGTAAGGAGGGAGGAAGGGAAGGAGGGGGTAGTCGGTAGTCGAGACCTAGGATCACCATTGTTAGAAATCTGCTGCTTGTTGGGGTGGGAGAGGGGGGCAGCAGGGGTTGAGGAACCGAACATGCCAGCAAGCCGGGATCTGGTCTAAAAGCGTCTAACCCTCCTGTTCCTCCACCAAAACACACACACCCTCCCCCCTGTTTACCCCTCCTCCTCCTCCTTCCCCCCCAAGCCCACACCACACCACACTTTGGAATTTCTTTTTTTTCCCCCCCAAGCCCCCCCCACCTCGATCTTCCCCTGCGTGCGCGGGTCCAGGAAGCGGCTGACCAGCGCCCACACGGCTCGGAAGAGGCGCGGCGCGTTGATCACCACCACGTGACCCAACATCTCGGGGAAGTGGTCCTGGGGGTGTGGCGGGGGGGGGAGGAGGGAAAGGGAGGGGTAATGGGAGGGGGAAACGTGTGTGTATTGGCAGGGAGGGGAGGGAGGTTTGGGTTGATGGCAGCCCCCCCCCGGCCCAGCACCCAGCACCCTACCTCACCTGGTCGGTTTGTGCGATGCGCTGGAAGAGTCGCAGCGCGTCACTTGTCACTTGGGAGACACCCAGACCTGTGTTTGGGAGGAGAGGAGGAGGGTGCAAAAGTGGGAGTGGGCAACGGAATACCGCGATATCCCGAGGCGCGACTCTCTGGATGGGAAGGAAAGAGGGGGGAAAGGGAGTAATCAAACCCTAAACCCTAAACCCCAATCCTGAGCAACCGGCCACGTGCTACGTACGACCTTCGACGTGCAGTCGTCCCCCGTCCCGCGAAAAGCCCTAGACCCCCAACCTCAAACCCCTAACCCCACTCCTTCTTCCTCCGTGCCCTCCCCTTCCCCCCAACGCCCGGTTGATCTCCTTCCTTCCTTCCTTGCTAGCGTGCGCCAAGGATGTGGGGTTGGCGGGGCCAGCGTGCGCCAATGTACGTACGTTTCCCAAAATGCGTTTCCATGCATTGTATGCTTGCCTGTCTATTTATTATGTTTCTTAAGAATTAGTGACCGGCGGCGCGGCACATGTCTTCCTACGTAAGACGGCTCCTCCTGCATGTCGCCAAAGGTTCTGGTAAGCAAGCCTTCGGTAAGTTATATTACTTAACGTATTTTTAGGATAGTTGTCTCCGAATGCACTGACTGCATGAGTCGGGATATGGGATTGGGACTCTAGTTGTTTGTGTTGTTTGCACTTACTACATATTTTCCCCGCCCCTCCCCCCCTCTCTCTGTTGTTGCACTTATTTATAATTCCCCCCCTTCTCCTATGGTTTGGTCCCTTTTCCCCGCCCCTCGCTCACCGCTCACATCCACAATGTTGAAGGTGGTGTCCAGCTGCCGACCCGCCAGCCGGGAGCAGAGCGGCAGCAGCACCCGCCGCACCCGCTCGTACTCGTACAAATGGAACCTGGGGTGGGGGGGTGGGGTAAACACGAAATTCCAATGTGTGGTGTGATAGTGGGGGAGGGGGTGGGGGTGGGGGGAGAGGAAACCCGGGAAAGAAGCTGCCAGAGAGAGAGAGACACGGGTGTGTGACCACGGGTGTGTGCGAGACTCACGTCCGAATCCCGCCCCCCGCTCAACCACACACTCATGCAAACATACACATACTCCTCGTGGCACCAGGTTTGTACGACACACGCCCCACGCCTACCTACCACCCCCCACCTGAACACTCGCTCCTCGTTGGTGATCTGTTTGAGTGCACGCATGTCCAACCCGCCCAGCAGCTGGATGAAGACGGGCCGACCCTTGGGTCGGTGAGGGGGTCAGAGGGAAAAGAAGAAGACCCAATGCGTTTAATTTTCAATGAGAACGGCAAACCAGATGGTCGGGGGGGGAGGGTAGGTGGGAGAAGAGAGGGGCACATGAGGAGCGGGGGATCGTCTATCGGGACGGCGGCACCTGGCGGCAAGCAGCAACTGAATGGGAGCCTCATCATCGTCACGCTGGGCTCGTGCGGGCCAACGGACTGTACGACAGCGCTGTACACTGGTGGCACCTGGTGGGTAGTAGCTGCCGGCTGGGCTGGGGGCTACATGGGTCGAGGAGCCGAGGTGGTATGACATCACAGTAAAGCAGGAGAAGGCCAGCGGTCACTGCCGTCGTCAACCAATCAAAATACCAGCCAACTACCGGCAACCAACTATCGGTGCTAACGGTCCCAACCGTTTCAACCTACCATTCGGTCGACTTTGTGGTAGCCCTGGAGGCGGATCCGGGGGGAAGCGGGGGAGTGGGGGGGGAGGGGAAGGGTAGGGGTACGGTCGGCGGGGTACAAATGAATACAACGTGAGGCAACGGGGTCGGTCGGCGGGGGTGGGGGCAGTGGCGGTGAAGGCACGCGTGCCGGTGCATTCAGCCTCTTCATGTGCCCCCCAGCCCCCGTCCTCTCCTGCCCTTCCTCCTCCCACTCCTGCCCGCACCCTCCCAACTCCCTTCCCCTCGTTCACCTGGTTTACCATTGTGCTATAACACACACACACGCACAGGGTATTCTTCTTTTCCCCTCGTGCATCTTCCCCTGCCGTGCGCTTCCCCCACATACCCACTGCCACCCCTGCACCCCCTGCACCCCCCCCCCCAACCTGCGGCATGCAGCGCAGGAAGTCCTCGCGCTCCGGGAACTGGAACTCCTGGGGGGTTGGTGGGGGGATAAAGAGGAAACAACGAACTGACTGAGGGATAAGGCGTCAACATGGGTTGCAACGTGTGCCAGCCAGCCCGACCTGCCCAGCCCGAATTAGCCAAGCCAGTACGTGTACGTGGGGGGAGGAGGGGTGATGGCAGGAGGGTGGCGGAAGAAAGGGTGATGGAAGGAGGGTGCAGGACACCCCCCTCCCCCTCAGACCCTGGCTTGCGTCTTCCCAGGGGTGTGTCTGCCCTGTCGCTTGCAGAAGTGATGGGACATGGGATTGGGAGACTCCGCTTGCTTCACATTCCATTCATCTCGCCCTCCCTCCCATTTGATGAAGCCTCGTCACTCAGTTCGTCAGTTTCCTTCTTCCGCCCCCCCATGGGATGGGGACTCGTTGTTTCACTTATATAATTTCCCCCCCCCCTCTCACCACCTGCATCAGCTCCTCCATGCGCTCCCGCCGCCACCACTCCAGGTGCGCCGCCCACATGCTGCCCGCCCGACCCAGGTCGTAGCTGCGGGCGCGCAGGAAGCGAAGCAGCGTGTAGTAGTCTGCGGGGGGAGGCGGCATGGGGGGAGGAATAGGGATACACATAAGGCATGGGGGAGGGATTAGAGGAGAAGGGAAGCACCGTCCTTATCCCTTGTCCCGAAAAATGAGGAGGGCTGACGGGGGTTAAATACCGGTATTAAAGGAAAGTGAAGCAACGGTTTGGAGGGGTTGGGAGGTCAGTGGTGGTCAGGGAGGGGAGGAGAGTTCACGCGTTGGCGTGGTACATGCGTACTTCCGTACGCCCTTTCATGGTTTTATGTGTCGTACCGTGACTCTCCGGGTCCCAGAGGTGGGGGTCCAGTGCTGTCAGGTGCCGCCGGAAGAGCTCAACGTAGGTCTCCTGGGGGCGGGGGAAAAGGGGGAGGAATCAGGGGAGGGGAAAGTAGGGGTAACGGTGTTTACAGTGGTGGTTCAGGGGATTAGATAAACTGAGCCGCGGAAACCGCGGTGGTTCAGGGGAGGAAAGGGTTGAGGATGGGAGCATGGGACACTGCTCGGGAGGTGCGACGTGTAGACGGGTTGCACAGGGGCGACCCTCAGCGCTCCTCGCGACTGATAGCACTGATAGCATGGAGAGGGTTGGAAGAGCAGGGAGTGCCACCTAACGATGTCCCACAAGCTGCGAATGCCTCCCAAAAGCCTCCCAAACGAAACGGGTCACCAAATTCAAACAGAGGATGGCGTGTGACATACAGAAATGCTTTAAGGCGTTAGTGGACGATCCGGGTGCCTCTTTGCGAAGCTGAGTCATGCGGCCCTAGCCAGGATGGATGCATCTGGATGTCGATTGCAACAAACAACGCACAAACCTTGGGCGTATCCACAAGACGGCAGCGGCTATAGCTTTTATTAAGGCTCCGACCTACTTGTTGCTGCGGGGTAAGGCCCCAGTCATCTGCTGTTTGCTCCGGCACATAATCTCGGCGACCGGCAAACTTCAGCGGCCCCTCAGGAGGAGACGGCGCCCTTGGCATCCTAAGGGCGCAAGGTGATATTGATGATTTGCTAACCAAGTATACAGCGGCCCGAAGGCGTAGTTTGGACTATGTCATGCTAATTACAGCAGCGATACGGTACATTGGCAATTGAAATAGCATACAAGTGCAGAACAGACCCAGTTAAACAAGGCAGCGGATGCACTTGCGGCTGGGCGCTAAAGACCGGGCGCCAAAGACCGCAAACCGTCAACGGCGCCGTACAGAGCATGCGCGTTGGAAGCGGTGGTCGCCCGGTGCTTATTGAAGCGACACCTTCTGTCTACTTATCACCGACGCTCATTGATTCGTTGCTTGGGCTTCCTTGTAGCGGGTAACCACACCCAACTGTCCATTGCTGTCTTTCTTCGCCGACCATACCTCTCTCCAAGGCCCAAAGCATCTTAGGTGTAAGCACGAACACCTCATAGCTGCACTTAATTTAGGGCTAGGTAGCGCATATGGGGACTTTCGCGCGCAGTCGGCCCCTTTCACAGCAATTAGGGTTCGCTGGTTCCAGTTACTTTCCGTTGCTTAAATAGAATCATCTTGGTACACAGCTTCTGTGTGAGGTGGCGAACGTTAAGCTGGACGCCACGAAAATGAGCAACAACGACCGTAGAGCAGAGATATATACCTATGTAGCGCAGGACCCTGTTTATGCGATGAACTGGAGTGTAAGTCCTTGACAGGGGTTGTTTCGTTGTGTGGACAGGTTCCGTGCAATTTACCGTTTCTGCTGCTTATCAGCCTTGCCGCTAGGCCACCCCCCACCCACCGCGTTCCTCTAAAACCCTTTCTGTAACACATCTTCTCTTGGCAGGTTCGTCGCGACAGGCGCTTCCGATTAGCGGTTGGGTCTTTCCGTGAGGATGTCACCAACTACATGGATATCATTTCCCGTAAGCGAGCATAACACGGCGTGGGAAGGTTGTTAAGAAGGGAAGAAGCGAAGGGGGCCACCGACGGAAGGGACATCCTTACGAAAGTACTTGCTTACCATGGCAGCTGCTTGTATGGCAGCGGTCGGCGAACAACCAACCCCACCCCCTCCTCCACACCGCTCTCTGTTTTTGCCCCACCACCACCACCTACTTGACGGCAACTGCCCCAGCACTCCCACCTTCTCTTGACGGCTGGCACACCCGCGTCACGCAACCGCTCTGTCCCCCGATAAGCCCCTTCACCCTCATCACCCTTTCCTCCCTCCCTCCCCAGTTGACGACTCCGGTGAGCTGCGGTCCGACCCCGCCCTGCGCTTCCCCCACGACTACCCCGCCACAAAGGTGGGTGAGGTGGGGTGGGGCGGCTGTGGAGGGACGCAGCGGCTGGGGGCCGGGGGCTCAGTCGGTGACCGGTAGCTCCTCCCATGCTCCCTCCCCCATGCCCTATCATAAAACCCTCCCATGCTGCCCCTCATACTCTCCTCTCCCTCCCTCCCTCCCTCCCTTCCCCCACCCCTCAACACTTCGTTGGCACCCTGACGCCTCTCCCATCCTCATTGTCTTGCCCCAACCTGTGGTTTCCTATGGTTTGGTCCTATGGTCTTTCACCCCCCATCCCACCCCAGGTCATGTGGGTTCCCGACCGCGAGGGCTGCCGGCCCGACCTGCTGGCCACCACGGGGGAGGCGCTGCGCATCTGGCGGGTGGTGGAGGGGGAGGAGGAGGCGGGGGGGGAGGGGGAGGGGGAGGAGGGGGCAGCAGGAGGAGGCGGCAGGGGGGTGTACCTGCGGTCCCTGCTGAACAATGTGAGTGGCAGGGGGAGGAAGGGAGGGGGGAAAGTAAGAAAGCCAAGTGTGTATTGATCGGGTGGCAGGGGCCCGAGGCGACAACCTCCTGGTGAATGGCAGGATGGGGAGGGAGAGGGGTGCGCCGTGCTGCCGGTAGGGAGGGAGGGAGGGAGGGAGGGTGCATTCACGCTGAGGACTGTCGTGCCCTAACGTTGGCCTTTGGCCATCTAAGGACACTGGAGCGCGAATTGCTGGCAAGACCCCTCGCTGAAGTCCGCAACATGAATCCCCAACAGCACATGCCGTCCATGCGATCCGTGCAACATAACCTCCAAACAGAACAAGCCATCTCCCCCTCCCCCTCAACCTCCCCCCCCCCAGAACAAGCAGTCCGAGTTCTCCGCCCCCCTCACCTCCTTCGACTGGAACGAGGCGGACCCCAAGCGCCTGGGCACCTCCTCCATCGACACCACCTGCACCATCTGGGACATCGAAGTACGGGGGGAGGGAGGGAGGGGAGGGGATGAACACAAGTGAGGCGCGGGGTGGGGTGGGGGTGGTGCTAGCCCATGCGGGCTGAAGGGGGCATTGGCAGCATGGTACTCCTCCCCATTTGCAGAAATACCCTTTTCCTCTTCATTCCCCCCCCTTCTCCCCCCACCCGCAGAAGGGCGAGGTGGACACGCAGCTGATCGCTCACGACCGGGAGGTGTACGACATCGCGTGGGGGGGGCTGGGTGTGTTTGCCACGGTGTCGGCGGACGGCTCCGTGCGCGTGTTCGACCTGAGGTGAGGCAGATGAGGGGAGGGGGGGCAGCAGGGGGGAGGGGGTGGGTGGGTGGGAAGGGAGGGGGGGAGGAGGGAGGGGCCCCTGCCCCGCACTGCGGCACCCCACCCCATTGATGCATGCCTGTCCGCTTGCCTGTCTCCCTTCTCGTAGATCCATCTCCTTCTACCCTCTCCCCTCCTCTCCATGGTGAAGCGTTATCACACGCTTACTTCGATGCTTCCCCCTCCCCTCCCCTCCCCTCTTTCCCTGGTTCCACCAGGGATTGTCAGCAACTTGTATCATTATCACACCACACTTTGGAATTTCTTCCCCCCCCTCGCTTTGCCCTAACCTGTGGTCTCCTATGGTTTGGTATGGCCTTTGACCCGCCCCCTTCCCCCCTCGCCCCCCCCAGGGACAAGGAGCACTCCACCATCATCTACGAGAGCCCGCAGCCCGACACGCCGCTACTGCGACTGGGCTGGAACCGGCAGGACCCGAGGTACATGGCAACATTGGTCATGGACTCACCCAAGGTGGGTCAAAGACCACATACCGAACCATAGGAAACCACAGGTTGGGGCAAGACAATGGAGATGGGAAGCATGTCACAAAATAAGTATTGGTTAGCGCTCCCTACCGTGGGGTGGGGGCGGGGTGGGGTGGGGGCGGGGAGGGGGGTAAGCCGCGCTGTCGGTAGGTTCCATTCACGCTGAAGACCCCTCGCTGAAGCCCGCCCTGAAACCCCAATCCCAACAGCACATGCAGTCCATGCAACATTAACACCAAACACAACAAGTCATCTGCACCTCACCTCCCCTCCCTGTGTCCCCGCCATGCACCCTCCTTCCCCCCCTCCATGCCTCCTACCCGCCGCCCCCCCTCCTAACTCCCCCATGCACCCCCCCAGGTTGTCATCCTGGACATCCGCTACCCCACCCTCCCCGTGGCGGAGCTGCAGCGGCACCAGGCGCCCGTCAACGCACTAGCATGGGCGCCGCACTCGGCACAGCACATCTGTACGGCAGGGGATGACGCGCAGGTACGGCACACGCGCGTGTGTTAAAATAACTGGCCGCGAGGAGAAACGTACTGTGATTGCCGAAAGATGAAGTCCTCCCACCGTATGTGCCCCTGTTCCCCTTCACCCCTTGCCTCGCGCCCTCTCTCCTCTCCCTCTCCTTGGTTTCCTTTTACCCCGTACCCCCTAATCACCCCCGCGCCCCGCACTCCCCCAAACCCGCATGCAGGCGCTCATTTGGGACGTGTCGGGTGTGGGCGGCGGCAGTGGGGGTCCTGGCGGGGCAGGAGGAGGAGGAGGCGGAGGAGGGGCGGCAGGCGGAGGGGGAGGCGGGGACGTGTCGCTTGATCCCATTCTGGCGTACGGGGCACAGAGTGAGGTGAGTTAAGGGGGAGGAAAGGGAGTGAGGGGTGTGTGTGGGTTGTTAATTGTGAGGAGTTGGGGGGAGGGAGCATGCGGTAGGGATGACGGGATTGCAGCGGGGACCGTGAGGGGGCGGGTGTTCTAGCGGGGATGGCGGGCTGGGGATCTTGGGGCCGTCCTCTGCGTGCGGTTTTGAGGCTTGCGTGCACTGCCTCTGCTGTGCGCCTTCCGCCCCTCAACCCCAGCTGATGCGTACATACTACCGCGTCCTGTCCTCCCCGCTCTTCACTCGCACCCATGTACCAGGGGCTGTCAGCACGGGTTGCCAGGTGCTTCATTGTCTATCATATCTTCCACCCCCCCTCTCTGCCCCCTCCCCCAAAAGGTGAACCAGCTGCAGTGGAGCTCCGCTCAACCCGACTGGGTGGCCATATGCTTTGGAAACAAGACCCAGATACTGCGGGTGTGAGCGCGGAGGGGAGCGAGAGGGGGTGAGGGAGGGTAGCGGACGGAGAGGGAGGAGGGCAGCTCAGTGCCGGCCACAACCGCCATCGCCACCGCTGCTGCTGCTGCTGATGTTGCCGGTTCTTGGGTTGCAGTTGAGGTCATGTACGGCATCTGGGTAGCCCTCCCCCCACATTAGGTTTGCATGCGGGAAGAGGGTTACCCGGCTGTTGTGTTGTGTTTTGTGTGTGTTTGCGGGTGCCGGGAGGCGCCGCTGTCGGGGCAGCGGCAGGGCGGGGGTTGTGTGGCTCCCTGGGTTGAAGTTGGGGCTCCGGGCACATGCATGGAGCGGGGCCAGGCGGCAAGGGCGGCAACAGCGCGATGCATGTGGTTACTGATGTGGTACCATGTGGACACGTGTGTGTGTGTCGCCACCATGCTTTGCTGGGGTGGTGGGTGCGGTGCAGCGCGAGAGTCATACCATCGGACTGCGCACCGGTATCTGTTGGCGAGCTCCCAGCGGGCTGAGGCGCGGATGGGATCGAGATGGAAGCGTGAGGTGTTTTTCGTTGGTTGGGTCGGACCCGTTGGTCAGGTAGGGTAGGTCAGGTCTACCCGCTGACCCCTGCGTAGGTCAGGATAGCCAAGACACTCAGCCGCGGTCCTCTAGCACACAAGCACAAGTGGGGCGAGTAGCGGTGTTGGGCCATGAGGAGGTATTTGAGCGGTTTAGGGACGCCTGTTTGCTGGGTCGGGAGGCTGGTCCTATTGCTGGGAGGGACAGCGGGAAATTTTGGGAGCCAGTCGGACGAGGTGTACGACAAGCTGTACATATGTATCCTCTTTGTATGACATTATGCAAGGCAAAAGATTGGGCGGTTGTTTGTCACGGCATTAGGGGTGTGCTTAGGCAGCGTCAATGTTGGCAGAACCTTGCGATACGCTGCCCTATTGATAAACTGATGGTGGTGGCTGCCCAATGCTTTGCAGTACCGGTATGCTCTACAACAGGGGTACCGGTAAACAGGATGAGCCTGCCGCTGCGGAGAGGCAGCCGGACCAACAAAGCTTAGGAGTGCGTTTAGCTTGTAACAGAAAACTGTTGTCTCAGTTCTAGAAGACAGCGACGGTTGGCCCTGCACAAGTACGTGTCGGTGGCCTGGTGCCGATTGGCTTTGAAGTCCTTGAAATCTATGAAAGCAATTTTGGGAAGATACAAAGATGTATATGACGTGATTTTGAGGTTACTGAGATACTAAGGATTACTAACCTGCTGCGGATTTCGAGTTGGAACCAGGAACGCGTTTCACACATTGAACGTGACATCTAGCTAGCTTGCGGTAGACATGACAGACCCATCTACTTTACTCCGTTTCCTGAAACACATCTAGGGCGGCGCCGTGAGTATGCAGTTGACACCGATTTCACGGATGTCGTTGAGACAGCTCTTTTTACACCTAAGACTGCTGGACGTGGGGCTATGGAGCATCTTCTACATGCTTTGATACATTGATACAAACGCAATGTTACGGAGCTGTTGAGGACGGGGCCAGCAACCGTGTAAGACATTGCTTGCTTGTTGCGTGTGACAGCTCATCCTGCTAAGGCTAACCGGCATTCTCGACATAACAGTGCCTCAATTAAACTGCTATGACACCGGCCTGGCAACTGCAATCGTATAGTCTCCACAGAATCGCCGTTGCCAAGGACTCCAACTCATCGATGGCTTGTCCTCCGACTTATCTGGCCGCAGGCCGTAGGCAGTTAACGCAAGCTATGAGGGCTTCTAAGCGTGTTAAGATTTCTGCTGGCTCTGCTGCCGCGGGCGGTCAGTCGCAGGAACCCATCCTCAACTCCACCGGAAACGACCAGGAGCCAAAGACCGGCCGCACACGGCATCGTCAAAGCCCAGAACTGCAAGCCACCAAACCGCCTCGTTCACATGCACCAGAAGCCGTTGTCCTAGCTGCAACCGCGGAACCGCTTGGGGTACCGGTACGGTGCAGCTCAGCTCGATTGTCATCTCCATTAGCTTCTCGGGTTAACCCCCACTCCGAAGCTACCAGCGGCCAGGATGACGAGAGCGGCCGCAGCAGCAGTAAAGAAGCACAGCCGTGCAAGGTGCCGAAAGAAGCTGTTGCTGTTGCTGCTGTTCCTGTTCCTGGTGCGGCTCCAGCAACTGAAACAGCAGCAGCGGGTGGCGGTGATGCTCCTTCCCACCAAAGCTCGGCTGGTGTTGCCAGCGCAAGCGGCAGCGAAACAGGTGCTAGCGGCGGTGGTGGTGAAGCTGCTGTTGCCGGTGTCGCACCCTCCCACCACCACCAACAGCAGCAGCAGCAGCACCAACAGCAAGAGAAGGAAAAGAAGAAGAAGCGGCGGCGGCCCATCCCCGCTGCGGTGCTGCTGCCCTACCTGCTGGCCTCAGCCCCCACGGGGAACTGGCAAGCGGAGCTGCAGGCCGCCTGGGAGCGGGAGCGCAGCAGGCAGCAGCAGCAGCAAGCGGGGCAGGGGCAGGGGCAGCAGGGGAAGGGGCAGGGCGAACAGCAACTGCAGGCGGCCCGCCAGGCCCCTCCGCCTCCGCCCCTTGCGAGCAAGGACGAGGAGGCGCAGAAGCAGCCCCAGCAGCAGCCATTGCTGCAGCAGCACGAGCAAGCGGTGGCGGACCCACAAGGACAGCAACCGCATCAACGACAGCGGCAGCAGCAGCAGCAGCCTGCTTATCCTGTATCGTACTGCCCTCTACCGCAGCAGCAGCTGCAGCCACCACTGCCGCCGCTGTGTCCGCAACCTCCTCCTCCTCCACCCCCGCAGGCATGTCATCAAATGCTGCACCAGCACCCGTACCACCCGCCGCGTGTGCAGCCGCACCACCAGCACCCGCAGCCGCAGCACCACCCGCACAACCACCCGCAGCCGCCTGCCCCCCTGGTGCCGCAGCCGCCCCTCCAACAGCAACAGCAGCAGCAACCACCACAGCTGCAGTCCTCCGCCGTCCGCCAGCAGCACCATCACAACCAGCGGCAGCAGCAACCGGGGCGGCAGTGCCAGCAAGGACAGCAGCAGCAGCAGTGGCAGGGCCAACAGCAGCCACAGCAGTCATGGCCGCAACAGCCACAGCAGGGGCAGCGGCAGCAGCAGGGGCGACAGCACCATCCCCACCCGCCACAACCCCACCCGCACCATCGCTCGCTGCCCCCCGGCGGCTGCTCCTCCCAGCAGCAGCAGCCGCCGCTGTTCGGAGAGGAGTGCCTCCCCTCCTTCTGGGAGCATACACCCGACTTGTACGAGGTAGGGCGGGCGCAGGCGGCCAGTTACTTCAACACACGTCCCTGTTTTCTTAACACACGTCCCATCCCGGCCAACTACCACCCGGGGCCCCCTTCCGCTTTCCCCACCTTCCCTCTCCGCCTCCTCCCGTTCAAAGCATGGTAATCCTCCCCCTTCCTCCCTCCTCCCCTTCCTCCCTCCCCCCTCCCAGGTCTTCCACTCCCAGCAGCACGCGCTGGACTTCGCCGCCTGGGCCAACACCGCTCCCCCCGCCGCCCTCAAAACCCTGCTGCGGGGGCTGCGGGGGCGCGGCTTCCCCAGCTACCAGCACCGCTGGGCCGCCATCGAGGCAGCCATGAGGGAGGGGGCGGGGGGCGGAGGAGGGGGTGGGGGAGGAGTGAATGGTGGAGGAGGGGGTGGGGAAGGAGGGGGTGGCAGCGGCGGAGGGAGTAGGGACTGCGGAAAGGATAGCTGCGGAGGAGGAGATGGAGGGGGCGGCAGCGGGCACGGGGCCGGGGTCGTTACCGGTGCTGACTGCTTGGCGGGGAGGCTGGGCAGCAGCCTGGCAGCCGGCGCGGAGGGGAGTGGCCCCGACACCTCCCAACACCAACAACAGCATGCAGCAGGCGGAGGAGCGGTGGGAGGGTTGGAGGGAGGGGGTGCGGCAGGCGGGGCGGCAGCAGCAGTACGGCAGCGGCCGTTGGAGCCCTTCCGGGTGTTCGTACAGGAGTACCGCCGCAGCGCACACCGGGGGGCGGGGGGAGGGGGCGGGGCGGGGGGAGCAGCAGCAGGGGGGGTGGCGGCAGGAAGGGATGGGGCGGGGGCGGGAGGCGGTGCGGGAGGAGGTGGTGGGGCAGGAGGGGACACGCTGCCAGCCGCAGCAGCAGCAGGAGGCGGGGGGTGTGAGGCTGTGTCGGAGTACACTCGCAACTTCGTGGTCAGCACATACAAGGTGGGGGGGCCTGGGGAGCGGGGGTGCCCGTGTGGCCGCACAGGGCCCGCGAGTCCTCTATGCTCAACACATCTGTGTACGCTGCCGTCGCTGCGCAGTAAGGTGCTCAACTGCATGATCCGCCCCCCTACCCCCGTCCCCCGCCCCAGCTCATTAGTTGCCTCGTCAGTATCCTTACTTTTGCCCCCGCCCTCCCCGCCCCCGCAGGTCCTGTGGCGGCGGCTGAGGAGCCTGCCCGCCCGACAGCGCCACTTCTACGAGGTATGCGGCTGGGTGCTTGCTATCCTTATCCCTCTGTCTACCCCCCCTCCCCCCCCAAACGTCAGTGTCTCATCATATATATTTTTTATCCCCCCCCAAACACACCCCCAAATAATGGTCAATTGATTGACGTCTGGACACATCCCAGTACGTTCCTACTCGCGGCCAGTTTTCTTAACACAAAGCTTAAAGTGCTGTTGTACGACAAGATCGCAGTTTTTCGCCGTGCTGTGGCCCCTGCGTCCTGCTCTCTGCCTAAGGGCTGCTCGCACCCCTCCCTCCCCCCTCACCATGTCTGCACTCCTTGGTGAAGCTGTGTTATCCAGCTTTTCAGTTTCCTCTCTTTACCCATCCTCCCCCCGCGCTCCCCCAGCTGATTCGCGCAGACCGGCCCTGCCACATGTACTTTGACCTGGAGTTCAGCCGGGGTGCCAACCCGGGGGCGGACGGGGAGCGCATGGTGGAGAGGGTGGTGGAGCTGCTGGGGCGGGTGCTGAGGTGGGGGGGGGGAGAGCGGGGGGTTGAGGGTGAGGGTGAGGAGGGCGTTGGAGGGAGGGTGAGAGGGGAGGAGGGGAGGGTGTGGGCAGGCAAGGGTGGTGGTGGTGGTGGGAGCCGGTGCGCTGCATGTGGAGGGACTGACGTGTGAAGGGGCGATGCAGTGGTGGGTACGGCAATGCGCTGCGGGCAGTCGTACCATGCAAGTGGCGGCGGCAGTCGTATGTTGCTCATAGGGCCTTTGTTCGCGTGCATGCCTCCTCCGTCTCCGGCCCGCATCTTTCCTGGTCAAACCCTTCCCCAACCCCTCTCCCAACCCAAGTGTTCTCCCTGTACTCCCAACCCCCCTTCTCCCCTCCTCCAGCGACACCTGGGGGCTCCAGCTGGACCCCGCCCGCCACGTCATCGAGCTGGCCTCGCTCTCCGAAGGGGAGCTGGCGGCCAGGGGCGCGGCAGGGGCGGGGGCGGGGCCGGAAGGGACGGCCGCCGCTTGTGCGCCCAACACGTCCTCCTCCGCCTCCCCCTCCCCCTCCCCCTGCTCCCCTCCCTGCTGCCTCCCCCTCCCCGACAAGTTCTCGCGCCACCTGGTGGTCCGGCTGCCGGGGCGGGCGCTGGCGGGGAACGGCGTGGCGGGGGCACTGGTGGCAAAGATGGGGTGAGGGGGAGGGGGGAGGGAGAACACCTAACCACTTGTGGGAGGGTGGAGGGAGAACACCTAACCACTTGATAAGGCGGGAGGATAGGGCGTGCGGGGAAGGCGTACGAGGGCAAAACTGAGGGCCGGGGTTGGGGTAGGAGTGGGGATGGGGGGCAGTGTTTGGCCGGGCGGGCAGGTGGTGGAAGGGATGTGCGAGGCTGCTGAGTCCCAGACCACTACCCCCGTGTTACCTCTCCCTGCCTCTTCCCCACCTCCCTCTCCCCTTCTCCGCTCCCCCAGACCTGCACTCCAGGAGGCGGGACTGGTGCTGCTCAAGGTGGGTAAGGAGGAAACAAGAGTGGGTGGGTGGGGGCCAAATTAGACCAACCATATGGAAGTGGGTGGGGCCGGGGGGGATGGCGGGGAGGAGGCGGTACATGGAGGAGGAAGAGATGATGGTGGGGGAACAAAACTGCGTGGGGAGGCGTCGGTTAAATAGCCCTTGCGGCCTCCTTAGCCGCTCCGTGCCTCTCCATCCCACAACCCATGTCTGACCGCTGCGCCCCCCCCTCCCCCAGGCCGGCGAGCCCCCCGGCGGCGCCACCGCCCCCCTGGTCGACCCCGCCGTCTACTCCCGCACCCGGCACTTCCGCATGCTGTGGTGCTGCAAGGGCGGCAAGAGCGCCTCCCTGCAGCCCAGCGCCCGCTTCGCACTGGCACACCAGCAGCAGGCGCAGCAACAGCAGCAGCAGGCGCAGCAGCAGCAGGCTCCCCCCCTGCCCTCCCTGCCGCTGCCGCTGCAGCAGCTGTTCCTGTCCTCCCTCATCTGCAACGTGCACCCCGCCGCGGAACTGCTCACCCTGCCGCCGGGCTTCATGCAGGGGGTGCAGGTGGGGGGGTGGGGGGGCCAGGTGGATGGCGGGAGGGGGGGCAGGTGGGAGGTGGGGTGTGTGGTTAATGGTGTGGTGTTGGTGTGGAGAGAGCAACAGCGAAGAGCGGCAGTAGGGGGCGAAGGGAGGAGAGGAGAGTGGAGGGTGCCGTCCTCCTTCCCATACCGCCATCCTAACCCCCTTTCCTACCCCCACCGAATGTACGCTACCGGGTTGTCGCACCTACCTGTCACCCCCTCAGAGCCTACGCAGCGTGCCGGGCTCCTTCTGCCTGCCTGACGGTGCTGCCGCCGGTTCCGCTGGTTCCGCTGCCACCAGTGACGCGGCGGTGCTGCTAGCTGGCAGCCTGGTGCACCCGGACACCGGCAGGGTGATCAAGGTGAGCTGGGCGGTGGAGCCGGGGCAGCTGAGGGAGAGCAGCGGTGGAGAGGAGGGGGGCGGTGGAGAGGAGGGGTGGGAGGTGGAGATGGAGGCACAAAGGGAGGGGTTGCAGCAAACCATGCGGCGCCAGCACCAGCAAGACGTACCGCAGCCGCATTACCAGCAGCAGCTGCTGGCAGCCGCAGCGGTCCCGGCCGCCTACCGCTCCAGCGTGTTGCAGCGGTTGGCGCTGGCGGCGGTTCCCTTCGTGGAGAGGCTGGGCGGGCAGCGGGCGGGAGGGGCGGAGGCGCAGGTGGGGGAGAGGGAGGGAGGGGAGGGAGAGAAGGGCAGGGTTGCTTGTGTGGGAGAGAGGGTGGGAGAGGGGTTGACTTACGTGCGTGGGCCGCAACAGGGGGTAATGAGTGGCGGAGAGGAGGTGGCATGGGGGCCGGAAGAGTTTGCATGAGCTAGTGCTAGAGAGGTGGAGGAGGCCGTAGGGGCGCACACGCAGGTGCTCAAGGGGAATGCCGTACGTGCTAGCCGCATGAGATGCTGTACGCGTTGAAGCATGAGGAGGTCACTGCTGGTTGGTCACAGGCTGCCTGCCTGCCTGCCTGCCTGCCTGCCTGCCTGCCTGCCGGGTCACTCGCTCTCCCTGCCGCTACTGCCGCTGTTGCTGCCACAGGTGCGCAGTATGGCGTATCTGGGGGAGGCGGCGTCCGTAACGTACGGCATGATAGGTGGGTGGGTGCGTGGGTGGGGTACGGCAGCGTGCGGGAGCAGGTGTGTCGTCCCATTAAGAAGCATTCCGCACTCCCACTTCCCCACCTCCGCACCCGCCCATGCTTGGGAGGCGATTCCAACCCGTTGCTATTCCTCCCTTGAACCCCTCATACCCTTCCCAGCCCAGTTGGGATATGGGATATTGGGACTCCAGTCTTCACTTCTCACGAATTACCCCGCCCAACCCCTCCCCCGCCCCCCTGCCGTCGTCACCACGCAGGTCCCGGCAGCCACTACTGCGACCGCATCGGTCGGCGCCACCGCTCCAACCGCATCTACTTCCTGCTCGACTTCCTGCGCGGCCGGTGCTGCCAAAAGTGCTACGACCCGGACTGTGCAGGTGGGGGGCGGGGAGGTTTCGGGTGGGGGCCGGGGAGGTGCAGGTGGGGGGAGCTGCCATGGGGCGATGGATAGGTGTCAGGGGGCCTTGTCATGCCGTCTTCTTGTCAATGGGCGGCACGCCCTCTTCGGTCGTACTAAGCGTCAAAACTAGACCTTGGTCAACCACTCCTGGGTTCATTGCCAACCAGCTAGCTGATGCCACCTCAAGGTTGAGAACAAAGCCCCATCCTCTTCCAACTCCTCCCCTCCTGCCTCACTTGTGGCTTCCTTTGCTTTGGTCTCTCCCCCAGTCCTCCTCTGCCTGCACCCTGCGCCTCCACCTCTCCTCCTCTTCTCCTCCCCTGCCGGCAGGCTGGCGCTCCGACTTCCAGGACCTGCCTCCAGAGCTCTGGCAGCGGTGGCGGCGGCAGTGGCCCAGCCCTCTGACCCGGCAGCAGCAACAGCAGCAGCAGCAGGAAGGGCAGCCGGGGCAGCCGGAGCAGGCTCAAGGGCAGGTGCAAGAACTGGGGCAGGCGGAGGTGGAGGGGGCAGGAGGAGGAGGAGAAGGAGGCGACGCGGGTGGTGGCGGCACAGGTGGTGGCAGCGAGGAGGGCCGCGTTGGAGGATCCGGCAGCAGCAGTAGCAGCCAGGGGGGTGTTGAGGGAGGTGGTGACAGTGGTGGTGCCGGTGGCAGCGGAGGCAGCAGGGAGGGGGGAGGAGGAGGGGATGTGGGTGCGGATGCGGGGTGGGTGCCGGTGTTGGTGTGGGTGGAGGAGCAGCAGGCTGCTGTCCCAGGAGGTGGCAGTGGCGGCGGCGGCTGCACCCAGGAGGAGGAGGCAGCGCCAGCAGCAGAGGAGGCTCAAGCGGGGGCAGCCCTTGCTGCCCTAGCAGCAGTTCCGGCAGCAGCAGCAACAGCAGGAGCGACAACAACGGCGGCAGCAACGGCAGTTGCGGAGTCAACACCTGTACTGGTGGAATGCGGGACTGGGGGGCTCCTGTAAGGCCTGCCTACCCTGCCTCACTGCAAAGCTGCCCGCTCGCAATTGGTGAGCACCTAAACCGTTCGTCCCAAACCTAGCAAGTGGTTGGGGGGCTGTTGATACTTGGAGACCTCGGTGTGGGCGACGGGCGGGTCCAGTTTCGGCGCCCCCTTCCTGGCTTCTGTCTTTGTCATGGAGATTGCATGGCTTCCACCACTGCAGCCAGCTGCTCACTGCAAACTTCATACAGGTGTATCGAGCATGCAGGTGCGCAGGGCATGTCCGCGCCCTGTTTGATTGGTGCGTATGCATCCGCACGTATGGATCGTGCGGAGGATGACAGCCACCGCAATGGTGTGCATGTGCGTGCATGGGGGGGGGGTGGGGGAAATTAAGTGAGGCAAACCTACATGCAGCAGCAACGGTTCCGCTGCTGGGTGCCGTGACGGAAGCGTGTGTAGAAGCCGTATCCGCTTTCTGCATGGCCTGGACAGATAGCTGCCCCGCTGCACCTCTGATGTACCTTTTCACTGCGGGCCTGATGGCTCCGTTGGTCCCGGTGAGCGCCGTCCGGTTCCGCTGGCAGGCGCTAATGTTGGATGTCCGCAGCGGTGGGTGCGAGCTGGCGATGAGGTGACATGATGATGATGATGATGATGACATGATCACTCTTTTCCTTCCGTAACTGCAATATTCGCTTTTTCCCTTTTTCCTCCGCGATCTCCTACATACTCTGAACCTTGCCACTTGTAAGTGTGCTTACTACAGTATACTTATTACTTACTCCAGTGACATCGTGCTGTTCACGTCCAACGAACAACAAACTTGGTTCGCTTTCCAAGTATGCATGCTTTCCTTGCGCATACATATGCCGACTAATAAAAGCTGTGTTGAATTTGTTCTTAGGTAGGCGCATCGCAGTATGCAAGTGCAGTTCATATTGCGCTGAAACTCGTGGCGACAATATTCCTGGGTCACAAATTCACGTGCAGTTCACTAACTCTAAAGGCTTTGCCTATAGAAGTACTCTTTTGAAGGAATTGTTGGCTTGGGGACTGCAACGATGGCGACCATGTTAGGGACCCATTTGCCAAAGTGCGAGCAGGCATCGCAAAGCAAGCGCTCAGTGCAAGGGGGGGGCATGTACGTTTTTGCACCTGCCCCGAGCGGCGAACGCGTTTGGAGCCGCTGGGGCCAGGTATAATTACGCCAGCGCGTCAAGTACCGGTATACAGGATAAGGGAACATCAGTTTTCGTAACACACAATTACGCACGGGACAGACAGTATTGCCTGTTGCAATACGTACAGTAATGTGTAATGTCTTGTTTACAGTTCCACCGGTTGCTTGTAGTCCTTCTCTGCTCCTGACCAGGCGAGGGACGCAAGGGGTCGGCTGAAGAGCAGCGCCCGCCCCCACCTGCAGCAGCCATGTCGCAAGCGCACCGCAAGCCGTAAGCCCCACGCGACATCTTACGAAAAAAACACTATCGTGCAAATTCTTTTCTTAGCACAACCTGCAAGACACAGATAGAATTTCCCCGATAGAATTGGAATGAGACCCCTGGATGCTCATATGTCCATACCCTGGTAGGCGTGCAGAAGAACGTCGCCGCAACACGGCACGCGGCGACTCCCTTGCCCTCGGCAGCCGCTATGCTACTGCAAACGGTTGTGCTCGAGCATGGCATGGAGCAAAAAGCAGCTACCGGTACCACCACCGTAACCCTCTTCACGGTCTGCGTGCCCTTCCGCCCTGCGTCGTTTCCGCAACTGTACACCACGTCTTCAGCGAGGCCCCTCCTCGGCCGTGCTGTTGCCTGGGTCGCCTCTTGGCCGCCCTCTGCAGTGCCTCCATCGCTGCTCCGTACCATACATCTGGCCTCGTAGCAAAGAGCATAAGACACGTGTAACCAACAATAAGCGATACCAAACAGACATGCAACCATGAAACCGGCGCACATACCCTAGGCACAAGAAACATGAACGAACAGCCGTTTCCTCCCAGGGGTATGTTCAAAGGGAAAACCATGGTTGTTCGAGTAACAAAGATACCAAGGCAAAGTGACCAAAAGAACCACTCCAGTTATTCCCGTCACGCCTCGCGTGACCCATGGGTCTCTCCCTTACACGGTTTACTCAGCCCCGGCATCTGCTGCCAAGATGGGGCCAACAAGCCTCTTTTCACTTCACTGCGACTGCTTGTCTTGTTTGTAACGGCAGCAGCGATTCACAACATAACCGCAACCTGCCATGCAGCCGATAACAAACAAGACTGGGAACACGGCCACGCACAAGGAACAAGGGCCAATGGTCAAGCCGCCTGCAGCAAAATACCTATTACCCGCTATTCGCGGTGTCCCAAATCGCTAATGGCGCCCGCTGGAGGGCGTCTCATCTTCGGCTCCTGGCACCGCTACAAGCAGCCTGAGGCCTCAACCCCCGGCATGCCCGCCGGCCTGCCTGCATGCATGTCTGCCCGCTGGCCTGCCTGCCTGCCTGCCGCAGCACTACCATGGCACCAACACCTCCTACCCAGCCGACCAGCCTGCCAGCAGTACCACAACCCCACGAGCAGCCCCCCTGCTCCTCCTCCTCCTCCTCCTCCAGCGCTCCTCCTGACGTAAGTCGGCCCCCCCTCCGCCGCACCCCACACCCCTTGTGTCACCCCTCCACGCCCTTGCTCCCCTCCACCCGCACACCTCCTCCTCCTCCTCCTCACGCCGCCAGCCAGCCCTCCGCCACCCCCCTCTCCGTGATCCAGTCCAGCACCGCCCGGGCCGAGGGGCCGTAATCCATCACCTGGGGGGGAGGAGGGTAGGAGGGGACAGAGGAGAGATTGCGGCCGCCATCGTACCGAACGGGAATGAGGAGGAGGACGCGCAAGTTACCAGCACTTGCGAGACCGCATACCGCGCCACATGACTCAAACCAGGCTGGCATGAGCTGCCAATACACACACGCAAAACACACGTACACGACCCGGTAATCACAATACATTCCGGCTCGCGGCCAGTTTTCTCAGCACACGCACAGTTGCGGCAATTCTGCATCAGCGTACGGCGCACTACACATCAGCAACAGCCCCAGCAGAGCATACACCGCCCTCCTGCTCCACCCCATCCTCGTCCCTCCCCTCCCCGCCTCACCTCCTCCTCCAACGCCGCCTTGACCCGCCCCACCCCCGCTGCCAGCTGCGTGGCCGTCAGCACCCCCTGCCCCGCCAGACTCGCCAGCAGAGCCACCACCGGGGCTGCGGCCTCGGCGGGGGAGGAGGGGGCGGAGGCGGTCTCGGAGGCAGCCGGGGCGCTGCCGTGGTAGCGGTTGAAGGCCAGCTCGACTGGGGGCGGGAGGGGAGGGAGGGAGGGGTGTGATCACGAGGCGTGTCAAAGAAAACATGGGTCGAGAAGATGCCCAGCGCGTGGGGGTGGAACACCACCACCCAAAGCGCAGCAACACGCTCCGCACCCCCTCATGCCCCCTCCTCTGCCCCGCCCCCTTTGCTGCACCACTGCCAAACACTCCCACCCCTCCACACCTCACCCACCGCCACCGCCAACCGCCTCGCGGCCGCACACCACCCCCACCAGGCCACCACCTCCCAACTACCGGTACCCCCATCAACCCTCCACCGCCCCTCCTCCCCCCACCCCACCGCCACCTCCCCCCCTACTCACTCGCCGCCACCACCGCCTCATGTCCGTACGCGGGCGCCTCCAGCTCGCGAAGGCAGCGAGCCACCTCCGACACGTCACCGCTGCTGCCGTACTCCTGGCAGGGGGAAGAAGGCGAGGGGGGGGACGAGTACGGCATGCCGAAGACTACCTTGTGGTACGACATGCGGAGAGCAACACACAAACACACACCAGCCACGCCACAGTACGTTCCGACTCGCGGCCGGTTTCCTTCCGACGCACAGTCCATTAAACACACACGCAGTTACGTGCGGCAAGCAGCCAACGCCACCTATCACGCCCCTACCCCTCATACACAAACAGCCCGCTTTCCCCCGCCCCCACCTGCACCGCCTCCCTGATCGCCTGCCGCACCGCCCCCACATCCAGCGCCCCCCCGTGCCAGCAGTTGACCAGCCTCTCGGTGCCGTGTCGGGCGCCCAGCAGCAGGCCGGCGGAGCGAACCACGGACACACCCAGACCCTCGGCGGGCAGGGAGGACAGCACCTGGGGGGGGGAAGGGGGGGGGGGGGAGAGGAAAGAGGGGCGGGAGGGAGGGATGGACGTTGGAGAATACACACCGAATGCAGCCAACGTGTGTCGTACACAGCCCTTTCTGACATACCCCCTTCTGAGAGGCATTGCATACAATCGCCACCCACAGCCGTTGCCCCACACCTCCTTTCCTCCCTCCCGCTGCCACACGGACAGGCGGTTCATCCCCTCCCCCCCATCCTACACCCCCGCCTCCCCCTGTTCTTCCTCCTCCCCCCCTCCCACTTCTCAATTATCCCCTCCCCCCCACCTGCGTCAGGAAGGCGGGCGGCAGCAGCTCGTCCACCACCGCCCGCCCCAGGAACAGGCTGAGCAGGTGCACTGCATCCGGCACATCCAGAACCAGGTCGTCAGAGGCGGCGAGCAGGCGGGTGAAGCCGCCGGCCAGGGCCTCGGTGGAGACGACCTGAGGGGGGGCCGGGGGTGGGCGGGTGTACGGCAGAGGGCGGGTTGGGGGTACGCGACTGCTGGCGTGTTGAGGAAGGTCACGGCAGACCCCTCCATCTCGTCAGTTTCTCACTTCTTTCCCCTCCCCCCACCCACCTGCATCCAGTCCGTCCGTTTTCCTTGTTTTTACCTCCCCCTCCCCCCACCCCCCCACCCCACCTGCGGCACCAGCGCCACCAGCAGCTTGCTGACCAGCTCCCTCTCGCGGTCCTTGCGGTCCAGCGCTAGGGACACAGCCGCCTTCACGAACAGCGGGTGCAGCCCGGGCTCGTCAAGCGCCAGCAGGCTGGGGACGGGAGGGAGAGGGAGAGGGAGGGAGGAGTTATTCAAGCAATGCAGCAAAGAGGTAGACGGCGGGTCCGACATGTTGACCCGCCTCACACCCCATAACTCCCTTTTTCATCTCCTTTCCCCCCTCCCCTCCCCTCCCCCTCACTGCATGAGTCGGGATATGGTATTGGGACTCGTTGTTTCACTTATTTACTTTTCCCCCCTCCCCTCCCATCCCCCTCCTTGTTTGCATTTCTTATATAATTTCCCCTCCCCCTCCTCACCTCGCCGCCACCTCCGCCGCGTCCTGCGAATCGAAGTACTCCCTCACAGCCGCCAGCGACGCCGCTTTGAACGCCGCAAGACCAGGCGGCATGGACACCACCACACCAGCAGCAGCAGCAGCGGGGGAGGCACCATTAGCCGAGGGGCCCGAGGCGGCAGTCGGGGTGGTGGAGGAGCCGAAGAGGGCGGCTGCTGCGTTGGCGCCCACATCCTCGGGCTGCAGGTCGTCAAACACCTTGGCGGCCCTGCATATAAGTGAAACAACAAGTCCTAATCCCATATCCCGACTCATGCAGTGAGCGCATTCTGAGACATGCATGGGGGGGGAGGGGGGGGGTTGACAGCGGGAGCAGGGGGGTGGACGACCTCATGATGATGCATTGATGCATTCTGTTCCCCTCTCTCCCTCCCTCCCTATCAGTTATAGCATGGTATTTCCCCCTCCCCCCCGCCCCTCCCCCTCCTTCCACCCACTTGGCCGCCTGCATGACCTCCCCGAAGCGCTGCCCCACCGCGGGGTTGTCCAGCACCGCATCCGCCAGGTTGTCCGCCACGCGCCGCAGACCCTTGGCCAGCTGGCTGCACGACACCTGCCCGCTGGAGGACAGGCTGGGGGGGAGGGGGAGGGGGGGGGGTTAATATGGTTGGAAGACTCCGCGATTTTGGGGGAGGAGGGAAGTGGAAGAGGGCATGTGGGGGAGGCAGGGTTACAGCCACGCCGCAGCTACGGGTGTTTGGTCCCTAGCTCCCCCCCCTTCCCCCCCGCCCCTACCTGGCCAGCAGCGCCACCACCGGGGCCAGGTGGGCGGGGTTGTCCGTGGCAGCCATCAGCGCCTGGGGGGGGGTGAGGAGGATAGGGAGGGTGAGGAGGAAGGGACTGACTAACCGGCAGGATAAGCTGACAAGGCTTCACCAAACCGAATGGGACAGAATGAAGGTTAGGGCGCGCACGCCCTTATTCCCTGCTCTTCTCCCCCCCTGGATCTCCTTCCCTTCAAGTACCCCTTTTGCACCCTCCCTTGACCCCCCCTCAACCTGCTTGGCACTCGGATAAGGTTCATTTCGCGTCCTACTGTCGTACCGTCTTTCCTCTTCCTCTGCTCACCCACGGGGGAGGTCCTCCTCCCCCGTGGGTGAGGAGGACCTCCCCCCTTCCCTCCCGCTTGGACCCCAAGGCTAACCCATCCCTCTCCTCTTCCAGCCTACCCAGTACCCGGGGGTATAATCCCACCCAGTCCCTGGGCTGCGTGTTCCCTAGGGGTGAGACTGCCCTGAAGGCCCCGCACATGCCACCTCCCCCCTCTCCTCCCTCCCCTCCCCCCCTCACCTGCTTCACTAGCTCGTGGTGGAAGAAGGGCAGCCCCAGCTCCCGCAGCCTCCGCCCCACCTCCGCCTCGTCACGCGCAGCCAGGTACTCGGAGAGCAGGGAGGAGATGGCGGCCTGCGAGTCGGGGTGCAGCGTGCCGGTGCCTGACAGGGGGGGAGGGAAGGGGAGGGGGAGGGGAGACCCATGGGTCAGTGAGTGAGCAGGGGTTAGTAGGGATGAAATTCCGCATAAGGCAGCAGGGGGAGGAAAGGAGGGTGGAGGGTGTTGGCAGGGGGGGCAGTGGATATGGGAAGCATGGGCGGTCAAACACACACGGAAGGGCCACAACAAGGTGAGGGGCAGAGGGAGGGTTGCGGCGGCAACGGGCAAGCAGCGGCGTCCGGGATGCAGGGTGGTGGAAGCGGGCTCCCCATATCTGCTCCCCCCCACCTTCCCCCCCTCCCTCCCCCCCCCACCTGCTCCTCCCCAGCACCTCAGCACCTTCTCCGCGCTGTGCCGCCCCGCCAGCAGCACCTCGCAGCGCTGGCGCAGGTCGCGGGCGGCGGGGCAGGACTCCTGGGGGGGAGGGGGGAAGGAAAGGGAGGTGGGAGCTGGGGAAGGAGGGGAGAAAACCATGATTTCTTCCTCCGCTAACCCCTGTGGCCACGACCCACCTCTCCCCAGCCGACCACCTCACCCGCCCCCTCCCAACCCCCCTACCGGGTCAATCGCCCCCACAATGGCCGGCGGCAGCACATCGTCCACCACCGCCCGCGCCACGAAGCGCGCCAGCAGGTCGGGCGCATCGGGCACGTCCAGCAGCAGGTCGGGCAGGCAGGCGAACACGGAGGTGAAGCCCTTGAGCAGCTGGTCGGGCGGGATGACCTGAGAGGGGGGGGGGAGGGGGGGGGAGGGAGGGGAAGAGAGGAGGGGGGGAAGGTCATTCCAAAGCATAGGAAACCACATATATAAAGTACCTACGCAACCCTATAGTCCAGCCAAATGTGCAACATGTATCCCTATCACCCCCTCCCCTTCACCTCCGCACATACAACCCATGGTGAAGCCTCGTCCAGAAGATCTGTCCAGAAGATTGATGCTGGAATGTGTTCTCAGCACGTCACACAGCCACTACTTGACTTGCTGCAAGCAAAAGACTGACGCAAGATTGCTGTCTGATAACCCAACTATTTTTCGTTTCTCATAACATGGTACCGTATGCGCTCTTCAGGACGTGCGCTTCGTCACACTGCTAACAAGGGGGTTAAGAGGGTTTGTGCACACAACCTAAAGCTGCAGCCGTACAATGCAGTACAACAGCGCGCTGGCGCCCTCTCTGCCTCCGTTATCTTGGCGGCGGCTGTGCAGCAAAAGCAGCAGCGGCAACAGCAGTCGCGACCTGTGACGTCAGCAGCCTCGGGCGGCGCCACTCGCAGCGGCAGCAGCGACCGACTCGGTCCGCTGGCAGCGGTGACGTCACCAGTGGCAACTCCGGAAACAGCGTGGACGGAGGAGTCACCTCCGCGCATGACAGCTGTGATGCCGGCACTGCAGGTGCCGGCGACGGCGACGGCGCCGTCGCCGGCACCTGCAGTGCCGGCATCACAGCTGTCATGCTCGGAGGTGACTCCTCCGTCCACGCTGTTTCCGGCGTTGAGGAGGCGTTGCTCCTCAGTTTCTCCCCCCTCTCTCCCCCCCCCACACACACCTCATCTTCCGGCAATCACAGTACGTTCCGGCTCGCGGCCAGTGTTTTACCCCACCTCCGCATACGGCCCCACAGTTTCCTTACTCCCCTCCTTCTCCCTCCCGGGCCCCCCCACCTCCGCATTCAGCTCCCCAGTCTCCTTATCCCCCCCCCTCTCCCGCCCCCCCCCCCCTCTCCCCCACCTCCGCATACAACCCCGACAGCAGGCTGCTGGCCATCTCCCGCTCCCGCTCCTTGCGGTCCAGCGCCGCCGTGAGCAGCCGCTTCACAAAGTAGTGCGACAGGTGCGGCGCGCCCAGGTCCTCCAGGCTGTCAGCCACGTCGGACACGGAGCCGGAGCAAAAGTACTCCTCAATCAGGGAGCGGATCTGGGTAGGGGAAGAAGGGGGGGAGGGGGGGGGGGAATTCTATGATGAGGAGTGCAGCATAACAGGAGTCCCATATCTGTATCCCGACGCTCATGCAGTGAGCACATACAGGTGTGGGGGAGGGGGGAGAAGACCGAGTTGCGGACAAGAGTTGTAGTAGTAGGTGGGTCGGAGGGCCGTGAGAGGCTGGGTTGAATTGGGTTGTGTTGGAAGCTGGCAAGACGTGTTGGCGCTTGGCGGCATGTAGCCTCGTAGTATGCAATGCCGCAACCCCCCCCCCACCCGCCCCCTCCCCCCCCTCACATGCTCCTTGTACGCCGCCACCTCCTGCCGCACCGCCGCCTGGTGGTTCCGCAGCAGCACCACGTCCCGCGTGTCCTCCTCGCTGTCGTAGTTGGGGTCGTTGCGGTCAACCACCTCGTCGCCGGCTGCAGGGGGTGGGGGTTGGGGAGGGGTTAATAGGATACATATTCCGCAGTAGGCTGGATTTTAGGGTTGCGAGGTGAGGGGTAAGAAATATGGGTGAAGTCAAGCCTGGGATCTCTCCCAATCCCAGCAGCATGGGGCCGGGGTGGGGGTGAGCTGCGGAGATCGGGTGGGGAGGGCGGCGGGGCGCGGGAGCGCGTGGTTGGGAGCAACCCTGCCTTTCAAAATCATGCTACCAGTGGTACCGAGCGCTGCTAAGCTATCCAGGCAATAATGCTGTGTGTGCCGCGAGAGCCAGTGGACCCCCCCCCCGCGGTCGCACACAGCCTGGGAACACATGCGGGGCAGGCAGGCACGGTGTCTGGCTGCGTGCGAGCACACATGCATGCTGCTCTGCTTTGCATGCGCGGGCGTGCAAGTCAAAGAGGGCAAGTCGTCCCTGCGACCAAACTGCAGCGGCAACAACATGCGCTCGAAAAAGGTGCACAAGCAGATGGTGATGCACACGCATCGTGCTGCTCGACTGTTGGTTAAAGAGACACGACCCAAACCGTAGCGACCCAAATCGGCAGCATCGCCCTATGCATACCGCATGAGAGAAGGCAACACTACCGCATGAGCCATGCTGGGATGCATGTACGACACGTGCATGTCTGAAATCCGAAACACCATGTGTGGCTTGTTTCCAAAACGATCTGGGTCACGACTGCCCTCCTCTGCTACTTGCCTCCGTTGGTGAGGAGGGAGCCCCAGGTGTACTTGCCGCCGCCTCCGCCCTTCTTGGCGCCGCCGGGGCCCTTAACTGGGGTGCGGGAAGGTGGGTCAGAAGGAGGAGTAAGGAGCAGCGAGGGAAGGAGCGGGGTATGAGGAAGGGTCGACATGGGGGACAATAGCAAAGGCGGGGATAGGAACTTTCCAACCCACTTGGTATGGGATGGATTATGTAGGTGTGGGTTGTGGAGCAAACAGGCTTTAAAGCCGGTTTGCGTTGAGAAGGCGCATGCAGGGAGCTGGCGGGAGGTGAGGGGTCTGCCCAAGGTTGGTAGTTCCGACAAAAACACAAGCCAGAAAGCATTCCTTGACCGGGGGTTGTATGCATCCTACTTTTCGACGCGAGAGTACATCCAGGTGACGTTCCTGGGCAGACCCGGGCTGCTTGCTGCCGCTAACTACTGCCATTCGCACCTGACCGGCTCTTCCGCTCGCCGGAAGCGGCAGCAGCCTTATGGTTGGCAGCCGCCCGCGCTTTCGCTTGCTCTGAGGGAAGAATTAGCGGAGAAGATAGCGGAGAAGGTATGCTGTCAAAGAAGATGTACCGCTTGGCCTCACACGTCAGCACCGCTATTTCGCGCGCCGACACGCCTCAGCACAACCAGGGCGACGCTTCAATAACGTTACAATTCTGCAACGCTGCATCGCAAGCTGGGCGCGCGCCGCCGACACCAAAGCCTATCCTGAAGTCTGTACCTGCCGCCTTGTCCCGGAGAGCCTGATCTAGTGCCGCCCGCTGCTCATCTGTCAAGAAGGGAGCGGGCTTGGGGCTCGTCGTCGCTGCCCCTTCCTCCCGCATGTTTAGTTGTTTGGTTAAGAACTTAAGAACGTGATCCGATCGCGGAGTACACGGGTTACAATTGAGTATCAATTAAGCTTAGGCGATGTTGCTGTCTCTGCATGAGGCAAGCAGGGTCCTAGGAGTTTCGAACAGCAAAGCCGTACATTTGCATTAAGGGAAAGAGACCCTTGCATGTTCAGCCCGTTGAAGCCTTCCTAGTTGTTAGGGTGCATCACCATGTCGCTCTTCAAGGGATCCCTGCCGGCAGGCTTCCTATACCCCTACCGGCATCCTAAAGCCAAGGGGCTGGTTGAGTCTACGCTCTATGGCCTCGGTGGCCTTTTCCGTGCATGTGGCGCTGCCATAGACGAGCTTGGAGCCATGATTCAGGGACCTCAGGGCGCTGTGGAGGAGACAGGTGTGCGATGGCTGGTGGCAGCAGGTCCTCTTCATGCAAGCAGCGTGACAGCGTATTAAGGTGTCTATGTGTTTCCGACATGCAGTCCAGCCCAACCTGGCGTTCGCTCCGGTGCACCGCAAGCCGGACGTGCCGGTGGGCGCCGGACAAGTGGTGCCCGTCCCTGCCGCTGCTCAGCGGAAGCTGGGCCTTAAGGAGATGGTGATTCCTAACAAGCACAGCACGGCTTATGTCGCTGCCAACGCTAATGTGCTTGGAAACGTGAAGATTGGGGCCAACTCCTCCATTTGGTATGGCGCCGTGCTGCGTGGTAGGTATTAAGCTAGAGGAAGCATGTGGGCTTTACACAAATGGCTGCAAAACTTGAACCTTTTTCCCGGACAGGCGACGTCAATGGCATCGAAATTGGCAGCAACACAAACATCCAGGACAACGCTGTGGTGCACGTGTCAAAGTACAGCTTTGACGGCAGTGCTCGGCCCACGGTTATTGGGAACAACGTGACTATTGGTAAGCGGCTCCAGGGCCACATTTTCCGCTGCTGCTCTGCCCTGCGGGAGCTTGCTAACTGGGTAAGGGCCCTGCTCCTCTAATTTATTTCGAGTCACAAAGTAACGATCCCCTGCAGGCCACGGCGCGACGGTGCACGCCTGCACCATTGAGGACAACTGCCTGGTGGGCATGGGAGCCACGGTCCTGGACGGAGCGACGGTAAGGCAGCACAGCAGTCGATGGAGAAAGAGGGGGAAGTTGGAGAAGCGCGGCGTCATGTGAAGAAGCGCGTCCGGCGGCAGGGGTCCACAGAGGGGGAGTGAAGGAAAATTTCGGGGCTCAGCGGAAGGGAAAGGAAGCCGTACACTGCGGATGTCCAAACGTCCAAAGAGAAGCGAGGACCGGGGAAAGGGGCCGGGAGATGCTAGCAGACTCACCTACGTCGGGTACTTGGGACGTACAACACAAGCCCGGCTGCTGTTTAGGGAGGTTACATTGACGGGGCTGCACGTATGGAATAGAACCGGGAAAGCAGTTTAGGGCGCTTTGGTTGAAGCAAGACGGACATTCATCGGATCCGTTAGGCTGGCTTAGGAAACGAGTTGCTGGGGCAATTCAGTCAAACGCTTCGGCCATGCGATACAAACAAGTGTTGCGAAGACCATGGTGCTAAGGGCCCTTAAATTGCGAAATAGCCTGTTTTGCTGGGATCTTAACCCGGACTTCTAACTTTTAACGCTTCCATAACCCCGTTCTCATTGTTTCCCCTTCACCGCCTCCTTTAATCCTCTGGTTTACCCTTTTCCCTGCTCCTCCCCCGCCGCACCCCCCTTGCCGCCCCTCCCAACCACAGGTGAAGAGCGGCTCCATCGTGGCAGCCGGCTCGGTGGTGCCGCCCAAGACGACCATCCCCTCGGGCCAGGTGAGGAGGAAGAAAGGATGAACACGGTTCGATCACGGTTCGACCAAGAGAGCGATTCGGGCTGGGCTATAGGGGAGAGGAGCGGTGGTACGCTGCAAGGGATGTGTTGAGGAGGATGGAGGAGGTCTTGGGTGTGGATGGAAACGAAACTGAGATGGTGCGAGGTGCATGGGGGAAAGGGAAAATGTGAGGATTTGGGATGTAGTGATTGAGGGCACGGGACGCGTCCTCTGCATATGGCGGGTGGGGGCTTGATGAGCTGCGATGCAGGCGGGAATCTCTGGTCGGGTGGGGCAGGGTCGGGTAACATCCCGGGAACATGGTGCCGCATGTGCCGGGCGGCGGCTCTACGGCATGCGTACCCAGTTGCCACCAGTTGGTTGGGTTGCATCAGCGCATCCAAGCAGACACGCAGTAAACCAGCATTCCAACACTAGCCCCCTCCTGCACTCCTATTCTGCGGTTCATGCTGCGCCTCTCCTGCCTTTTCCTCTCCCCTGTCCTCCTGTCTTCCCGCCTATTATAACCTCTCCCGTGGCCACCTTGGTCTCGACCTTATCCCGGCTTCCCCGTCCTCCTCCCTCCCCCGCACTCCCCCCCAAAAGGTGTGGGCCGGCTCCCCCGCCAAGTTCCTGCGCGAGCTGGAGCCCGAGGAGGCCGCCTTCGTCGCCAAGAGCGCCGCCAACTACTCGGAGCTCTCGGGCGTGCACAAGTGTAAGCAGGCGGCGGGATCGTGTTGCGTTGATTTGGGTTGTGTTGGCTCTGGCTTGCCCCGTGTGTTGGATTTCCCCCGCTAATTCCCTCTTGGTCATTCCTTTCTCTGAATTAGGACACAGGGGAGGTCTGCCTTTTCCTCAGTAGTTAAGATCTACTTTCCCGCAGCCCATCTCTTCCAACTCCCCCCTCCCCCCCTTCTGCTCTCCCCCGTTCTCCCTCACCCCCTCACCCCCCTCTCTCTCCCCGCAGTCGAGCAGAGCAAGACGTTTGAGGAGCAGCACGTGGAGATGGCCATCATGAAGGACCGCGCCGCGCTCTCCGACCCCGCCAACTCGGTCCACCAAATGTGGGAGTACGACAGCCAGACCGCCCTCGTGGCGCGCGCCAAGAGGTAAACGGTGTGCCATGTGGCCTCCGCGCCGTCGCGTGGAGGGCAGCCCATTGGCCCCGCAGCCGTCCTCCCATCCTATCTTAACAGCTGTGCAGCCATGTGGTCGGCAAGTGCCAGTCATGTGCGATGACAGCGGAGTTCTAGGGTGCTTTTGATGGGGCAGTCCTGAGGCCGCCGCGGTTGAGAACGAACGCCCTCTTTTTCTTCCATGGATTGCTCTGGTTGGTTGGCTGGCTGGTTGGCACGCATCTTGTCTTCTTCGATGCAGCCAGCAGTGGCAGCGGCAGCTGTGGAGGGAGCAGAGCAGGGACGTCGTGTCTAGCATGTTGTGCGTGGCAAGCAGCGCCGGGTGGAGATGAAGGAGGGGTGCCGAATCCAGGAAAGCTGGACATGTGGGCCTCATTGGCTGTTAGGGTGGGAGCGGCGTAGGGGCATTAGGGCTGCAATGGCTAACGGCGCTGTTGGTTTTCGAGTGGAATTGGGGCCAGGGGCGGTTTGTGTGGTTGCGGTATGGCGTTTCGGTGATGGGTGATGATGTGTACGGCGGTTGGGTGCACGGTACGGCGCGCATGGGGTTCAGAGCTGCCTCGCGCCGGTGGTTGTAACTGATGCGTTCGTGCACATGCTTGGCGCACGCTGGTGCAAATGGGAGAGTCCGAGCCTGGCGCGTGCTGGGGTGCTTGGTGCGGTGTGGGTGCTCTCCCCGCTGGCCTCTTGGCCGCTGTATAGCGCACAGCTTCGGTCGAGTGGTAGTTGGGTGCTGGGGGTGCGTGAGAGCTCGGGCCTCTAGGCTGCTAGAAAAGGGTTTACATAGCGGGTATGGCGGAGGACAGAGGAGGGGCCGCCGGGCGCCTCTTCCTTGAGTCTGGGCGTGCGTTGTGAGCCGGAAAAGCGGAGTCGTTACCGCTGCTTAGTGAGGTTGCGACATGCGCGCTGGTGTCTTGGCATGGAGAGCAGTAAGAGCTTTTGTAAGGAATCCTGTGCAACGTTTGCCGCTGGCAGCAGCAGCTCGCGGGATGCAACATGTGTCATAATTTGGTTTCGCGGCGGAGTGAAGGCGATTCCTTGCACATGCAATCAAGTAAGAGCAGTTACGCGTAATCCAATTATAGTTGTCGTACATGCTTCACACGTTACATCTCAGGAATCCACGCCATCGACCGTATCCGTCGTTAGTTAACAAACTTGTTCTCCCGTCAGGGTCACGTGAATTATACAAATAAGCTACCCACTTGCTTCATCTTTCAAAAGCTTTCTCGCAGCTAGTCCCGCACACGCGCGTGGCCACACCCAAAGTGCACGACACGTCATGGCAGTTCATCGTCAAAATTGATTGGCAAAAACAGGTCGCGCCCATCAAACAAGACCCCTCAAACTTCAATACATCCCGATCTCCCGTCCCACCCCCCTCCATCAGTCTTCAAGTCGCGCCTCCGCACTAGTCCGCCGTCCTTCCCCTCGATCCTAGCCCTCCCCCTCCTCCTAGCAGCAAACCTAGTCCCCCAAGCAACTCAATACGCCCATTAAGCCTCCCCCCTCACAGCCAAAAATCGCAGACAGGGCCGTAGGGAGGAGTCCTAAGCTCCTAACCGTCTCCACACGACATGTGCACATACATAAGCCGCCCTGATGTGAGCCGGTTGGTAAACGAGCAGGTTGTCGGTATCAAGAATATTGCCACTGTGTGCAAGGACGGTGCCTCTTGTCGCTCCCAGTAACATCTGCTACGCCAAACACCCCCACATACCCCCCGCACCTGACATCGACTCCCGAGTTAATCCCTCCCTGACATACCTCGCAACAAAACCTGGCCACTGGATGTCACAGCCACCCGCTGCTGCGCAGCACATGCGGAAATTGCAGTGCGGAAAGGCAACAACCACAACAACGTGTACAACGCAGCTGCGGCATTCCAGTTGGGAACCCCAGCCAGCCAACCAGTTGAACTGCCGACTGCGGTAGTCTCAGCTTCCCGAACCACACCAATCAGCCGCCTCACATTGACGAGACCACTGTCTCATTGCCTAACCGACTGCTCTCTTACCTCTCACCAGCTTCCCCTCAGTGTCTCCCTCCTCCTCCTCTTCCTCCTCCTCTTTCCCCTCCGCTTCCTCCTCCTCTTCCTCCTCCTCTTCCTCCTCATCCCCAGCTCGTCAACAAGTCCATCACGCTCGTCCAAGTGCCGCACATGCAGTCAACGTCATATCGTACACATGCGCATCCGAGAAACCGCATTCTCCACCTTTTCCGCACTTCTCACAAACACAAAGATGCCACCGCAGACATTCATACGGGATGCGTTTCTACCGCAATTCATAAACCGTATAAATTGCAACATCCGCAGAATACCTTTACGCCGCCGCAGGCAGGATAGTCGCAGTGACCGCCGGCGCGGAAACCGGCGCAGCACTCGCCGCTGCCGTACCAGCCCCGCCGAGCCGCCGACTCGCCGCCAGCGCCGACGGCGGCAGCATGTACGGCAGCGCGGTGAGTACGACAGTCATAAGTGCGGCACTCGTCATGAAGGCCGCATTGGCGCCGTACATGTGCCAGATGCTGCCGTACATTGTGTTTGCGGCAACCGCCGTTACTGCCATGACGGTGTAGAAGATGCCGAATGCGGTTCCCCTCAGGTGGGAGGGAGCAAGACCTGACACGATGGACAGCAGCGGGCCCTGTGCGGCAGTGGGGGTGCAGAGGGCGGGTCAGGAAGCGATATGGGGAGGCGGCCCAGCGGCGCGCGAGGATAACATGTGCAAAATGAAGCGCAGGTACACCGCAAGATACAAGCGCACATACCGGTAGAGGATTACCCTCTCCCCACGAGCCGGGATATTGGACGGGGACCCCGGTTGCTTCACTTCCCATCTCTTCTCCCCTCTCCTCCCCGCTCCTCCCCCCCGCACCTCCCCCCACAAACCCACCTGGATGACCGCCCAGTGCACCCCCAGGAAGCCGCACGCCGCGAACAGTGCCAGCGGGTGGCTCCCCGCCGCCAGCAGCACCAGGTCACCCGCGATGAGGGCGCTGATGCCCACAGCAAAGGTGGTGCCGGGGCCGTACCTTGGGGGGGGGAGGAGGAGGGGGGGGTAGAGGAGGGGGGGCTTGGTTTGGATGCGAGTACGACACCGGGTGACGGTTGGGGGTGCAAAGGAAGAGCAGGGATGAGTAGCACGCTCCCTCTGTGCTTCCTGCCTCCATCCATTTCTATTTCTGTTCCTCCACCTCACTCTCCCGGAGCACTTCTTGAACCACACACGTGACCCGTTCTTCGCCGCTTCCCAGCTATCCCCTCGTTACCCCAACAGACCCTCCTCGTGTTCACCCCACCCACCCACCCCGCCCTCCTCACTTGTCATCCAGCTTGCCCAGCGGGAAGGCGGTGAGGAAGGTCACTCCCGCCAGCGCCGCCACCACCAGGGTGGCCTCCGCCTTGCCGAAACCCACCTCCATGGCGCGAGCCTGCAGGGAGGGAGGGGGCGGGTGAGAGGGGATCAGGGGGAGCGTGAAGGCAGCAAGAGCTCAGCGTGGCTACCACGGTGGCAAACAGGAAGGGAAAACCAAGCTGCCAACCACCCCTCCTTAGGATGGTTAGCGTCCCCCTTTACGCATTCACCCCTCACCTATGGTTCGGTATGGTCTTTGACCCCCCATCTCACCTCCAGCAAGCTCTCGTTCACATGCCCCATGGCGTACAGGCAGATCACCCCCAGCATTCGGTAAAAGTCGGAGCCCATGGACACAACGCTGCGGAGGAAACCCGCAACGCCCGAGGAGGAGGAGGAGGAGGCGGAGGGGGAAGAGGACACAGCAGCATCAGATCCTGCTGCCGCTTGCGTCGGCGCTTGCTTCGCCTCCACCACTCGTTCATGCGCCGGCACAAACACCACGAATGCCAGAGTCGCGAGGAGCGACACCGTCGCTGCGGAGTAGAAGATCAGTTGGTAGTTGTTGTTGGAGGCCTTCATGAGGGTGAAGGCGGCGAGGGCGCCCACCGCGCTGCCCCACTTGCGCAGCGACTGCGCGAGGCCGAAGCAGGCGGAGCGGACGGTGGGGGGGGAGAGGTCGCCGATGAGGGCGTCGCGGGGGGCGGCCTGAAGCAGGGGGAGGGGAGGGGGAGGAGTTAGGCAGGGCTTTGGTAGGGAGCACTCATGCAGTCGCGCGTTTGTTGAACCTGTGTTGTTTGAAGAGAGTAGGTTAAGTGGTTAACACAGAGGAGAGCTGCCACTATCGCTACCGACGCGAGGTGGGCAGGAGCACCCGGACAGGTATGACACGGCAGCGAGCGAGTAGCACTACTCCCCCCCACCCCCCCCACCCCACCCGCACCTGGATGCCGTTGGCCAGTCGGTCGATCGCCTTCCCCCCGAACAGCAGCCCCACCGTGCCCGCCCCCGCCATGCCAAACTTGGCGGCTGCCCCCGCGGCGAACCCCAGGGTGATGGCGGCCTTGCGGCTGGTCATGCGGTCGGACACGACACCTGGAGGGAGGGGGAGGAGCGGGGGCAAGAAGGGGAAGCGTCAGACCAAGTCGTGGAAGGTACGCATCTACCAGAAAGAGGAAGACCATCCCAGGCTTCGCTCCACCCTCATCCCTCGCGCCCTCTTCCCCCCGTCCCTCTTCCGCACATACGTTGTGACAAGTAGATGCCGCCACCCCCCGCACCTGAGCACATGCGCACGATGTACGAGAAGGCCTCCAGCAGGCCCTCGAACATGCCCATGGACTTCATACTCATCTTCAACTCGCTCACCTGGGGGAGTGGGTGGGGGCGTAAGTTGCAGGGGGAGGGCGAGCGGGGGGAGAGATGATGCAACCGACGCGGGGGAGGGGGTAAGGAGGGGAGCACGAGTGCAGGCCGAGGGGAAAGGGAGGTGTTGCGAAAGGTGGAAGGAACATGGACCCACCCAACCCAACAGGGCCCAACTTGCAGGGCTGACAAGCCGCATGTGAGGAGCCACAAGACACTGCGAAGGGTCCCCAACCCCACAACCCAACCCCTGCTGCTCCGCACACACGTCCCGCACGTACCCTTCATCCCCTCTCCCACCTCCGTTACTCCTAAACGTGGAAAACCTCTCCTCTGACCCCATCTAACCCCCCTCGATCCTACCCACCATATAGATGGGCAGGGCGGTGTTGAACACGCAAGAGGCGCACGTGAGGGCTGCGGAGATGCAACACAGAATCCAGATAGATCCAGGAATGGTGGTGGAGGTGCTGTGGTCGCTGCTGCTGCTGCTGCCAACGGGTGCCGCTGCCCCTGACGTCGCTGCCGCCGCCTCCGCTGTTGTTGCCACCACCGCTGCAGGCTGCACCGCCGCCGCTGTCGTTGTGGGCTTGGTCGCGTCATGCCGGGACAGGTGCTGCGGAGCGGCTGCTTGGGGTGACCCATGGGACGGCGCCGCCTGCTCCATCACATTGCTGCTGCTGATACTGCTGCTGAGGCAGTCGGCGGTGGACTTCTGTCCTGCTGGGCTGCTGCTGTGCCGCTGCTGTGTCACTGGGGGCTGTGAGAGGGTGCTGCTGCTGCTGGCGGTGCTAGCAAGGTGGTGGTGATGGCTGCTTCGCTGCGAGTGCAGCTGCTGTGACGCCTCACAAGCTGAGGACTGGAGAGCGGCGGCAGCGGCAAAAGAGGGCGCCGAGGTGGATGCTAGCGCGGAGGAGGAGAGGCGCTCTGAGAGCAGCGCTGGATCCAAAACCACTGGGTCTGACACAGCCATTAGCCCCACCGCCTGCTCCTCATCCTCCTCCCCAGCGCCAGTTGGGACTCCCGTCGCCGCGTTGCTGCTGCTGCGTGTCGCAGGGGCTGCTGCTGCTGCTAGGGAGGGCGACGTTACTGCGGGCGATATGGTTGACGTTGATGTGGTGGAGGTGGTGGTGGCGGCGGCCCCCCGCTGGTATACCTCCTCCAGGACCTCCTTCTGCTGCTGCAACTCGCCCAGACCGCTGAGGTCATCGGAGTAGGTCCACAGCAGCGGCACGCGCTGAGAGGTCGAGGGAGGGAGGGAGAGGAAAAGGAGGGAGGGATGGAGGAGGGTGAGGTTACCTTGTGTACGTTGCGGAGAGGCGTGTGAAGTGCAGGCAGGAGTGAATGCTACCAGGAAAGGATTGTGAAGGGGTTTCGGTGTTAAGATGACCCTTCCGCAATTATTGAAATAGCGGACAAGACATTACCGCCAATAGCGCCATTCCTACTTCGGTCTTACCTTCCCGCTGCTTTCTGAGGCGCTGTCTCTGCTTGGAACAATGACCCAAGTGCATACGCGGGGTCGGACTGATGGAACCCAGGCGCGCCTGAAAGCAGCACGGCAAACCGCAATTGTCATGTGCACCGGCCCTTTATCATAAAGGACTTTCCAAACGCAAATTGCGTAGCCACAATTGCGACTAACGCACCCAGTTGCGGAAACGCAAATTCGCCCATCGCACCTTGGTGCACCTCCAAACAAGGGTCGCCCGTGCAAAGCGGAACTCCTCATTGTCCCTCTTGACGCCATGGAGGTAATCAGCAATTGTTAAGAAATGACTGTAAGCGTCCTAAAACACCAACCGTGGTCGGCCGCCAGAGAGCTTTTGGCTTAAATAGAAGAGACGCAGCAGTTACTTTCTATGACCGCAGATTCTTATGCTCAAATTAACGGTGCCTACCGTGTAAGTCTCAAAAAGTTTTTTTTGCGAAACTAGGTACATTAGTGGCAATCCAGCGCTGTTGTACGGATTCCGTCTTGTGGCTCCGAAATGGTCTTCGTGATCAACCCATTCAGCATGTGACGTCGCTTTGGGTAAATGCTGCTGATTGTAATGGTTGTATGACTTTCAATGGATGAAGTTGGCGGATGGAATTACTGTACAAGCAGCACTTGCAAGCCGGTTACCGGTACCATAGCAATAGGTTGCTGTTCAGGTTGGGCGCGCTCGCTCCTTCAATTGTGGAATGGGTTGTCATTCAGCCTGGTTGCTTGTGGAAACGCAACACGTCTCTTGCCTTACTCAATGGTGCCAAACCCTAGGGCGACAATCAATTCTTACCTCAGGCACTTGGCAGACCCAAACGCGTTATCGCCAGGATGCTTAGGTAGACGGTAGCGAGTAAAGGCAACCCGTGCAGCCATGCTAGCTTCCTTGCGTTGAGCAACATCCTGGGCCTATCAAGCCGACCTTGTCGAAGCATAATGGTAGGATGGATTTACGGGTTAAGATGCCTGTATAAGCGAGACATGATCGCACTCGCAAGCGAACAAAGCCTTTGCGGCACGCTTCCGCGCGTGTCAGCAGGAACCCGCTCCGGCGGGTCATCATAAGTCACACACAACCGTGCAAATCATTTCGGACCAGTAGGAGAACCCCGTAAGTGCCGCAATGGGCCGATGGGTCGGAAACTACAAGAGACGCACCAAACACGGCAATGATTACTGTGGAGGGCTAGCGGGTTGGTGCTACCGGGGTAAAGAGGAAACAACTAACTGAGTGAGGGATAAGGCGTCAACCGGGGTGGCAGGATGGTTGAGAGTCTCCAGCTTACCCGTTCACCACTGTCCAGCGTGTGCTGCCGATGGAAGTCCAGCACATGGTATTAATAAGTTGGGCACTGGTGAGTAAGCTTCCGGGGCTATTGTGTTTGGGTACCGTGAAGGGTTTCGTCCGAAGCGTCGAATGCTTCCAAGCACAGGGACGTTAGAATGCGAAAGTTACAAGAGGGACGTTAGGGTACCGGTACTGCAGGGCGCACCTGATTCCGGTACTTTAGGAAATGCTTGCTTTGGCCCGCAATGCCCAATAATTAGGGCTACAGCCAGCACACAGCAATGAGGAGCGGCTTCGTGTCACGTATGGCCGGGAGAGCCTTCGAGGTCCGCGCGACTGGGACAAGGTGTGTTAGGTCGAACGACTGCCAAAGTTACGTGAAATCCATACAACCTTAGCCAGGGAAGGCCACTCTATGGGCGGCGAGCACACAAGGCATGCACCTGTGACTTTGCACGCTTCAGGCTGTGAGGTACATAGCTAGGTTCTGGAGCAATTGTAGGTCGTACTGGAACTTATGGGGTCAGCGTTGTTTAGGCAACTGCTACCAGTGAGCATATCCCTGTATGCATGGTGTGATTGTTACTTAATAAGTCTTTATACAGACACTTGGCTTACCTCGAAAATGCTGTCCATTGCGGACAAGAGCGCTGCATCGCTTCAACGTTGCGATGCTCGGCGGATGCCATGCAAGCATAGTAACTATATAGTGTCAAGCGCTCTTACGCATAGACCACACGGACAGAGATTAAAAGTACAGGCACGCGCGAGTGATGACCTATCGGAGGGGAGTTCCCTAGGCAGGGCGCTTATTGACCGTCGGCGTCTTCTTGCTGGAGCAGCAGCATCTGTAGTAACGTTTGTTGGTTGCCCCTGCCCACTCTGCAAGCCCGGGGAAGCAAAAGCCTCCAGCTGGAGCTATGGTGGGTGTTGCGGTTTGTAAGTAGCGTGGTTCCCGATGAGCTAGCTCCATTTTGGTGTTCAACCTTTGAAGGCGAGATAGCGGGCCCGCCGACGTGGAAGGGCGTTTGTGCGACTGGTAAGCAGCAATCCCCAGTGAACATTCCGGTCAACACATCGGCTCCCAAAGTCGAGGCGGAGATGGGCGAATTCGACTTTGCGTATGGCAGCTTCGACGGCTGCAACGTGCTGAACACGGGGCATGGGACCATGCAGGTGCGCTGCGCAGAGCTTTCTGCCATCTTGAAAGTCATCACCTGGTCATTAAGTACTTACTCGACCACCACGGACCCGCCAGGTTAACTTCCCGTCGGGCAACCTAGCATACATTGGCAACATGGAGCTGGAGCTTTTGCAGTTCCACTTCCACGCGCCCTCTGAGCATGCCATGGATGGCCGCCGCTTTGCAATGGAGGCCCACCTCGTGCACAAGAACAAGGAATCAGGTGTGTGTCGCGCCTTCATTGGACCCTATCTGACTCCACCGCCCTGTCCCTTAAATGCAACGCCTTGACACACGGTCATAGCTCTATTACAACATAGCCAACGGACTTCACTTCACCTGTGGCGTTTTCGGTGGGAGGACTCCATCTTTCGGCAATCACAGTACGTTTCGCCTCGCGGCCAGTTATTTTAACACACGGTCATGTTCCTTCTTCTCCCCTCTTCCCCTTTTCCCCTCCCACGCAGGCAATCTGGCGGTGTTGGGTGTGATGTTGGAGCCCGGCGGCCTCATCCGCAACCCCGCGCTGCAGACGGCGCTGGAGGTGGCGCCCGAGGTGCCGCTGGCCAAGCTGTCCTCGCCGCGAGCCATCAACCCGCTTATGCTGCTGCCCAAGAAGACAAAGGCGGGGAGCAGGTGGGGGCAAAGGTTGGGGGCTGGGGGACCGGGTGGGTAGGACAGACCCTAGTCAGGTGGAGGGCGGGGGAGGCAGGCGGGTGTAAGGAAGCAGTAACCAAGGTTCCATGCCGGGAACCAGGGGCCAGGGCCGGGGACCAGGTGGGGAGGAGCAGGGGTGTCCTGAGCATCGCGTCATGTTGTACTGGTAGTGAGGGCGGAGGAAGGTTCCGACCCAGATGCCCTGCTGGGACCTTAAGCGCTGCTGTTGGCTGCCCCGTGCCGTACCCAGGGTGTTGCCCCTGCGCGACTCCCGTGCCTGCGCCACATCTGCCCCCTTGGCCCCAGTCCTGCACCCCAGCGCCCGTGCCCCGCCTGTTGCCCCTGTTGCCCTCGCCGGCACCAGCCCACCCCCCGCCCACCGCCACCCCTCGCCCATGCAGGCCGTACGTGCACTACGCGGGGTCGCTGACCACGCCCCCCTGCTCCGAGGGGGTGGACTGGTTCGTGTTCATGCAGCCCATCAGGGTGCCGGATGGCCAGGTGGGGGCGGGGGGCGGGCGGGCAGGGGATGAGGGGGGAAAATTATATAATAAATGCAAACAACTAGAGTCCCAATCCCATACCCCGACTCATGCAGTGAGTGGGTGAAGGGGGGGGGGAAGAGGAAATACCACGGCACGGCAGGCGGGACAAGAGGCGGGGGGGGGGATGAACAAACCGTACGAAACCACAGGTTAGGGCAGAGCCATGGGGATAGACAGGAGGTGAGGGGGGGAGGTTTAAGCGGAGGTGGCACACCAGGCAATAAAAGCTGCTGCGATTAGTGTGCTTGCAGCAAAGCGGGGAAGGCTACCCCACTGCCTCCCAAAACCGCCTCAATCGCCGCTGCCGCGGCTGCCGTTGCGGCCACTGGCCCCGCCTACCGCTGCACAATTGTAACCTAGTGCCGTCACTATCATAACACGCATGGTTCTTCTTCTTTCCGGAAGATGAAGATTCCCCCTGCCGGCCCCCCTCCCCCCTGGCAGATCCTGGACTTCATGCGCTACGTGGGCGACAAAAAGACCTACGCCACCAACACGCGCCCGCTGCAGCTGCTCAACAGCCGGGTCATCGAGTACGAGCTGTGAGCTGCTGGGGGCAGCGGTGATGTTGGGGGGGACAGGAATGGGGGGGGGACGCAGCCCCCTGTTGGGCGGCAGCAATGTGGCATGGGGCAGCCTGGCAAGAGGAGGGGGTGGGCAGCTGGAGGGTCAGCGGAGCAGCGGCGGCAGTGTCTGGAGGAGGAGGAGGCAGTGCCCCCGGCTGCCGGTTACTGCGAGCGCTCGTTGCCTGGGGCGCGCGGCGAGGGGTGGTGGACCTTGATGTCCCTGCCGCTGGGGAGAGTCGATGTCTCGAATTGCGACCCGCGCGGAACCGTTTGGGTCCGCGGGAACGAAGGGAGTTGCCTTATTTTTGGCTCTAGGGGATGGTCCTCGGTAGGAGAAGACACAGCGCATGTCTTGTTGATCTACCGTACCGCGGCGTATGGCAGCATAAGGACAATGGAGTAGGCTGCATGTGTGTCGGGGCGGAGAACGTGGCTTACAACTTACGAACAGTTACATGTGAAGTTATGCCAAGCACTTCGTTGCGGCTAAAGCGGGGAGGGGCATGGATGTAATGCTATCGTGTGGGACGCGGCTGTTGACGATACCGGTAAAAGCACGGGCGCGTAGGTGATGAAACATGGGGTGGGTGTTGGGAGCGGACCTCGTGATCTGGGTGCTTGATGATCCCCACCGTACTACCCGGGCGGTGTTAGCAGGGGGTGCGACGCTGTGCTGTTTAGGTGTGCACCTCGGGTTAGGTTGCACGCATGTGCGCAGCATAACCGTGGGTTGCTGGGCAGTGGGGGGCGGAGGATGGAGGGCAGTGGGGTGAAACAAGGCGGTGGGGGGGGGGTGTCGCACGTACGGAAGTGCGACTGTGGGCTGGCGGGTAACAGGTATGGGGCTGCTGCTACCCTGCTGCTACCCTCAACACAGCAGCGGTCGTGAATGCTGTCGTCCTTGTTTGGTAAGTGGGGTGTTTTGGGGTGTGTTTTCGAATGGATACTACACTATAGTTGGAATGAGTGAGGGGCGGAAGGGACGAAGGACGAGATGCAACAAGTGAGAAGGACAAGACGTGGTGTGCATAGGGGCCGGCGTGGGGAGGGGAGAAAAGAAATTCCAATGTGTGGTGTGATGGTGGGGAGGGGAGAGGGGGTTGATGATGCGAGGCCAATGAGAAAGGCCAATGACATGTCAACGAACGGTTTGCTCAACACGAGAGCACATCAACAGTATCAAAGCTCTCTCCGTGGGCTCTGAGCAGATCGCATTATGGGGCCGAGTGAGCAACAGCAAAGAGACAATGGCAATATGGCATCCTTGCCAGGTCGGGCCCTTCCTAAGTGAAACACCATGTCATCCGTCCCGAGTGGACACGTATCGTAACCTCAATGAAGGGTGTACACGTGCCCCTTGCCGCCTCAATCACTGTTTTCAACTCCAATCAGGTTTGCCCCCCGCCCGACATGCGCCCCCACCATCCCACCTCAAGCATCCGGGGCGCTCCTCCTGCTGCAATGCTTCATCAGCGCCCGAACATCGCCACATCCCACCGTTACACCATCTAGCACCGCATAGACCGAAATCTTTAAGCCGCTCACGCAAAACTCCTAACCAGCCGCCACTTCTGCCGCCCCTCCACTGCCGCCCGGCGCCGCCATGTGTCCCCCAAAGTCGCATACCTGCATCACCTGCCGTACAAACGCGTCCAGATCGGCGCCGGGGGAGGGCCAGGCCAGGCAGGGCCCCTCCAGGATGGGCCGCAGCGCCGGGGGCGCGGCTGCTCGCTGCTGCTGCAGGTCGGTGTGTGCCGGGGAGGCGGGATCGGGGTCGTGCAGGACGAGCGTGGGTTTGCCCAGACGGAGGGCGGTCTGGCGGGCAGGCGGGAAACATATAGATAAATGCATCATGCGGGCAGGCGGGAGGGAGGGCGGGAGAGAAGAAGAAGGAACGCGGAGGGAGGGAGGTTCGTTTGGACAAGGGGATGCTGAGCTGCATTGCAGGTGAGAAGTTGGGTGTGAGAGAGGGCAGGCAATGCAGCTCAGGAGAGAGGGCAGGAATGGCCTGTGGGCTGTACCGGCTACCGGACCGCCCAGCACCGGACTGTCCTACCAGTTGCTGCCCTGTCTGTTCCGGCGCATGACCCTTTGCAACCGGTTCCCCAACGAGCAACGGACACCCGTCAAGGCCCGTTGGCCACAGTGTCCACCCCAGCCCGTTGGCCCCTGTTGTTCGCACCCTGGCTGCACGTCAAAGCTATAGCACAGGGCCCCGTGGCCTATAGGCTAAATCCAAGTCCATCCAAGACCAAGTCCACCCCAGGGAACCCCTCCTGTGTGCATTTAACCAACTGAGCCGCGCAACTGCACTGATCATAACTGTCGACGACGACCCAGGAGCAGAGATGCCCGCCCGTGTGTCAAGGAAAGGAAACCACATGCACGTGCACGGCGGGTACATTATGCCCACCTGTATCTCAAACCTGACGTACGCCGACTTGAAGGTGGAGGCACTGAGGAACAGCACGAAGCGCGCCGAGTGCTGAATACCCAGACCCATGGCTTCCTTGGTTAGTGCCGCTGCCCTGTTGTCGTACCACGCCCTCAGCCGCCGCCCCGGCACCGACAGCGCCGCCAGCCGAGCCACCAGCACGGCGCATGCGTCGGAGGACTCGCGCCGCACGTGGGACAGGAAGAGGTGCCACACGTGGGGCTGCGGCGCGAAGGCCAGCGAGTCGCCATAGTTGTTGCGTAGCGAAAAGGCGCCGCCTAGGCCTGCGAGGTCGCCAGATTGGGTTGCATGTGGGGCATGTGAGACCGTTAGAAGCATATACCGGTACATGTGGGATGGGCCGAGTCGGATGGGGTGAGTCGGCTGTGAGCTGGGATGCGCTGTCGCACACCACGGTAATAAGAGGTGGAAAGGTGGAACGTGAAGTGCTGGGTGTGCCATGGGTGCCTAGTGAACACATCCTGAAACCGCACCCGCACCCCCTCACCCTCCACGCTGCCCCTCCAGCGTTTTCCGAGCTCCAGCACAGCGTTGCTGCCGCGGTCCCAGTCCAGCAGGAACTGGGCCTTGTAGCCGGGGATTGACCCAGGGTTCTTGGACTCGAACTCCACCCACAACTCGATCAGGTCCTGGAGGAGAGGGCGTTATGTTGGTGTGAATGGTGGTGGTGGGTCGGCAAGCGTTTGTGGGGGGGAAGGAAGGTGGAAGGTAGGGAGGTGCACAGGCGGCGAGGAGGGGCGGGGGAGGGACGTGTGCATCCTGTAAGGGAGTATAAACAGCACCCCACGGCGTGAATGCACACACAGGCGGTGGTACGACATGAAATACACACACAACTCAAACCCACAACACACGTGCCACCCCGCCGTTGCAGCACATCCAAAGAAAGTGATGACGACCGACTGCACATGTCCACGTCGGCACACCTCAACACAACGACCCCGCCCCCTGCCTTGCCCTAAGTTGCGGGTTCCTTTGGTTTGGTGAAGGAAACCTTTCTCCCTCTGGCCCCCTTACACACACTGGTTATTACCTGATCAGGCTTGAAGATCCCCTCAATCTGGTACCAGCCCCAAATCTCTCCGTCGCGGCCTGCAGCGTTGGAGCAGGCGGGGTCAGAAGGATGGAAAGAAATAAAGAGTAACAAGGCTTGGACGGTGAAGCAGGGGCTTGCGGGCCGGGACGGCCGACAGTGTGTGGGGCTGCGAGCACGCATCGCCTGAGGACCAATGCCCCCATCTGGTTTACCTACCCACCTACCCAATTTGTAATCCTGCGTGCAGCGATGCCGAGGATTGCCTTTCACTTTTCATAATCCTTACAAATTGTACCTTCCCGTGCTGGCGTGGCCCCCCACCACCCACCACACCCACCCACCGGATGTACCCTCGTAATATATATGCGCCCCTCCCGCAGCGCAGATACGCCCATCGGGTCGCTGCGCGCCTCCTGCTGCTCGTACACAAACGTATCGTGATCGTACGGCAGATACACGCAGCGGCCAAAGCCTACCGTACGCAGTACGGCCTGCACGCAGGCGTCCTGTTCGTACCAGCGGCGGTACAGCGGTAACGCGTCACAGTGCCGTACTAGTTCGTACACGGCCGAACCCGCCGCTGACTCAGCCTGCCATACGGCGGTTACAGGATCCACGTGACTGGCCATTCGTGGATCCGGATCGTACAAGAACGTTACGGGCAGGTGCAGTTCGGCCGCGAGTTGAAGGTCAGAGACGAAGGCGGGGTCTGACCAGGCGGCGCGCGAGAGGAAGGCAAGTACGGCAGCCGAACAGCGCATGGCGGCGGATCGTTCGTACGGCGGCTTGCCTGCACTGTCGTACAGCCGGGGCTGGAAGCCGGGGCTGGACTGTGCTCGCATGCCTGCGGTGACCAGGCGTGTGAGGTGCGCGGCGTCCGGGGCACCGGCGAGGTAGAAGTGGTGGAAGAAGGGCTGCGGCCTGGGGTAAAACACACCCACCCACGGGTGGCGGAGTCAAGGTGCCGGGGTCAGGGTGCGGGGTGACGCGGCGGCACCCGAGCACACGTGGCACCGGACGACAGGAGCCCTTGCATTTCCTCGGGGGAGCACCCGTCAATTGTGTTGCATCCCCCAGGCACACAAGCACATACACCCCCACCCATTCACGCCCGCCCCCCGTACGCACCCGCACCCCCCCCCCGGGCCCCCTTTCGCACCCGCACCCCGGCCCCCCGCCCCGGCCCCCTTTCGCACCTGAGCACAATCGTGTCCCTGTCCTCTAGCATCCGGAACTCGCTGCCGGCGCCCGCCACGCAACCCTCCCAGCGCCCCCAGTAGTTCCCGGTGAGCACCTCCCCCACCTGAACCACCCGGTCGCCCCCGCTGCCGCCGCTGCCACTGCCGCCGCTGCCACTGCCGCCGCTGCCACTGCCGCCGCTGCCACTGCCGCCGCTGCCACTGCCGCCGCTGCTGCTGCCACGCACCACTGCCGAGTCGCCTTCCACACCCTCACCCTTCTCACCCCCAGACCCAACTCCCACGCCCTCGCTCGCTCCGGCTGCATCACCTCCCTCCTTGTCGCGGCCGCCACCCTCCTCCGCCCCACCGCCATCACCTGCACCAGCAGCGAGCCCCCCCACCGGCTGCTGCTGGGCATGCCTCCGGTACGAAGGTAACGCTCGCCTGGTACCAGCCCCTGAGGCACGGCTCCGACGCGCCACCTCGTGTGGTCTGCAGCGCAACGCCTTCGTAGTAGTAGCAGGGGTGGGATGCGCCGGGCGGCAGGTAGAGGCCGGGAGGCGGCTGCGCATTGCGCGAGTCCCACAGTCTCGAGGTAGGACTGTGTGGATCGGGTATGTGGAAGAGGAAGAGAAAGGAAGCGTGTGGCAAGGGACGGACAGGAACAAGGCAGTGACAGGGCGTGGATGGGAAGAGGGTATTGGGTGGTGCGGGGCCGCATACCAGCAGACAGCAGCTGCCAAACAGCGGCACACCAACAGACATACATTTACGCCGCGGGTCGAATACGCAGCACGGCTCCATCCCCCCGGCCCCTCTGCTGAACGCCAGTCCTATGTGAAGCCAATCAAACCATCCATTCCCTTTAATATCACCCTTCCGTACCCCAATAATGACTTCCTCCTGCCCTACACCCTGCTCCCCTCCTGCCCTACACCCTGCTCCCCTCCTGCCCTACACCGTACGCCCTGCTGTCCCCCACCTGCAGTACGCTGTGCACCTGCTCCCGACCCAGCCGGGAGCCGCATCCCGCCATCTGCACCAGGTGCCGTACCGCCGCAGCCTCCGCGTAGGGGTGCAGCCGGTAGGGGATGGCCTCAACCTGCGCGGGGGGGGGGGATGGGCAGGGCCGCGCGGGGGGGAAGGGGAGTGATGGACAGGCGCGGGGGTTGATGCGCAGGTGCGCGCGGGGGGGTTGCACCAGCCGAGTCGGCGCATGCATGTGAACTGGGCCCTGGGGGGTGGGTCCGATGTGGTGCGCGGTACCGGTCTGCAGGCGAGCTCCGATGGTGCATATCAGCAGTAAGGGTTGGGGAGGCAAAGTTAGGGAGGCAAAGTTAGGGAGGCAGGCTGTGCTAAACAACTGGCCGCGAGGAGGAGGCTGTGCACACATACCGGCATCGCACGGCAGCCCTTCAGTCCAATACATGCGACGCCAAGTAAGCGCCGGCAGCTGGAGACACGGAAGGTACAAACAACAAAGACTTGCTTAGCCCCGAATCCCAATCCACATGCCCCAACTCTGTTACCCCTGGCCATACTCACGTCCTCAAACACGCGCGCCACATCGCCCGGCGCAGCAGCAATCAGCGCCCCCAAGTCCAATCCCACCTCCCGCGCCAGCCGCAGCAGCTCCGCCGGCGGCGAGGCGGCCGTGGGCGGCTCCGCCACGTGGCATGCCGCGTCCGCAGCCGGCACGTACAGCAGCAGCACGGGTCGCTGCGCCGCCACGGCGCTGTAGCGCTGCGAGTACGGCAGGGCTGCTCCACACATTGGGCGTGAGCAGAACAAGCAAGCTGCCAAAGGAGCTGCGGTCGCCGCTGTCCAAGAGGTCGATGTCAGCACTTCAGCACTGTCAGGGACCCGCCCCGCGCCCCCCTGGCCAGCACCAGGGGCGCTGCTGCTGGGTCCGTTGTTCGGAGTGCTGCTGCTGTTGGTGGCGGCAGCGAGGGCGTCAACAAACACCGCCTCCTTGTGTACATGGTCTCCGCCGGCTGGTGCGGCTGCTGCTGCTGCTGCTGGTACGGCACCCGCGTAGCAGCCCGCCTCCTGCAGTCGTAGGCTGCGGCCCGGCCGGCACAGCGCCCGCAGCTGCCCCAGCAGCCGATCCCTCAGCCCCTCGCCCTCGCCTGCCGCGTACGCAAGCGCCAGGTGGTGGAGGTACGGCTGGGGCAGAAGCTCGCAGGCGTAGGTGTAGGTCGTACGGCAGGACTCTGAGTTAGGGTTATCTGCGCCGCTGCTAGCTGGGGAGGCAGGCCGCTGCGGAAGCGCGGGCCGTGGGCTTCTCCACCTGAGGCAGCAGGCGGGGCCAGGCATGGCGTGCACTGCAGCCTGAGCACGCCGCCTGCGCCGCGCAGGGTGCCGTGCCAGTGGCCCGCGGTCACACGCAAGTCATCATCCCGGCTGACGGCAGCGGCTGACGGCGCTGGTGGTGGTGGTGGTGGCGGCGGCAATGGTGAGGCCGGAGGGTCAGTCGCGGTCGCTGGGGTACTGATGGATGCGCGGGCCACTGATGGGCGCGTCACGCAATAACGTTGTTAGAATCCTGTCAGAGTTGTTGATAATCTATCATGAGCCTCTACACAACCGCAACCGCACGGTAGTGCCAAAAGGTGCGCTCCGCCGCACCTCCTCAGCCTGAGAGCAAGGCGGGAACCGTAAGCACAGGGCCCACATGACACCCCGATGACACCAGATACGCGCCAAGATACCAACTGACTGCGTTCACTCAGGTACATCCAACCAGATAACCAACATCCTAGCAGCTAACCGCAACATAACCAAGCCATAACGATAGCTAGAGATCCGACGAAGCCCTAACGAATCCTAACCGTTATCGAACTAACGGCAAATCCACCCTAGACGGCATCCAGCCCTGACAGCTGTCAGGGCCAATGACTAGTAAGGCCCGCCTTCGGCGGGAGCTGCCCGTAGCTCGCGGGAGGGAGGTGATGCCCAGGAGATGCGGTCGCACGCATGCAGATAGGGCGTGAGGATGCAGAAGGATGCTCCAATGCTTCACAGGAGGAGTGGCAGCGATTGTCGCCGAGGCTGCTAGGAATTAAACGGTTTGGGAGCACGAACGGCTTGATGACGCCGCGGAAACATGCAGTATATCAATGCATACAGGTGGTGGAATGCGAAAACCTGCCCTACCCGCCCGAACACTGGTTCTCATATATTAGAGGACGACGGGGAGGCCCCCGGCCCCGCGCCCCCCCCCCCCTGGCGTCCCGGGCAGCGCTTCGGCGGGAGCTGCCCGTAGCTCGCGGGAGAGAGCTGACTACGAGTAGGAACGGCAGGTGATGTCGAGAAGAAAGATGGGCCTGCAGGCATGTACGGCGTGAGGATGCAGAAGGATGCTTGAAGCTTCACAGGAGGAGTGGCAGCAATTGTCGCCGAGGCTGCTAGCAATTAAACGGTTAAGATGCACGAACGGCTTGAGGACGCCGCGGAAACATGCAGTATATCATTGCATACAGGTGGTGGAATGCGAAAACCCGTCGTACCCGCCCGAACACTGGTGCTCATATATTACATGCGTATGAGCGGATGCCGTGCTGTGCCCTGTCGAAAAACTGGTACTCGCACCATTGCGTTAGTAACTCAGCATAGAGCACTGACCCTACCAGCAGTAGACATCTTCCCGTCGTCACCACTCGCCCACATAGCAACCATCCGTTCGGGCATCTTTCCGCAGTGGCTTAGAGAAAAAGACGTGCACCCTGCCGCCCTGCCAGACCACCTGTGCCCATGCAAACTAGCAAAAAAAAGGAGAGGGAGAAAAGGGAAGGAAGAAGGAGGAACATGCCCGCAGCACCTATCCAGCACATCAACAGGCGCATGACCCGGGGGAACATCATTCCGCAATCACCATCCTTCCCGCTGCAACCGTGGCGCTGACAAGTGGAACTATGGTCGTGCTGCTGGGTGCCTTCCACGACACGCGCCAAATGCTGCGCACAAGCCGCCTGGCGTTCCACCTCGTCCCGCTGGCCGCCACGAGTGCTCGCAATGGTCAAGAAGTCGTACGCAGCAGGCGGCACTTGCGGATCTCGTGCTGGGACTGGTTGGGACTCCCCTGACGGTGTTGCAAAGGGGTGAGGGGTGCGAGGCGAACAGTAAGGCGATGGTAGCCACATGTTGAGTACCGCGTAAGCCAATGCGAGAGCCTTGCAGTTGGGGCCATCGAACAGCTGCTGCAGGCGCTCCACTGCGAAGGTAGCAACCAGGGCGCCGCCGTGCACATGCAGGGCCATTCGCCCGCTCTGCTCCACCTTGCTGATGTGATACAGCGTTCGGCCCATGAAGCAGTGCGGGTTGGACTGCTGCACGGCGCCCGGCTCGTAACCGAACAGGTACTTGTCCAGCGCAAGCCTCGTAACCCGCAGCAGCTCCGCACAAGCAAAGGGATTCGCCGCCACACGGCGCCACCGCTGGACGACGCTCGGAATATCCACTGGGCGGCCTGTCTGCTGGTCGTACTCCACCACTTCGCCCGCCGCAACTGCCACCGCGTCGCTGTACATATCCGCGGGGTTAATGTTGTAGAACATGCTGGGAGGGCCGACCATGTTGTCAGCGGCCATCGTCAAGCCGTGAGCGTGCTGATAGTACGCGTCCGTCAGGTCAACCTTGGCCGCGACCCGCCGGATACCATTCGCAATGTCACGGATGGGCTGCCCGAACTGGGCAACCACACGCTGCCTGGCAGCGTCATTGCTTCTGGCGGCAAGTACAGTGGCCACGTCTCGGACGACATTATCTGGGACGACATTATCTGCTCAAATGCGTGCAGTGTGCTTGGCGTCATCTGCGCGACCACATACGCCAGCCGGTTCGTGCGCTGTTTCTGGACGACGTCAAAGATGTGACCCAAGAACGTCGCGTTCCCAGCGAATTGCCCCCTGGGCACCCGCCGGACGAGATGCTGCGCATACCTCTCAGTGGACATGCCGTCCGGACGCGCCCCATCATCACCAAACGGAAACGTGTCGATGTGGCAAGTGGAGAAGAATGCCGGGTCGTACTCATCCATGGGCTGTATGCCACGCCCACCGGCTGCGCTAACTACCACTCCACCGTGCTGAAGGCGTTGCACAATGGCCGACGGATCCGTACTGTTCTCCAAGGGGTCGTACGTTGAGTATGCACCCCCATGATGCACCTCCACTTCATCCAGCCCCAGCATGTGTACCCCAGGTCCGGCGTATCCGTCTTGTGGTGGTGCTGTTGCAGGCGACGTGACAGCGCCAAAGGTGCCGTCCAGCACGGCCATTGGAACCGCTATGGGCGATGGCTGCCCAAGGACACCTGCATCCGCACGGTTGGCAGCAGTGCATGGATGGGTATAAACTATCAGTTCAGTTGGGGGGCAGACAAATGTACTCGCAGGCCGTCTGGTATCGCAAAGGGGACGGCCAGTCGCATTGGGCTGATATGTGCAGGCGGGGTCTGCAGCCGGGCCCTCACCAGTTATCGGCACTCCCCGTGCTTGACCGGACGCCGTCGCTGCACCGGGCATTGGTTGAGTCGTCATGCTGGTCGACGCTCCTGAAGCGTCTGACCCAGCTGCTCGGGTGCCTGTGAGTGTACGTCCCAGGCAAAGTTGGATAAACGTAGAATGATTGAGGAGTGTTCCCCTTCACGGCAGGGAAAGGAGGGTGGGTGCCATCCGTTGGATTTCCCCCGCTGCCCGAGAACACCGTGCTTCAAACGGACGGAGAGGACCCTCACCTGCTGCATGCACGTCTCCCATGGTCGCCTCCACCTCCTCCTGCTGCTGCTGCACCCGAGCGTTGCCGCCACGATCTCCCTCAAACGCAGCACGCATGACTGCTGCCACGTCTGGATCATCTGTAGCAACCGCGTGAGTCACTAACGGCTCAGGCACCGTCGGCTCCGCGCCCAGCGAACGATACTGCTGGAGTGCGGCGCGATCTAGCTGGGCCATAGGGTTCACGTGGACGGCCCACTCCGCCCATGCAGCAATAGCCAGGCCCCGCATCTTCAGGCACGGGGCCTGCCGCACCTTGGCCTCAAGGTCAGAACGATCTTTCACGGCGTCAATTAGTACGACCTGGATGAAGGAGGGCAAATCCTGGGGAGCGTACGGTACAACACGCTGCAACTCCTCGGGCACGTCGTTTGGGAAGGCGAGTGTATGCCCACGTAACGCCGCTGGCAAGGTGTCCACTGCACGCCAGCTGGACGTACCCGGCTGCCGGACAACGAACAGGCGCATGTGCGGGCGAGCGAGGCCCACCACCAAGCTCTCCAGGTGCGTCAGCGGCACGAGCGCATGACCATGCTGATTTACGGGGGGCACGTCACCAGGATCCAACCGAGCCAACGCCCCATCCGGAATGCGCCCACCTGGGAAGAGGCAGCAGCAGGGGCGTTCGACGTCAATACAAGCCATGCAGATATATGGGGGTATATAGCCAGGGCCCGGTCAACAGAGCGCTTCGTCTGTAACGAGGACAAACAACGCCATTCATCTACATGGTGTACGGCAAGACAGCGGTGTCTACGAGCTTCCCAAGCAGACGCCTCCCATCCACCCAACGTACCCTGCAAGGCCTGCATGCAATCCGAGCAGACCATAAAGCGCTCCACGCCGTCCGCAGAAACGTCCATGGTGCGGTTAGGCAGTTGCGCCTCTGCACGCATGCAGTACGGGACCTCCACTGCTGAGAAGATGACGGCACGTCTCCTCGAAGGCGTGCACGGCGTTGCCTTTCTAACTCAGCATGGTCGGCCCGCACAGCTGGGTCAATGGTGCGTCGCCGTGCTTGCCTGAGAGCCGCCAAAAGCCGCTTACGGCATGCCCGGTTTGAAGCAGCGACCTCCCACGGCACGCCAGTAGGTGCAGCCGCTGCCAATGCTGCTGGCCCGGACGGCGGGTTGTCCGCGGTTACCGCCGGTAGTTGCACCGCGGCAACGGCGTCGAAATGGTAATGCGCAATCTCTGGGTACGGCTCACACTTTCGCTTCTTGGACGACAGAGCCTGGTATGCAGCCTCATCAAAACGCGAGCAGCACACTTCCTCCAAGGCCGCCTGTAGATGGCGGGCAGCCCCTTTCTGCAGTCGCAGCAACAGGGCACACGCCCACACACGGCCTGGCTGCCCAGCGGCGCGTAACCGGAGCAGCAGGCCCTTCAAGCCACCGGCGGCAGCGTGAAGCTCATCTCGTGTCACACACAACGCTGCCCGGATCTCGCCTGCTGAATCCGCAACATGGGGACCAAAGCAACGCTGAACCGCCTCAATCACCCAATTATCAGCAGCGAATTTGCTAGTGAGTAACATGCCACGAAGGCCGGTATGTCCTCGAAGGACGACTGCTTGTGCAGCGGCCGCTGCTGCAGGCCAGAAGTCGCGAGGCACATCGCCGGTTCGCCCCACCGTCCAAGTTAAGGCAATTCCGTCAAAGTCGGAGCGCCATAACAGCCGATGTTCCGCCATGACGACTTCAAAGCGGCAGGAAGCTAAGGCAGTCAAGCAGCTTATTACATCCGACGCCCCGGTCGTAGCGCCCAGTGTACAAGGAATGAAAGGTTTCCCTATTCCGGCTTGTTAAAAAGCCTTTTCTATAATATGCAGTAGAGAGCGCGCGATATGCACTTCACCTAACTTCCGGACGGTGCGGGCCAACAAGAATCGTGGAAAGGAGCGAAACGTTGTCAGTTTCTGTATTATACCTTTTGCTTATTACGACGACCGTATGACGGAAAAAAAGAGCATCCCCGTAGCTCGAAACGAAGAAAACGTCCCCGTAGCTCGAAACGAAGAAACGTATACGTAGTATACGGTTTCGGAGGAGCGAAGCGTAGGGAAGCATAGGCATTCCGCGTAACGCTCCAGGGAGGGACAATATTCTGTACTAACAGACTTCCAACCGCTTTCGAACGGCCGAGAGCTAAACGTTCAGCTTCCCGTGCAGCGCTAATGACGTCCAGCAGTTTTCGCGCTATTGTTTCGGCAGGGAGTTAGGAATTGGCAAATATTCGCGGCTCTCACTAGTTGTGGCTTGCAGGCGCCAATTACGTCCGACCAATTACGTCCGACGATGGCACTTTATATTACAAGTAAGGCCCGCCTTCGGCGGGAGCGACCCGTAGCTCGGCAAGGGAAGCGAGTTATGTAAGCTGAAAGTTAGGTTGGGTATGTGGTGTGGAACGGGAGGAGGCGACAAATGTATGGGCGGTATGTTGCTGCTACAAGGAGTCAATCTCCGTACAATCGGCCGGCAGGTATTCTCTGCCAAGCGTACAACCTGGTTCAATTGTCGCCAGTCTTTTGGCAACTGGCAACAAGTCAACAACAACTGAACAGCTCGGCATGGTGCCAAACAGTCTAGTTAGTGGCATGTGACCAGCAGTGTAACCCCTAGCAAAACGGACACCAACCAAACCCAGTGCCGTGCAACCAGCCGTCGGATCTATCATGCTAAAAGTACAGCAGGTCGTTATCTAGTGGACGTTACCGTTACGCCGCAAAGCAAAACGTCGGCCCCTTTCAACAACAACTGAACAGTTCGGCATGGTGCCAAACAGTTTAGTTAGTGCCATGTGACCAGCCGTGTAACCCCTAGCAAAACGGACACCAACCAAACCCAGTGCTGCGCAACCAGCCGTCGGATCTATCCTGCTAAAAGTACAGCAGGTCGTTATCTAGTGGACGTTACCGTTACGCCGCAAAGCAAGACGTCGGCCCCTTTCAACAACAACTGAACAGCTCGGCATGGTGTCAAACAGTCTAGTTAGTGCCATATAACCAGCCGTGTAACCCTTAGCAAAACGGACACCAACCAAACCCAGTGCTGCGCAAGTGTACCGTTACGCCGCAAAGCAAAACGTCGGCCCCTCAGTGGGCGTTGCGGCGCTCGCCCATCCACGGGATGGCGGCGGGGTTCCACTTGGTGTGGAGCACCTGTGGGTGGGATGGATAGTGGAGGAGTGGTCGGGTCGGAGTTGTCTGGGAGAGATAGCAAGGAGACAAGATAAGAACACGAGGATGCGTTTTCCGCAAGAGAGTCCTAAATCGTTCAGTTGTGGACTCACGTGGGCATCGTCGTCCAGCTGGGCGCGGTGCAGGTGCGGGCGCAGGCGGCTCCATTCGGTGGCGGAGAGTGTGCTGCCGGGGTCACGCCATTCAGTGGACGCCATGCTGGTGGCGCGGCTGACCAGGGAGCGGAGCTGCGCGCCCGTGCACCGCATGAAGGCGGCGAAGTCGTCGTAGGCGATGACGAAGAGGTTGCCGCCCGCCGATGCGAGCTCGGTAGGCGGGCACTGGATGCGGCCGTTGGAGAGGTATACCACCGGGTGGTAGCGGGTGATCCATAGGGGAAAGCCGCGGGCGTGGTACTTAGACGCCCGGCGGAGGGAGAATTGGCTGGGGATGGAAATGGCGGCGCCGACAATTAGCGAGTAGAACCAGAGGGCGTGGCAGTACGTGTTGAGGTCCGGGTCTGCCGGGTCGTCGAGGAGGACGGCAAGCATGACTACGGAGAGGTCATAGGCTGTGACGATGGCATCTGCGGATGGGGTAAAGGTAGAGGGAGGGTGCGAGCGGGAGTGTGGAGGTATAAGGGTATTAGTTTGGCTGCGTTGACGTACAAATAAGGCACTAACTCAGGGGGGGGGTTAAAAACCAGCATTCGGCGCCCAAGTCAGCACCCGCTCAGCAACAGAACCGGAAACCACGAATACCTACCACACCCCGACCAGAAACACAACCCCAAACATACCATCCATCAAAGAATCCCGCCGACGCCAAAAAGCCCACCTGAAGCATCCGCCCGAACACCACCGACACACCGTGCCACCCCCCCAACCCCACACCCAAACAAGCTTTGGGGTCAATAGAATTGGTGACGTGCCCTGTCGCGTGTTGTGCCTCTTCCACCGGACTTACGCTTGTGTTGGGCGACGCGCTTGTTGAATTGAACGCGTTGGTGGGTGGTGCGGTTGCCAATGGTGACGTCGCACACGACGGTCGTGGCGCGCTCGGTGTCGATGATGCGCAGGATATGGACGTCTTGCAGCATGGTGAGGAGGTGGATGGCGTTGCGAAGGATCGTGAAGCCAGCGGCTGCGGTGGGAGCAATGACGTAGATGTCCTAGTCGTGTACGAGGTTGGGGGTGATGGCTTCCAGGGGGATCTGAGGGGTTGGTGGAAGGAATTAGAGGAGGGGGTGAATAAGCGGTTTGATGGGGCAGATGGGACAGAGCGAATAGAGCAAGGTGCAGGTGGAAAGGGAGGTGAAGAGGCAAGGACCAAGTGGGAGTAATGAGGAATTTTAAGGTGGTGCGGCCCCCATGTCTTCGGCTATAACTGTACCTGGAGGACTGCGTAGAGCGCGGCGCTTCCTGCAAGCGCGAGGGTGGCAGGGAACGCTCGCAGCAGCGTGGGGATGAGGCCATTGGTCAGGCAGCCGAGGCGGCCTGCGGAGGTGGTAAGGGTTGCGACGGGAAAATGAGAGGTTGGCCCAACCTTGAAGAATTATAGCCGGACGTGAAGGTGACGACGAGCGAGTGAAGGTGACCACAAAATCCACTCCCACCCCCAAACGACCGACCACCAAAACACGCCGACGCCCCTAAAAACCCACTCCGAGGTGGCTGCATCCTACCTCCTGTCTTTCCAGGTTTACCTTTCACGTCGCGGGGGTTGACCACGTTGCGGTTGTTGGCGAATTGTTGGGGTGCGGGTGTGTTTGCAGGTGCGCGGAGAACGTAGTGACGGAGAGCGGCGAAGGCAGTTGCGATATGCGTAGAGTTGGCGATGAGGCGCTGTTGCTCGCCCCACGCCCACCGGCTGCACTAACCACCACGCCACCTTGCTGAAGGCGCTGCAAGATAGCTGACGGGTCCGTACTATCATCTAAAGGGTCGGAAGTAGAGTATGCGCCCCCATGGTGCACCTCGACGTCATCCAGCCCCAGCATGTGTACTCCAGGTCCGATGTATCCGTCTGGCTGCAGTGCGGCTGCAGGCGACACAACGACACCAGCTGTACCGCCCGGCACGGCTAGTGCGGCCGCCATGGGCGACGGCCGAGCGAAGACGCCTGCACGCGCGCGGTTGGCAAAATTTAGGATTAAAGCTGCAAAGTTCCAATTAATCTGGAGCTGGAGTTAGGGAGGCGCAACAGCCACCTGCTGGATGTTGCCCGGCGACGTCGGAAGGGTTACCTTGGGTGTGTGATTGCATGGCGGCACAGCACGGTATGGGTAAAGACGCTGTCTCCCACCCCCCTCCACGCGCAGCAATGCACATCAGGTCCTTACCTGTCACCGGGATATTTGGCGTACGACCAGACGGCGCTGGCTCCTGACCAGCACCCGGACCAGGCGATCGACCACCTACAAATGTACGGTCCCAGGCGCGGTCGGACGTACAACTGGTAATAAGGATGAGTCAAAACAAACTTTCCTGCTCACGCGCACGTTCGGACCATTGCGTTGCAAATGGAAAAGGTAGGCCCCTCACCTGCTGCATTCGCGCCCTCCGTCGCCGCTTCCACATCATCCTGCTGCTGCCGCACCCGAGCGTTGCCGGCACGATCCCCTTCAAATGCAGCGCGCATGACCGCTGCCGTGTCTGGGTCATCTGTAGCCACCGCGTGCGCCACTAACGGCTCTGGCACCGTCGGCTCCGCACCCAGAGCGCGATACTGCTGAAGTGCAGCGTGGTCCACCTGAGCCATTGGATTCACGCGAACGGCCCACTCCGCCCATGCAGCGATAGCCAGGCCCCGCATCTTCAAGCATGGTGCCTGCCGCACTTTGGCCTCGAGGTCGGCACGATCTTTGACAGCATCAATTAGCACGACCTGAATGAAGGACGGCAGATCCGCTGGAGCGTATGGCACAACACGCTGGAGCTCGCTGGGCACGTCGTTTGGAAAGGCGAGCGTATGCCCACGCAACGCCGCTGGCAAGGTATCCACCGCGCGCCAGCTGGGTGTACCCGGCTGCCGCACAACGAGCAGCCGCATGTGAGGGCGAGCGAGGCCCACCACCAAGCTCTCCAGATGCGTCAGCGGTACGAGCGAATGACCATGCTGATTTACAGGGGGTACGTCGCCGGGATCCAACCGAGCCAGCGCCCCATCTGGGATCCGCCCACCTGGTGAAGGGCAGTGACAGGGGCGTTCAATGTCAGTAGAGGCATGGGAATAGACGGAGGTACAGTGCCAGGGCCCGGTCGAGGCAGCCCATCATCTATAATGAAAACAAATAGCACCATGCCGGTGCTAATAGTGATCACAACCTTCGCAAACAGACGGCCCCCATGTTACCATAACAGCGTTCACTACCCAACGCACCCTGTAAGGCCTGTATGCATTCCGAGCAGACCGTAAAGCGCTCCACGCCGTCCGCTGAAACGTTCATCGTTCGGTTGGGCAGTACCGTCTCCGCGCGCATGCAGTACGGCACCTCCACCGCCACGGGATTATCGTCACACAGCCGTACCCCTACCCGTGGCGCATACGTTGGAGGACGGTCTATGTCGCAGCGTCGTCGGCGTGACGGCCGATCATCGGTAGAGTCGTCAAGGCCGCTGCTGGTCTCGCCGCTGCCCTCGCCAGCGGATGTGTCAACTACGCCGACGTTGCCCGACTGACCACCAGCGGCCTTGTAGCCGCGTGGCAGTACGGGATCCGGCGGGTTTTTGCAATCACGCCGATCGACACGCCGCCAATACAGAACGTGCGCGCAACGAGGCACAGCCGCAGTCCGCCGCATGTCAGCACGTAGCAGCTCAACGCCAGCTATCTCGCTGAACTGC